ATATATTTTTATATTTAGTTAAAAATTAACTTTTAATTAGATAAATAGTAAGATAATATTAGCTTTAAAAGCTTCTTAATTAATAAAATAAGATTTAAATTTAAATTTAAATAATTTAAAAGATAATATTAAATCTATTATAAAGATATTAAAAGGGTTTAATAATAAATTTATTATTAAATTAATTAAAGAAGGTAGTATAATTAAATATATTTATTAATTATATTTAAATTAATAAAAAATCTATATCTCCTATAGTTAATTTTAAATAACTCTTTAATTAATAAAATAGAATTTAAAGTTAATTAATTTAAAGGAGATAATATTAGGTTTATTATAAAAAGTTAAAAAGTTTAATAATAAATTTATTATTAAGTAAATTAAAAAAGTAATATAGTTAAATATATTTATTAATTATACTTAAGCTAATTATAAAACTTATATTTTTATAATTAACTATCTTTTTTATAACTTTATTCTTATTTAATATCTACTAATAATAGTAAATAAAGTATTAGATTTATATATATAATAGTTTATTTTTACTTTTTAAATCTATCCTTTAACTATCTAACTTTTACTTTATAAAAATATAATTAAAATATTAGATAAATTTTATTTAATTATAATAAGTTCTTTATTAAAGTAGTTTTAAGAAACTTAGTTAATAATAAACTTTAATAATAATATTAATATATACAATAATTAAATATTATTTATTAAATAAAAATATAGTAATAAAAGATTTCTATTTAAAGGATATATTTCTAATAGAAACTCTTTTAGAACCTTTAACTCCTTAAATAGTTAGTTTATTAAAGTAAGAGTAAATTATAACTTTTAATAAATAAAAGTTTAAAAGTAATTTACTCTTATTTAATAAATATTATTATATATTTAATTATAAATAATAATAATTAAGTATATAAAGGGGATTTAGAATAATTTATTATAGTTAATAGTTTTATAAGAATATAAAATATTAAATTATTAGATTTAATTAATATTAATATAAGTAGAAGTTAATTATTAAGAATATATTATTAATTTTATTATAATATAAGTTTTATAAGTATATAAATAATTTATAATATATTAAAAGCTTTTATATAAAGGAGGTAAGTTAATTTTTAGTTTTATATTATAATAGTTTTTATAATAACTTTTATTATAAATTAGAAAATTATTAATAATAAATAGTAAAAATATTAATAAATTATATTAACCTTTTAATAGTTATTATAATCTTTTAATTAAAATATTTTTAAATTTTAAAATAATATAATTAAAAGTAAAAAATATTTATTATTATTATATATATATATTTTTAATAATTAAGTTATATCTTTAAGTAATAATAAAGACTTTTATAGTTAATATATAAAGTATATTAAAATATATTATATTTAGAAAGAATATCTAGTAGATATTCTAATAATAGAGTTATTAAGTTATTATATTTAAATATAATTAATTATCTTTTATCCTTTAAGTATTATTACCTATTTTTATTAGAAGTTATTTTATAAATAAAATATATCTATTATATATATAATATTAATAATTTTAAGGAACTCCTTTTAATTTTTTTAAATATTTTATTATTAGAATATACCTATATTTATAAATATTTTTTAAATATCTCTATTAAATATTATTAATATATAATAATTTAGGTATTTAAATATACTTTATATATAGTATTACTTTTAATAAGTTTTATATTTATTAATTAAAGATTATAAATAATATTAAGTTTTTAAATTATAAAGGATTTAAATATAGTTATTAATTTTTAACTTATTAATAAGAGTTAAAGAGTAAGTATAAAGGTAATATTTAAGTATTATATTAATAATATAAATAAGTAAAAGTTATATTAATTAGTATTAAATATAAAATTTATAAAAGGAATAATAGGTTATTAAAGTTATAAAATTTAATTATTTTAATTAGAGAGAATATAATATACTAAATATAATATTTATTATTTATATAAAGATTAATAGAATAATAATTCTTAATTAGAGTATTAAGAAGGTATCTAATAGATAGTTAATTTTTAAAACTTAATTATTAAAGAATCTTTATTAATTATTAATATTTTTAAATATAATTTATTTATAAGAAATAATATATAGTAAATTAATAACTTTTAGTTTATTTAAAATTAGTTTATAAGAATATTATATTACTTTTAGTAGTATAGTAGAAGTACTATTTTTATAGATATATATTTATTAAGTAATTTAAATAGTAAATAATTATATAGATTATTTATTTTAATAATTTAAAAGATTTAAATATATTAAATATAAAATAAATAATTAAAGTATAAATTAGAATATTTATTTAGTATTTATTTATTTTTTAATTATAAATTAAAAGAATAATTTATTTTATATAAAATAAATAATCTTTTAGGCTTCCTTATACTTATTTTAATTATATTTTTAAGCTACTTTTAGTATTTTCTTTTAATATTTTTAAGTATAAACTTAACCCTTTTAAAATAGTATTTTTATTACTATTTAAAATATATTAAATAATAATTTTATATTATAATAGATTATTTTAAGAGTAATTAATAGATATTATATATTTATAATATTTAATTTAAAGGTTAAATTTAATTTAAAATAATAACTATTAGAGTTTCTATAAATACTTTTATAAAAATTATAATTATTAAATTAAATTTTAAATAGTGGATATTATAGTTGCTTAATAAGAATTAGTTAATATATTATAATATTAAATAGTAGAGTAAAGTCTTTTAAAATTAGTAATTATATATTATAAATATAATTTAATATATTAACTTATTAAATCTTAAAGTATTTATAATATATTAATATTTATTATCTATAATATAATAGAATAAGGAGGTAGAGAGTAAGAGGAGATTTAGAAATTATTAAGATTAAATTAAGTTATATTATTATAAAAGGTAAGTATTAATACCTAAATAGAATAGATAGGTAGATAGTAAGTAAGGTTCTTATAATAAAGTAATAATAAAGTTAAAATAATATAAAATAATATATAATAATTAAGTAAGTAGATAGTAATTATTTTAAATTTTTATTTAATATTTATTATTAGTTTAGAAAATATAAATTAAATATATTATATATTAAATATTAGAGTTAATGTAGGTAGATTTAGTAGCTATATAGGATTATATAAGTTTTATATATAAAACCTTATATTAGGTGAGTAGATAGTAGGAACTAGGTGAGTGGATATAATTACTAGGTGAGTAGATATTAGTTTTATAAAATCTATTTTATTAAAAGTAAAATTTTATAAACTTTTAAATTTAAAAGTTTTAAATAATATTATTTTTAATAAAGATTTATTATTATATTAATTTAAATATAATAAAAGAATATATATTATAAATATTATATAAAAGTATTATATATTTATATATATATATATATATATAATAAAATTAAAATTAAATAAAGTTTTTTAAAATAAAAGCTTTATATATTATTTTAAAAGAAATATAATATTAATATTTATTATAATATTTTATAAAATTCTAAATAATTTTATAATTTATATTAATATTTATATTATTTATTAATATTTATATTATATTAATTATAATATTTAAATTATAATTTTTATTTATTTATTTATTTATTTATTTATTTATTTATTTATTTATTTATTTATTTATTTATTTATTTATTTATTTATTTTTATTTATTTATTTATTTATTTATTTATTTATTTATTTATTTATTTATTTATTTATTTATTTATTTATTTATTTATTTATTTATTTATTTATTTATTATTTATTTATTTATTTATTTATTTATTTATTTATTTATTTATTTATTTATTTATTGATTTATTTATTGATTTATTTATTTATTTATTTATTTAAAAATTAAAAAAATTAAAAAATATAGAAAATTTAAAGTTTTATAAAAGTAGTAAGTTTTATTAAAAGTAAAGTAACTTTTATATCTTTAAAAATAAGGGTATATATCTTTATAGTAAGGGTAGTTATAAAGTAAATATTAGGAGTATAGGTACTTATATTCTAGGGAGTAGAGGTGGATGCCTCTATAGTAGGGGTGGTTATAGGCTAAGAGGTAGAAGAGGTAGAAGAGGTAGAAGAGGCTGAAGAGGCTGAAGAGGCTGAAGAGGCTGTAGTTCGATTCTTCGAGCAGCGCCGAAAGATGGAGTTCTGCTTCACGGGAGTGCCCCTATATGATGCAGACAAGCATCTTATTTGGTGGATATTACAAATCTTGGACAGGAGGACCTCTACGAACCAGCTGAGGAAACATACAAGAATCGCACCGTGGAGATGTCACAAACACGTTCCACACCGCTATGCATGCGGGTCAAGAGGACAGCGGCAGCTTGAACTCCCAGTTCTCAAGGCTATGGCCTTAGACGACACAGAAAAGATCACCATTTTCTTCGAGAAGGACTTTTCTATTTCTCATCTTGAGGACATTCCGGAGTGCATCGATCTTCGTCATTATGGCTTGGAAGAGATGAGCCTGAATGTTTCTCGCAGATCGTGCTTCCAGTGGGCGATTGGACAATACGAAAACGGTGAATAACCGCTAAAAAGAAGGCGGCGAAGAAGAAGAAGAAGGCGAAGAAGAAGAAGAAGAAGGCGGCGAAGAAGAAGAAGAAGGCGAAGAGGAAGGTGAAGAGGAAGAAGAGGAAGAAGAAGAGGAAGGAAAAAAGAGGAAGAGAGAGAAGAGGAAGGAAAAAAAGAAGACTTTTTTTTTATCTAACCTCTTCTTATTTTCTTTTTTATCCTCCCCTTTTTATCTTCCCTATTCTTATCTTCTTTCTTTTTATAGATATATTCTCTACCTTCCTACCCTCCCCTTCCTACCCTCCTCCTTCCTACCCTCCTCCTTCCTACCCTCCTCCTTCCTACCCTCCCCCTTCTTATCCTACTTCTTCTTATTCTCCTCTCTATTCTCCTCTTTTTTCAAATACTTCTTATTATCTTTTTTTTTCATAAATATTCTTATTTTTATTATATATAATGTTACTACAACAAGAAGAGAGGGTTATGAATGTAGGCTCGGCCCTGGCCGTTGCCTGCCGCGCGGGGCACGTCATTACGCTGAAGCTGCCCCACCATGGTCAGCAGCAGTGTGGCAACCCATCATCAACAACCACAACAGCGGCAAGATGGACGGGGTGGTTGAGGCATTGCACATCTACGATGAGAGGAATTCGCCTGTCCTCTCACACACCTACACTTCGAGGCCGCTCTCCTCAGCCCACCTTCTCCCGCTCTACCTCGCGCACCCGCAGCCACGGCCGAACCTGATCTACCTGCCCAACACCAACCCGCCCACCCTCGTCTTCTCGCTGATCCATTCGAACCTCCTTTTTCTCCTTACCACCTCCGGCGAGGTCGAACCGCTCCTGATCCTCGAATTTCTCCACCGCGTCATCGATGCCCTCGAGGAGTTTCTCGGCGCCCCCCTCATATCCCAGAAGATCGAGTCCAACTACGATGTCGTCGCCCAGCTGCTCACCGAGATGTGCGACGCCGGCACGGTCGCCACCACCGAGCCGAATGCCCTACGAGATATCGTCGAAGTAGAAGGCTGGATGGGTAGGCTGTTGGGCAGCATCACCCTGCCAGGCCAAGTAAAAGACCTCAGCGCGTACGGACGGTCACCCAGCCCCGCCTTGGGCACGCCGTCGATGCTGCAGAACACAGCGCCTTCGCTACCATGGAGGAGGGCTAACGTCAGGCACACAAGCAACGAGCTGTATGCAGACGTGGTGGAGACGCTCAACGTCACCCTCGCCCCGAGTGGAAGACCGCTGGCCGCTTTCGCCAATGGTACCATCGCCTTCACCAGCAAGGTCTCCGGCGTGCCGGACATCAACATGACACTCACGAGCCCCTCGGGCAAGCACAATCTCAACAGCGTGATGGAGCTGCCAGTCTTCCACCCTTGCGTAAGACTGGCGAGGTGGAAAGAGCAGCCTGGTGTCATAAGTTTCATTCCGCCTGACGGGCGGTTCATACTGGCGGGGTACGAGGTGGACTTGCTACCGTTCTCCAGTGGAAAGAGTGGGAACCTGAGCTCAAGCAGTCTGAAGCTCCCAGTAAATCTCGAGATGACGACTAGTCTGGGGCCGACAGGGGCAGATTTTGAAGTCAAGGTCTACATCAACAAGATATTCGGCGCCCCGGTCAGCTCAGGGCCACCCGGCAGGGGCGGCGCTGGCAAAGGAGGGCCTGCTTCAACTTCGCTAGAGGACCTCGTGATCACGGTGCCGCTCCCAGAGGACGTCAGGAATCTGCCCGACATTCGACCGACAAGGGGAGACGCCACGTACAACCCGGGAGATGGAGAGCTGCAATGGCACATACCAGCCAAGGAGCTAAGCGCAGGGACAACATACTTTGGCCTGAAATGCACCGTCGTAGGCCACCTATCCGAGGGCGATGAAGAAGTGCCGATGGACTACACCTACGAGGAGCCTTACCAAGCGGAGTCGACGGCGGCTGGAGCGAGACTGGACAAGGCAGCTGGCGCGGGCGCTGGCTCACACGACGGGCGCGACGCCAACAGGCTCGCACAGAACAAGATACTGATGCCAAGCTCGGCATCAGTGAGCTTCGCCGTGAAAGGGTGGCTGCCGAGCGGGATCAGGATAGAGAGTATCCTGCTAGATACCCGGAAGAGCAGAGGCCTGGGTGAGGGCGTCAAGCCTTACAAGGGAGTCAAGTATCTGACTGTCAGCAAGGGTGGCGTGGAGATCCGGTGTTGAGTTCAACTTGGTACGTGTGCAGCGGTCACACGTAATGGCATTCCAGCGCTTGTCGACAAGTACTGTGCAGATTCAGACCCAGTCTTGGGACGCAACTATTCGCAGAGACTTTCTGGGGGATCAATATTTGCACGGGATCGGACCCGTTCACACAAATGGCTGGGCAGCTCCTCTCTCGACAGCTCATTTCCCAGTCAATTCAGCGTCGATGCGTACCGCTTCGCCCTCGGTGCGTGCGGCCAGGCCACCAGTCTTCACACTGGGCGATTATCTGAATAAATGAAAAAGTAGCTCTCACATCTCGTTCCCGTAACAGTCGCCTTTGCAGATGTGTTGTGCCAGTGATAATATTTGGCCCACCCGTGCTTTCATGGCCCATCATCGCCGGTTGGCCTGACTGAACTCATGCTCCTTAATCTATCGTTTTGTACCAGTTTCAAATCCTGCTGGAAATCCGGATAATCTCAAATGGCCAAAACGATGGCTGGTACATATGTATATTATAGGCTTCTACAAACATTCCATGCAATCAATGATACTATATACGTTTAATCAACTAGGTTAGAGTGGAAAGCCTATTTAGGCGTTGTGAGGATCGAGGGTGGGTCTCGACAACGGCGCTTTGGCGTGGAACCGCGACGACGACATCATGGTGGCCCGGCGTCCATGGAGGAGATACGTGGAGTCTTCCTGTTGTCCCTCCAGTCGAGTATTGAGCTTCGTGACAGACGACCCGATTTTCCTCGGTACGGATTTCCAACCATTCTTGGATGGTGCCTATATCAGGCTGATCGGCTGTTTCAAAACGAACTCTCGTCGCTCAGCAGCCCTCGTCTAGACTGAACGTCCAGACTGCTTCGTTTCCCGCTCCCGTCAGAGTGGTCGTCAGTTGCCCCGGTGGTGTAGCTACCAGACGCACAGCGACTTCCTTGTCATCTCCATGCGCATTCCTCAAGACCGCCCTCATTGGTGCAATGATGCTTGCAGCAGCATGCTGATATCGCCGTCGGGTCGTGGATGTGTTACTGGAAATCTCGGAATAATGTCGATCTCTCGGTGGCTTCACCTTACTGGCATTTCTCTCTTTGAACAAGCCAGTAGAGCTAGCAAGGCCCGGTCGTCAAGTCAACACTGTCGACAGGTCACGAGGGGCCTGCGAAGCGTACTTGTCGTGTACTTGGAATAGGTGCTGTCTGGCCTTCGCCGGGAGCAGTGGAATCAGAAGTGACCGTTTTATCGTCAACATCAACGTTGTTCATTTCCACGTCGCTCTTCGTAATGGGGACTCTTCTCCTGCTTCTCCTCCACCGCCGGCGTATCTTTTTGAAACCTTTCATAACCGGCCTCATGAAAAACTGGATGCATCGAGTCAGCTTCATGGACAAGGCCGCAGTTCACTCGAACGGTGAAATAGACGATACGCGTGTGGTACCGAGGAAGGAACGGTGCTTATTAGGGGCCGAAAATCTTGAGTTCACAGAATATGGACTCACCGTGTGTCGGTAACGGTAACACGCATAACCAATGCAAGCGAGACCAATGATGATAGCCCCGATGATTCCATAGATGATTCCCGGTTCGCACATATAAATACTCTTGTCCCCGCACCGTCCATTTGCGTAGTAGAACCTCGTTTCCCGTGCTGCAAGAGCAGTCGCCGTCGACGTGGGCTCCAAGGGTTGTGCCATGTTGACTTGTCAGATTGATAATCAGACTGGAAGCGCATATGAGGCCTGCTCCCTAGAACGAGGGAGGGGGCACGGCCGCCGGAACATTAGACCAGGTGTCCAGCCGTCTAGGTGTCGACTGGCACAATGACCATGTCACGATTTATAGGAATCCGAGAATTAGGAGACGAGTGAAATCCAAGAGGTGGCGAGTGAGAAAATGCGACGAAAAGAAAAAAAGAAGCGCCGAGAGGGATCCTGCGGCCGGCAGAGCCCCGTCAAGATGTCTGGCCCGCGACATTTAAACGAAGAGGAAGCAGGTGCTCTCGGCGGCGCATGCCGTGTAACCACGACCAGAGCAGACGGCCCTGTCTGCCTGTGCCTCTGCCTGACAGGAAAGGAGCGGCTAAGCAGATGTTGGCTGTGCGAGACATGTGCCGACCAATGGCGCGACCACGTCAGCACGACGAGCCAGATCCTTTGGGGCGGTGTCTTAGTTGCTGACGGTGACGTCCCCAGGCTGCATTCCGACGGATCCGGGGCCAGCGGACGCTTATAGAGGATTCAACGACCAGTTCGACCTGGGCAACTACTGCATTTGAAGTCGTATGTGTTAGGCTGTGTTATTTGTGCGCTACTTTCTACTACGATGTCCCCAATTTACGAGGGACGGCCCGAGAGTCTGATATCTATACAAGCATTCAAGCTCAACGACAATTACGAATTGCTCCTCTGGGCGCCGGGATAAACAAGGGCGCAATATATGATGTGCAGTGTTTTATTTTGGAGGCTCTGGAATGACGTCGGGGCCGCAATGCTGCCTATTGTGCGGCCCATTATGCGGTTGACTCTCTCAGCTTATCCCGAGCGGCACTTTTCGCCCTCGCTCCCGGAGATAATCCCACGTTCGCTGCACTCGTCGGCTGATTAATTACCCCGGCGCTGGCCAAAACGGGCAAAAGCTGAAATCACTCACCGGCCTGGCAGGCCGTGCTCTGCGACCATCGCTTCTGCATGCCCAGGCTTCTGGGAAGTCATGGCAGTCGAGCGTGAGCCCTGGCAGGAGCCGGGACGGACCAGTTGGGTGATGGATCGGACATCGAATCCTTCCGAGCGCGCCAGCCGTCCTAGCCGTGGGTGGTGCGGTAAGATTCGACTCACACCGGGCCGCTCCCTCGAGAAATGACTGCTGGCTGGCAAAAGCAACATTCAGCAGCGCCTCATGCATGTGTCGGGCTTCAGAGACGCAGGGCCCTTGCGCACGCTTGAACAAAGAAAAAGGAAAAAGAATTTCCAACGGAGGACACGAACAATATACTGTAGCGATCCGGAAGGAAACGCCAATAATATAGAAGTGGAAAGAGAGAAACGGTAGTGTGTCCCCATAGGATCAGGCCATCCTGCTTGATAGCCATCTCCGCAACAGAACACAGAGCCAGAGGCTCTCCCGATGCTTGTGAATCCACCATGCAACCGTCACTCAGTCCCCGTTCGTCAGCACAAAAGACTCGAAGGTCTGCCCCGGGCCGACCTCAGCCAGCTCGCCCGCATCCACCCGCACAACCTCGCTCCACCCCCTGACCAGAGCACGCCAGTAGCACGCCTCAGCAGCAGGGCTGAAATACCCCCCGCCCGCGAACAAGCCGCGCTGCCGGCCCGCGATGCCCTCCGCCACGTCCGGGTGGGCCTCCAGCCACGTGATGACATCGTCCAGGTCCGACCAGTCGGGCTTCACGAAGATGATGTTCGCCTCCTCGGCCCCGTAGCCCTGCCCCCAGGCCCTGCTCGTCATGGGCGAGGCCGCCGCCCACTGTTTCCCCTCCTGGGCCTGCCCGGGCAGCAAGGTGCTCGAGAAGACCGGCCTGACGAGGTGCGTCGCGTGCTGCATCCAGCCGATGGGCGGCGTGATGACGACGCTCGCGCACAGCTGCAGGAACTGGAACCGCCCGCTGTAGGTGACGCCCTCCGTGTGCAGGATGTACCTGTACTTGCAAAAGTCCTCGATGGGGATGCTGTTGCTGGCCGTCCTGTCGCCGCCGCCCTTGCCGTCGCCATCCCACTTCAGCGCCTCGACGTCCGCCCAGGGCTTGTCCTTTGCCGCCGCGAGCAGGTTGGCGCGCAGCCGCGGGTTGTGCACGCTGTTGAACCACGTCGTGCCGCGCCAGACGGCCTTTGGGATCTTTGACGCAAAGGTCGGGTGGAGCCTGGTCTCGATCTGCGCGATGGCCTCGGCCGCCCTGCCCATGGACCCGATGAAGGGGAGCCTCCACGCCCAGAACGAGAAGTGCGGCATCAGGAACGTCCGCGCGTTGGTGTTGCCGTCGTCGAAGCCCGGCCGGGACTTGGGGTCCGCCTGTCGGGAGTAGGCCCAGGCCGTGCCGAAGGGCTGGTCCTGGAAGTTGAGCGCGAAGACCGTGTCCGGCACGGGTTCGGAGGGTGGCGCCGTCAACAGGGCGCGTTGGATCTGGTGCAGTGACGCGGTGCGGGAGTTGAGCATCTCGGCTGACAGCTCATTCCTGCGCTGGGATTTGAGGATGTGCAGCTGGCCAGACTTGATACGTCCCAGTACTGGTGCTGTCTTGGGGGTGAGGGTGAAAGGCCCCTGTGAGACGACGTCCTCGATAGACCATGTCAGGTTTGGGAATGCGGCCTCACATTGTGAGACTGTAAGGGAGAGGTTGTTTAGCAACTCCGGAGAATGATGCCCGGCGACAGCCTGAGAGCCCGGGCTGGTTGAGAAAGAGGCGTCAGATTGGCTCTCTTTGGGCACTCGGCCAGCCAAGAAGAGGCAGTAGATGACCAGGACGAGCGCTACGCAGCAGAGGATGTCTCGCATCCTGCGCCGCTGCCTCGGCATGATGGTTTTGCCGCCGATCATGGCGTATTGCTCTCACATCTTTATAAGACCAAACAAAGTAGCTGATCATCCCCCGTTTACACACAATATATGCAGTAAGAAGGGAAGACAATAAATCTCATGTTCAATGCCCACGTCCATGAAGTTGTGGTTGAGGTCACCTGTCATTTGGTGTTGCGGGGAGCTAACCCCTGAAATCGATTCGGTGGGTGGTGCTCCGGGAACCTTGCAGGGACAAGCATTTGCAAGCTGGCAACCCCAGCGCGGCCGTCGCGCAAGCTGCCCGGCAGCGTCTGTATTGATGCCACAGAAAATGTTGTTCAGCTGTGCTGAGTTGCATGTGAACAGTGTAAACTGCTCTCACGGAATTCTTTCCCATGGGAACTGAGGCGCCTGAAAGCGTGGGATCCACAGGACATGTTTCAGAGCTCCAAGTCATCAACCGCCCATCAACTTACCTGACCATCCGGACGATGTCTGCCAGCTGAAAGAAGCCTCAGCTCGAGTTCATTGTAATCCAGTATTTGTGAAATCTCATGTTACCGAGATTCACTCACGCCTGCCGTTCTTAAGCTCATCTACGCGTAACCTGGAGAGTCCCGCTGGCTCCTCCAAGTCCACCGAGGGACCCCAAGCAACATCCCCTGGGGTCTTGCTATGTGCCGAGTAACTCATGTCCAAGGGTTTTGTCGGTTCTTTGCTCTCCCAGTGACGAGCCTCCGGGGGCACCGGTGACCACCAGGCCTCCGGAGGTCCAAGACGGCCATGCCAGGATGCACTACACAGCTCCCACAGCCGGCTCGCTGCTCGCTTATATGCGAAGCGCTCATCCTCGCCTGTGAATGCAGATGTGTTCACGAAGTCGACCTTTTGACCGAGGATTCCGAAGTCTGAGTCAATTTCCGCATGAATACTGGCGGTTCTGTTGGAGGGTGAAGGCGGGCCCTCGTTGTAGCTCGATATGTTGGGTCTAAATGGGGCCGCAGAGTCTTGGTAGACTTCAGCAATGGTTTCGGAGTACGTCGCGTCCTCATGTTCGCCTTCTTCCGCGGTGGTAGTTGTTTTCATGCCAGGAGCGGAAGAACGTGTTGTTGTAGTCAGTCCGGCCTTTGAGGATTTGCGCCGCTTTTGCTCTGGGAAGAAGAGGTTGTCTGGACCGACCTCAGCCCGGATAAGGACCTTGCAACGAGCCTCGTACAGCGCGTCCAGCAAGGTGATAAAACGACGGGCTTCATTTTTCATGGACACTGGCAGGACAGGCACCTTGTCGATGATCCACGTATGATAATTCGAGGCCAATGTAACATAATCAGCCGGCCCAAACTTGTGTACCAACTCGTCGAAATCCCAGTGCGTAAAGCCTTGATACTGTCTCGGCACACTGACCAGCCTCCCATACACGACTAGGGTTGCCGGTTCCCAGGGGATTGATGACAGAAGCGGGTTATTGACAGTCTCGAGCACCATTTGGTTCCAAGTTTCCGGACTGTCTACCGTGAGTGCGTATTTTCGTGGCGTTGTTGAATCCCCTGTGTCATCACGGACAAGCAACAGGTCGGATTCTGAATTTTCCAAGGCCAAAGGGGAGGTAGTTGATCCAGATGCCGAGTCGGCTCTCTGTTGCAGACCAAGGTGCTCTTGTATATCTCGACGTCGCCAGTCCTGGGCGCCCTCCATATGCCAAAAGTCGCATCTCGCTTTCAAAACCTCCAGGAAGGCTGCGAAATCGCTCGTGCTCCCAAACAGCTCTCCCCTCTGCTTCCTAGCACCCAACCCAAAAACGCTGCGGACCAGGCCACCCGAGGGCGGGGGCGGTGATCCATATGTACCCGTAGCTTTTTCGAGCTCGTCCGGCATGCGATTGGACGAGGCAACCAGCACGCCACCGAGCTGAAAGAATGCAATAAACAAGTTGCTGAGAATCTTTGCCGCAGCTCTATCGGGAAGCTGGAATTCGTCTAAAAACAGAATTGGCGAAGTGTCTATCATCTCCTTGGCCATCCATAGCACTGACCACTGCTGGTCTTCGCTAGCAATACTTGGGCGTGACGTTCGGAAGTGTTCAAGCCTCGCGAACGCATAAAGCATAAAGGTGTTAAAATGCCAACGCCGCTTCCGGCTCGTGGGCAGACCGTCTGCCAGGAGGTCTAACAACATGGACTTGCCCGTGCCGACCTCACCCGAGAGGAACAGCCCCTTGGGGGAGTCGATATCGATGGCACTCTCATGGCTCGTGAGAATACGTGTCAAGGAGAGACTGTCTCGTGGACCTTCTGTCGATCTAAAGAATTTGGCGAAAAGAGGGTTGCGCCTGATGGGATGGCTGCTGACTGCCAGTTGGTCTGTCTCCTTTTCTCTAGCACCCCCAATAGACTCTGTGATTTGACGGAGCCTTGTGCGATATTCAGTGGACGGCTGATAGTCTTTCAACCGCAGATAGAGCTTCTGAAGGTGATGGGCCAGACGGTGTTGCGCAGGATCCGGGTGAAAAGTACCAGTTGCAAGGAGGGCGTTGTACTTGACGAGGGGGTCGGTGATGGTCACGGCCGTTCCGAGGCGCTTCATTATTTCCGGCGCGTGTAAGCAAGCATGTGAACAAAGAGGAGCGACAGAATAGGAGCGAAGTGAACAATTCTATAACGTTCTAGGCTTTCTGATTCTTCAAAACGGCCACCGGTAGCAGTTGTGGCGCTCATTTCACTGATACAAATGAGGTCGCCAGTCCACATTGAGACTTGGATACGAAGTCGGAGGGTGATGATGCACTAGACTCGGCACTGAGTCGACACTATCTGGGGATATCGGCCAAAGGTGAGGCTCTGTAGGCCAAATGATGTCACCCGTTAGCCTCAACCCCAGGACCACGGTCGGCCCGGACAAGGAGCTTCAGCATTGCACGGTCAGGACAAGGAACAGCACAGCGGTGCAGCCTTGGCATGGAAATGGCGGGAATTGATAGTTGATTCGAATGCGTCTTGACTTCGAGACAATCCACAATGGGCTGACTTCCCTCACAAAAGTGATATGAAAGCTGCTGCAGGCGGGCCTGAAGGGGGCTTTGTTTGATCGAGCTGTCCCCTGCCCAGCTCCGAGTCCAGCTACAGCTAGCATTAAGCAATAGCTGCATCCGAGCTCAAGAAAAAGAGTCAGCACAAGAGTGAGGCCCTGGCCCCTGCAGTGGTTTGGATGGGAGTGACTTGGTGACTTGGTTACCCAGCACGCCCTACGTTTTCAGACTAGTGTAGTGGAAACGGGGCAAACGTCGACTCCCAGCCAGAGGGCACGGTCCAGCTTGTCCAGTAAAAACGGGTATTTTTTGAACCCACCCAAGTCAACACGACCAATCACCATCAGGCCCATCGCAGGAGCAACAAGCCAGCCAGCCAGTGTGTGCCTGGGTCTGCTCTTGACCCTTACCCATCTTGGCCTGGTATCCTGGGGCCAGACAACAACTTTTGGTGGTGAGCCATCTGCAGCGTCAATTCTGCCGGTCCATCCAACCAAGAATTTACACAACATCTCTCGCCCGCGCGGCCCCCCATCCTAACCTAACCATCCTCGCCTGCATCAGCACCCTCGTCGTCCTGCACGCACGCACGCACGCAGCGATCCCCAGGCGCCCCCTCACCGTCATGGAATAGGCCACTGCATTCATCACATCTGCATCGACTTTGCCATCACACGCGCCCTCTCCTCATCTCAACCCTGCTTGGCGACACTCCCCATCAGCGCGACCGCCCCGACCGACACACTCCGACCGCCCGACACGCCACGATCCCCCAACACCCTTCCTCCCATCGCCTGCCGTCGCCATGTTCTCTCCAAACCAAAACAACCAGAGTGGTCCCGCCATGGCCACCCGGAGTCGGCGGAGACAACGCCCTGCCAGCTCCGACAACAGCCTGACACAACAACCCAAGGCTAAGAGGCAACGCCGGCCTCTGACCGACTCCACCTTTTCCAACCCCGACCCCCAAAATGCGCAGCCCCCCGAGATGCTCGAGGTCAAGAACGACAAGGTCGCAAAACTGCCTTCCCATCCTGATGGCATCGAAAATGCCCAGGCCCTGACGACCAAGTCCATGCGACGAGAGGTTGCTGTCAGGCCGAAAAAGCCCAAGCAGGCCGAGAGGACGAGCAGGACCGATGGCAGCGTTGAACTGGTGCGTCAAGCGCAAACAACACCCAACACCTCTTCTACGACGAGCCCTAGGGGCGTCGCGAGTCGAGTTTTCACTGACCTCGAGTCTCTAAACAGGCAAGATCCAGCGCGTACACCGTGAGCAAGCTTATAGCCCTGCCCGATAGAATCCGTGCAGACTCTACAGGTGGGTACCTTGGTCTTCTATCCCCCATGATTCCATACTAAGCAGCCGCGTCTAGCACGGCAACACGGTACGATCGACACTTCCAATGGCTACGGCCTTTGCCTCACCCACACCCACGCCTTGGTCTGGCAATATTCTGGGTCCACGCCCTCGCCCGAGACCTTTACCTTCGCCCTGCCGTACCCGTCGAAACATACCAGCGAGCCTCTACCACTTGGATCTCTCGTTTCAGCGGGGAATTCTACCGAAGAGCCCGGCTTGGTAGTAGTGATGCCCATCAGCGGAAAGGTCTCATTTTGGGAACACATATCCAGCGCAGCGACCCTCGACTTTATTCGACAGCAAAGGAACGGCGTCGAGGACACAGTACCAGGGCTGTTTGGTGGAGAACACGTCGTGGATATCACAAAAGCCGACACCGCTGGGTTCATCCTCTCGCTGAGTAGTGGACGACTAGCACACCTTAGCGTACGAGACGGCCAGGGCAAGCCTTCGATATCGATCCAATTCCTACAAGCTACTTGGGGTCAGTCATCTGGGGCCTGGCCAAGCGTCTTTGGCAGTATTCGCAACGCAATCAAGACAGCTGTCTCACGGAGCGACATCGCAGCCGTCAAGGTCAACCCCTCCACCAGGCCGGGACCTAAAGTCGTTGTCGCAGCAACCAAAGCCGGCAGGCTCCACGCGTGGAGGGTCCAGCGGGCCGGACATCACGAGATCATCGCTAACGTCGATGCCCGTGGTGACATTCTGGACGGCCTCCGATCAGCCCTTCCCCACATTCAGAACAACGTGGACTTCGAGGTTGTCGACTTCACGTACGTGCCAAGAGGCATCGAGTCGAAATACACCGATGCCAGCCGATTGAGTCAAGCCCTGACCATGGACGACGACTCTGTCCAGCATCTGCTGCTGCTTGTGTCTCTCAGCAACAAACGCCAGTCACAATACGCTCTTGTTGAAGCTGTTCTTCGGGACGAGACTTTGAATGTCGGCATGATCAGGGCTATCTCTTCATACACGACCCCCCTCACTCCTTCCGCTACCGCACGGACACGGCTGTGTCTACCGAGACCTGGCCTAGTTGCCTTCATTGTGTTTGACCGAGCCGTCGTAATCGCGTCGATAGCAGCGCCGCCCGAGACACCGGACTCGCAATTGCAAGGGGAAAACCACATCCTGCCAGCCACTTACGAGGATGTGGTTGATCTGCGGAGTGAAGATTTACTCGAAATAGTTGGTTCGGGCGTGGAGGAGCCTCTGGGCCCAGGTCAGGAGCCTGAGGCCCCGCGAGCTCATCGCGTCAAGATCAAGAATCCAACCGTGTTGCTCATGATTCGCGGGGTTGGAGTTGTCCGGGTCGCTCTCACAGACGTCGACAAGTTTGCCAGCGAAATGCCGCCTGAGGTGACGGCGCGGAACAAGTTGGAGCAAGCCGTCATTTTTGGACTCAAAGACAACAATCCTTTAACCTTCGAGGGCCGGAGAGAGATGCCTTTCACTGACGCGGAAATCGGCGAGGCGGCTTTGGATTTGTCAAACGATATCCTTGCCTCGAATACCTCGGTCCTGACGGCGCTCCCGGCTTCGATAGAGCTGAACCTCCGACAGCGTGGCAGCTATCTTGACAAACTGATGTCTCACCTGAACGCCCAAAAAGTCAAACTCGATCGCCGAACGAAGTGGCAGTTGCTGTGCAACGCCGAGAAGTTGAACATGGCCCGAGAGCTCTGGAAACTGCACGAGACATTCTTGGCCGAGAGACCGAATAACGACAGGAAGACTGTCGTTTCCGAAGTCATCGAATGCATCGCCGAGGAAGACAAAAAGAACCCTGACCGCCAGGTGGGAGAGCTCGACCGGGCTCGTACATGGTTCGTCAATGACACCGGACGAATGGAGATCTTTGTGCCGTGGACATATCAGATGATTAAGCACTATCACAAGGAGCACCTTGCTGATGACCCAGCCTTGACGCGTTTTCTTTACGAAGGCGTGCACGTCTTCTACGAAATTCTTCACGGAGCTCTCGAGTATCGCCAACGCAACCTCGCCTTCTATGGCCTTGGGGGTGAGGATGTAAAGAACGGCATCCTGTCCAAGCAGACCGACTACATTGGTCTGCCCGAGTTCTGGACGTCAACTGCGTTTGTCACCAACAATCTCTTCCGGCTAAATTCACTCTGCCAGATGTGGCTTAATACGTACTACCCACCTCAAACCGCCCCTGGGTCCCCGTCTTCGAGCCTTATCGAGTCACTACGCAACATGATGCCTAGCCTGGTCGATCAGCTCGTTGTGACCGTGACCGAACTAATCAGCTGGGCTGACTCGAACGGCGACGAAGAGGCTCAGCTATTCGCCGAGAAATGCAAGGCGGTCCTGGCCGATCTGAGCGACCTCATTCTGAAGCTCAAAGACTACGGGCTTTGGGATGATGCGCTTCGCCTTGCCGAGAAATATGTCAGTGTCAGAGCCCTTGCGGAACTGGTGGTCGGCCAGATCAAGGAGCTTCGCGGCCAAATCAAAGTGCGTGGTATTGAAGCTCGAAAGGCTGCTGAGATCAACCACAAACTGGAGGAGAAGAAGAAACTCTTCAATGAGTACATGGACCGTTACGGCGCGAGCTTCGCATTTGAAGCTTATTCGCTCTTGCTCGCATATGGTGGCATTCAGATGGTGTTAGAATTTGCCGGCTCTGACAAGAAGGGCTTTGCGACCCAGTTCCTGCGGAACGACAAGCGCCTCGGCAAGATTTCTTGGATCAACGATATCGAGCGCGAGCAGGATCTCGATGAGGCGGCCAGGACACTCATCGGCGTGGGCCAGGCAGAAGAACAAGTGTGGAACAAGAAGATAGAGCTCAGCCTGGGTAAATTGACACTGCTGGCAGAAGGAGCCAGTGCTCCGGCCACGGGCAGCACGGCTGTGATTCGCAGCAAAGCCGGCAGAAATGACATTCAGCTGGCGCAAGTTGAAAAGGATCTTGAGATTGTGCGCATCCAAGACCAGATCTATCAGGTCCTGGTCCCGGCATTCCAAGATGCTGTCGACGACGTTGCAGCCGTTGAGCTTGCCATGCAGACCTTCTCACCCAAGATTCCGAAGAAGTATAAGGTGCTTTTGGACGATCTCCAGGAGGACCTCTTCCACCTTGTCACCCACAAAGCCATGCGGCCGCTGAGTCTCATCAACCTGCTTACTCTGATCCGGGTCGACGACTACGGTGTCGAGCCTGGACTCCTGTTCTTCCAGGCCCTTCGACTAGCTGAACTTGGCCTAAAGGGCAAGCAAAAGGAGGATGCCAAGAGGCTCATCTGGAGGCGGTGCTACGTTCGCGACGACTGGACCAAGGTCAATTACACAGAGAACATGAGCGACCAAGCCGTGCTCAGCAAGCTGGTTGAGACGCAACCCTACTGCACCATGGTTGCCTGCCATCGACACCGTAAGTCTACTATCAAAGAACACCGCTTGAAAGTGGCATTTTTCTCCCAGTTACTAACAAGTCTTCCCAGAGCTCAAGCAAGGCGACAAGGAAACCGAGTACATCCTCTCTCCGGACATCTGCCAGGGCGTTTTCACGGACACCAGCGTCGAAGTCATTAGGTGGGACGACGACGACCCGAGCCTGCTGGAAAAGCGTGCCGAGGCCATGCGGTGGGAGGACACGCAGCTGAGGAAGTACGTCGAGAAGAACCAGCTCTCGCGCTGGGCCAAGGCGGCGTGGGAGGCGGCCAAGAGGGAGGTGGTGGAGGAGCTAGATGTTGCGACGGCGAGCGGCGCGAACGGCGGCCGCGTGGCGCCGGCCAAGCTAAACGGGCAGGGCAACGGGCACGTGGTCCAGAGCGTCGAGGCGGACGATGAGGAGCAATAGGCGATTATCCCGCGCGTCGCCAGGGGCGCCACTGGGGGCCGGAGCGCATCTGGAGCCCCTCGGTTTCGCGCTCCCCCGAAGGCCACGCCGCTTCCCCTTTGTTTCTCGAATCATCATACAGGCAGACTCGAAGCTCGGGTATAAGGAGGTTCGGTCTGTTCTGCCGGCGTAAAGTGGCCTGTTGTGTTTCTGTTTGTTGTCGCTCATGAGCTTTATTTTTTTTAAAAACTTCCCTACATGGCCAAACAAAAAATTCGGGGACAGGGCGGGCAATGGTTCTGGGCAAAATAGGTGTACTACCGGTCCGTGTCTATATATCGTTCTTTTGAATGTCTTGTTTTGCCACGCAGTTTGCGCCCCTTGTCCTGGCGGCGTTGGTAATTGTCTGGGACACGGTGGTTGTTGGTGGTTGTTGGAGTCAATAGCATAGCAAGAGCAGAACAGAGCAGAGAACAGGACAGAACAGAGATGACCTTCGTTGGAAGGTTCGAAACCCCTTGGTCACTTCATTCTTCTCGATTCACTGCATGTCCCTATGTGACTTTCGATTCGTTTTCAAAGTCAATTTGGGAGATGATATTATGGTTCATTGACCGATGATTGACTTGTCTAAATCTGCTTGCTAATTGTCCCGCTGAAGTAACTACTATTACTGCCAACATCCTAGCTTTTCGTTTTCTGTACAATTCACCCATACCCCGATATTCTCTCATTCTAGCCATCACATATATCATCCAATTGGCAAAATTAGTGACATTAGTTTCCATCTCTTTCTCTGTAAATATTTATGTGTGTATGAGAATCTTCCTCGGGTGTCCGCCCTAGTATCACAAAATCTATGAAGATGGGCAGAGGTTGTATGTGGCCCGCGGTCGGGTCAATAGCACTCGTGAATTCATACAGCCTTAAATGATAAGTCAGCAATAAGTGAGAGGTAAGTGGTAAAATCCTAACGGGTCGCGAAAACACAACGAAATGATAGATGTGAGGTAGGCGGGACCGCACACCGTTTCGTGTACATGTGCGGTATAAGATGGCCATTATTCTTTGAATTTTGGGCCACTTGATGGGTGAGTAGGCAGTGGGCTTATGAGCGGCCTTCAAATGCCAACATGTCTAGGCTGGCACCTAACAAACGCCGCTTGTGTTTGTCGAGGTTGCCGCACAAGTTATTCGTCCCAGGGACCAGGTCAAGATTGATCATCGACAAACGTTCCGACGACGGTGGACATGCTCTGCCATGATTCTCTTTCATGATCATCTTCTCACCGTTAACTTGATACTTGCGCCTTTGCAAAACGATACGGCCCATTCCATCGTGGCTGTGGGTTGGCCACTGTCAAGTATGTATACTGTGCAGTTCTCGTGGCTTCTCTACCCTACGCCACTCACGATCTGGAAATTTGAACCAGCTATTGCACATGGAGTAATTCCAGTCGTTCAGTTGAGCAGCAGCAGCCGCGTGTTTAACGGGTTCGTTCGTCATGACGTCTCCTCTGAGTACCAAGGGGAGACCCCTCGAGATTCCGGGCCGGGCACCTTGCCTGCTGCCCACCCAGACATGGCCGGGCTCCCTGAGCAAGGCACGGAATAGCTAGAACACGGCGAGTCTGCTCGGCTCGGCCTTGGTGCCCGGTCAAAGAACGTACATGGGGCGGTAGGAACAGAAACATGGAAGGCACGAATCCAGTGGCAGGAAGCGGTAGCAGTCCTCTTGGAATTCTTAGTCATAAATACATCGCCGAAGGACAGGAGGCGCACATGCATACATGTTCAAGCACGTACGGGTACCGCAGGAGCAGTTGGAGGTGTTCCGGCGTGGGTGCTGGGGCATCCCATATCCCAGGTCCAGCGGCAGACATGTTGAGGCCGAGGCGAGAAGGCAGCGCCGTGGTTGAGAAGCAGGCTGTCCAGCTTGGCCTGGGTGCCCGTGTCAAAGCTCTCCAGCCCGTGCGAGGGGACGAGCCCGAGACAACCCTGCCGACGGCCTGGTCCCCGAATCGCAGCACAACGAGCGCATCGAGATGACGGTGTTGACGTGCATATGCTGGTGGGTAGTATAAACGTCGAAGCCTGTCCCCTGCAGTTCGTGGCTCTCCCATGTAAGTGACGGCGATATACAGAATGCCAGCCACACTCGACTCATTACTCTTCACGACTGTCACTGTGGTGAACGAACAAACAGCCTGAGCGCCGCCCTGGGCGTCGAGCGGCGGGTTGATGGCACCCGAGGGATTCCGCGCCCGCCGCCCAGGAGATGGATCCTCTTGTGGGCAACGGCCCCACTGTGACGGTCTGGCCCCAGGGTTCTCGAGCTCCGCTGTGATGCAGACCTCGTCCTCGACGATCAGTGTCAGGACCTCGTTGCCTCGGTCCAAGCAGGTGCAAAAGTCCAGGCATGGTTGTGATCAAGCAGGTCAAGTTGGAGAAACAACAGCAATTAATAAATGGGGCACACGGTGGGTGACGGGTTCGCAGATGCCAATCAAGCCCGGGATATTCACCTTGATTGTGGCGAGACGAGCTCCATTCCCTTGGTCCCTTCCCTGCACGCGTCAAGTTTGATCTGGAAGCAACGGCACAGACCAGTCTTGCTGTGTGTGCACTGATTTCTGGTGGGCCGGCCGGCCACCTTGTTGCTTTTTTTCCACCTTCAGCATCATCCCCCCTTGCCCCCCCCTCGTTGGCATACACCTCTGCCGCCGCGCCTGGGTCTCCCCAGATCTGGCTCGACACATCTCGGATTTCTCCCTGATTTGTTTATTTTATTTTATTTTGCCGCCGTAGCGCCCCCAAACCGTCGAATGTCGTCTGGCAGCGCGGCTGGGCGAGTGCTCTGCAGGTAGCGCAGGGCGCCTGTTTGGGTACTGTGCATGCAGCCCAGCCCCAATGGAAGCAGGGCGATGTGACTACTTAGCCGCCAGTTGGGGGGTCGACCGTCCGTCCGGCCCTGGGCACGGGGCACGGGGGCGCCAATCCCTGCGGCTGCTAGCTAATAAGCGAGCCTCAGATGCAATATAATATGCCTCGCCCGCTTGGGGGGGGGGGGGAGAGTCAGCCAGCCTGCCAGCCCGAGCACGCAGGTTCATCAGCCGTCCACGGCCCGGTCGGCGTTGATTGACAATGATGGTGGATGTGTGGTCACGGACGGGACAGAGAGAGATGGCATTAATGCATTGTCAATGTCAAGCTCGAGGGATCCCTGGGCACGACAAGATTACGGTCGCATCAGAGCACGGCCGGCGTCGTGGGAGGTTGGCTGGGGTTGCTGCGGGTCCCGATTGGCAGGCCTTTTCTCCGACGGCCTGCCGCTGTTGAATGAGCTCATCTTGCGGGCGAGAGAGAGGGCGAGAGGGAGAGAGAGAGCAGACACTGGATCGACGATGGACGAGGGAAAAGAAGGCCGTTGTGTGACGTGAGAAACAGGATCGCCCCGTTGAAAAGATGGCCAGCTTGCCAGGGCTGCCACTGCCAGGTGGGCGATGCAGAAAGCGGGTGCAGCCACATCACAGAACAGCTCAGCACACAGCATAACAGCTGTCTGTCGCCTGGCAATTGCCGGTGACAGTGTGTATGTGTATGCGCATGTGCATGTGGCCCGCCCGTCTGGTCTCTGGCCTGCCAGTCTGCCAGTCTGGTCTTCCAGTCCTGCTCCTCGCTTGTCTCGTCAGGGTAGCATCCATTTCCAACCCCCCCAACGCGACGCCGGAACTCGGCCAAGGCGGACGGCAAATGGTATTCCGTAGGGGGGAGGGAGTTGGCAGGCCATGAGAGGTCATCAGCCTTCAGCCAGACGCCGGGGGTGGCCCATCTCAATGCCCGGCTGATCCTGCCAGCACGGAGCACTGTTCAGGTGGCCGACGCCATGCTGAAGTCCCCCGGCCGCGACGAGCGAGCTAGCTTATTACTGCGTACCCCGGGAATGTCGAAGCATGTACATATTACCGTGTAATGTAATGAATGATTCGCGTACTTGTTTGCGATATGTATGAGCCATGCCCTGTCGCCGTCGGGCCTTGGAGCCCGAATGGGAGGCCTTGCCGCCCACAATCACGACCTGGTCAGAGCCTGTTGTTTTGATTTCATTTGGCAATGAATGTGCAGTACTGTGAGGTGAATGTACGCATGTACATGCCACAGTAATCCCACCAGCACAGCATGATGGTAGCGCTGACGACGAGGATGGCGATCACGGCTTGGGGCAAAGCTTATGTTCCTGGGCCCTGGGCTGCAGGTTATTGGTCTCTGCTGGCCGACTGGCTGCCGCGTAGGGCCCCAGGCGGGACAGGGACAGCAATGAAGTGCATATGCAGGTCTATATATAATCCTGTACGTCCTGTGCGTCCAGTATATCCGTAGTCAGGCAGTCAGGCAGTCAGGCAGTCTGACTATATGTGATAGCTCCGTTCCATCATTCGTCGCCTCCTTTTTCCCTATCCCCCGAGCCTCCGTCCCCGTTCGATGTTGAGTCGAGCGATATTGGGCGACCACCCGCACGGGGTACTGTGTAGGGGCTGCATTGCTCCCCCGTTTCCCTGTTTCCTCGCTCCTTGTCATTTTGCCGCGACTGGGGCACGCGCGGGAAGACCGTGCTGAAGGTTTGCATCTGAGAGAAGCAACTCCAAGACTCCATAGATAGATGTCCAAAAAAACAAAAACACAAACAAATGGCCCATGTTGTCTTAGCACCTTCCCAGCCAACGCCGACGCCGTGGGTGTTAGTATGTGGGTGGGGTTACTGTTCCAAAGTACCAGGGTACCTAGGTAGATATTTCACGCATCCTACCCTGGGAGCCCCCCTGCCCCTGATCTCCAACCCCCCCAGTGGTCGGCAGGAGGTGGAATCGACCACCTCGCCCCCAAGCCAGAAAAACACCGCTGTGGTAGGTAGGTGCCTAACTGGCCCAGGTAGCCCCTGCGGCGGGCCTGGTACGGTACACTGCAAGGGTTTCGTTGGTGCTTGAACCCACCGAGATGGCCCGGCTAGACAAGTTATTCGCTGCTCTGGCTCGCTGGTGCGGGTCGAGCCTTCCAGTCTGTCCCGCCTGCCAGGGCATGCTAGCGCCTCTCAGCCTGTCGTTTCTGCGCTTGTGGCCCCCGTTTTGCCCGTACTCCGTACCTGCCGTGTTGTGTTGTGTTGTGTCGTGTCGTGTCGTGTCTGTGGCCCTGTCTGCCTGTCTGCCCTCCTGCCTGGCTCTGTCTCTCTCTCTCTCAGGTCTTGTGTTGCTCACTTCTGTCGTTCGTTGGGTTCCCTGGCACTGCAACCAACCAAACCGCTGCGATCGAGCCCCCTTCCCTCCTTTCCTCTTCTTTCTTCGGACCCCCTCCCTCTCTGCCCCCCACAGGTCGAGCCCGATTGACTTTAGCCCAGCAGCAACAGCAGCAGCAGCCCAGCCATTGGAAGAGGCCCTGCCCAGCAGCCCAGCCAGCTCAGCCAGCTCATCGGCCAGCTCAGCCCGTCCGACGCCAAGCCCCTCGCCCAGCTTCGAGGCAACCTTCTTCGCCTTCTCTGCTGCACCAGGTCCAGGGTCAAGGCTGCAAGGTCAATCTCGAACGGGCCGGGCATCTGTCAGGTCAGGGAATAGCGGCACATAGTCGCCAGTCAGCCAGTTAGACCTGTCCGCCTGTCCGCCTGCACGCCTCCACGCCTCCACGCCGGCATCACCTAGCCCAAAGAGGCGACAATCCATTCCGCAAAGCCTCTTTTTTGTTATTTCTTGCCTCAGCGGGTTGCTTGCTTTGCTCTGCTCTGCTCTGCTTGCCTCTTTCGCCTCCCGACCGACCTCCCGACCGACTGGCACGCCTCAGCCCCATCGACCCAAAAGACCCAGGACCCAGGACCCAGGACCCAGAACCCGGGATCCTTTAGGACCCGTCTTGGTTGAGGCTATTGACATTGACGGCTGCACACCACAATCCCTTTCTTCCTAGCCTTGACCAGGTCCTTCACTCAACCCCATCTATCGGTACTACGTATACGTGCCAGCATTCTAGATCCTGACTGAGCCCGTGACCCCCTCCCCCTATTCCCTCTCCCAACCGCAAGCCACAGCTAGGCGAACACGGGTACTTCGTATAATACTATCTCGAAAAAGAGGGCGAGCCTGTCCAGACAACCAACCGGCCGACCGAGGGACTTGTCCGTTGTTGCAGTCGTCCGAATATCGGGCAATTCTTGCCTGCGACAGTCCATCGCCGGCAACGCCAGCGCCTTCGCCTTCAGGTCGCTTGTTTAGGCCCTGCTGGACCCCAGACTACACTATACCACAGTCAGGTGCGTACCGACAGCGCGAACTGGTGTGTGACTCGCGTGCCCGACCCCCCTGGTCCAAGCCCCCTCCAGCCCATCGCCCATCGTCCACTGCCCATCGCCCATCCGCAGCTCTCTCTCTCTCTTCCCACAGCCTCCCCGGTGCCCAGACTACTACATCAGGTTTCCCCATTCGTTACCTACCACACACACACACACACCATCCATCTACCTGCCCATTTCCTGGCCTTGGTCCTTCACACCATACATACCTCCTCGTTCTGCTCTCCCATCTCCACACCCTTCAATTCTCGCCCTCCCGTCCCTGCATCTGCTTTCCATGCCAATTGAGACCTCGTCTCGCCGTCACCAACCCCCCGTGCCGTCTTTCGTGCTCCTCCTCGGTCGTCGGAAAATGAGCGGCGTTGCCTTGCTGACCGCCCCTTTTCGCTTCAACTAGGCCCTTCCGTCCCGGGCCCGCTGGTAATTACCCAGCCGAAAATCACCACTCGCCATCGGCCACACCCCTTTCGACTCCATATCTCTCCATTCGTCCTTCATACCATCTCACGCCCTCTGCCGCGCCCGTAGACGATAGGTCTGCCCGTCAAGATGGCCTCCTCATCGTCCAACGTCGTCGGTGTGCACTACAGGGTGGGCAAGAAGATTGGCGAGGGCTCCTTTGGTGTCATCTTCGAGGGTACCAACCTGTTGAACAACCAACAAGTCGCCATCAAGTTTGTATGTTGAATCCTGCATCGCGAGCCAGCCCAAGGCCTCCCCGACACCCGCCCGCCCGCCCACCAGCCCTGGCACTGACTGTCGCGCGCTTCAGGAACCAAGGAAGAGCGATGCCCCTCAGCTACGAGATGAGTACAGGACGTACAAGATCCTCGTCGGTTGCCGTAAGTCGCCTCGATCTCGATCCCGCTCGCAGGCTCGCAGACTGACTGACCAACCCACCCAGCCGGCATCCCGAACGTGTACTACTTCGGCCAGGAGGGTCTTCACAACATTCTAGTCATCGACCTTCTGGGGCCTTCGCTGGAGGACCTATTCGATCACTGCGGGCGCAGATTCAGCCTGAAGACTGTCATTATGGTGGCAAAGCAGATGGTGAGCCGCTCCCAGCGGGAAATCCTTGGCTAACATGACGTGAGGCCTCGCTCTTGCCCGCGTACTGACTTTCTTCATTGTAGCTTTCTCGTGTCCAAACTATCCACGAAAAGAACCTCATCTACCGAGACATCAAGCCCGACAACTTCCTGATCGGCAAGATACCTAGTAAGACCGAGAATGTCGTCCATGTTGTCGACTTTGGAATGGCCAAACAGTACCGTGATCCCAAGACGAAGCAACACATTCCATACCGAGAGCGGAAATCTCTATCAGGCACGGCACGATATATGAGTATCAACACCCATCTTGGACGAGAACAGTCGAGGCGTGACGACCTCGAGGCCCTGGGTCATGTGTTCATGTACTTCCTCCGAGGGGGCCTGCCGTGGCAGGGCCTGAAGGCTGCGACTAACAAGCAAAAATACGAGAAGATCGGGGAGAAGAAGCAGACCACACCCATCAAGGACCTGTGCGAGGGCTTCCCCGCCCAGTTCGAGACGTACCTGTTCTACGTGCGGAACCTCGGCTTCGAGGACGCACCCGACTACGACTACCTGCGCGGCCTCTTCACCGAAGCCGCGAGGGAGAACAAGATTGACGAGTCGGACAACAAGTTTGATTGGGATGAACTCCTGCAGAGGGCCCAAACAAAGAAGGGCGAGTGGAACCGACCCGGCGCGCTGCACAACCCTGACCATAGACCAGGTCCCTCCAATATGGCGCTCCACAACGATTCGCGCGGTGGCAACACGACGCCCCACCTGTCCGCCGACCCCCGGGCACGCCTGACGATGGACCGTTTAAACGCCGCACAACCCCCGCCTCCCTCGCCGATCAAGCAGAGCCCAAAGGGAGACCGGCGAAACGCCCAAGACCGCTTGATGATGCAGAACCGAGCCGGAGCCGGGGGTCTCCGGGACATGGCAACCCCGACAGGTTCTACGCAGGCCCAGTTCCAGGCCAGCACCCAGAACCTGCCCAAACCGATGAACTCGGCGCAGGCCATGAACCAGCCCCCGCCGACAACCCCTGGAGGAAGGCAGCCTGAGCCGCAGCAGCCGAGCGGCTTCCAGAAATTCATGAAGGCCATCTGCTGTGGCTAGGCGCCGTGTGCTGACGACTGTTGTTCCCTTGGTCCGTCTCAGCCTGGAGCCCTACGATAATTGTAATCTGCGGATCGGCTAATCCTGGGGCGCAGACGATAATGGGCGCGCCCTCGCCTTTCTGGCTGCGGGGAATTGGTTCCGCAGGATGTTTAGACGGCGATCGAAGGGGGGGTTTATCTTCGATTCGAAACGTCCCGGATTTTCTCGGTTATAGAGGCCTACTCATGACTTTACGCTCGCTCATATCCCGGTTTTTCTCATATACGCATTTGAGACCTTGCGGTCCCTCCTAATCAATTTCCCACCTTACGAACGTGTATTTCACCAAAAACCCCCCCGTGAAGGCGACCGGCATCACCACCCGACCGAGCGCAGCTCTGTTGCCTGCCCCACTCAACTCCGACGCGGCTTACGGGGCAGAAGCCCACGAGCGGACCCAAGACACGAGCACACAAACCGACGCGAGCTTTGCCAGGGGGGGGGGTTGATGGTCCCACCTCGGGTCCAGTCCTCCCCGGCCGGCATTGCTGACCCCATCTCGGCGCATGGTTTATATCATCATCATACGGCATACATGTGGCGTGTGAAGACTGCGCCTCAACGATGGCTCGCGTGAAACCGAGGAACCCCCACCTGTTGAGTTGTGCAGGCAGACGGTCTGATGGCCCGTCTCGAGCACCGCCAATGTATATCGTACTTTTGACAGCTTTATGACACTACGAGGAGCGAAGTTGTTTGCAGCGACGAGGAGCTAGAGTGTAGAGAAGAGTTCAGCCTCGGCGCACGAGACGCTGGATCGCGAGAGCGATCCGGCGGCCTGTCTTGTCGGGGATGAGGCTGAACCTTGGGGTCTTTCTATTTTCATTGCTGGCGGAGTTTGGACTAGCATAAGGAGTTGTTCCTTTAATACTGTTTCTCTTCTCATTTCATTTCATCGATGCGACAGTGAGAGAGGGGAAAAGACGGAGGGGGCCTGGCCACATGAAGAAAGGGGGGCCAGGGCGAAGAGAAGAGAGGAGGGAAGGGGAGGGGAGGAGGGTAGGAGAGGTGGACTGTAGATGGGCAAAACAATAGGAATCTAAGGAAAGCATCGAAAATGATGGACGAGATCCTCGTGTGTGCCCGGAACTCGGGATGTTCAGCCAGCATGACGAGTGCTGTGACGTTGTGTTTGGTTTTTGTGGCGTCAGGCCATAGGCGTCCGTCGGCAGGTCGAGCTCCCGTGAGGCAGCCGAAATGTCTTGGGGGCAACTTCTGAAGTCCCATTGAGCCTGGATTGGCACATATGCGTCAGCCAGGTGGTAGAAATGAGTGTTGCATAATTAGCAGGGAGCTCTATGAAACGACAAGGTGGCCGCCGGTAGTTGACGACAAGAAAAGAAAAGAGGAAAAGAGCCTCTGGTGGTGGTGGTGGCAGTTGCACTGATTGACTGCTATGGCGATTGCAGGTGCTGAGGAACAGGCACAGGTGAGCCAAAAGTACCCAAGTACCTGGACCCCCTCTATGTGTCAGGGGACGGGACAGGGGGGGTTGGTGCAGCAGCCAGGGCCAGCGAGCTACGACCGGGGTTCTTGTCAAGCTTGCCTCCCGACTTCAGTTGACATCTGGCTCCTGTTTTGATGACCGACTGACAGCCCTGGCGCGGGGGGCCCTTCCACGAGACAGACGGGCACGGATACGGGTATCCCCTTTGGACCACGACGGACTGAACTACACAGCCAGCCAGCCCAGCCAGCCAGCCAGCCAGCCATGGCCACCGCGATACCCTCCATAGCCTGCCTGGGCGTCATAGGGCGGAATGTAAGTCCTGCCTCCTCCCAGAGAGAAAGAGACCAAGTCAGACAGGCAGACAAGACAAGGCTGACCGCCCGCACAACCCCCCAAAAAACAGAACAACCCCCTCCACATCTCAATCTTCCCCTCCCACGACCCGGCCACAAACACCCTCAAGCCGATCCGCACGCCCCTCCAGTTCTCGCTGCTCCTCTCCTCGACGCTGGACATCTTTGACCTGCGCGCCAAGCACTCTGCCGTCGGAGGCGGCACCGGCGGCGGTGGTGGTGGTGGGGTTGGTGGCGGCGGCGGGTCGCTGTCGGGCGACTACGGCCTCCTGCACGCCGTGGACGAGCGGCTCGCGGCGTACGGCTACGAGACCAACACGGGGGTCAAGTTCGTGGTGGTGGTGGACACGCGGGGGCGGCGGATCGACGGCGCCGCGCTGTCGGGGCTGCCGTCCATGGCCACGTCCACCACATCCACGCCAGCCGCCAACCCCCACAACAACCCCGCTGAGGATGCTTCTGGGGACGCGGTGGCGAGGCGCGCCGTCGCGGTCGTGGGGCTGCGCGAGGGCGACATGAAGCCCGTGTTCCGCGCCATGCAGACGGCGTACGTGCGCCTGCTGCAGAACCCGTTCTACGAGCCCGACGAGCACGCGCCGCTCACGGGCCACGGCGGGCGGAGGATCGTCTCGAGGAGGTTCGGGGCTGACATGCGCCGGATCGGGGAGGGGTGGACCGTTGGGGTTACGAGCTTGTGATTTGCGTGGGTGGTGGTGGTGGGTGAGCAGGTGAGCTTTTGGGACGGGGCTGGGTGGGGGGTGGATGGATGGAGATGCGGTCCTCTGGCATGGTGGCGGGATGCCAATCATCATCATCATCATCGTGCTTGTTTGTTTTCTTGGTTCTGTCCTGTCGGTCGGCGTCGGCGGAGTATCTGAGATGGGACGTCCTCTCCCCCCATCATGGCGAGCAATGGGCTTGTGGAAGCATCTTGGTGGCGTTTTTGGGGGTTTTGATAGAGGGAAGATGGAATACCATTCTGCGTCCATGTTGACTCTGTTGGTGATTCGGGGAGTCTGTGTCTTCCTGTGCTCCATACAGCGTACCCTTGTTCATTACTCTACGCCGTAGCCCCAGGATTTCGGCCTCCTCTTCCGTCGTCATGCCTCAGCTCCAGGCCCGTTCTCGGCTCGTGCCTGAAGCTATTGGTCTACCTTCTTCTGAGGTCTCGTGCTCTTGGTGACGCCCGCTCTAGGGGGTCCCTGGGGATGTAGTCCCCGGATTCATAACAAAACGACCGTAAATGAGAGACTCAAGTTATCAATGGGCGCTTTTGAAACGGTTCGGTTGGCTGCAAACCAACTCACTCCCACGAGGGTCTCGGACCAGAAGGTGAGATTCGCATCTACGAGCCGGCTGTCACCTGATGTTGCTGTAATCTATCTCCAAGGTGCATGTCTCGTCCATCTAGCACACTGGAAAAAGAGGTCAGCCGTGGCTCTTAGTTGTCTGATGCGGACTTTCCTTGGATACCTGACCTAGATCGACTCCCGTGCTTTCCCAGCAGCAGCAGCAGCAGCAGCAGCAGCAAAGGTCATACAGAGTAGGGTACTACATTAAGCCGAGCGCAAGTGGCCAAGTGCAGGTTACGATCAGAACCACCCATGTCTAAGACGAGTGTCTGAAGCAGCTCGTCGACAATCCACTGGATCTGAGCTGGTGCTTTCTACCTGCAAGTATCCTTGAGACCTAGACTGGCATTTCGCGAACCATAGAGGCGTAGTGTATGATTTGCGAAGACATATCTGTCTCTCTCTCTCTCTCTCTCTCTCTCTCTCTACTTGCAAGCGCAGGATTACCAAGTATTCTTCCTTCCCTATCAAGACCCATTATTTCTAAAATATGTTTACCACAGCCATGGTCTGGGACAACAGCCCGACGACACGTAGGCGACGCGGGTCTGTTAAAACATGTCGCAAATAGTGGCCATGACCAATAATAAACAATATTCATACACGAATCAAATCGGGCGGGTATATTAATCGCTTCCACATGCGCCATCCCCGCCCTTCCCAGCACAAAACTCCTTTGAAACCGCTGTAGGCAAATAGCCACCCACCCAGTACCACCACCGAGCCCATCATACATACACAGAGAAGCCATCTTCTCCCCTTCACGAAGCATACAACAAATAACAGACCCCACACGCGCCATTGGCGTATATCTATCGGGAAAGGGGGCCACCAGGCTCAGGGCTCAGGGCTCAGGGCTCAGGGCTCAGGGCTCAGGGCTCAGGGCTCAGGGCTCGTCGCCAATGATCCGCTCCTCCTCCTCCAGCAGGGGATCCGTCTCCTCCAGGCCCCTCAGCATGGCGTGGATGTCAGAAGGGTCCGTGATGGCCCACACGCCGCCGCCCTTGACGGCGTCGGTGCCCCGCATGCCGACCTCCTTGCCGACGAGGTTGCGCCCCACCTTGCCGGGCCCGATGCCGATCCAGCGGCGGACCTTCTCGTGCTGGTCGACGTACCTGATGCTGTCCCACCAGCGCACGGTCTCGAGGCACGAGCGGGCCAGCAGGTCCTTGAGCTCGGCCCTGGAGCCGAAGGGCCGCGCCGACACGTTGCTGATGCACCGGACCTTGCCCGGCCAGGCGACCATGTCCTCGCCGGCGCGGCCGGGGGCGCGGCTCTCGCCCGCGAGCAGCGAGCGCATGGTGGCGACGGCGGGCTTCATGAGGGGGCTGTGGAAGGGCGAGTCGCTGTTGAGGCGCACGGCGCGGGGGTCGTGGCCGAGGTACTGGCGGACGTGGGCGACGAGGGTCTTGATCTTGGCCATGTTGCCGCTGAGGACGATCTGGTTCTTGGAGTTGATGTTTGCGATGAGGACCTGCTCGATGGGGGGCACGTCGCTGTCGGCGCCGCTGTCGGCCTTGTCGCTGCTGGGGTAGGCGACAAAGTTCTCGACGGCGTCGATGAGGGGGGGCAGGTACTCGGGCTCGGTGACGATGGCGACCATGCCGTACTCGCCGCCGTAGTCCCTGCGGGCGGCGGCGGTGGCGGCGGCCATGACCTCTGCGCGCCTCTGGACGAGCCGCAGGCTGTCCTCGAAGGCGAGGTGGCCGCTGGCGACGAGGGCGGCGAACTCGCCCAGGCTGTGGCCGAGGGTGAAGTCGATGCGGGCGGCGACGTCGAAGCAGAACTCGACCTCGAGGATGCGCAGGATCAGCACCGAGGTGGCCATGATGGCGGGCTGGGCGTGGGGCGTGGCCGAGAGCAGCGAGTTGGGGCCCTCGCGGATGATGCGCGTCAGCGAGTAGCCCAGGACCGAGTCGATCTCGTCGATGATCGGGGCGGCGGTGCGCGGGAAGGCCTCGAGCCAGGGGTCGATCATGCCGACCTTCTGGACGCCCTGGCCTGGGGGGTATCGCCGATGGGGTCAGCTCAGCTCAGCTCAGGGCATGATATGTGGTGGGTGTCGCGAACCTGGGAAGAACAGGGCCGTCTTGGGCCTCCGCGCATTCGAGGCATGGCGGCGTTGTGAATACTGTTCATGTCCGTTTCGCGACCGTAACTGTAACTGTAACCGTGACCGTAACCGTACCCGGGCCTGATGACTGGCGACGGGCGCAACGAGTTGTGAGCGAGGGCCAACGCGCCGGCCGAGACCAGACACCACCGCGCTCATCATCGTCGTCGTCCTCTCTCGTCTCCACGTGTGTGCTGTTCTATGCCTGTCTTCCTTCCTTCCAGAGATGCGCCTCGCCAGCTACCTTGGGGGCAGCCAGGCACCAGGCTGGAGGGGGCGAGGTCCAGGCGCTGTTTATCACGGCATCAGAATACAGAATACAGACCTGAGTCGATTGCGTGGACCGGGCAGGATAAGAGTCACAACGAGCGGGAGGGGAGAGGCGAGGGGGGGTCCGCGGCCGGGAGGAAGTGAGGTGAGGCTCGGCTGATCAGCGTCATGGTTTAGTGGGGATCGAATGCGCGCGGGACAACGGAAGCAGGGGACAGGCAGCCTTGGAATGTGGAGGATCAGCCCGCCAGGCCGCTGCCGCAGTGCCGCTACCACAGGCTACAGGCCACATCTTGTAGCCGAGGTCCCACCAGAGCTCCGGGAGCGAGCGATTGTCTGCATCTGCCGCCAGGGTTCGTTGATTCGAGTACTCACCCCCTCCGTACTCCGTACATGCAGCACAGCACACCACACACGCTCCATCAACCTTTGACTAACAAACACTATCCACACATGGCCTCTTCAAAGTTGGCATCTCCTCTCCCCTGCAAACATCTAGACACATATTCAACTTGCCATGCTCGGGTGATGTCATATAAAAGGCTCAAAGACTCGGATTGGTATAGAAAATGCAATTCTCCGTTTATTCCGCCCAGGTGGAATACAATTACAGTACACCAACTTCACATCACATCGACTGCATCACCACATGCCTGTCTAATCAACACATCAGATAGACTGCACTCTCACTCTCACTCTCTCTCTCTCCAATCCACCACCTGTCAACAGCTCCCATCACGTACGTTCCTTCATACAGGACCCCCGAATCTATGGCTTCAATGTCCCCCGCTGTAGTTATGTATGACCTTGCCAGCGTATATACCCCACGAAAATGCCCTTTTGCAACAGCGCAGAGAACAAGCAGAAAGCACACAGTGAGGACGAAAACAAAGTGGCAGTACCAATCCCCCCTCATTTCCCCCTTCACCCTACATCCCTCACATGTACCACACCAGGAGAGGTGATACGAGAAGGAGATCAAGACCAGCGTGTGTGTGTGTGTGTGTAAGAAACGATGGCTTTTTTCATAAAGGGCATTAATGTTGGGTATCTTGGGCAAGCAAGAACAGCCGGGCAGGTTAGAGTAAAAAAAAACAAAAAACAATAAGCAAAACCCCAAAAACGACAATCAAACAATATCAAAAAAGAGCAATACAGGAACAGCAACAACAACAACGAGGAGAAAAGACGACACTTTGGGAACAGCCCTCCGCTTCCAACTGCACCACCATGTTGTGAATCCCCTCAGTCTAGTCAGGTCATCCATTATCGTCTCGACCAGGTGCTACACTCGCTCATCCGCCCGCTTCGGGCCTCTCCCCCCTCTCCCCCATCCCCTACCCTCTCATGGGTACATTGAAGCAACGCCCCTCGTGACATTGGCAGGGTTGCCAGCGACGATGACGTGCGCGGGCTGGGACTGTAAACACGCCCAGTCAGTTTCATCCTGGCCACAAGAGGGAGAAGGATAACAATAAAAAATTAAAAAAAAAAACATACCTTGCTCACGAGGCTCATCGCGCCCACCGTCGTGCCCCTGCCGATCCTCACACCCCCGAGGATGGTGACCGACCCCCCGATGAAGACGTCGTCCTCGATGACGATGCCCTTGCCCGTGCAGGGGCCCCGCGCCCCGTTGCGCCGCCGCGGGTCCGTCGTCATCGAGGTCGTGTAGAAGTTGACGTTGGGCCCGATGACGACGTTGTTCCCGATCGTCAGCTCGCACGCGTCCAGCACCGTGCAGTTGCGCCCCACCACCGTGTTCTTGCCGATCGAGATGTTGTACCCGTAGTCGCACGTGAAGGGCGCCTCCACCACCACGTTCTCGCCGACGCGGCCCGTGTGCGTCACCGGGCTCGACTGCGTCGGGCTCAGCTGGATCGGGTCCCGCGGCATCAGGATCTCCCGGAACAGCCGCGCCCGCTCCGCCGGCGACACCCCGTTGTTCGGGTTCGTGCTGTTGTTGAACCGCCAGCACGCCGCGTTGCACCGCTCCCGCTCCAGCACCAGCTCCTTCTCGAACGGGTAGAACGGCCGCCCCGCGATCATCTCGTCCTTCTCCCGCCGCCCCGGGTTGTTGTTGCCGCCGATGACGCTGCCGCTGCCGCTGCCGCTGCCGGGCCCCCCGCTGCCCGCCGGGCCGCCCGCCGCGCTTGTGGGCGGTACTATCGGCGAGGGGAACTGCGACGTGTGCGATAGCGCCAGCTGCGCCGTCGCCTGCGGGTTCGCGCCGGACTGGGAGGTCGCTATGGGGCTGTTGGTCCGCGTCGCATGCATGATGTTGATGTGCGGCAGTGTCGTGCTCTGTGGCGTGAGGTCGGGCTCGGTCCGCGTGAGGTCGTGTAGCGGCGGCACCCGCTGGTAGTCCTTGGCCCCCCGCTCCGGGAAGGGCACCGGTGCGGCGCTGACTGGGGTCGGGAACACGTTGGCCGGCGTGTTGGGGTACGCCGACGACAACGCCGATAGCTTCTCGTTAGGGTCCATCACCGAGGCGGTCGGCAGGGTCGAGGCTGTGAGCCTGTCGTCGTCGGTGAGCACGGGCCGCCCCTGTGGTGGTTCGATCCGCAGCGGCTGGCCTCGGTAGGACGGTAGGGGTTCACGCTTCCCATGCTGGGGCGGGAAGACGGCTGGTTGTGGCATCCCGTACGCCCCTGGTGGCACATAGTTCGGGTCTTTGGACTCGATCTGGATGGTCTGCACCTTGTTCTCGGGCTTGGGCCACGTCCCTCGCTGCGGAGGATATCCAGCACAGACAAAGCCCCCCCTCAGACAGTTACTACCTATACGGGACTCAGCGATGGTTCACCCACGAATTTGTAGTTGGACGGGTAAGATTTTTTGGCAGACTTACACTCTGGCTTGGCCTCATCGCACTTCTTCTTTCTCTTGCGACACGTCAGACAGCCCGTCTTGGTCCGGTTGCTAAAGTTTCGTTTCCTCTTCTTCGGGTCGGACTGGACAACGCCGTCCCTCCTCTGCTCAGGAGTATATTGACCAGAGTAGGTCATTGACATGTCGTCGCCGTCCGGGCTGGTCTGTGGGTAGTCCTCCGTAGCTCTTCGCAGGGCATCTCCGATCTGTTCTTCGGTGTTTGCAGAGTCCGGCGCCGCCGACGGTGGTTGGCTGTAGGGGTCCCGGTCGTCCCGCCTCTCGTGCGGAGAATACCACGAGTCACGATCCCGCTCACGATCCCGCCCGTCGTCGCCATACGACCGGTACTGCCGACCCCGCGCATCACGCTCATACGGGTCCCGGTCCCTTGGTTCGGATTCCCGTGATCGCTCCAGGCGGGCGTCCTCTTGCTGCCTCTCGTTCTGCGCGGCTCCTTCTCCCCGCGGCGATTCGGTAGAGCTTGACCTCTTGCGCTTGTGTGAGCTGTCCATGTCCGCATACTTGGCCGGGGAGTATGGCTGTCTCTCGTGGCCCGGGCCGCCCTGAGCCCAGCCGTCCCGGTCCCTGTGGGTGGTGTTGGCGTCACTTGGAGGCGGCTGCTTCGGCGCCTGGTCTGAGTTCTGCGCAGGGCCGCAGGTCCTCTCCGAGGAGCCTGCACGCTTTGCGCCGATGGGATCGCCATTGGCATTGGCGGCCTTGGGTGAGCCAGCCCCATTCATGGCGGTGAAAGAAGTCATTTTCATTCAATATTATGATTAGCTGTGGGCACGCAACTCGACGCTCAATGCCCAGGATGCAGTTTTGTGGTGTCCCCGTAGGCGTAGGGCGGTAGCACGGAAAATCTCGTGAAACTGGTGCGCTGCAAGAGCGCATATGCTGGACCCTGCAAAAAACTTTCGTTGTTGTGTCCCGCGACTGATCGAGCTGTCACCTGCGACAGCTAGGAACGATGGTGCCGGATATGCTTCGGCCGCGGTTGCGGGCGGGTCTCACGAAGCTGTCGGTAGATGGCCTTCCCAGACGAAAATTCTGTTGCTTGATGAACCTGTTCAAAAGGACAGACCTGAGAAAGCCGCGTCGAAAGCCGTCGTCCTCACTGAGGCGAGCGCGCTGCTTGGTGGTTTGAGACGGTTGTGCCGGCAAGTCTCGCAGATGCGCAGATGCGCCGTTGTGCCCGCAGCACGCTTCCTCGCCTCCCAAAGTTTTAAGCGCCGAGGGTGCGTTTGTCAACCCACCGGCCGAGGCCGCCTGCTCGTCCAAAGATCGTAAGGTTGCCGGGATCTGGGATTAGGTCTCACGAGGAGAAATGCTAAAATGCAATGCGGCCTAGCAAAGGTCTGTGTGCTGTGCGCGCGCAAGAGTGATCGACAGGAGCCGACGTCCTGGTTGTAAACCCAAAAGGTGGAATGAGGAATAAGAGGCTTTGCGATCGTCTCGTGTGAGATGAGAATCTCGGATGAATCAGCGCGACTAATGTGTGATCAGCATGAAGGATTGGCCGTCTCGGAGGTTCAACAGAAAGGCGCGGGGGTTGTCCTGTAGTGTGGAGAAGAAGAGAATGGACAGGGGGGAGGCGTCAAGGGCGCGGGTAGTACTGCGCTGTACCATGCGGTACTGTACATGGTACCGCAGGGTCGAATGGGCAATGCGAATGTGCGAAGCTCGAGCGTGGGAGTCGGGCGGCACCACGAAAAACTGCTATGCCGGACAAAGAATAGACGCTCAACGTACCTCCTAGGGTCGTCACCCAGGGTTACTTCGACTTCCGTGTCGATCGGCACCTGCGGCCGCTCGAGCTACGTATGTAGCACTCGTCTCGGTGAGACCTGTACGATAGTAAAGCCGACTGTGAGTCGGTGCAATTTGCCAGGCTCTGCTCTCTGACAGATGGTCAAGAGGCGAAGGCCGCGGTCCTGTGGGGACTGTTAGAATAAACAACGTCGACAGTGTCGTGTGGTGGGCCGGGAGTGAGTGAATGCAGGTTGGCAAATGGCAAATGGGAAGTGGCAAGCAGCCAGAAGCGGCAATAGCTTCAGCACCTGGACTGAGGCTGATGTGATTTCTGACCCCAGGGTCTCATCGAGCGTTGGTTGAGAGCCGTGCGGTACAGTACCACATTAGATAGATGCAGGACTAGACAAGGGGCAACCTGCGCGGGTGTGAGGCACCAAACTCATGTCCGTGTCTGCACCAAAAACCGGCACAGCCGCCGACCCTGACTCTTGACACGCCGCCGCCTGGGAGCTTGGGGCTAGACGCAACGAGACGGGGCCTGGGGGGCAACATGGGAAGGGACAGTCGGGAGAAGGAAAAGGTGATAAGAAATCCGGATGACACGTCAGAGGCACAGACACAATGCACTGCACCACAATGGGGAAGACGGTTTCGTCAACTCCGCTGGCTACCACCATCCGCGCATGCCATGCACGGATATAAGTGTGAGCAGTGGGAGGGTGAGTGGTCGGCACGAGCATGCGTGCAGGGGATGGCTGCAGAGTGTGATCGGGATTGCGTACTGGACTGTGGGCTGTGGGCTGTGGGTGCAACTCGACCCAGCCGAACACCTACCCAAATCCCAACCAGGCGAGGCTCGCCACGACAAGTTGGGCATGCTGCAGGGACGAAAAGGGAGTTCTTGGGTGGTAGCACTTTGAGAAAACGGCCGTGAACCTACCGGAAATACTCCACGAGCGCTCTTTGGCTCGGGCTCGGGCTCCTTTGGGTGCCTCGACAGTCCTGAGTGTGTCTGGATTCGAACTGGCGACCGGTACTGGTGAACGAGCAGCTGCCAGCCTGCAGCGTGCAGATGGAACGGGTGGAAGTGCCGGGCGATGTCCGATAGGACTTTGACTGAGAGAAACCTTGTCGTCGCCACCACCACCCCTCGTTCGCTGCGGTACTGAAGTCTCGACGTTTCGACTTGGTTTGGTATGCGTCGCCTCTCTGCTTTCAGCCGAAGCTTGTTGCCAAGCGTCTGCTGCGCTTGACTTCCGCAACTCAAAAACTGGCTCGCGTGAGGTGATGATTTGGAGATGCTTTGCGGGAGAGAAGCGCCGCGGGCGGTCTAAAAGCTCAGATGATTTTGGCTGCGGTGCTGTGTGGTAGGATGCGGGCGCGCTTGGGGAGCTTCAGCTTTTTTTGACGCTGACGCGCGTTACGCCGGCTGGTCTGGTCGCGGGCTGAACCGGTCCTCGCTTCGCTCGCAGGATTAATCGCAGTACAACACGATCTGTCAAACTTGTCCGAAGCGGCCCTGCACTAGAAGTCCTGCTCTCCCCGATACATCAAATAGCCGTCAGAATCCGTCGTGTTTGCCCTGCCGGCCTCTGCACGCTCGCCCTGCAGCGGACCGAGCAAGTTTGATAGGTCGACGCAAGGGCGGCACTGCTTGCCAGTCTCCTGCTTGCTTGCTCAGACGGGCGCGCCGGCGCCGGAGGCTGAGTGTGAGCCTAGATATAATGGGGGCCCAGATCGTGATGTTTCTTCTCTATCCTCTCCAAAATGGTATGGCATCAAAGTACAATGCCTGTGATTCAACCACTCGGGGGTCCTGTTCACAATGCAGGGAATCGGCCGTAGCGGGGTGGCGATGTGAGGTCAGTCCAGACGGTATGCAGTTGCAGGTCCATGGACAACCTATGAAGGGGGCGGAAAGGACGGGGCGATGGCACAGAACCTCAACAGAAAGTGGGCAGCGGAACCCAGGGGTTGTTAAGGCTGTGCGTAGTACGGCTCCGGACAGAGGTATCCAGACGGGACTAAACTTTGGGTTTGATGAAGGTCCAAGTCTCAGGGCCCAGAAACCCGTCAGAAAGAGACCAGGCCGGGACGAATGGGCGCGGGATACGAATCGAAGAATTGTTCTGTAGCATGGGCTAGTCGATCAGTCACCAGGACTAGGGAGTCCTCGGCAGTAATCTCTTTCGCATCGCAACGAGGCCCTGAAGACAGTAAGAGCACATGCCATGGGAGGTGCCATCGTGGCCCAAGGCGGCCCAGGCTCGGTGCTGGTGGGTTTAGCGAGCGGGTACTTGGCCACGCTGGTACCGGTACATGTCGCCAGTTTCGATACCCGCAGGACATCGCTAAGCCCGGACCGGCTCCAATATTGGGCGGCATGGCGCTTGTCGTCAGGGCGGTCTGATGTACCTTGCATGTACCTCTCACGGGCTGTACGTGAGTGGTGCATGGTCCTGCAGCGGTGGCCGTTGGCTGCAGCTCCCCAGGCATCTACACTATCTCTCCAAGTGACGGAGGACGACCCCGAGGCTCCATTGACCTCACCCAGAACCTTAACACGAGTGTACCGTACGTCGCCTGCGGAAGTCGTTCGTGCTAAAACAAAAAGACACGGGCTCGCTACTGGGTAGCGGCGTGCCCTCCCGCCCATCCCTGGACCCCGACTTCCATGCTACGGGGCCCAGGACCAGGACCGACCAGGGACAACAGGGGGCCAGGGTGCCCGACAGGGCATATCCCTTGTCGCCAATCGCAGCCGCGGGCGGATGATAATCCCTTCTCTTCGCTGCTGACATATGTGCCCTTGTCTCGAAACCAAGCTTCAAGGGTGGTAAGCGACATCTTGGGCGCTGACTGGTTCAACTGGCCGCTGTCGCCGTGACGGGCCCCTTCGAAGCCGGCGACAGGCTGCCTGTCCCGTCAGTAGCACAAAACCATACCGGCCGCATCGTCATCCCAACTGCGTGTTCCCTCAAGGGCCGCGCCCGGAACCTAAAAGGTGTTGGAGCATGCCACGCTAAAAACAGAGGCGCTCTTTAGGCACCTCTGCGGCACAGCACACCCACCAACCGGCCTGTTGGTCCAGCAAGCGATGTCATGGTGCCAAAAAAGCTGCCCCGCTGCCTCCTCACAGGCCAACGGTGAGGAGGGCCTGCAGCTCCCGTCTGTACGCAATATCGGCCTGCATGCATCGGGAGCTCGGGCGGCTTGTACTGATGATCTGGGCCATGGGAAATCTCGCAATTGCTGACATGAAAGTCGGTAACAGCACCGCGGCAGATTCATGACGCCCGTGCTGTACATTATAGTGTCGCATGGACGTGATTTGCAGAAACTGCCCATGACTTCGTCTTACATGACCTTCCCGATGCGGCAACCCTTCAAGGCGAGTTGCACACCGAAACGAGGCAGTCGACAAACGCCTGTCTGAGCAAGCGGGCCGTGGTTGAGGAAACCGCGCTCTACCAGGCTACACGCGCTTGCCTCACGTTGATGAGACCCGCCAGAGACGGGGCATGCTTGCCATCCACAAGGTTCAGCCTCGCTCGATCCAGTCTTGTTGCCGCGATGTTGGTTGCTGTCTGGGATCCCGAGGAGGCGTGCGGCACCAGATGGGCTGCCTCACCCTTTTCATGCCCCACCGTGGCGGAGTTTGTGGTCGATGAAACTTCAGAGGCAGGTGTCATTTCGCGAGGCTGGAAGGCCCCGGCTCGCTGGGTCATAAAAGGCCCGTCATGGTGTTTGGCAGCCCCAAACATGATGACAGTCGCCTTCATGGCCCGCTTGACCAGAACCAGGCCACGAGCCTGTCGTGCCGTTTTGTCCGGTTTTGGTGAGAACGTGAACCGCATGCGACTGGGGTCCTTACTACCCGTAGCATCGTAAATAGTAACATCAATTCCCCTGTCGTGCTGGCAGACAGCGGCTTATATCCTGCGATTGGAAGGCATGGGCCGCTGCCATGGCGGGTACATAATTGACCCTGGGCTACTTACTTGCAGAAAGAGTTACATTGGAAGTCAGTCAATCAGATGGTCTCTCTCGAGGGAGGTGCGTCACACACGCCGGACCCCGTCTCAGCGGAAGCAGTCGTGTGGCCTGGCTGGGTACGCAAAGGAGAATGTGCAAGCGACAACCAATGGCAACACTAGTGACAGGGACTGCCAAAGTTTCTATCGATTAGCGCGGGCCGGGCAAGTCTCAGCGCCCGCTGGAATGGATGAATACCACAGTACCCCAGTGGATAGTTGAAGCTTCTTCTCGAGCCAGGCAGCCCGGGTTTGAACGAAGGACCATGGACAGGACAAGCCTTGCTCGTTGACAATCTGTGGGAGCTGTCGCAGAGATCTCGTATTTCCGGCCCGGACAGGCGCTCGAGCGCGGCTGTGCAGCGATTTTGTATCATTGGGATATCCGCTCTAACAGCCGAAGGGCGGACGTCGGCAAATTCCAGCCAAGACGCGCCTAAAGCTGGCGTGATTAGCGGGCGAGAAGACGGCCTAGTTAGTGTCACCAAATTGCGGCGAGAGATGTGGATGGTGATTTCGCTGTGATATCTTGTGTCGTCGTTTTGTTGACTCACTTACCAACGTGGTGCCTTTCTTTTGTCGGTGAAGGTGGAAATGTGGGTATTTGTCGAGCGTATGGGCCACATGAGCAGAGCAGAGCGCCAAGGAACCAGTTCCAGACTTGCCAGAGCCTATTGTTCGCGTTCAGAAGGGTGTGTCTGGCGTGCTACCCCGGCTTGGATGAAACAGCCGAAAGGGTGATATTTTTAGCAGCCAATTTTCGTCCCTATTTCCGAGGGACAGGCAACCAACAAGCCTTTTTGCCGCTGTGCTGTGCTGTGCTGTGCTGTGCCTGCCTTGCCGTGCCCGATATTAAACATGAGCTGGGCATCGTGAGAAGATGTGGTGTTGGTGTTCTCGGTACTAGTCCGGTGCATGCGTATTGCCAGGAGTAGACAAAATTCCGCGTCTCGATGTGATGAAATTGAAGCGACGCTGTCGTCACGATTGGCTGGGTCAATACACCATCCCGGCCTATGAAAGGGCCGAAAGTGGTAAAATAGCTGAAAGCGACCTGTGCGCCAAGCTCGATGGAGAAAGAACTGGAAGTTGGAGGGCAGCGAGGGTGTGATACCAAGCTTAGAATTGTAACACTCTCAACCGGGGGCATGTCCCGCGAGGGACGAGGGAAACTGTTGCCCTGGCATTTGATGTGATGACATCCGGCTGCATTGCAGGCGCACCCGCGTTAGTGCAAAGCTGACGAGTCGCTTATCGCGATCCGCGAAGGTCCCGTTGGCGGTCACACAGGTAAGCGACTCCATCGTCGGTCGACTTTGAATGCCCTTTTCCATCAAGTAAGACAGATCCATGCAAGAATGACTAAGGACGCAATTCGCTTACGCAGAAAAAGACTCTGAGCTGTGCAAGGCGAGGGACGGGGCAGGACTGACCACCCATCGTCGTCTTCATGTCGCATTGCAGTCATGTGCGCGCCCGCGCTACGATACGTCTCGATTCGATCGCAACCTGGTTGGGATAGGACTGGGCCGGCTAGGTCAGGCTTGGATGATGCAACCAAGAATTAGCAGCCAACACGCACCGCATCGTCGCAACATGTGCCTGCAGCCTTGAGCTTGAACCTTGGACAGAGCAGAGCAGTCCCGTATACGTCCCCGCTTGGTTGCAGGTCTTGAGGTTGGTTCACGGCACAGCTTCTCGCGGCCCGCAAAAGGCCATGGGGCCGGTGAGAGGGGCATATCGCAGGCCACTATCACATTAGTGCTCCGTCAACTAAATAAGTTATTGGTGTTGGAAGCCCACAGTGGGACCGATGAGGTCGCGGTTCGTGGCGGTTCCAGGCCGGGCTACTGTGTCCTGGCCAATGTGACAAGGCCTGCCATCTATCAATCATGATCATGACACCCCGCAAGCCACAAGGCCTGCTGGCTTGCAGAAGTGGCCGGCGGGCTGGTGGGTGATCGGGTCGCTGGCCGCTCCTTCGCTCGGACGGGGGAGGCTGCGGCAGAGGTCGGAAGTTGACTTCCCCATCAGGCGCCGGTGAAACTAGACAAGCGTAGGCGCGGCACAGTTGCGGAAGCGTGATCCGCGCAGGAACAAGTACCTCGGCCTGGTACTTTTAAGACAACACACCACACACCACACACGAACGGCATCCCTGGCGGGTTTCCCAAGCGTCGTCGAGAGGAGGGCAAGAGGGCAAGCAGGTTGGCAGGCCCCGTGCGTCAAGTGATGTCGGCATCAGCACCAGGAGGGCACGTAGCTTTGCTTCTCCCTGCCTCCGCCGGGGGCTCCGCCAGTACCAAAGTCCGACGAGGAAACAACGGTCCCATGCGCGCGTGAGGCATTGTAACGTGACCACAAACATCGTTGTTGGCCATTGAATGTGGGGCCGCCAGCCAGTGAAGTCGAATTAGACGACAAGGGGTTGAGGGCATCCCGGGCGGTTGGTTCAGGGCAAATGGCGTCGCCGGACGACAGAAATCCTGGGCAAAAAGTGTGTCTTTGTCAACGACATCTGGACTGCTCACCGCCTCTGAGGGCACAAGGGACAATTTCAACAAGCTTCCGACGGCCAGGAGGGAGCTTCCGACAGCCAGGACGGACAGACAGGACGGCCAGGACAGACCAAAGGGCCGCCCACCTGTGCAGGATTGCCGACCGTGTTGGGGGGACAGCCCAAGGGGACGGTGTCTGTTCTGATTGGGCCCGGCGACGGGAGGAAGCCAACAGGAAAGCCACCTCCAAGCCATTGGGAATCTGGCTTGGAAATCTGGCTTGGCTCCCCAGTGCTGTTGGTTGTATCCAGCTCTCTGCCGCTTCCTGACAACCCCAAGCAAGGTGGAGTCGCTAGTCTCTCACACCCCGTTTGCTCCATGCTAATTGATGGTCGGGTCTAGACTCTTGGAGCCCTAACCCTGGGGGAGGCGTCGGGCCTGAGGTCCCCGGGGGAGGGGGTGGGGGTGGTTGGGACGGTGCTGCGTGTTGCCCAGGCGCGGCTGCTGGCACCACCACCATCATGAGCCTCGTTTCTATTCACGAGTTTCTTCCCACCAGCTCAAACAACATGCATTATGACAGACAGGTATTTAGACGAGTTTCAAAACAAAGCCCCGGATCATGTTCCTCGCTGACCCACGCGCAGATCCCAATACGCGCTCACCGCGCCGCGCTGTGCCAGAGGCAAGCTTTCTGAGCAATCAGCGGCCTGAGAATAGCCGCCCACGCCCACCACCAGTCAGTCCCGCAGGCGTGTAAGCGCCGTCCAAACATCCCACGACCTCACGACTTCCAGAAGAGCCCTGGAAGCCCGCGAGGGCCACCAAAAATAGCATCGCCAACGACTCGTCTGCCTCGATGACTGGTCAGTATTCACCGACGGTCGCGATCTCTTGTGAGAGACACACGCAAGCGCCCGGGATCTGCCCTGCTTTTAGCCCCACGAGGGGGCCCTCGTCTCCTGCCCTGCCCGTCGGCCGGTCCAGCTTCGAAGAATCCAGATCTCGAGATGCAGGTGCGCAATGCAGGGTACTTGGGAACCGACCATCCTGCTCGAAGGGGGTCCCTGCTGTAAGACAGGACGAGGCGCCGGTGATGTAGGTCTCGGGCTTGTTGGGTGCCTTCGCGGCGCAGGGCCGTTGCAGTTGGGGATGCGACGGCATCGCCGTGTGGGTGGCCGCCAGCGTCACGCTGGCGGTCTGAGTCGAAGGATCGCGAGAAGCCTTGTTGGTTCCTCCGAGCTGCCGTCATTGTCGCCGCCGCCGTCGTCGGACCCGTGTCCCCGCCCCGGATGGTGGATGGTAGTCGGCCGCCCATCCCACCCATACACCACCCCACGGGCGGTTAATCGGTGCCCTAGATCTACCCATCCCGCCGGGCTCGCTGCAATGCAGGGCAATCTGGTGCCCGTCACATCCGCCTCATTGGTGTACCTGACAGATCACCGGCCAGGATGGGCCGCCCTGGACATGACATCGCAAGGGGTCCTCCCCTCTGACGTTGAGGCTGAGAACAAGACAACCAACACCACGGGGCGACCTCGACTGCCGGCATGAGGACAAGATATTGTGACCTTGGGGAAATAGGGGCAGCGATCTATTTTAGGAGGCGGGTAGCCTGCATGCTCACACGCGCCGTCCAGAAGTCCTAGGCGCAGGGTGTGTTGCTGAAATAAGGCGATGCGGCTGCACGAGGTAACTTGTCTATCACGACAACCTCCAAGCCTCTCGTCAAGAGCGGCGGTCTACACCTCAAAACCCCCCACCACCCCAGGGAAAATACCCGCCTGTGGACACACATGACGGGTTCCAAGGCTATTGGAAGCCGCAGGATTTTTTTTTAAACAGAGATAAGACAGTCCACTAGTCGCCCATCCCGCCGTAATTTGTTGTCCAACCGACATGGATCCATAGGGCACATCTCCGATCTCACAAGCGCCCGGCACTCTCATCGCTGTCATTTTATACCCTGTCGATGTCTTGCAGAGCTTCATGTAGTACACTTGTGTCTACTTCTTGTACCGGTACGAAACAGCTCTGGCCAACAGGAGCCCAAGTACGACATTTTGTCATCGACCTTGCCCACGGTCCCATGTCACACTTGGCAACAAACAAGACAGACACGATCATGGTGATCGTCAGAGATCTATGGTTTTCTCATTGAATGCTAAGAATAGGTCACCACACTCCGGTGGCTGAAGGCGATGCCTCCATATGGTTCCTAGCTGCACCTCGACGGCCTCGTCACACGGACGAGCTCCTAGCGAACTGGGATGATCTCATCTGATGCATTGTACATAGGTATAGTATCGCCGAGGGAGGCCCGTTTTTTCAAACACCAACATGGCGATGTTGTCTGCTCTATGCTTGGTCCTTAGTTTTCGATCGGTCTTGCGGGCTACCACTGCAACGACACCTGTACAGCCAATTCCCAGCATTCCAATCTCTAGCAGCGGCAGTGTTCAACAATGACGCTGCTGCCTCCGGTGCCATCTCCTACGCCGTTGGTCCTAATCATCCTCGAATGCGGCGGAGGGGCGCGTAAGGTCGCGTCCAAGCGAGTGGTTGCGGATGCATGAAATGCAACGTCGTATAATTGTATCATTATTCTATCATGTAACGTGGCCACCCGCAATGAGAGTGACCACTGGTTGAAAGAGCGCCAAAATCCGGTGCACCGTATCCGGCCCATCACTTTCTCTGTCTCTTGGCACTCTTGTCGGAAGTTGTGCTGAGGACGCTCGCGCTGCGCTTGTTCCCAGAAGCGCCGCCGCCGCTGCTGCCTGGTCTGCCACCTTCCTCTTCCTTGACGACAGGAGTGCTTGCCTCATCACCTCCCGCAGCGGCAGCCCCATCGCCATTGGCAGCGGGCGCATCTGCTGCTTTCGGTTGAGCATCGGCGCCGGCATCGCCCGATGTGCTGGGCGCCTCTCCGTTGGTCTTCGGGTCCTTATCCTCGGACGCGGGTTCCGTCTTGGTCTCGACGGGAGCCTCGCCGGCCTTCTTGTCTTGGTTGGGGTCTTCGCTGGTGCCATCGAGGCCAAGTACCACGCGGGCCTTGGCCCGTTCGGCCTTCTTGGCCTCCTCGATCTTGATCTCGCCGTCCAGCTTGTCCCTTAGCTTCCTAAGATCCACCAGGCCGGTGACCGCGAGGACTAGCTTCTCGTACTCGGCCACTACTGATGCAGTGGGCATATTGAGCCGAACTGGTATGTCGAGCTCGGTGAGAACATTCTGTATTCGTTGCTGTTGTTGTCCGCTCTTGTGCGAGAACATCTTGTTCACCCGCTCGTACCGGAAGGTCGGGCCTGATCCTAGCCGTTCATGTGTCGAGACACCGTAGATTTGTTCCTCCTGCTCATTGAGTTTACGTCGCTCTGTCGCCGGCTGACCTTTCTTGTTGCCTGCGGGTGTTGGCTTCTCGGCGCCGATGGATTCGCGAACTCCTGCTGAGGGCGCCGCCGTGCTTTCACGTCGGCTCGGAGGCGCCTCGGACGTCGCGCTGGCAGGTTGGCCGTTGGGCCCAGGTGTAGGTACAACGGGGCTTGCGCCTTCTGGGCCAGCTATGGGCTTGCGCTTCTTAGCCTGGCTCATGTTTTGCAGCGTGTTAAGAAGATTCGCGAGACCTGCGCTGCCCTTAAAAGAATTGATGTCTTGGTCCGAGTGTGGGTATTCGAGGCGCTGGTAGAGCTCCTTACGCTCCTCGTTGAACCTTTCCTGGCGCGCCATGATGCGTTTGACCTCAATCAGCAGTGACTCTTCCTCCTTGGCTTCCTCCTTGGAACGCGACATCGAGTTCAGTGCAAACTTCTTGCGCTCTCTCTCCTGTTCTGGTTTGAAGTTGACCATAGTTTGGTGCAAATCCCATTCAGGCTGCGTCATGTACTGGATTGCCTTCTGCAACTCCATCATCTTGGCAGCGACCTCGTAATAACGGAGTTTGAGATCCTCCATGTCCCTGGGCTTGGCCGCTGGTACCACGGCCGAATTTGATCCATTCATGTCTACATCCTCTGGTGCCTTCGGAACAAAGTCGTATCGATCCCATATGAGCGGCCAGCGCAAGTCGTAATCCCTCGCCAGGTTCATCAAATAAGTGGTCTCCTCCTGCGTCCAGTCGTCGTTTTGCAGCTTCGAATTGTATTGCTCGTCGTTGTACTCAGGTATCTGCACCTTGACGTTGAACTTGGCGAATGCCGAGTCTTCGATCGCGTCCTCGTCTTTGTTGCCCTCGTCCCCATTCTCGTTGTTCACTGCCTCCGAAGACTCGCCGTCCACATGGTCGCTAGGTTGGCCTGGTTCGGTCTTGCGTTTCCAATGTCGCAGTATGAGGCTCTGATCAGCGCGCGCAGAGTTTCTGAACTGTTTGAGCTCCCATTTCGCGGCCGGTTTGCGGTTGGCGAATCGACGTTTCTTGTAGAGGGAAACTTCGGGGACGATTGCGATTGGGTTGTCGCCACCTAAGTTTTGGACTTCTCTTGCCAAGCCTTTGAGGTTGTGGCGCGGTGCTGTGACTTTTTGTTTCTTGGATGGTCGCGGGGTGAGGTCGTCGGAGGGAAGATTCAGAACATCGCGAACGTCGTTGGAGGCCATGACGGAAGTAAGTGACAAGGCCACTGGTATTAGGCTGGATAGGAAAGAGATGCAGTCATTTAGTCGAAAATGTGTAATGGAGAAGAGTATGGATGGGTGGTGTAACGCGCCGATTTGATGGGATTTGACTGGATTTCGATGGGTATTTGATGGTGATTCTGAATGACGAAAGCAGAACAGTTTGATGAAATCCACAGTGAATGGTCGCGGTATTCCAGTCGCGCGCCCCTCCAGCGCAAAAGATCTCTTTAGTTCAGCTGGGGGCAGGGCCTGGACGGGGCACGGACCAGGCAGCGGCAAGTGCAGAAGCACCTGGCCCGTTGCCGGCCGAGACAGAGAGCTTGTGAATGTGAGAGGCTAAAGCTGGGCGAGGGAGCGAACCCTGGCTAGGATTTGCAGGAACGTGGCTCTTTTGGCTCCCAGCTCCCACCCAAGCTAGCGATTGTTTGGAACTGTGCTCGTGTCAAGCTCGACACCAACCTACATACAACCCAACCCACGTCGACGGTTGTGATCCCGACTCTGATCTCACGAACACCGCACCGATCGACGACCCATTGATTGTCGATCACGGAAAGGCGATTTGCGACAGGCCTGCGAGGAAACCAAAGCCCAACAAACAGCACAAGCGACCATGAGGGCCTTCCTCCCTCTCCTGGGCCTCAGCTCTCTGGTCCAGGTTACCCAGGCGCTTTACTTCTTCCTCGATGGCACTACCCAGAAGTGTTTCTATGAGGAGCTACCCAAAGACACCCTTGTCGTTGGGCATTACACAGCCGAGGAGTTCGACGATCAAAGGAACGCGTGGTGGAAGCATGATGGCATCAGCATCTTCATCACCGTTGATGTATGTCGCTTTGCGCTCATGGGGTCGCATGCGCTGTGCTGACACTTGTGCATCAGGAACTGTTCGACAACAACCATCGCATAGTGTCGCAAAAAGGCGGCTCTGGCGGCCGATTCACCTTCACTGCGCACGAGGCCGGCGACCACAAGATCTGCTTCACTCCGTCTTCTGACAGCGGCAAGACTGGCTGGCTCAGCACCTCGAACCCCAACGGCGGCATCAAGCTGACGCTCGACATGACCATCGGAGAGTCGAGCGCGATTGAGAGCTCGGACAAGGACAAGCTGCAGGACATCCAGTCAAGAATCAAGGACCTCAACTCAAGACTGCAGGACATTCGAAGGGAACAGGTCTTCCAAAGAGTATGCCCACCGTCGCTTTGCCCCAAGCCACCCGAGTCGGTAGACAGGAGACTGACTAGCATAACAGGAACGCGAGGCTGAATTCCGAGACCAATCCGAAGCTACAAACTCCCGTGTCGTTCGATGGATGATGATCCAGCTGGTGATCCTCGGAGGAACATGTGCATGGCAGCTGTCCCATCTGCGGTCGTTCTTCATCAAGCAGAAGCTCACTTGAGAGCCACCTTGGACCAGGGTCATGACGGAGCGAAACTTTAGACATGGGTTCGCGTGTGCAACGTGGTCAGGAAAAGCATGTCTTACGAGAGGGCGTTCAGCTGTCGGGTTATTAATGGAAACGTATACATCTATCTACTTGGCCGACCAGCAGAGAGAGACTGGTCCCTCGAGCCCGGGCGCAGGGCGCAGCGTGCGAGCGTATCGACCTTGTCGAAGCAAATCGCCCCAGCAGCTCGCGCAACATATGCAAGTTCGCGGATCATGAGCCATACAAGCCTTCGATGTCGGGATATGAGTACCTAGTACTCAACCAAGATTGAACAAGTCCGTGAAACATGTAGGATATGTACGTGTGTGCTGCTGCACCTCCAAGACTAATTGCCGGACTTACCGGGGGGCGACTTGGAACAGCACACAACGCGCTCCATACGGTATGGCTTGACACGAGATCTAACGACCACTCACTCACTCACATCAACCAGCCACATCAATAATCATAACGCAAAACAACGGCCTCGTGACACAAGACGGCGCAGGCCAAGATCACCCCAAGATGTGCCGAATTTGCTTGGGTCCAGTTTAGAGAGCCGCCGGGCCGGCCGTAAAATCCGAAGCCAAGTTGCAATTCCCCGAACGCCGATTTGTGAGCCTCCCTTGTTTCCTCCCGAATGCTTTCAACTCATCTCCACCATCTCCGGCCGCGGATATTAAGCGTTTGCTACTCTTCTGGGAAGGTATTCATCCTGCCCGCTCCCCCTCCCGGTCCCGGTCCATGCTCGCATATCTTGGTGTCGTCGCAGCCGAATCGACAAATGTCAAGCCATGCCCAACAACGGCGACACCTCCAACTACACATCCGTGTTCCGCCTGACACCACTCGGTGACCCGCATCGCAAGGTGATCAAGCGCAACCGGCAGGTCGTCTCGTGCATCCCATGTCGCACCCGGAAACTGAAATGTGACCGCCAGCAGCCATGTACTTCCTGCGTCAAGAGGAGCGACGCCGTCTCGTGCAGGTTCTTTGGGGCGTCCGGCGCCGGTGGCTCCTCGGGCCAGACGCCGCCCGTGCCCCGGAAGCAGGTGCAGGTTAGGTTGCAGCAGCTGGAGGATCTCGTCAACGGGATGGTCAACCAGTCTGGGTCGGATGCACCGGCAGCGAAGGATGCAAGTGAGGCGGCGCACTCGGCGGAGCAGCCTCGGCCCGCCAGGTCGGCCTCGAGCCGGGACGAGGCCGTGTCGCCGGGGCGGCCGGACGGAAATAACGTGCGATACGCCGGGGGCACAAGTTATGCTGCTGTTCTCGAGTGCATCCACAATCTTCAAGAACTCATTGACGAGGAAGCACCAGACTACTTGTCTGCAGGCTCCCATCTGTCGCGACCTGGGAGTCAACATGAGGCCCAGGAAGCGCAAGAACGACATGCGCCGGCTTCTGCCCACCCACGTCGTGCTGCAACACCGCTGACGGCACAGCAAATCATTGACTGCTTGCCGCCAAGGTCAGAATGCGACAAGGCTCTGACATTCTACTTCCAACAGGTCTGTACGTACGAGCTTCGATCCCTTCATTTGCAAGATCCACATTTTGATGTCTCCACTCCGAGAGCCGTTGCAGAACTCCCGCAGCGGCTTTGAATTCCATGGCCGATTACTGACAGGTGTGGTAGATCTCATCCCAATGGCCATACACTCGGGCCAATTTCAGCGAGCATATGAGGCATTCTGGAAAGAGCCTAACAATGCCAGTCTGCTATGGATAAGCACGCTGTTCTCTGTATTATCGACTGCAGTATTTCAACAAGCCTCCAAAGCTGCCGAATCAGAAGGCCTCGGCGCGGCAGGGATCCAGGATGAAGCAGCCAAAGAGAAGATCGACTTGTACAGCAGCATGGCATATCGCTGCCTGGACGCTGGCGACTATCTTCTGGGCAAGCCGCACTCCGTTGAGGCTGCGCTTCTGTTCGTCCTGCATCTCGTCTTGCAGAAACGGGACACAGATCCAATTTGCTGGCACACATGTTGCACTGCAATCCGCCTGGCCCAAAAGATGGGATACCATCGCGATGCAACCTATCTGAACCGAAGCACCAACATGAAGATCTCCGCCTTTGACGCTGAGATGCGCCGGAGGACGTGGTATACGCTCGAGCACCTAGACATATCCTTTGGCTTCCTGCTCGGGATCCCTCCCATGATTAATGGCGCCGACGTCGACACAAAGCTTCCTTCGAACCTGCACGACGAAGAATTCGGCGAGCACAGCCAATCGTTGCCACCGTCAAGGCCATACTCAGACTTTACACCAGTGCTATTTTATATATACTCCGCCAGACAGGTGCAGGTCCTGCGTGGGATTGTGAGACAGGCAGTAGCTGTTGCGCAGCCCTCTTACGGCGACGTTCTTAGTTTTGATGACGATCTACGTAGCTTACACGAACATGTGCCACCTAATCTTCGGTACAGGCCGATACGGCAGAGCAGTTTTGCTGATGTCCCTGATATAATCGTTCGGCGCATGGTACTCGAAATCATACATCTCAAAGGAGTGTGTGTCCTGCATAGGCGCTATTTGACCACCGGGAGGGAGAATACCGTCTACGACCGGTCAAGAGAGGCGTGCCGCGACGCCGCACTGAAGCTGCTGGACCTGCATGCCGAATTCGACGAGCAGAGCGGTGATGGCGGTCGACTGTACGAAAAGAGGTTCCTGGTGACGAACGCTGGTTTCCATGTTTTTTTGTTGGCAGCCATGTGTCTTTGCCTGGACCTCAGCTCTGGAAACAGGTAGGTCGTACCACCCGGCTTTTATGAGGCAGATCACTGATCGTATTGCGACTCCCAGAAAGCAGCCCTTCCATGACCGCGCTGTGTCTGCCCTCAAGCGGGCAGGCGCAATATGGAGTCGCACGGCCAGCGTATCCAAGGAATCAGCTCACGCAACAAAGGTGCTCGAGGCTATCCTGACCAAGGTCTCATCATCCACTCAAGCTTCAACTCCGAAACCTCCCGATGATCGTCGCTCTCCTGCGACAGCCCCGAACTCTTCCAGCGCTCCGTCCGACCAGCCCGAAGCAGCAGCATCCTCCTGGTCAGCTGTAAACAACAAGGCCCCTCAGTCATCGCGAGCAGTCAGGAGAGACTTTTCTGTTGCATGGGACTTCGGAGTGGACGCCGTCCGTACCGAGCGCAACAGAGACTCGGATGATCCGATAGACTTGGCGGTAAATGGTGACATGGACTGGGTAAGACTTGAGCACCCTCCCCCCGGCGCACGCTTGCCAGCTTGGTGGGAACTAACCGGCGTCTGTCTAGAACGAAATCGACTCATACCTCCTCGACCGGGGGCATGTCAAAGAAACGCCGGCCACCACGTCACCTGCTTCTCCGCCCACGAATGACAATCCTAGGGAAGGATGGGCCTATATAGAGCGCGGTGGGAGGAAGGCTAGAGAAAACTGGTCTTATCCGCAATATGATCACAACGACGGTTCCCCCGCGGCGAGTACCACAAACTTTCGCACCTGGGCAAGGGGTGGGACGACTTTAGGCGGTTTTGGCTTTCCTTGAATAACTTTTCAATTTCTCAACGTGTACACATGAGATACTCAGGACCCAGCATAGCGTGGCATTGTCTTCAGTGAGGTTATGAAGGTGAGAGGCGACGGACGGCAGTAGTATTGGGTATCGATGCGAGGTCATCTGTGTAGGTGACGGAACCATGGCTGAAAGTCGCTGCAATAGGTGTTGGCGCCAGCTTGACAGCATCAATGATGACTTGATGACGAGCTCAGCCAAGGCCGTCTGCAAATCGAAGGCACGCATCATGATGTTGTTCCGTCGTCGCCCTAGAGCATGAAGACCCACATAATGGTGAAGAAGTCAAGACACTGCATACAACAACACGTAGGGAGCAGGGCTGTGATAATTGGATGCGTGTTATATATCCCACATCGTTAGACATGACACTAGATGTCTTTATCGCCTCTCGTGGTGGTCCCGACTCACTCGGATGAGCGCTATGAGAAATATGACTTTCTGATAGTCCTTAAGTATCCCACGGGAAGCGATTGGATGTCCACCCTGGGGTAGATGACACCATCTTCAGCTACACTTTATCCCAGCGCCGGAGCTAAACTTACAAACTTGACAGTCATACTTGAAGAAGATAAATTGATCATCTAAAGTACCTACTTCATCAATAGTATATAGTCTCCGGGGGTCCTTTACGTCTTTGGAGCGCCTTATTGCTCAATGGCAACTCCGTCCAAACCGCCCTTCTCCCTCCACTCGGCCAGCATCCCAGCGTAGCTCAACAAACCCCCCGACCATGGCGATCCTCGGCCCCTCTTCATCGCCTCTGCAGGTTCGAGCTGCTTGCCAAAGCTCTCACCCTCATTCGTCATGTACCCGGGCGTACACATCGAGATGGGCGCATACCACGCCGCCCCGGACAAGCACTTGAGGCTCCATTCCTCCTCACTCTCCGCCGACGCCTCAACGGTCGCCGCCCTCCTGTTCCTTGCCTGACCCAGGATATAACCTATCTGCCTGGCTTGTACATCCAGCATGTGGACGTTGTTTGCAGCGCTGCCTGCCTGCAGGGGGCTGAGAAAGAACAGATTCGGGAAGTCATGGCTGAGGATACCGTGCAGCGTCGTCGCCCCTCGGGCCTCCCACTTGTCCTGGAAGACCAAACCGTTGCGTCCCGAGACACGGATCCCGGATCGGAGGGCCGGGTCTCCTCCCCCGGCAGATGGAGACACGAAGCCCGTGGACAGGACAAGCACGTCGAGCGGATACTCTTTGCCGCCGAACGCCACGGCATTCTCGGTGGCAGACTCGATGCCCTTCCCGTCGGTGTCGACGAGGTGCACGTTGGGCAGGTTGAACGCCTGGAGGTATTCGTCGCTGAAGGTCGGGCGCTTGCACCACGAGGGGTACCACGGCTTGAGCTTGGCCGCGGTCTCCTTGTCCTCGACGAGATCGTCGACTCTCTTGCGGGCCGCCTCCGCCTGAGGGAGGTCCAGACCCACAAACTCGGCGATGTGGGCCCCGATGGCCTCGGGCGTCGGCGCGACGGGTGGCTTGCGAGTGGACCCGAGCTGGGCGTGATATGCATCGAGCCTCGTCCACTCGTCGTCGACCAGGTTTAGCGCGTCGCGGCCCTCATTTCTGCACACGTACAAGGTGAAATTGACCATCCGTTCTTCCTGCCAGCCCTCCTTAGCGGCGATCTCCGTCTTCCACTCGTCCGGGTCTGTGGCCCGCTGCCCGCGCCCGTGAACGGCTGACGGTGTGCGTTAGAAAACATACAGCTCTTTGGCATATTTTGCGAGCCTGGGTACTACCTGGATCGCGGTTGCGCCTGTTCCGATTATGCCGACCCTCTTGTCCTTGAGCTTGCTCATGTTTTCGTCAGTAGGCGTGCCCCCTGTGACGTTCCAGTCCCAGCGTGATGTGTGAAACATATCTCCAACGAAGGACTCCAGCCCGGGCACCTTGGGCACCTGTGGCCGTGACAGCACGCCAGATGCGACGATGAAGTACTGTGCTTCTACCTTCAGGTTTCGAGGCGACTCGCCGGGTCCTCGGTTCTCAGTCAAGCTCACTGACCACATCTTGGTACCTTCATTCCATTTCAAGTCGTTCACCTGGGTCCTGAAGAGGCCCTTGTCCGTGAAATCCCAATGCTTCGCAATCCTCTGTGCATACTCCAAGATCTCGTGTCCCGGTGAGTATTTCTTCTTCGGCATGTAGCCTGTCTCTTCTAGGAATGGCAAATAGATGTACGATTCTACATCACAATGCAGGCCTTGTAGATGGGAGCATGTTAGAGTAGATTAAAACACTTGTATTACCTCTGTAGAGGCCGGTGATCGCATAAACATGGGTGATTTGATTCACTTACCTGGGTAGCGATTCCAATACCAAGTACCGCCAAAGCCACCAGCCGAGTCTATGAATCGAATGTCGCCGGCGTCAAACCCGTGTTGGACAAGCCTGACTGCAGCAAGAAGTGCACCGAGACCACCACCCAGGATGACCACGTTCGCCTTTTCGCCGTCCTTGAGTGGTGACTCTCTCGCGTTGAGGGCGTCGTGATCCGCCCACGGATCCTCAGCGAGAGCGTGGAAGCGTCCTGATTCGGTCCTTCGCAGGTCGGCATATTGCGCCAAGCCCTCGGGCCGGTATTGGACTCGTTTCTGGGCTTCATGAGCATACTTTTCCATAATCGCGCCGGCGTCTGGCACGCCATTGCCGCTGGCCGTGGCGACTCCATCATCACGGGAACCCATCACTACTGTCCTGGAAATTGGAACGTCCTTGATGCCAGGCTGACACTGTTCCTAGACCGAAATTTCGGCTGTGAGAAAAACTGAGTGTTGCATTCCACGTACAGCCGTCCGAACGGGTGCAACAAGGACCTTATACTGCGTCTCCGCAAGGTGTGCCAGGTTAGCCAAGGACTCGGACGGCGGAACAATGCAGCCAAACTATAATCTTGGGGTGATATTTTGAACCAACACACTGCATATGTAACGTGGGCCATGAGCATCGATCCCACCCTGTATCTGTTTCCCCACACACTGTTCCCAGCTATTCTGGCTGTGAGGAACTATAGGGCCTGTGCAGGTGATATGTCATGCGGTCATCGAGTACTTCGTAACTTGCCCAGGCAGCCATGACACAAGTACTTGCAGTGCAGTTACAGGTCTAATGCAAGGCCATTTCAAGCACCAGCATCTTGTTGGCTTAGATCACATCTCAGGCTATTTATGTCCACCATTCTTCATGTGCCCAAATCTGTAGTCTTTTGATGCCAGTATTGTTTCGTTGATAGTAGTGGAGAATCCTTGTTCGACTTAGTCCATGCGTATTCGTGATCGGGTCTTAGTTCCCGTCTTCTACCATTAACTTGTCAACCAATGGCACATATGATATGTACCTAGCTACCTACATAGCGGGGCTATGTTCTTGGTAAAAAATGCTCCTCTTTTCCAGGTTGCATTAGTTTCTGACAGCAAGCAGTGGCGTGGATGACTCAAGTGTTTCTTAAGGTTCCTTACCGGGACCATCGGAATGTCAAGTGGTGGCTATGCCGTATTCTTGCTGCGTAGGGTTGTGTCGGAAAGAGGGGCTTCTGAACCATGATTTACCCGCGGGTTGCCCCATCATCTGAGAAATAAGTATAGAGTGGCCCGCGGGAAATGAACAAGCACTTCTGGTGTTGACAATAGGCTGTTCATATGCAGGGCCTCCGTTACGTACAACCATTTCTCACCGGGTTGTTCCTGAGGTGGTCAGTCAAACTTTGGGCTCTTGTCGCAGGTACGGAGTAGTGCATACACTTCCAACCCCAACATAGTTTGTTTGCTGCGACCTTGACTCTCGACTTAGTACAGGGAACAATGTTTCGTTTCAGTAACAGTGACCATATCCGACGTTGATAATCTTCCTAAGGTCAAAAGCATAGTGCAAGGGAATACACAAAGGCATGCTCGATAATGACAGGGGAAAAGACCTGCTAGGTACTTCAGTACTCTTACTGACCCTTGGCTGAAATTCAATGAAAGCGAAATCTATCCTACCTGCGTAATCCAGCGATGCTTTGATGATAGCATCGGCGCTCTTGCACCATTGATGACTTGGTGACAATAGCCTTTCTTTTGAAGAGACGAGTACTGTAGCTCCAACGAGCATGTGCTTTTAGCCAGAGCAGATCGCAGACATCTGTATGATCTAGGAAAGGCCTTGGGGTTTTCTTCTTTTTTGAATATCCTTAAACCCATGATTGTGGTCAGTCTGTGGCATGCCTAGAATATAATTCAAGCTCGTTCTATATAATCCAAAGACTCCCCAAGGGTCGTTCTCCATTAATGTTCGTATTAAGTGATGAACGCTAGTTTCTAGGTATCAAGAACAAATTCACACCCTATCAAGGCTGAAGACATCTGGAGTTAGTCCGGTTTACCTGGTTGAAAGTTAGCTCGTACAAGCTGCCTTGAATATCTCGTGTAGATTGAAATTTGGACATATCTGTTATTGTATACACGACTAGGTAATTACTGCCCAGCAGTTGGGGAAGACGCCGCTTAGGACCTACAACTTGAAGGCTGCCAGTGCGGCGTGGCTGACACGAAGTCGGTAGCGCGGACCACGTCAGGTATCACAGCTTCAATTAGGATGATAGACGCTTGGAAATCAGTCTCATTGCCTCTAAAGCCTTCCAAACACAAGTGTGGGCGCAGAAGTACCTAGAAGAACTGCTCAACGATCCGCACAGGACCGGAGTGTTGGGCTGGAGCCCCAAGTACTGCTGGCATATTCACTGTGGAACCAAAGTACTTGGATAAGACGACTGCTAGGAGTAGGAAAAGAAGCTTGTGATTTTCCAAGCCCGATTTAAGCGGGCTTTACAGAGGTGCAAGATGTTGTAGTCGAATATAGTGGGTCGTGTGCATCTGGGCACTTGGAGGACGTTGCCTAGGTACGGACCCACAGGCTCGATCGGGATAGCCTCACTCCTTAAAAGCCGGGTCTTTGAGCGTTTACCACTGTATGGAGGCGCCGTGTATGTCTTCGAACGTATACGAAATACAAGCGAAATCAGTTACCACTGTATGGAGGCGCCGTGAATGGCTTCGGACGTATACGGAATCGAAGCGAAACCAGTCACCATGTCCCTTCAAGTTTCATGGAAAGATGGTCTTGATAAAACGGTGCCTCAATGGGCATCGGCGCTGCCATCATCCAAAAACTAGCCAGAAAATCAGTGACGCTGACCCTCTGGTCCCGTTTTTACAAAAAGCTCGAAAAAATTGAGCACCGAGAACCACTTTGCCGTCGACGTGGGCGCGCACTCGCAAATCACTGATGCCATCAGCACCGTCATCAGACGACTCGGTGCCCCGATCGACATCCCAACTCATCGAGAGTGCAGGGCTCCTCTTCGCGGCGCCCAAACTGTTCCCCGAGCAGAGGATCGCTGACATCCCCACCATGGTCAACACCAACATCAACGGGATCCCGTACACGTCCCATGCATTCCTGAACGAGGGCGGCATGCCCTCCGCCACGAAGGGGGCAGACCGTCAAGATTACGGCGGTTACTGGGCTCGATTGTATGCCGTTTCCCGGCGAGGCTGTCTTCCACACGAGCAAGGCGCCCCACGAGGCGCTCACGAACATCCTGAGGAACGAGCTCAAGGATACCGACATCAAAGTGCTTGCAGTGCGGTCGGGTGTGGTAGCTACAAAACTATACAAGCAGAGGGTTCAGAACGACAAGGGCTCGTATGAAGGGTTTATTGACGGTTATGAACCGCTGGTTGCTGACGACACTGCGGCGGTGGTGCTGGAGAGACCGGAGCGGCTCAGTGTAAAGACGTTGGGCGTGTTCGTACAGCGCAGAGTCTGGCTGTCTTTGATCGCAATTGGAACGAGAGGAGAGAAGTGGGGCTGAGCAGCCGACATAAGCATTTGATTGGAGGCGCTTTGCAGAAAGCAGAAACGAAGCAATACATGCCTTTGTGTAACAGGTCTGTCTGTGGCCAAGCGAGTGAGGGCGTGCTACCCGTGAGGGTGGAAATCTGCGAAGATTGAAACCCAACTCCAAGCTATGACCGAGTGATACAGCACTTGCCTTTGCGCCAGAACCGCTTCCAAATGGAGGGTGGTCTCCCTCAGGTTCTTGCTCATCTAGTTGCTCTGCCAGCCACAGACCTTGAGCAGGTACTTGAGTTGAAGTCAAAGTCAGCATCAGAGTACGAGATTATGACTGAGGAGTCCAAAATGCCGGGTTCATAGCGAGAGATTAATGCCTGCCAGTAAGCGACCGCGATGGTTTCGTGTTGGTATTAATTGGTGGTCAAGTAGGACGAGAGCTTGGTACACCGCATCACAGACAGGCGAGTTGGTGTATTTGTATCACATGGTATCTCTCATGGGATCAGATGTCAAATGAGTTCATTCGCAAAAAGCTGCATCTTGCACTAACTTTGTGCAGACACAGGAGTGATTGAGGGCGACTCCAATAGCCCAGAGATGAATTGTCATCAATGTCCCCAGCCACACCAGCCACAGGAGATCCGAGTCTTTCGCCTTTGCAGGTATCATATTGTCCACCCGCCAGCTCCAAACCTTCCACCTTGGTGAATCAGCTGTTTCGGACAACAAGTCCGTGATGTCTCACATAATCTCCAAACCACAGTCAGACTCTCCAGTGAGACCAAGGCAGCGGCAAGTACCGCGGCCCTGCAGGTCGCGCTTCTCAGCGAACGGGGCGTCGTCGGGAGGGTAGCAGGCATCGTAGAAGATCATCTCGTCGATGCCGGTGTCAGGCGCGGCACAGAGGACCTAGACAGGAGAGATTAGAATCAAATCAGGCAGCACAGAGAGAATGGACATGAAGAGCGACGCCAACTTGCCTTCGCTCCATTGGGGGTGCAGCCGTTACCGTGGCCGTAGCAGGGCTCGCCAATGTTTCCAAGCCTGGTTCTTTGTTAGAAGCTTACTTGGGCATTTGCCACTGCCTGTCAAACGAGTGGAATTGGCGGGGAAGGAGGTAACTCACCAGCAGGTGGTGTTCTCACCATCCGCAAGAGTGGCGGAGGCGAAAGCCATGATGGCGATGAGGACACGAGGAGCGAACATCTTGGTAGGCTTGAGGTGTTGTTTGGTGAGTTGTTCAGTGTGTTATCCACGACGAGGTCCTGAAGTCTGAGGAAGGGTTTTTGTGAGTGGGTGTCGAAGAGTTGGAGTTGAAGAACTTGTAAGAAAAGTTGCAGACTCCCCCAAGGATCTTATGTACCTAGGTACCTAGGTACCAGTTGACTTGTGGAACCGTTTGGGACCATTCACTAGAAGGAAGGAAGTCACGCTACATGCACCTTACCAGATGGGTAGCCGGGTTACAAACCAAGACGTACAGTGGGTCCCAGGGGTTGCTGTCGAGGCGGACTCAATGGCAGGTGGCACACAGTGACTGAATATCAGACGGTCACAGCAGAAGTCAACTCACGACGGTTGCCTTGCATCTGCTTACCTCATACGGGAGAGCATGCAGCAATTGAGCTCAGGGGCTAGCTTTCCGATCAGTGTGATTCAAATTTTGGACTTAAGAGTAGCCTTAGGGGGCTCATGACTGGAATGTGGCTTGGGCAAGCAGTCTGGAATGTTTTGCAGGCAACATTGAACGCGATGCCTTATAAGATTGTCCACTTCTTTTTGAAGTATTCTAAAAGACGGGCCAGGTCAACCCCCAACTAAACTGAATCTACTGTCTGGAGAAGGATCCAGAGTCAATGTTCCTCAGAGCTGGCGCTGTGTGATCTACCTAAGAAATCCCGTCATCCGAATGTGGTCTCCTGGCATCAGCAACAATTTTGCGCATTATGCGTGAAATATGGCTGGCGATAAGGCGTTTCATCGAGATGTTTCTCAAACGATTTCTCTTCGTTGAACGGCCTCATGATCCGGAGCAATGAAGGCGGCTCTACTTAAGTAGCTACGGCTCCAGGGCTCAGCGCACAATATTCTCGATATCCCGATTCATGGGGTCCAGGAGCCGAAGGGCAGCAGCCACTGTCCGGCACATTTGGAGTTCTTCGGAAGATTGGGGCCTCCAGCTTGGGACTTGGAAGTATGACCTGCCCTTGAATGATTCCCTACAGGCCTTTCCGACGAAATATCCCCAACCCGAGATACCTCCTGGCACCCGGCCCTGTCTGGTTTCCAGATGACCACCCCGGTTGATGAGTAGCAGGGCCTCGGAGACCCGGATGATGAGGAGTTTGTACCAGAAGTTGATGATGGGTACAACACACGCATTCCCGTGCACTCGTCTTAGAAGAACCCACTTCTGTGTGTCAGAAGCGTGTCGTGTTCCCTCGTAGTATTGAATAGGCGGTATGAACGAGTCACCGGAGCTTTCTCCTGCCTGGAGGCATATCCCCAGCGCTCTCATCCACGACACATCCGCAGCTTCAAGGTCCCCAGTCTGCGAGAGGGTGCAAAACCCCTCCTTCGCCAGGGCATAGAGGTCTTTCATGTATCCGTCGACGAATTCAGCCAACGGGCGTTCCCTGCGAGAATCGGCGGACCGAATGTCCCTTAGAGTGGCCGAGTATAGACCACTCTCCCAACCAGTGCTGGTGCCACGAATCGAAACATCTTCAAATCCGCGCAAGATTCCCCGGTACTGTTGTAGCAGTCGTGTCTGCATCTCACTGACGGCCAGGCTTTCATGTTGTGCATAGCTTGAAAGGCAGTGGAGAACGAGGTTGTGCTTGGACCTCGGTCCCAACACGCATTCAGCGCGGGCGCTGAACTTCCCCATCAGAGTATGGCAAAAGACCTCGATTTCATGTTGATGAAGAATGAAGTCCCACTGGGCCGTGTCTTCGTTCGGCTCGGGCATGACGGCTGATCGGGCGGCATTAACTGCAGAATGTAACATTAGCAAGTGCGTCCTATGAACGGAACAGTATGCAATTGTTTCAAGTGTCTGAGTTGTCAGGTTGAATTTTTCCTGAACAGCTTCAGAATGATTAAAGGAGGAAACTTGGACGCATACTGTGATGGTTCATGATGCAGAGGTTGCGGTACTTGGGATGGATCACCCGGATCCGCGGGTAGTCTGTCAGCATTTCCACATGAACAGGGACCCCTTGGAATGATTCGTTGGGTAGATGTGTGGGGAGATGAGTTGCAGAGACCATGACCAGCCGACCGCGGCTCACAATCATGTTTCGAACCTCCCAAAATATTTTCCTGCTGACTAGGAGAATGTTCGTATGCATGTGTCGGTAGGTGAAGGCGGTCGTAACCCCTCGAGTTGTGATCTTTTCAGGAGGACTGAGATCAAATACGACAAGTTCGTAAATATCTTGGCGAAGCTCTAGAGGCAGCCCCGCGAGGTTGAACGGTGCCATAAGTGTCATTACACCAGGCTCCATTGTTGTCTGTTGATTGGTGCCTCCATCTGGCGGCTGGGCCGAAGGGCTTTGCATCTTGAAGACGAAGCTGTGGTGTTGACGGGAAAAGTCGTAAGAAGAATCAAGGCAACTGGCCAGAAAGTAGACACTGGCTGACAGTGATGAAAATTGGCAAACGGCTGCAAGCCTGCTCGGACAGAGCTTGTCGAGGCAACGACCAGACAGGGTGTGCCCAAAAAAATGTTGAAAGCTGCAACGATGGGCGTTTGCAGCAAGCCGACCGGTTGAATTTGGGTCTAGGCTAAAGAAACCGCCACAGGAAAGCGGGTGGCGTTCGAAAAAAATTATTGCTTTGGTTACTTGGCAGCAATGCACTGCTTAAGTGACCACAGAGTACTAGCAGCTGGCAGATTTGCTAGGTAGGGCCAATCCTCCCAGTCAGCGTCGAAAGGACACCTGGACAGCATGCAGATATGTGCAGTGTTTACTCAATCAGTGACCTGGTATTCAATCCACCAGAGAGCTTACAAGAGAGCTTACCAGAGAGCTCGTGCATTAGAAAGCATTTTCTCTGTTGCACCAAGCGGTGAGAGGAATTGTGCTGCCTCAGAAGCCGCAGTTGGGACACTCATTCATGAATGTGCATGGGTGTGTACCCAGTCCTGCAAGTGGAGCTTCATGTGTGCTTTTTCTACGATCATCCATGAGAGCTTAGCACAGCTGATTCTGATGCCTCTTGGTGATTTTGACTACTGGCAACTACATGAAATTGTCAATGCCATACACAAGAGAACAAGTTAGGCAAGCATGTTTGTTCCAGAACTGGACCAGTATTGTGTCTACAATTGCAGTAAAGTTTTGATTTTATCTGTAAAGGACTGTTTAGAATGCAGGGGTAGACAATTATAGCCCTATGAAAGTCATTTGGCCGAGAAGCTTCAAACATCCCCTGCACAAACCTCATCAACTTGAAGTAGCATGACTGGGGCTGTGTCATAATTCATGAAATACACGATGTTCCTCCTCTCCAAAGTCAAAAGCCACTGTCCATTATCAGTTGCTCTTTTAATCACGACCACGAGAATATAAAACTGATTGCTGGTATGGGCAGCCCTCAGATGCCACTCTGGTCTATTCGAAGGCCCAGGAGACATCAACCCTACCAATGGCCTGCTCGTATCCCAGCTCTGCAAACACGACTGGTGTGACATCGACGTCACCGGGGGAACAGCCAGCGCAGCGGTCGGCAACGGTGGCCACGACGGAGTTTCCATTCGGCCCATGGACGCGGATCTTCTTGCCGCAGACAGGGCTCTCATTGGGGTTTGCGTAGACGCCGTAGTCTTGTTCTGAGAGGGCGGCAATGTGCTGTAGTAATTTCTTGATTTAGTCACTGCGGGAGCAATTTCTGAAGTGTAGCTCAACGTACCTACCCCAGGCAGGTAGTTAATTCGGGGCCCAATCTCGTATGAAGACGGGCGGTAGGAGATGTGAGACGAGAGACGCGAAGGTCATTGACATTTATGGGTGACTTACGTCTGTGAGAGTGTTCATGGTACCGCAAGCGGTGAAGACCGAGCCGATGCCCTCAGTGTACCATGTGAGGCTGCCACTGGTGAGCCCACGGGGGCTCTTGGGGGCCGGAGCGGCTGTAGCCAGCGTAGCGAGTGCAGTCAGGGCAGTGGCGATGCGGAACATTGTGAGATGTGTTTGATTGTCTGATGAGAGATTTGGCCCCAAGTTGTGTTCTCTCTTCCAAGGTGACCTTCCAAATGAGGGTATCGATGGCCCAGTCGGTAGTTAAAAAGTGACTCAATAATAAAAAAGGGTAGTATAGTTGGTAATAGTGACCGTTGGAGCGACTCGGTTCCTTGAAGGAGAGGAAGAGACGGGACTTTCATTTGGATAAGAGACCGGATTTATCTATCTTTTAGCAATGAATGATTCGTCGAAGGAGCCGTCAACAACCCAAGGAGGATTCCCAGATCGGCGCGGGAGATTTGGCGGCCCATCGCTGCTCCCGTCCCCGGGTTGATCAACATTCAGGTCGGCACTCAGTCGAGCGTGGTTCAAAAGGGGCGATGGTCACTCCGCCTTATTCGAGTAGGCTTCGATACCCATCTGTAGACCCATACATATTAGGAGTATTTCGGGCCTTGTAAAATACCATGGGTACCAAACGCGTCGTGTCGATGGAGGTGCATTTGCTGTAAAGTACGTATTATTCATCTAACATGGGGCCGTCACAGGCCCGGCCAGAATCCACTCAAGCACGAGCAGTGGGGCCAATTCCATGATATAGATCGTCGCATTCAAGGGGCAGGCCGCGTCTTTACGATCGTTTAAAATCGCACTGCCCGCTATCACCCATTTTGGGACCTTGCACTCCAAGACTGACCAGCCTGCTCGCTTGCAAGGCTCAGCATTGGGTCTGGACTGTCAACGAGAAATGGCTAGGCCGACAAGAGGTCCAAATTGAATTTATCTGGGCCGCGTGTCACATTGAGTTCACCGTGGTAGAATACCTAGGTATCTTTCGGAAAGGAATTTCTAGAAATGGAGTCATGGGATATGACACCGGTGTCACTAGGTAATGAGACATCTTGTAATTCGGCAGCTCGATACCCTAGGGTAACTTCAACAAGTCCACTCTAGTATTGCAGTTGTAGAAACACGCATTCAACTCGGTCCTAAAACCCATCTTCTCGTTTCATACCTGTCTTCTCGAAAGCTCATCCTACCGAGTTGGAAGGAATACGATAGGCGAAAGATAGCTTGTGATGTTGAGCTCTTCAGCTTCGAGAGCAACAGAGAAATATGTCTGCAGCCCCTTCTGCTCCTTCTGAACCGAACAAGACCTGTGAAAGCACCATGATCAGCACTTATTTTGCAATATTTTGTATGAATTCATGAACCCACATTATTTCATCCATGGCTTGGGTATAATTGTCACCGAAGTCAGCTCGTGATTCTGTGCGAAGATAATCCTTGAGGCTAGCTGCTGCTTCCTTGTCCCCTTTTGCGTAATGGCGCACCGGTAGGTACACCTTGACAGTTAGGCCAGTTCGCCCTCCACCAAGAGAGAAGTAATACAGCATGCCCCCTGTTCGATGGCTAACCTTTGGCAGCTGAGCTTGGGCATCCCATCCATTTGGCAGACCGAAGACGAGGTTCCACAGCCTTATGAACTTGTTGACGGCCACCGTTTGGTTTTGAAGTACTGCAGAATCACCCAAACACAGAGTCTCTATCACAGACTCCAATGACGTGGTCTGGCTCCGCATGTATATCTTGACGCGGGATCTCTCGGGTGCGATGCAGTCGGTTGCAACAATCTCAGGGGCTAGACTCCGACCCTGGCTGTTTGATCCCAGAAATTTGAGCAGCTTTCTATGCCCATTTAACACACCCTGGGGTAGGTAGGGCAGACTTGTGATCCCATCGTTGATGACGGACATGGTAGTGCGCCCTGTGGCCGCGGCTTTGAAAACAGGCATGTAATAAGCCTTCAACATCGGGCAGTCTTTGTTCAGTTCCAGTGCTAGAAATGCTCTCGACTTGTGGGATGGCTCCGACTCTGTGCCTTCGGGAAACATCCCGTTGTTGGATGGGCAGAGATTTTGTATGGTGTCAAATTGTACGAGGTTCTCCCACAAATGGTTGAACCATAAGAGATCACATCCATTGATCTGGCTATGTTGATTCGCCACGAGGCGCAATGCTGCGTACTGGTTGTTCGGATCCAAAGGAGTTCCGGCCGCCTGACCTATGGGTTCGAATGAGAATCGAACCACAGGAAGCTCTGTTTCTCGGTTCCATGCCCAGCTGAATTCGACAGGAGAATGATGATCTGTCATGAAACTCTTCCAGTGCATTAGAGTGCCATCGTGGCGTGTGCCATCGCCGAGTTCCGGAACGATGACTGCGAAGTAGAACCTGAGATGTTGAAGTTGCTTCTCAAACTGATAGCCAGCCTTCTCGAGTAAAATAGCGAAAGGGATGCCTGTCGAATTCCACCAGAATATGTGATTGGAGTTTCGATCTTTGTGGAGGTCGGAGAGTTCTTGATCTATTACCACCCAGGCCTTGGGCGGAGACTCTGATACCTTTCGGAGCAATCTCTTCGAGTCGGCTCTGGTCATTTTCAGAGAGGTCTCGCCAAGTCTCAATGGGGAAAGGTTACAGGTCATCGTGATTTCGTTCAAAAAGGCGTTGTAGTTTCATGATGGTACTGTCAGTAGCCTTTCAGTGAGCGTTTTATTTTGCAGAGATGCCACAACTGAAATCTGAGCAAGCCACCCAAGCAGGCTCCAGTCGCTCTACGTCACTTCTAGCCTCGGAAACCGGTATGCCTACCTAGGTAAGTTCTTAAACATAGAGTCCTCTACTAAAAGTATATAGCATACTATATAGATTTAATATAAAAGAGTAACCTATTAAAGAAGTATATAATATTTTTAACTTAATAGTTAAAATAAAAATAAACTTAATAATTTTAATAAAATTAAAATATATATTACTTTTTAAATAAAAAGATAATAATTAATAATATTTAAATAATTAAATAAAAAATAGTTATAAAGAGAATATTATAATTATATTTCTTATAAATTAAACTATTTTAAGTTTTATAACTTTAATATAATAAAAGTGTAACTATTAACTATATATTTATATTATTTAGTTAAAAGACTATAATTATTAATTAACTTAATTAATTACTTTTAAAATATATAAGACTTATATTATTATTACCTTTTAAAACTTTTATAAAGTTTTAAATATATAAAGAGAGAGTTTAAATAGTTTTTAAATAATATATATTTATTAAGTTAGTTTATAATTTTAAAAGAGACTTAAAAATTTAAAATAAGATAAATATTTAATTAAATTACTTTTAAAATAAATATTACTTTCTTAATAATATAATTATAAGATTAAATAAAACTTTTAAATATAAAGGTTTAAATTTATACTTTTAATTAAATTAATTATTATAATAAAAGTATAATTAATAATTATATGTTTATATTATTTAATATAAAGATTATAATAACTAAGTAATTTAATTACTTATTTTTAATAATATATAAAACTTATATTATTATTATTATTATTATTATTATTATTATTATAAGTTAATATTAATATAAAAGTTAATATTTATTTATTTAATAATTATATTTACTTACTTAATTTTTTTTAACTATTTATTTAATATAAGAATTTATATACTTAGTTTATATAAAACTATATATTTAATTAGGATTCTTTAAATTTTTAATACTTTTAATATAAGCCCTTTTTAAACCCCTTTTAAAACCCTTTCTAACACACTTTCTAGCACACCTTCTAGCATACCTTTTAGTATACCTTTTAGTCTATATATATTTAGGTACTAACTAAGCGTTTAAATACTAACTAATTATTAAAAAGTTAGAAGGTAAAAAAGTAAAGGTAAAAATTATATTATTTCTAACTTTTTAACCTTTTTTTTAACTTTTTAACCTTTTAAACTTCTAACCTTTTAATATTTAGTTAGCATTTAAATATTTAGTTAATACCTAAATATATATAAGTTAGAAGGCTTAGAAGGGGTATTAGAAAGGGTATTAAAAAGAGTGTTAAAAGGTATATTAAAAGGTATATTAAAAGGTATATTAAAAGGTATATTAAAAGGGGTTTATACTTAAAGTATTAGAAATTAAAGAAGGAAATTATATTATAAGGTTTTTTAATATTAATTTAAAAGGTACTTATAAATATAAGGGAGTTATTTAGAAATATTAGTATTAAATAAGTAATTAATAGGAATTAAGTAAGTAGATATAATTATTAAATAAGTAAATATTAATTTTTAATATAACTTTTAAATAAAAGAATTATTTAAATTTATAAAATTTATAAAAGAAATTATTTATTTTTATTTTAAAACTTTTAATTTATTTTTTTATTATATTATATTATTTATATTATTTAAATTCTTATTAATATTAAAAGTAAAAATATTAAAAAATAAACTTATTATACTTTTCTTTAATTATTTTATAAATATTTTAATAATATATTCTAATCTTTAAATATTATTTAAACTTAATAACTAAGTAGAATATATAACCCTTTTAGCTAAGTCTTATAGGCTATCCGCCTAAGGCCGTACTAGTACCTAAGTACCTAGGTAGGTAGTGGCTACTTGAAACCCTGCTCATGGCATTGCCTGACGGACGTGGTACTGGGATTTCCTGGGCGCAACTGCGAGGTTGTGTGCCCGAGCTGCTAGTCGAGGTAAGCGAGGCGACCGGCAGGATCCTGTTTGAGAGAAAACCTTATTTGAAGCTCAAGCCTAGCATAGCTGCCGCCTCCACGTGCGAACCGTCGGATTCAAGTTCAGTACACCGAGGCGGATATGCGTTTAACGGGGTTAATGTCAGAGATGAGCTATCCGGCTCTAGGCTCCTTCAGAACAGACGGACGACATGGGACAGGGGCATCATCGTGCCCCTCAGGCTGCAATGTGCGCACAGTCGAATCGAGATGAGGCCCTGTATCTTCGATCCTTCTGAAGTGGCTATTATGGCTCATGCCGTACATTTACACTAAATAACTGCCGAAGTTCCAAAGGTTTCGATGCAGGTGGACGATGTACCCACTCGCGACACCACAGCATGCGAACTATCGCCGGAGGCTCGTGCATCTCTAGAGCTGGGCAGCAAGGTTGCAACTGATCCTTGCTATCTGAACGATGCAAACGCCGCCCCACCTTCCCGGAAAGCAAGCACCACAGTACTATTACGACGATGGAACACCGCCAGGGCCGAGTTGGCGCCCAATGTGCATGGGTGCAGGGTCGCTTAGAAAATCACGTCAGATTTCCTTTATCGCTCTGACTCCTCGATCTTTCTCAAATGTATTTGGTCCCTCGACGCAGCTATCTCCTGAACTTATCCTTGCGAGATATTGTAGCATCTATACAAGGCACAGCCGAGGCATCACCACTGAAAGACACAGTCTTGCATCGAACCAATGCCAGAAACCGATCCCTTGCCGCTGGTACGCCAGATGTACCAATCACCCATCCCTGAAACAAGCAATGTCCGCTACGTTGAGAATCGTATTCTCATCGACGCACCTCATACAGTAGTATTCGACTACGTCACAACCTGGGCAAATTTGCCAAAATGGCTCCCAGTAGCGAAGAACGTGTACGTGCGGAAGGGTGACCTGAACGCGCCCGCCAGGTTGGGAGATGTGCTCTGCGAGGGTGTCCGCCACGAAGAAGGTTTCTCGGCCACCGCCACCAGAGCAGATAAGATCTACACGGTGGTGCTCCACGTCCCTGGTCTCCTGTGGGGTGTGGCGGGGGTGGACGACGTCGGTGACCCCTGGGTTGGCAAGACGGCGACGTTCATCACGACACCGTATGCAGAGGGGAAAACTTTGTTTTGTAGGGTGTTTCAGCAGATCAGGAAGGAGGGCGATGACAGTGAGGTCAGACATCCAGTCCTTCAGCCTGAGGTCATGCAGAAAGGGCTCGAGCGCCTCAAGGACTTGGTTGAAAACTCAATTGGAAGCAGTTGCTCTTTGGGCTAAATCTATCGTATCTTGAGCGCTTACCACCGTATGAAGGCGCCATGTATGTCCTCGGACGTATACGGAATAGAAGCGAAACCACCCATATGCAGAGTTATTCGCCATCTGGCTCGTGTCGGAACGGATTCGCAACCAAGCTACCATTATGCTTGGCACTTGAGATGCTTCAATGTATCGAACCTGTTCCCTCATCATCTGGAAAGTCGCCAGGGCTGAATTTTACGCAAAGCAGGCGAAGCATGGTAGCATGTGTGCAGGGAGCATCAGAACCAAATTGGCGGAGCTACTGCTTGAAGTTTAACTGCCTAAACTAGCTTCAGAGATTCGATACAGGGCGCTTGGTGAAGATCATATCCATGTTAGTTTGAGTAGTCAGCCAATTTCCACCTACGTCCCATTCATGATTCGGATCTGGCAGCTCGATGTCAAACGTGCGGTACAGTTCCACGATGAGCTTGGTGGTCTCCATCATGGCTAAGTGCTTGCCAATACACGCGCGGGACCCAGTGCTAAACTGTGAATATGGGAATTGACTGTATTAGCCACATAAATTGGAGATTGGTATGTGATCGGATGGTCCTGGAGTTGGCACGACTTACAGTGAACATGTATCTTCTCATTTCCTTGACGCGCTCGGCATTGCTTTCAATCCATCTTTCTGGACGGAACACGTCACTGTCCTCCCCAAAAATATCCTTATCTCGGTTGAAAACCCAGGCATTAACTCCGATTGTTGTACCTGCAGGGATGAACTTGTCATGAAGTACCACTCCGCCTGCTGGTACATAGCGCTCGAACATGAGCCCTGTGCTGGGGTGGATTCGAAGTGCCTCCATGATGACTGCATTGCTACATAGTGCGGTCCAGCAATGTCAGTCAATTGCTCCCAGATTAGAGTGAGCTGCTGATTGGTAGGACCTACACATATTCCAGGTCGGAGGTTTCTCTCTGCTGCGCAACCAGAGAGAGCTTCCCGGCCAACTCGGCTTCTCGGATCTCGGCCCGCACTTTCACACGCATTGCAGCATTCTTGCCCAAATAGTAAAGTACCGCGCGGAGAGAGATCGCGAGGACATCATGAGCCGTGACCCTGCACTTTGTTATACAAGCCATTCTGGAAACAACATGGTACTCGTACGTACAAGCTAATGTAAGCAGCCGCTATCATGTCGCGTCTTGTGAAACCTTCGGGACGCTCCTCGTGTAAGGCCAAAAGAGAGTCAAGTAAATCGTTTTTCTGCCTTGGAAGCTTTTCCCGCTGTTCAATGGTGTCCAGAGCAAACTGATAGGCGATGTTTAGTGCAAGCTCCTATGTAATGGGACTAAGATGCATACCTACCTTGTGCAAAGGGCCCGGACCACTCTTTTTAGTCCACGAGACGAGGTTACTCCACATCTTCTCAAGTTCCGGTACCTGACCCATCTGTACTCTCCGTTAGCACTGAGGACATGAAGATCGGGGAGGGGGGGGGGGGGTTGAGGGTCGTCATACCAGGCCGAAGTAGGTCATATTGTGGTGGTTTTGTGCACACAGTCCGCTCACGTCCGAGCCAGTGGCTAGGAAACCGAGTTTCTGCGAAAATGTGATTTCACCGATCGTGTCGAAAGCCCAGTATTGCATCCACGCGCTCGCATCGAGGCGAACCGACCCAGACTTGTCCAGCATGGAATTCAGTCTTGCAAGCAGCAACTCGATGGTGCTGTCAATATGCGGCTCACAGCTTTGTATACCATTTTGTGAAAACAACGGTGCGACGTGGCGTTTGACAGTTTGGTGCAGCGCCTTGTCTTGGGTGGAAAATAAGTTGTGTAAGTCCTCCCCATCCATCTTCGGCTGCAACAAACTGTACGTTCGTGCCTACACGGGTGTTATTTTTTGGACTCGTAGCTGTCAAAATGAGTAAGGGGTTGGACCTGACCTTCTGAAATCCAGTGCCCGATCGGTAAATCGCATGTACGGATTCCGGACTGGAAGCTGAAACATACTTTGGCCCGAGACGCAACAGAGGGCCATATCTTCTGTGCAGCTGGAGGCTGCGCCCCGACACATCATCGATCCACACGAGTCGGAACCGATACAAGTTGGACAGGCTGGCCAGAAACGGTCCGGGAACATTGATCAAGCCAGCTTGGTATCTCTGCAGCAGGAGGATAAAAGAAATGGCAATGATAAGAGAATAGACAACGACCGTGGCATCAAACATGGTGACAACCTCATGTAGAGAGCCTGATTGCCTTAGACACAGGAGTGCGGATATACTGAACGGTAGAGTGTCCGTGGTCATACAAGAAGGCACCGAGATTCTCTCCGTGGGCGCTCGAGGCTTTGATGGAGTTGATTGGCTAAGTGCATATGTAATTACCAGGAAATATGGTCTGCCCCAGGTCCGGTCCACAGCAAGCCCGGCACATGCAAATAAAGTTTGGCCCCCACTGCCAAGCCTGAGCTTCGTCGCTTACTTGCATGCTGGGTACCTAGGTAAGTAGACTAGCGTCGGCGCTGATTTGAAGGAGGTAGGCTGCGGGTCCAAACATGCTTGTACAACAGACAAGGAATAAATTAGCCCTGGAGAATTTTGTGCATTACGTCCGAGGATCTGCGGCCTCGAACTCTATTTATGCTTTAGAACTAGTGTTGAAGCAGGGAACATGGATAGATCAGGACATTGTATCATGGAAACTTGGCCAGGTTACATGGACTTGATTGGCAAGTACATACAGACTCCGGATGGAAAACGCCACGTGTGATTGAAGTTTAAGAGTGAAGCTTAACTTTGGTTAGAGGTGGTAGTCACTGTCAGGACTTAGGAGACATACAACACACAATGATCCCAAAGATACTGAATGTCCGAGAGGGTATGATGCTTTTAGCCAGTATTTACGTCTCCTTGAGAGATAACTAATAGTGCGTTTTGCCATAGCGTCCTGTAGATCTGTGCAGTCACTGCGCAACGAAATGATAGGGGAGAGTCAACTGGTGACCTCCTCCTAAAATGGTAAAGCCTACATGAATTTGACCCACAAGTAATTGAGAATCTGCGCTGTGGGCAGACTAATTCATGATGCGTAATGGATTTCTAATCGCTAGTTATACAGACACGGGACTTCCGTGGGGGACTTCTGTCTCTGTTCCCACATCCCGGGGCGGCCGGATGCATTGTCTTTGCACAAGCCATACTATATGTACGGCTAATATTACAGCCAAGCCAACTCTGCAGTTACATTTCGATGTCAATACACTTAGCGACAAAATGGTTCGGATACAGTGTACCGTGGTAGCATTCGATCATCGGAGAGACCTCGTCCTGCAGATCGACTTCATTAGTGCCTTGTCCAGCCTCCAGAATCTGATTAGATGTACCCAGTACAGAGCGAGCAACATGCGAGGCTTTCCTATGACGTGAGTGTGTTCAAGGTGCCCAGGCCAGGGAAGTGTGGTTCCGGTCAGACGTTTACCGTCATTTGCTGGTTTCAGGTTTGGCTGCGGAGTTTCTAGGGATAGTTGTGAGTGCCCGTTTATACGGACTAAATGTGAGGGTTTTGACACCAAGGTAGCCGGGCGATAGACCCCAAAGAGGTAGTGGATGCGTGGTCACATGCATTCTGTAACATTTGTGCGCAAGTACAACCGACTAACGTGAAGTAGTCATCTCATCAATACCACACACCAAAGTTCTGCGCCACTGGCATGCTCTGGAGTGAAAGTTTGAAACCCAGACAGAGCATACCCGACAGATTGAAGCATTCATGTTGCTTGTGGAATAAAAAAAGACCGGCATTGCTTATGGCCTGATTCTGAAGAGTCTGGGTCTTATCAAGTGTGCTGAATTGGACATGCAAGCTACATCAAATATGGGCAATTTTTCAGATGTGTGTTGCGCACAAGGTTCACAAGAACCAACTGACGACGTTCCATGGCCATTTCAAGTTACCCAACGGACCCCAATGTCGCATATCATATTCAATACCATCAACCCCCTACTGTTGTGTCCAAGATTCGAGGCACCTGTCCTGCAACGAAGGCACTACTTCAACCAAAGATGCCATCATTCTTGGGCTCGAATTCCACATGAGGGAGATTTCGAGCATCGTCAGGGATCTCGGCGTGGGTATTGTTGTCCATGCCTTCAAGCAACGGCGCAGCCATGCCCAGCTTGCCAACATGTTAGCCAATCCCTAAAAAACTTAACAAAAGGAGTGATACGTACAGCGTAATACTTAAACTTCGCGGCATGCATCATTGTGGCTCCACGAACCAGGATCTGCCACCGAAGTACAGCCCAGCCCAATGGTGGAACCTCGTGGACCAACTGATAAGCCGGGGTTTTCAGGTTCAGCTTGACCCCAGCCTTGATAGCATCCCCCACAGTCTGCCAGTCCCATGTTTCATTAGGGCGCGAGCCAAGCAGGGCCGTTGGATCGCCGTGCTTGTAGAGTGGGATCGTCTCGTTGGCTGTGTTCTGTACGATCACGTCCACCGTTGTCCCCCATGGCAAGTCCCCTACAACGGGTGGACCGACATGGGACACGTCCTCGACAAACAAGGCAGGTGCCATCTGTGCCCTGTACAGCTGAAATGGCTTTTGGTTAAGGACGTATTCAGTGATATGCTTCTCATACTTGGATGGGTGAGAGTCGATCTTGAAGTGCAACGTCTTGTTGGATGGCGGGGGTGCCGAAGGGGGATATGGTGCCAGAGATTCGACATCAGTCGTATTGCACGAAGAGATCATTGTGCCATCAGGTTCCACGCATGGTTGAGAGCCACTGAGTGGGCTAGGAACAGGCATTGGCGCACCATGTGGCGGATAACGCAGGGCCTGGGACTTGGTCAGCGATCGCAGAAATAGAAATCGAGTAACCATGCTGGTAGACGGATGAGATAACATACTGGATATCTGAGAATAGATATCCCAAGGAGGTTCTGATGCGTGCTCGCTGAAACGAAACGCATGGCGTAATCAGCACCCTCCTGGTCGAGCTTAACCAGAACCGTGTACCGTGTGCCGCTGGTGACATATAGAACATCTACCAGCTGAGGCTCAACAAAGCCCCCATCATTAGCGACCACCCACATCTTGTGGTCATCAATTGTGAACTTGAGCGCGTGCTCAAATGCGACGTTCAACACATTCAGCATGATCCACGGCCTCCCATGAGTGTTGATAATCTGGGCAAGGTTAACGTTGTCCCAAAATGCGGGCGATACGGCGTGTCCAGGACATACCTCAAAGTCAGTATCAGTGGGGGTGCACGGAATACCATCATTTCCCTCTTCGATTGCGCAGCCGGTCTCGTCCAGTGTCAGCCCATTCAGCGTCTTGTAATCTGGATGCCGGCAAAAGCGACGTCCTTTTGAATTGACAAGGAGTGAGTCGTAGCAGTTGAGGTTGGTTCCTTCGGCTTTCATCTCCATGATTCTCCATGCTGCATCACGCCTGTAATAATTCCACACAAGCATGTGCTGAATGTTGCGCTCTGCCTCGTGGATCAGAGCCAGCTCACCCGGGGAAGATGTGATTCTGTGATAGGGCCTGGGACGCGAAGGCGATGGCGCGATGTACGCCATACCATGAGCTCCGTCCATTATGCCTAGTCCTGTGTGGTCTGCATACCAGCTCAGTCCCCAGCGGCCCGTAGTGTCATACCGACTGCTGAAGTTTCCCCTCTGGAAAAGACCATACTGCAATCACGTTAACTAAACTGGTGAAGCCAAACGAGATTCGCACGTGGACGTTCATACTTGATTAAGACCTCCGGTGCCATCATTCCAGAAGCCAAATCTAACAAGAAAGGCGGCTCAGCAACTCTGTGTCGAGCATCTGGGGGCTATGGGGTATCTCACGTTCTATGGCTCATACCAGACCAATGGATCGAGACTTGCGCGAACAAGTCATTGTGTACGTTCAACTCCACTATGTCACCTTCTTCCGCCAACAGAGTTGGACAAGGAGTCTCGCCATTACACACAAGAATGCCTCTCCAGAATCCACCATCTGCCCGGGGACACCTATCAGCCACTTCCCCAAGAGCAGGGTGTGAAGTACAGGGAATTCACGTCCTTACCTAAATTCATCCACCTGGCACCAATGGTGAGGTTGTATTGTCTCGTAACCTGGGTTGTCTTTGTCGCTTTAGACGATAGTCCTCGATCAAGGAAAATCTGGGCGCCAAAGAAATTATGGGCGAATAGCCACCAGGCGAGGACAGAGAACATAGCCGCTAAGGCAGTAATCGACCCTCGATAGGTGCCTCGTGACTGAGAACGCCACTTAGGCTCTCCGCCATCGCGAAGATTCTCATATTGTAATTGATCTTGAAGAGTTGACTTCATTGCCTTTTCCTCAACAATTCAAATTCTTTCTTGGAGAAGGCAGAGAAAATGTGCTCTGCGCCCATGAACGAAAAGCAGCGGCTTGAGGTTAACGCCAGGCTGAACAATCCCACTGTCATGGAGACTTCGGGATGTGGGAAACAGTCGGTTGATGCCCGATCTGAACTGCTGGTTGTTCCTTCCTCTTCCGTCCAGTCATCGCCTCGGATTCCGTCATGCTCGCGATCGGTGCTATGATCAACTCAAACACGAGTCCGATCGCCACTTCAATGTTGGGCACTAGTGTGCATCAGGCAACAGGCCGTTCTGGCCGTCCAGGACAAGAGCTGATAAAGGACTCACCGCTGCTTCCGACGACAGGGGCGAAGACAGACGGCCATACTGTGTAGTCCTTGTTGTTTTGTAACGATGTATCTCGGTTGCACTCCACTTGATTTTAAGGTTTACTGGCATTACTAGCACCTGATGCACCTAGGCACTAGTAGGTCCCGTCAGCTCCGAACAAGGCCGAACCTTAACTTGCGAAACATCCTGCAGGGCTAGCCCTGTAAGGCTCCACAGCGGCATGTCAGTTCCAAGGTTGCGGGGCCGGCGGGAGCATGAACCCTTTGACCTCGTGGAACCCTTGTCGAGTAGTCATACTGTTCTCTACAGCCCGCAAGGATTCCGAAGTTATCCTAGCAAGTGCATATAGTTAGTCAGCAGTTCCTTTCCTTCTAATTTGGCTGATATCTACTGATTATAAAAAATATGGAGAAATTCTACTATTTATTCATTAGTACTCTCAGTAGTGAAACTCGATGGTGAGTACCTTATAGCTAGCGTGGCGAACCATTCTCCCCAGCAAGGATAACTTCGAAATCCCTGCGGGCTTTAGTAGTACGGGCTAAGGAATTCTAGAAATGAATTTTCCTGGATACCGAGTTGAGATAATAAAAAGTAACATGAAGTCCTGTGTCTCTTAACTAAAAGTATGTATATTATATCAGTCTTTTAGTACTAGTCTTATTTTATTCTATACTATTCTTAATAATTTCACTACAACCTTCTAATTTCTTAGTATTTAGATGCCTATAAATTATTACCAGATACTAGCCTTATGTTAGGGTCTGTAGTGAGCCTTTAAAAGATGGCCAGGAAAAGGAGAAAGGCAGGGGGGGCAGACAACTCCTGATGGCGCCCAACGTTCCAAATTGGAAGGAGTCCGAGTCCTGTGGATCTGCCCAGGCTAAGTGTTTCCGCAAGTTCCGTACCAGATAACGCAAGCCCACAGACCGGGAAAGCTTGCCGATCCGATGGCCGCCCCTTGAATCAAACCCATGGCTGATAATCAAGGAGGCTTGGGCCATCGTGATCTTTCAGCAACACGGCAGTTACGGTGGCCAAAGCCGGCAAGTTGTCACCGGGACAGGATGGTGACGCAACGGCGACTCGGATAGTGTGATCCCAGAGCGTGTGATCTCCACTGCTGATCACCATTCGCAAGACTAATCTGGGAATGGCAGCGATATCGACCGGGTTGTCAGTTTGGTACTTTAGCAAATGAGTCTTTTTTGCAAACAGCATCTTGGGCCATGTTCTCTTGAGACCAGGAGGTGCCTCTCTGTGCCCTTTCAGACAACCATTGTTCAATCTTTGGTCCATAACGAGTCGATATTCTACTCATCAAATGTTGTCATCAATTCTGGTGTTGTTGACGCCTCTGCTTGTGGCGCCGGCTTGTGGTGAGCGAGTTCGCAGGTACAATCTCACCTTGACATATGACTGGGACAAGCAAGGTATATCGAACAAGTAGCACAGAATTTGGGGTCAATGAGACTGATGCGTCTGTCAGATGGCCATGGTCGTCCAACGTTCCGCATAAATGGCAACACACCGGGGCCCGTGCTCACTGTCGATGAGGGCGAGACCCTCGAAGCCTTCGTGGACAACCAACTGCCCATTGAGACCACTATTCACTGGTAACCTCCACCGCAGCAAGCTATCTCGACCTGTTCATCAATTGATATAACGAACAGGCATGGTATCTACCAAATCAATGAGCCCTGGCTTGATGGAGTACCGGGCGTGACTCAGGTATGGAACGCCAGTCCCCAAAAATGTGGTGAACACGAGGCTGATCTCCAGTAGTGGGCGACGGCACCACGAGACAATTACACCTATCGCTTCACACCTCAAGGTCAATACGGTAGCTATTTTTATCATGGGCATTTCGGGCCGGCATTCTCAGACGTACGTCACCAGCCACTGGGCATCGGCATTGCAGGCTGATGAGAATCATAGGGTCAACGAGGTCCTCTGTGGATCACACCAGCGGACTGGCGGCCTCGGCCATATCATTTGATCTCTGATGATGACCATGATATTCAAGCCATGCGAAAAGCAGAGAAAGATCCCCGGCATATCATCATCGCTGACTGGAATGACCAGCCGATGGACATGTATCTGATTCGGTTCCGTGATACCGGGTATATACCGATCTGTGCTAACAGCCTTACTCTGAATGCGAAGGGCGGAACAAGATGTGAATCTGCTAAAGATATTGAGGAGGCTGGTGGACCAGACCGCAACGAGCGAGGCTGCCGATACAAAATTCCAGGCCACCAGTACACGAACATTGAGTATTGTACCGCGACGCAACCGGAACTAGAGGTAGTGCAGGCTGAGCCCGGCCAAGAGTGGATCTGGATCAACTTCATCAACTCTGGGGCACATCACTCAATGAGTGTCAGCATCGATGACCATGAGATCTATGTCGTTGCAGCCGACGGTGAATTCGTGCACCCTCAGAAGGTCGTCCGAACTCATGCAAATCTTGGTGAAAGAACAAGGCACGTGTGTCTCTACACTTCCAAGCCAGTGATCGCGACTAATGATTTCTCTCAGCATCCTTGTGCGTCTGAACAAGACTCCTGGTGATTACGCTTTGAGATTGCATTCGATCCGGGACGAGCAGATTATCCAGGGGGCTGGAATACTCCGTTACCCCACAGTCAAGGTACTTCGTTCGAAGAATAGTATCCCAGTTCTCAGCTGAAGCGTTTTCAGGATCTTTCAGCGCAGTCCAATCGCACCGTTCCAGACACAAAGCCGTGGCTTCACTTGAACGGCAGCGTCGTCGATCCTACGCATAAAGTCATGGACGAGACGAAGCTCGCGCCTTACCCCCCACGACTGCCACCCCAAAAAGCTGACTTTAGCCTTAAGTTCATGGTGAACAAGACGGGACCCTCGACTTGGGTGCTGAACGCGGCACCGCACGAGTTCTTCAGGCAGAACGCACCGCCCATCATGTGGAACGAGATCTCCCGCGGTGAGACTTCGTGGGGTAACGCGCACGGCTTCCTCAAGAATGGGTCCGTCGTGGATCTCATCATCGAGAACGGGGCCGATATCGACTCCACCCACCCGTTCCACAAGCACAACCACAAGGTCTGGGTCATTGGCCAGGGCCGTGGCGGCTTCCGCTGGAAGGACGTCGAGGAGGCGGTCACAGGCGGCGGATCCGAGTACTTCAACTTGGTCAACCCGCCGTATCGTGATGGCTTCACCTTGTACGGTGGAGAGGGTAACTTTGTCGTGGTTCGATATGAGATCGCCTTCCCTGCAGTATCAATGCTACACTGTCACATGATTCATCATTTTGCGGTAAGAATCCCTGCGTTCCTTTCACCGTTAGAAACGATATCAACTGACATGTGAGATAGAGTGGGCAGCAGGTCATTTTGCTGGAAGGCATGGAGGTCATGCCCCCTGTCCCTCAGGAATTGAAAGACAAGCCCCATGTCGAATTTCAGTTTCCGCCACGTTACGGTCCTTTGGACTGAGGACCAGGCTGCACCTACGCAGTAGGATAAAAGTCCATTTTGAAGGGAGTAGAGGCAAATTTCTGTCTCTTCAGTAGTATAATTGGTTTCACCATGCAGTCAGAACTTGCGCGAGTATGCTTGTCAGGAGGAAAAATGATTTTTGCCATTCTCGAACTACTCAACTTGTCTTGGGAGAAGAATTGTGATAACGCAGGCCCGAACAAAATCTCGTACATTTTGATATCTTGTGTTCACAGCACTCAGTAGGACTCAGTTGACGCCCTGGGCATGCGAGCTTTTGTAGTATTTAATGACCTTTGTCTACAAGCACCTATCACATTATGACCATTGTTATCGACATCGTGTATGTTTCAAGTGCTGGGTCTTGAGCGCTTACTATCGTATGAAGGCGCCATGTATGTCCTCAGACGCACACTAGTACAGAATAGAAGCAAAACCACTTAGCAAGTCCGGCCAAGAGACTTTAAGTGATTATTTTCCAGAGAATCCCGTCTTGTACTTTTGGGTTCTACACGGGTCTGCCATTCCTTGGCAGAGTCTTTGTGTTCTTCTGTTTCCCTGAGGCGGTGAACGTGACCCTCGAAGAAGTTCGCGTTGTGTTTCAGTATGGTCTTGGCGTCAGTTATGCTGAGGAGTGGTGCAAGCAGCGGAAGAGCAGAGTGCTGTGGCTGGATATGTATGACTCGATAGCAGTGGAGTGGCGTTGGATATGTGCGGTTGCGTAAACGGAAACTCGCTATTTTTGTGAAAATTGTTGTCTGACTGACAGATATTATCTGGAGACTTGTGTGTAAATAAGAAACCTTGTAATCTCCCACAGCGTAAGGATTTCTTGAATCTCAAAATCGTGATATTCATATAGGCTAGCATAATCTAGTTATCGCTTGAAGGGGGTATGATCAACTAAGACATTCTGTCAGACACATACGCAAGTTAATACCCAGCAGAGCACCTCGTATCATCGGACAGTCAGTGCTGCCTGGTGAAAGCAAATACCAAGCAATCCAAACGCCAGACCGTTTTACTTTCTGAAGGTATCCACCAAATATTGTAATAGGGAGAATCCCAAACATCAGCACACAAATCGTGCACTTCCTCCAAAGCTCATACAGGACCTGACCTGTCCCAGAAATCCCATCACTTCATATACGTTGATCCCTCAAGCCTGACCAAATTCCCCAGTCTGAGCCCTGCGGACAGTGTTGATACCAACCTTGCGGTTCTCCTTGCTAAGCATAGTAAACCCAAAAATGAACCCCGAAATGAGCTCGCTGGGGTTGAGCATGCCGAGCCAGGCCCAGATACCGAGGAACCCACCCTGGTATCTCGTCCCCGCGGCACCCACAGCGGTGTAAGGCCCCGCGGGCTTTGCGTGGGGGCCAGGTGAACCGGCGCCAGAGCCGGTGGACCCGGACTCGAGGTCGGCCTGGGCGAGGGGCATGTGCTTGCCGGTGTTCTCGAGGTAGTATGGCTTCACGTCGTAGGCGAAGTGGAAGAAGATGGAGAAGGGGACGGTGAGGAGTGCCATCACCATGACGGGGATGCCGATGAAGTCGTCGGACCAGGAGAAGTAGGCTGTCGGCTTGAGGGGCGAGGGAGTGATGGATCGAAGGACCCAGTAGATGAGCTGGGGAGAAGAAGGTGTTAGTAAGTTCTTGCTACAGTATTTGTGAGAAAATGGGGGTCCTCCGAGGGCTTACCTGGATGATACCAGTGATGGCAACAAGTAACTTGAACGCGCCCAGCTTAGCGAGGGGCTTGTGGTGCGCCAGACGCCCCTTAAGGGCACCGTAGAGCCTGAGACAGGACATGATAGCCAGTGTCAAGCTGACGTTGTGGATGATATCAAGCCAGAGATGTCCAAAGTAGGGCTTGCTGCTTACAAGGCAGTAGACACCTTGTGACTCGAAGATGGCAGTGAAGATAGCAACCAGTGCCTGGACAACAGGGTACTGGAAGATGAGCATCCACATCTTGCGATACCACTCCAGACCATTGATGGGCTCCTCCTCGACCTCGGGCTGAGGGCCAAAGTCACCGCGGCGGCCCCGTGCCCGCCGGCCTGCGTTGCTCTTCTTCTTCTTCTGCGGAACCTTGAGGGCGGCGAAGAAGACCTCACGATGCTGATCCGAGGGGGAGACGAACTGGCACATGAGCAGGAAGAAGTTGCACAAGGCAATAGACTGGACAAAGTCGAGCCACGGGTTGATGTAGACGTAAGCGTTAGGGAAGGAGACCTCGAGGAAGCAGCCGATGGCGAAGACGGGCAGGTAGCAGCAGATCCTGAGGATGTTGAGCTGTTCGTTGGGCCTCGACAGGTGCGTGGCGTGCCTGAACATGAGCACGAAGAGGCTGAGGAGGACGAAGCATGCGCAGGCGCCGGTGATGATCTTGCTGATTGTGAAGAAGTCGTAGCCGCCGGCCAGCTTGGCGGTCTCGGTGTTGGTGAGGGGCCGGGGCATGGCGCACACATGGCCGTTCTTGCTTGTGTAGTTGTACGGCTCGAAGTCGTTGGACCGGGTCACCAGATGAGGCAGACTGGCGACCATGCGGTCGAATAGCTGAGAAGCCATCGTTTGGTTGTTGTTTGGCGACAACACCAGTGCTCAAATACTTGGTTGATTAACCTGTTGAGAGTTTTGAGAGGTGTAGGCAAGATTTTGACGACTTGAATGGGGTATATGGCAGTATATTTGGTATGGAATCGATGAATATTCCAAGTAAAGCCCGTAAATATGAGGAGAGAGAGATGGGAATGAGACTGAGAATTGGATTGGGAATAAGGGTGGCCATTTTCTTATTTAGAGGATTTTGAGCAGCTCAGCTGCGGATGAAATCGTGGTAGGCCTGCGGCCCTCATCTGCACGGTCTGACAGGAAGCCATTCCGCATTGTCGAGGCAGGACGTGCTGAGACCATGTTCGCGCCGAACATGCTGGCTGAGGTTGTCAGCCACAGCAGGGATCCCCATCCTCTGGCAGGGATTAGACAGGGATCAGCTAGCGGGATCGCACTCGGTTTCGCACCTGAGGGGCTGTGCCGCCAATGAGGCAGCGCAAGGGCGACAGGGTTCCCTTTTCCCAAAAAGCTTGTTTCGAAAAAAGGTCCCTTCTCCCGCTGCAGAGGTGCACTAGTCTTTGTTTGACAAAAGGTACCACGCATGTGTCACCGTTGGAGCCAGCCTGGTGCCAACAGTCAATGTTAATGCCGGAGTCAGGCAGTCATTCAGTGCCAGTGTCATTTCCCCATCTATCGAAATGGGGAACCAAGCATGCTAAATACCGTGTCCTTGTTGGCCGAGCATGCGCATCCCCGCACCCCTATTCCACATGATAGGCCAATATACTTAGGTAACCCGGTACCTTTATTCAGTCCCTCGCAGATCCGACCTTCTCCTTCTTCTTTCTCCTCACGACTTCACACCCTAGTGTACGCGTCTTCTGCACCGCCCGGCCCGTTGGCCTCTTCCTTCCGAGAACCGACGTATCCCATCACTCGGCAGCCAAGACGCTTGGTAAAGCTTGTCCTGGCTTACCAGTATCGCAGTGCACTACTGCATGGCCCAGTGTGCTACGCCGCAAACTAAGGCTATGACCATCGGTCAATCCATCCGTCTTACTCCCGAGGCCCCTCACTCCTTTTATCCACATTGCTTCGTCAACACAAACCCTTATCACTGGCAGATTCGACTTGACGGTGTTTACGCTTTCAGCCACTGTGTTATTGCCGCTTACGGACCTTCGACTCGGACGCCCCACCCGGCGAGCTATAACACAACTCCGGCCCCACCCGCTTCTACAAAACTTTTCTCTCCTTTGTAAATCTCTTCACGACGCCCACTTTCAACAACAGCAGGACCGTTGGCCCAATGGCAAGGCGTCTGACTACGACTCGTGATCTTCTCACGAGCAATTCGGAATCAGGAGATTGCAGGTTCGATCCCTGCACGGTTCATCACCGGCTCTGAACGTGTTCAACGAATCTAATGGTTCATTGAGCTTGTTCCTTTTGCTTTTTGGGAGTATCGGGAGGTGCAAAGGAACGAGAAAACTCCTCTGCTAGGGTTCTGCCAACTGTGTGTGCCCCAGAGCACATCTTTTTGAGACGTTGGCCAAGAAACCAAAGTCGCAATGTCTGTCGGTCCAGGCATGCAATGTGGTATCATTGCAGTTTGCTACGGCTGACCTTTTCTTTGTGTTTCCTTGCGGGACTTGTGTATGTCTACTCAGGTGTTCTAGATGGTTGCCGCAATGGACAAACTTCACAAGTTCCGGAGTCGAGACCGCGATCAAGGCATACTTATTCTGGTCTGTCATACATGCTATTTACAAGTCCTGTCATTGGAACCTGAGGCCTCGCGCAGTTCACTTTCTGCGCTCGGCTTTCTCCAATATGTCGTCCTCCCACCCGTTCTCCTTCAAGTACACCTCAAAAGCCTTGTCCTCCGCCAAAAGATCTGCCTGGGACATGTCTTCGATCAGGAACCTGGAAACAGATGTTAGCTAGGCCTAGAACTCATTCCGGGCAAGGGGGCGAAGTAACATACCAGTACACAACCATTCCAATGGCACCGAAAATGGCAGCGAAGAAGAAGGTCCACCTCTGCCCGAGATTCTCTTTGATGGGTGTAAACACCTCTGTACCAACGGCGGCCCCAGCCTTGCCCAGGGCTGCTGATATCGCATAGCAGACGCCTCGGATGGCGGTTGGGTACGACTCAGTCGACACCAGGCCGAGAGTAGCACCCGGGCCCATGTGCCCCAAGCTCTGCATCAGTCCATACATAACAACAAACGCAGGAATTACCTTGGTGATCTGCGCAAAGGAACACCCAACGATCAACCCAACGAGGAGGTAGCCCCCGAACCCCAGGATACCAGTCCACCGGCGGCCCAGTTTGTTGACGAGGAAAATGCCGACGAAGACCCCGGGCAGAGTCATAAGGGAGAGGATGAGCTGCCACATTGCCACTGTCTGGATAGATTTGCCCGGAACCAAGGAGTTGATGATTGTGCTCGACATGATTCCGTTCGGGAAGTTGACGAAATCATCTAGTGGTGACGTTAGTCCTGCTACTATCTTGATGTATGGCATTCTAGAACGTCCCGAAAATGAAAGACGGGGATCCGTGATAGGTGAAAGTTGATGCTTACAGATGAAGAAGGCACCGCCCGTGCCCAGGAGACGCACCCAGTATCTCTTGAAGATAAGCCGGAGCGGGATCTTGACCGTCTTTGTCGACTTGAAGTTGGATCGCTGAAACAGCCTCGAGTCCCGCATGCGCAGACGGAACATGAAGACAACCAGCGGCAGGATGACCGAGACGGAGTTGACCGCGATGTACGTCGTGGAGAGGTCGTTCTTCGAGGCAATCAGAGTCATCAGGTAGACAAAAACGCAAACTGGCCCACCCCAGCACGTGATGAATGTCGTCGCGCACACAAAGACAGGTCCACGGGACTTCGGCTTGTAGTCCTCCATACCCTCGCAGGCAGCCTAATGGCCAGAATCAGTAAATCAGGACAGAGAATCGTGGCCGGGTCATGCACGAACTCACAGCAGCACCAGCGGGGAACTCCCCACCCACGCCGACACCGGCCATGCCACGCACAACCGTGAGGTACCACAGCATATTCCCAACGCCGAGAGGCTCCACCCTGAGCGCCAGCGTGGCCATCAAGCTGCCGATCATGACGAGCGACGAGGTGAAGACCATGCCGGCCTTGCGCGACCACCAGTCCGTGACAAAGCCCAGCAGTAGGATCCCGAAGACCTGTCCGACGATCAGTGCGTTGGAGATCCTCGTCTTGTCGTCAGGCGTGTACGCATCGCCGAGCATGTGCGAAAAGATGATGTTCACGGTCGAGGCGACTTGCTGCTGGTACCCGTCGGAGAATTTGGCTGCGGTCTGTGACAATCCGAGTGGTTAGCTTGTGTGGGCTTAATATAGTTGAGTCGTCCCACGGGGACTCACGCAGCCCGCCACGGCAAAGAGAGATGTTGTGCGACAGCTCCTCTGTTCATCGGCCAAATCATCCTGTGATCTTGGCCTCTTCTCATGGAGCGGTGTAGCTACAGTCTCTGATGTCTGCTTCTTTTCGCTCGGGCTGGCCCCGGGAGAGGGGCTGAGTTGCTCAAATACGGCTATCTGAGTCGTCCGAGACATTTTTCTGGATGAGCATGTTTCGCTTGATATTTGAATGCCATTTGTGCCAAGACTTATCCGTCCTTATATAACACTCGACATATCTATGACCCAGCAAAAATCTTGTGCCGTTGCGGGCCAACAGTGGGTCATCATACGTCCGGTGCTGGTCCGCGGAGGAGCTGGCCGCTGATAAGATGTATTGTGCCCGGGTATGTAGTCTAATGCAAAATGTTTACACTGAGCTAACTATGGGATTGGTCACATTTAGTGGCGAATCGTCAACGCTTAAACAAAGTTCCTGGGAGGTCTCCACCCGGCATGAACCAGAGGTCCATTCAAACATGCAATGGCGATCATATGCGTGGTGGATCACGTCCGACCTCAATCCAATCTCCGCCGCGGAATCGTTGGACGCAATTTTGCGGCCATGTATGATCTCAGCCGTGTCCAGATGCATCTGTGTTTCAGCCATGGAATATTAACTCATGAGCAAAGGTCACAATCGAATTGAGTGCTTGTGAGCTTACGAGCTCGATTATTAGTACATGCATGTCATCAGTGCAAAATATCCAAAGTTAAGCGCCGACCGAAGAAAGAGAAGGAAGACATCCCCATAGGCCTCGACGGGTTGATCCTTGAACTGATCACGGAGGTATCTAAGATCACGATTGAATCCATTCTATCACTTGAATCAATTGTGCAATTTTCCCCCAATGTTCTCGAAATCCGGCCGGAGGCTACAATAGGAAATCACCACCTTGTCAAGTAATAACTGTTAAAATGCTCAGCGCGCACATAAATAAACCCGTCTCCGGATCATTGCTCCTCCGAAACCAATTCCGTATACATCACTATACCACTAGGTGCTTTCGCACACTTTGAATATTCTCTGAATGCTGCTTCTCATGTCTAGGGTCTTCGCAGAAATCTGGATGCTAACCCTGGTGTGCATCTCTGGAGGCCATGGTCGATGTGTATAGTGATCGGAGACGCTCCCGTAGAGGCACCGAGGTAGACCACATGCAGCTTGTAGATGGGCTAGAAACTAGGCATCAATACGCGGTATCCTATCCAGCACTGTGTGGTACCGAGTGTAAGGTGGCTGTGCATTGCATTGCATGACGACTTCGAAATCACCAAGTAGTATAAACTCTTAAATTTTCCGGCATGGCCTCCCGTTTTACAGCATGTAAACTGATCGCCTTTGATCGGGAACCCATGTTCGTACCCAATGTGCTTAAAGTGGGATAATACAAAAAAGATTTAGCAGTTGGCATTGTAGACAAAACCACGAGAAATGAATTGGAAGTCCTGTAAGGCTGGCAGTTGACGGTCGAATTGGAGGTCGGCCACGTCATCTGACATGAACTGGGCAGTCTTGTCTCGGTACCGTTCTAGCTTTCGAAGAGTATTTCTAACGTACCAGCGTCATCAGGGTGGAATTTTGTCTCTTAAAACCAATCCATGTTTCGCAGATGCCTTGCTCCGCCACCCTTCCTCATAATCCTGTGGTGCGCGGTAGTCGTTTCATTGGGCATTCTTGAAGGTTTGCCTAGCATGTCAGCGTGGATATTACCAGTGTAAAAACAACTGGGGTTACATTGCATGCGAGAAAGTCCTTTCGGCGAATGACGTCTGTTAACTCCTCGTTTGGGTTGGCTGAGAGCAGATCCTACGCTAATATTGTAGGTGCGTTATACCTTCAGCTGATCCTCAGCGAGACATATAAGCAATCAGGCTCCCATCTTTCATTTGGAGACCTCTAACCCCAACCTCTTCCTAGGGTGAACGTGTACCTGGACGAACTTTCACGATTGAACAAATACGCATTATGCACCAAAGAGCATCGATTCTAGACTTTAAGATTGACTCGGTTGCTGGAGTGGAGACCTGTGAGCTCAAACGTTGCAACGGCCTTGCACAGCTGGAGCATTACTTCGAGGAGCACAAAAAGAATGCCAAGATTTCGAATGAACGCCGGCTACTGATCGTCGAGACTGCCACTAACGAATTCACTTTCCAAGGACTTAAAAAACAACTCACGTCGGAGCTCGGCGTATCTGAAGATATTTTCCAGAGGCATCAATGGAGCCAGACAACTTTTCGCTTCAATGAAGTGATCAACTGCCCAAGATTACCGACGACCGCCCGGCCGAGAACGTCTTTCAGCTTGGAATATTTTGAGCTGTGGCATGTCGACGCTTCATGCCACGCGTGGTTCAACCGTCATAACCCGGCTACAGTGAGATGCGGATCCACGGGAAGGCAAATCCAGTGCTACCACTGGATGGAGTCGCGGGGAAATGGATGGCTCTTGGTCGCGCCGCGCAAATGTTCCTTCTGGTCAAAACAAGACGGAGACGGATGGAAAGGTAATTGACCAACCTAAGCCAGCCAATACTCCTAAAACAATCATTGATGTGTTGTAACTGACAGTGTCTTATAGCGGTCATCCTTTGTGATCCAGCTCCCAGAACAGTCCGGTTGAATGATGATTCGGACACTTTGATCGACGTGAAGATCACCGCCTTCGAGAAGGGTTACCATGGCTTCATCCCTGATGAAGTTCGAGGATCCAAATTACGAGAGCCATCACACCTATCCTTGTTAGACGACATAACCTACTACTTCGAGCACTATGTGGATGTCCTCGGACATCTAGCAGACCCCGCATCAGCGGCGATATTCCCTCGAAAGGTGGTGGCCAGCCATTACTGTCAGCTTCTCGGATTTGTCAGTCACCAGACAGCCTCGATGCGCTCGTCCGGGTGGGCCGCCCAGCGTAGGACAGTGCAGGAGATCAACGAGAGCAACCAGGTCGAGACGGCATGGCGCCAATTCAAATGCCCGGAATACCTCGAAGCGCTGGGCGCCGTGCTGGACTCTCTCGGCATTCCTCAGGGGCACGAGCCTTATGAAATTTTTGACACCAGATCTGCAGTCGAAGTTTCATCAAAGTACAAGGCTCGAGAAAGGCCGCTGGATGACGACGACTGGCGGTCATCAGTGCCGGACTTCCTCTATCTCCACCGCGAATTCCGCGCACACCTGGCCGATTATGCGCGAATGACTTCATCGCTGGCGGCCCTGAATGGCATGATCGGCGGCCGCATAGCTATCCTCGAAGCTCGCACGGCGAGATCATTAACCCTCGTGGCAATGGTGTTTGCTCCGCCGGCATGCGTAGCCTCGATATTCAGCATTCCATTCGATATGTTCGGCCAGGATGGAGGCCCGCGTTTCTGGTGGTATTGGGTAGCTGCCATCCCCTTAACTCTGGTTGTATTCCTTTTGACATATCTGGTACATGAAAGGGATGGTTTCTTTAGGCTGTGGGAGACCAAGAAGAAAGCACATGGTCCAGAAGACATGAAAGACAGGATGGCAAATGGACATCACCGGTCTAAGGAATTGGTATAACCAGCTTGAATGACGTGAATTTCTAATGGGTAGATAAGGGTGGCCCATTCGTTGAGAGTATCAAATCAAAAACGCGCCCGAGTTACTGTCCACAACCGTCCCCGTCACGCTCGGGTCCTTCATCAGGAACAGATAAGCCTCTGCCACATCCACAGGCTGAGCTATCCTCCCCGTAGGTAGCTGCACAGTAACCACTTCAAAGTGCTTCTTCTTGCTCTCCTGGTCAAAGGTAGAGTCCCAAAGCTCAGTCTCCACCACGCCGGGGCTCACCAGGTTGACCCTGATTGGCTTCAAGTCCAATGCCAGGTTTCTGGTCAAACCATGAAGACCCGCTGTGTACCCTGCAACCATAGTCCACTTCAAAGATTTATGTTAACGGGCGTTCGGTTAGGCATGGGGGTGAGGCATCGGTGCATACAGAGGGGATTGGCTTCTGGCTTACAGAGCCAGTCGTAAGGATGATAGAAGAATATGGGCCAGGATTGAGATACTTGCTTCCGACCTTGGCCGCAAGCAAAGGCGCAACGAATCGGACATGACCAGCGGAGATGATCTTCTCGTAGGTGATTTCCTGAACGGGTGCAGCAGCAAGTTTGTCGCCAGCCGAGTAGACGATATGGTCGGCCTTTCCGACCTTAGAGAAAAGATCCTCGAGGTCTTGTTCTACGGTGGGCTTGGATAAGTCGCAAGTATAGCCGGTCACTTTTCCGTCTGGGAAGTCTCCCTTGAGTTTCTCCACGGCGGCATCGACTCGGGACTGGTTGGACGATGACACGGTCACCTGGGCGCCTGAGGCGAGGGATGCCTCTGCGACGCCGAAGCCGATTCCAGACGTTCCGCCAATAACGACAACATGCTTGTTGAGCAGCTTCTGATATTTGGAGGCCATACTATCGAGACTTTGAATGCGGAAAAAGTTAATGCGTTGGGGATGGATGGCTTTTGATCGTAGTAGACTGCCAAGACTTTGAAGATGTGCAATTTATATTACTTCTTCGTGGTAATATACAGCATTTGTCGATTACAAATTCGGCGGCGCGGCCGGCTGCTGGTGCAAGACTAGAATCCATTGCATCATCGACCGACACCATCCTTGGACGGTCGGCAGTTTGGTGCAACAGGACGTAGTCGGGTTTAGTCAGGGGTGGTTGCGTTGAGCGGAATTACTGACTTGGCCGGCTGCTAACTGCGAGATAAAAGCATAACGGCCTCAACTTCAGCGTTGACAAAGTACCTAGTTGCTGCTAAACGACCCTGTAAACTGTACATCAAGCGGTCAAATGTGGTGGTTCTCGGTAAGAAGGAATGTGCAATACAAGAAGCGCAGAAGGCTGCTTTCAATGTTATCCAAGCGCCGGACACCCAAAACGGACAGAGAATAACATCTGCGGCCAGCCCGAGATATTAGCTATAGTATGCCTGCTGGCCAATAGGTTCCAAAACGACCATTCTGGGATGCGATAACCGGATTTCCATGAGCGTCGTCAACATAGACGAACTCGGGTCCGACCCTTTGGAGATCCTAAGCCATGGGGACGATGTTCGTCGAGCCATCCCAATCCTCCGTCGCCGCAATGACCCATCGCCCGGATGGCTTGATGTCGTACGCGCCGGATGGGGCAATGCCAGAAGGAGCCCCGTCTATGATATTTTGTGTGAATCCCTTCCATGCACCAGAACCGTCGAGAGCCCACATGAGAACGGGTCCGTCGCATCCTCGGATCAGAGAGACGTCGCCCCAAATCCAGCTGCGATTGTCGACAGCGAGTTCGAGCCAGGTTCCGAGTGGTCGGGGGACACCGCCGAGGTTCCACTGTTTGATACAGGCGGTCAGCAAACAACTCAGTTGAACGAGGGGTTGGCGTCTGGCGTACCTCGTCTGTGCCACGTGTGATGCGACCTTGAAAATCGGCTGGCAGAGATACGAAAACCGTATGTTGGGGCGCAATCCAGAGATACTTCAACGGAATATAGTCGCAGAGGTTCTGGTAGACATAGAACGCGCGCCACTCAAAATCTGCGTTGGTGATGGTCACGCCGACGCCGCCACTGTCCGCGTCGCCCCAAGTAAAGGTTGGAGACGAAGCGCAGACCCATCGTTTCTCAAGCGTGGCTGCAGCTGGCGGGCGTGCCCCGGTGAGGCTGATGAGGAGGTTGTCTCGAATCAGATTTCCTTGTGCGTAGCTCACAAAGGACGATGGGGGGACAGAAAGTATCGAGGCAATGTCGGGATAGTCCTCGACGGACAGTGCAGGAAAAGAAGCCTCGATGGCAGTGAGCGTGAGGATCGTAGTCAAAATGACACTATACATGATGGCGGATCGAACTCTTTTGAGGCCCAGATGTCGAAACTGTCTCCGGAAGGGTAGGATGGTGAAGAGACGAGTCTGTTGATTCTGCAGGAAGTGTGGAGTATGGTTATCAAAACATTCCAAGGTTGCTTGGGGTGTGGGCTCCATTGAAAAAGAGGAAAGAGCAAATCTTCAAAGTCGACGATTACAATGGATATTCTAATGAAGAAGGAGCCAGGGGCAGGTTTATTACGGTGGCGACAGCCAGATTACCTACTTGAGTACCTGGGTACTCAAGGTGTACAAGCAATCTTGGGACCTTCAAGCTGGCTAACTTCTTATCGCAATTTGCAAGCCTAGCAAGAAGGGGGCACTTCGATTTCTACGAGGGCTACTCAAGTGGACATTGTGGCTTACTCCGTAGACCGCTTGAGAGAGGGGTCGATCGTTTGCCAATGCATCTTGGGGTTTCCCAGGATTCTGCCCAGGAAAAGTGGCCACGACCGTCTACCCCGATGTAAGGCTTGTCATCAATGGTATTATGATATGTAGGAATGGCTTAATGTGCTGTCCCACATCGCGACGTTTCCCATCCTAACTCTTTAATATAATTGATTTAAGTTATCAGAAAATTAAACTTTTTAATAAGAATTATAGATTATTAGGTTTGTTCTTAACTTTAACCACATTATATTTTTTATTTAATTATTTATCTATTTATTATTTTCTTAACTTTTAAACTAATTATTAACTTATATTTTAAATATAAAGTTAATAACTTCTTTTATAGAGCTCCCTTTTCTACTATATTCTTTATATATTATATAAAAGTAAATAAATTCTTAATAATAAAATAATATATTAAAAAATATTTAATTCTTAAATATTTAAACTTTTACTTTCTTTATATAATATTTATTTAATATATAGTAAATAAATTTTATTTAACTTTTAAAAGATTTAAACTTTTTTATAAAATTTATATTAAAAGGTTTTTTTAAATAAGTTTACTATTATACTATTATTATTTTATTAATAATTATATATTTAAAATAAGGATTATAATATATTTAATTTATTTAATAAAAATAGATTTAAATAGTTATATAATAAGTATATTAATAGAAAAAGTTAATTTATTAAGTCTTATATTATAAAATTCTTCTTTTATAAAAGTTATTTTAAAATTATTTTAATCTTATTATATAACTATTTTATTAATTATTAATCTTTATATTATTTATATTAATAATTTTAATATAATACTATTAAAAGTAATACTTTCTAACTTTATTTATATAATATAAAACTTAATTATATATTTATATATTATATTTCTTTTTTATTATTATTAATATTATATTTCTTTAAATATTAAATCTTAAATATTTATTATTATATAAAAATACTATATATATTTTATATATATAAGGATTAAAAATGAAACTATTTAGGTTTGTTTAATTTATACCTAGGTATATATCCTGATATCTGGAGTCTGTATAGCTCCTTTAACGCTCAAAGGCCAAACTTTAAAAATTCTACAATGTCAATAATAGTGGTAAAACACGATAGGTGTAACGATGTCTCAGCCCTGTGACGCACAGGCAAGGCTAAGGGGTATCGTACACATCCGTACACTCTGCTGTACAACATTATCGACGCTTAACTTTTCTCCACTGAAAGCATAGCGCTCTGAGATGCTGATGTTTGCGTCCTGAATGACGCTGCAAGGTCCGGCCATGCCTTCAAAACCTTCTTACACATATCAAGGGGAATTAAGGAAAGAGGATGAGACTATGTGTTGTGTCAGCTTGGTGTTCTATGAAAATCCATGACAGAAAACCATCAGTGCTTTGCTCACCTCATACAACTTGGTCTCCAGTAAACGATCGGTTAGGATCGTCAAGTTTTGTGCGGCAATGGAAGCTTGTTGGAGGTTCTCTAAGCCCAGATAATTCTCATCTGCATGCGCGTCTGTAACAAAGCTCATGTTCCAATACATGAAGAGAGTGATCGTATTCCACAGAACACTCTGAAGAAGTAAAGCTGGATCCACGTGATCCGTTTCGTTTGAGGAGAATTGAGCAGAAAGGTTGGCTCTTTCAGCCAGCCTGGAGCTGATCCAGCTGTGGCGGATCCAGAAACGATCCATACCCCTGCATTGAGCTTGTTCTAGAGACAGGTTCTGACGGTGCGACAACGCACAACCACAAATAGCAGCCAAAATGATGCTCTTGGTAAAGTCTGAGGTCCCTTCCTCACTTGCACATTCCGTCTTACTCAGACACTCAGTAAGATACACTGCAACGGCGGGTACACAGTTCTGGAAGTTGGAGTCGGGGATGGGTAAGGGGATTGAAGGCTATTGATAGTCTGTGTCAGCATTTTATTAGTCTACGGAAGGCTCAACTAACCTCGTCGCCAAAAGTGCAAGCTGAGTCGTTTCGCAGGCTAATCATGCGGTCGAGATAGTACGCAAGCCAGAATGCTCTTCTCTTTTCCTCTAGCTCAATCCAGTCCGTGGAAGGAGAGAAGCCATTTGATGCACTGATTAGATCCTGGAACCAGCCATATTGGATCAAGCGAAAGGCGCGACCAGCCGTCAAACAGCCCTGGCGAAAGTCTACATGTTTGATCTCGTACATGGACAAAAGAAGTTGGGCCTGGACCATCTCGAGGTCATTCAATTGAGCCAGGCTCGCTGTTTTACTGGCGAGTTCTATTTGTAAGGCTTGCACGGCGCTGCGGTACAATCGATCCACGTTGAGGTGGGTATGTTCGGCCAGCGTTGAACCCGCCAAGGCCCACATGGAATATTGGAGCGCGATTTGGGTTGCAGACTTGTCTGGCTTCCGACTCCAAGATAGGTAGCGGCGCTGATGGATTATTGGGGCGAATTGGTGAATGTTTTCCCAGTAAGCCTGATCTCTGAATTCTAGACATATCAGCAGGCATGCTCTGCCTCGTTGCTCGGGTGCCCGAGAAGAGTTGAGACATACAAGTTAGTCTGAGCCGGACCCGACGACGTTGAGTCACCGGATCGATCCGAACCAGTCGGTGACTGATCCGGGGACACGTCTGATGACCTTCTAGACACACATCGGTTATCCAGTGGTGTGCATTCGTACCCATCAGACCAACATGATGGGTCCATTGTTGACACGGAGGACAGCTTCCTACTAGCACTCGGGCTAGCCAATGAGGTATAAGGAAAGTCGTGGGCCAAATCCGGCATCGGCAGTCCACCGGTGGGCGACGTATAATTGAGTGTAGACATAGGCAAAGCGTCTAGTATTGGAGGTGGGAATAACTGAGATCCAGCCATAGTGCCTTCCCAAGGAATTCCCATTGTGTTCAAAAGGAACGAGTCATAATTATTTGTTTGTGTCGAGTCTTCTGGGTAAGACGGGGTTGGCATATCAAGCCCCAGAGCCTGAGGCTCGCCAAAGTAGAACGGGTCAAGTGAGGCTCGAGAGTCGATGGGTGACATGTTGTCAACACATTCACTATAGCCAGTATAATGGTGCTGTTGGTTTGCTTGGATTATTGATCCCTCAAGAGCAGCTGTCGATCAATCTACAGTTAGCGGGATATCGAAGTGTCTCAAGCTGGTGTTTACTTCTACAGTATATATATGCCAAACACAAGTTGATTTACTAACCAATACGCGCTTGGAGATCCTTGATATATCCAGGCTTTGGGCCCCGAAGAGGACGGGATGCTGCGACATGACACTGGGTACCGGATGCTTGACACGCGCCACATTGTGGCCGGTGACGGTCGCATCGCAGCTTGCGCCGACGGCACTGTTCACACGCCGCACCGTATTTTTGCCGTGGGTGCGGTGGCGAGCTATCTCGGGTGGCCAAGCCCGTAGAAGTCGTGTGATTCATCCTAGTTGTGGTTTAGATATGGATAATATATAAGTTCTTTATAAATGCAAGCAACGAGTCGATCAACGGCTACGACAGAGAAAAGTGTAAGGCTTTGCTGCAATTTTTCTGGCTGGAGTGCACTGCTCCTTACCTACTTAGGTGAGATTGGATTTGTGTAAACGACCGACAGTTCAGATGGACCAGTGTGGGAGTGGCACAAGGCTGATATTGTAGCCATTTCTATTTAATTACTTGCTTGCTCTCCTCACTGGATAACTGCTTAGCCTTGGGTCTTTCAAAAGAGGTTTCAAATCATCAAACGTCCCGTTTCGATGTCCGACGGTCCATGTGGCAAGTCTGAAGACATGTGGTTGCGTCGGCACTGTTCAAAGGCTCGATAGAAGTTGTCGGAGTTCTAGATTAGATATCTTGTCCCACGCAGCGCGCGGTGCTCCCGAACTCTTTTGGCTTAGTCACTTGCGAATGCATATGGTTCCTATCTGAGTAACCTTTGTACTTTCGTCCTATCCGCTGATTCGCGGCTATTGTATAGCACCCTGGGGCAGCCTACGCAGTACTCCTATCGAGATTGTCTGCCCAGGTGCATAAAGGATGCCGGGCATACTTCCGCGGCTGCCAATTAGAGATCCCTGCAACGTGCAGTATAAGTCCGGACCGCATGGAGAGCCAGGCCGATTTGAAATGATCAAAGCTCTTGCACGCCTGGACCTCGGAACGTTCCGCCGGCCTCGTTTTATCTGATCTAGGTAGACTTTGGTCAACGGACAACGCAGCAGCATTCAAATGGCGCTCCTAGCGCTTCTTGCGTGTGGCCCGCGGGATTGGACAAGCAAAAGCAAACCACTCCTTCTCCATGCACGGAGAAAGGTAGAATCCGTACTACCCTAACATACCATGGAGTTCAATTTTCACCTGAGGACAGCGCACGTTGGACCCTTAATTCTTCCTCCATCGGCTTCAGGACCAGCCAGGGTGCCAGGGTGGTCGCGCTACGCCGAAGTACCAAGCATTGCATTTATGCTTGGCATAGTATCATCCCACCGCGCTTCGAATCGTGTCGACTTTCGGATTGTCTTGTTCCTTTCTGCATTACTGCCAAATCTGGCCCAACATCATCGACAAAGCACCGCGACGCGTTGTTGATCCTGTGGTCATGTGACGATGACGAGTGATCTTGGAGCATGATCGAGGCGTTCTCTCTTGCCCTAGATTAGCGAGAATTCTCTGCTGTTTGAGACCCAGGACATACGATGCACTGGGTATATGCTCCGAAACCCCGGTCCCTGTTGGCCTTGCCACCCCGTGGGACCAGAAGCTTGGCCCCAATCTGAATCATCTTGATCTTACAGGTGTGGTATCGGATTAGAGTTCAAAGACCCAAGATGGAAATTGTTCCTGCACTCACCACGACCCGTTCTTTTCAAGGGTAGCCATCTGGAGTTTGTTGTTCAAGCGACATGAGATCGAGGCATACTTGGCTGATGGGTCTCTATATCTCTCCGTTGATACGATAGTTTTGTCAACATTGAGGGACTCCAGAGGACACTAAGAAACATGGAATGCCGCTTGCATTAGCTTGCTAGCAGAATTACCCTCTTTCTCCTAGTAAATGTCTTTTGGTCGTGAGCCTTCCCCAGCGCTAGTGCACTGCCGCCCGTGCAATGATGGGTGCTGATGGGACGCTCGTGGTTAAACCCCAGCAGCTAGTGTGCCACAGTCTGGTGGACGACTTGAGAACTAATAACTACTTCCTGATAAGAAAAGACTGCAGAAACATTTTCGTTTAAGCCTGTGAGCATTCTGCTGTCTACTACTGGGAAGTGGCATTCACAGATTGGAGAAGCAGGCACGTAACGCTCTTGAGGGGCTAGAAAACAAAGTGGAGATGAACGGCCACTTCGGGGGACGCTCACTTATGCCTTGTGCCGTCGGATCGAGGAGCGGGAATTAGGTCTGATCCTCGACAAAACCACTATAGCCGCTGGTCAACATAGATTTGGTAACTCGAACACGCGCTCCTATCACTTCAGCAGTAAGGCGTTCAGTCGTGGCGTAGTCGATCGAATAAAACGCTTGAAATGCTAAGACTCCGGTTCCACGAAAAGCGTGCATGTGCATGAGCTCGCACACAGAAGCGCACCATCACGTTTCCGCCTTCCCTCGGGCCATTAGATCTCATCACACATTGATGCCTTGCCTCCGAGGTCCCCTGCACCTGCATCTGCACCCCTCCCCCCCCCCCCCGAAAATATCCTCGGATGCGATATGATCTCGCTTTGCACTCAGGAGGCGGCAGAGTCAGTCGGTAATCATCTATCTGCCGCAAAGCTGTGTGATCAGTGTAAGTTCGCCTTGATGTGTCTGTCGGGCATTGAGGGGTCCTGTTCGGGGCTCGAGCGCGAATACAAACTCCATGCTCGGACACCGCCGCTAAAAGGAGTCTTGATACACCAGGGAGTTTTTCAGCCAGCGCCAAGTCCTAAGCTCCAATTCCAAAAAGCCCTGCTGATCCCCTTCATCTATTCTTCGAGGCCCGGTCTATTTAGTCCAAATCATGCCCAGCATCAATGGGATGAATACCACCTACCTAAGTACGTAGTAGAATTGGATTCTCAAGCAGATGCATTTTTCAACACCTAGTCTGTAATGATGTGCACACACGCTTACTCGTCAGTGGGACTCGCAACAAGCTTCCAGCCGCATGCTTTCGAAACTCTGGCCACTGTCGCCAGCCTCAGAGAGCGGATGTCTCCGGTGCGATCTCGGAACTTGGCAGAATGACGTCTTGTTGGAGTGGCTTATTCGTTTTTGTACAGATGGATCTATGCGCGGAACTTCCGGATGGTGAGTCAGTCAACATGATAACGCATCATGAAGTAACCGTACGCCGTTGCGAGCTGGCACTCCAACCCACGCGGGCCTCGGTGCCAGCCTCCTCTCAGGCAATCAGGGTGCTACTACAGGGCTTGCAGGATGCGTTGTCTAAGGCCTTACACCTGTACTCCGTAGGTAGCACTTGCGTCCTGATCTGGTAATCTTAATGATCACGGCATATTACTTTTCTATGCCAAGGACTCGGGGTCACACGGGTGCGACGTCCACTCCCGGGATCATATTCGATCCCCGCAACTACAACCCCCTATCAGATCACAGAGTCGGACGGCCTGAGCCTCAACCTTAAACCCAAAGATTCTAGTACTATATTCCGCAGCTGACACAACCTTCATCCCTGGATGTCCATGTTGAATTTGAGCACCTCGGCCATTCACATGTCCAGGCTGGGAACGGCCCTGCGGCCTAGCTTCTGAACGACAAGGCAAAGGGCTTCCTCGGCGTCGACGTGGTGCGTACCCTCTGCCATTCAACAAGGTCAGACATCTGCGCCGCAATAAGCTGCGTCAACGACATTTGCGTTGTTGATTCCGGGCATTGGCAATTTGTGTCTCGTTTTGTCTATATTGAACGTGAGGGGGTGTGATACCTCCCTGCAGCTGTGTTCTTAAATCCCCGACCGCCAACCTAAATGCCGTAGCGGGAGTTCAGACGATCAGATGACAGCTGTCGCTGCGGTTAGCCCGCTCCAAGGCTTTCCGTCGAGAATTTAGAGTAGGGACGGCAAGGCTCCAGGATATGCTTGCCACTTCTTACCCCGTCAGCACGCAACCTTGGAACCTGGTCTTCCACAGGGATTGATATGCAGGATACCAAAGTGTTCCATAGCCTTGCTATATAGCTTTAGTGGGCATTGAATAGCAAGATGATCTTTAGCACCACGGCTAGTCTCGTCAACGTTGTGCTTTGTTTGCATCTGTCGCTACCGAGCGGAGCGAATCCTCAGCAATATGGCATCTCCTCCTGCAATAGACGACACATATCTTCGATACAGTGGCAAGCCGCAACACGAATCTCTATACACGACGATACTCACAGGCGAGCATGCCGCTGACCGTCCAGATACTCCTCGTCCTCCGCTCAGTGTCTGGCCGGGTGGCCGCAATAGCACTGGCAGACACTCGTATGTTCCGCCGCCGTACACGGACAGAGTCAACAGCACCAGACAGTCGGCGCTGCGAACCCTGCAGCAAGGTTACCTACAACAGCCTCCGAATGGTCCAATCCAAGAGGAAGTCCACGGTAAATGCCACTATCGCTATTCTCTCGTGGAATGATGATCGACGACTGAAGTCTAGTTAGTCACAGAGATCGAATTGGACTGGCGGCCCTCGAAGTCCTTTATGTTTGCATTTGGGTCGCTGATCCTTGTCAGCGTCTGCGTCTCTCTCGAAGCCGCTTGCCTCGCCCTGGCCCTTCCCGCCATCGCCACCGAGCTCAAAGGCTCATCGATTGAAGCCTTCTGGACAGGTAGCAGCTTTCTGTTAGCTTCTGCAGTCTCCCAGCCAATATTCGCCTCCTTCAGTATCCTGTTCGGCAGGAAGTTGGTACGCACAACTCTACTTTTCCTAATGTCCGCTTCTTTATCTGGTTCGTTGCGGCTGGATCATGTGGCTCCTTTAGCACTTATGTGATTACGCGAGACAAGGACTTCCGACATCTATTATTTCGCTGACACTTCCGACTTAGATGATACAGATATCATGTGTCTTCTTCTGCACTGGTTGCGTAATCTCTGGTCAGGCTCACAACTTTACCGTCCTCTTAGCTGGGCGTACCATCATGGGGATTGGCGGTCAGTCTCCGAAGTCCGGTCTTTGGCAAATAGCGTGGCACTGATACCTTGAGAAACAGGAGGTGGGATAATCACCTTGGCTGAGACGACGGTAACGGATCTGATTCCTCTGAGATATCGTGCAAAGTATCTCGGATATCTTGGTTCGGGTATGTAAAGATCTTGTTTTTCCATAAGCGTACCCATGATGACTACCAGGTTAACACGCCTCGTCGGTCCAGCGTGGGCCGCGGGAATGGTATCAGGGCCACTGCTCGGTGCCGTTCTAGTCGAAAAAGCAACATGGCGATGGATCTTCTGGATCATGATTCCCTCTGTCGTGCTTGGATTCCTGGCCATCACCTTCTTCCTCAACCAAACACCTGTCCCTGGGGATGTTCTCCCCAAACTGCGTCGCTTCGACTGGATTGGTGCCATTTCACTCACCTTCTCGCTCGTCTGCTTCCTGATCGGCCTCTCCTGGGGTGGCGTCCAGTACGAATGGGGCGACTGGCACACATGGTTTCCAATGGTCCAGGGAGCCGAAGGGATTATTCTCACCCTGGTGTACGAATTCATGCTGGCAAAGGAGCCAATCATCATACCGACCATTTTTAACAACAGGAGCATGATCATCTGCTACTTGCTAGCCATCGCACACGGGTCAGTGGTATGGTGTTTGCTCTACTTCTTGGTCATTTACTATGAGGCTGTCAAGTTTTACGGAACCATGAGCACTGCTCTCTCAGCAATGCCTGAGAGCGTTACAATAGTCGGTAAGTCTAGACTTGATTGGCTTCTGGAAGAAATTGTGTGGCCATTGCTGACTCGTTGAGTAGCTGCGGGTATCACAGCAGGCCTTCTAGCTACCAAGACTGGAGAGTACCGCACCTTCATCCGCTTAGGATGGGCTGTAACGGTCTTTGGTTTCGTTCTATTAAGCTTTCTCGACCAAAACACCTCCGTATTTGGCTGGATAATCCTCAACATTCCAATCGGCATATCCACAGGAGTTCTGTTCACAACGGTCCCAGTTGCCATCCAGGCTGCTGGTCGGCCGGAAGATGCCGGACCTGCAGCATCCTTCTTCTCTTTTAGCCGCTCTCTCGGACAAGCCATTGGTGTCTCCGTGGGGGCCACGATATTACAAAACCGTTTCAGAGCAGTGGCTAGCGGCCTACCAACCATCGCGTCGGCTGCAGACGAGTTCAGCCACCAAATAGAAGGTCTCATCGCGTTTCTGAAGGCACTGCCGGCTACATCAACCATGAGGAAGGAGCTGGTTCAGGCATATTCAGAGAGCCTGAGAAGCCTATGGTATTATGTGGCTGGCTTTAGCGCGGCTACCCTTGTGCTCAGCTTCTTCGTCAAGAAGTACACCTTAGACCAAGTTTGGAGGACTGGCCAAGCTTTGATAGAGAAGAAGAAGACAAAGTGTCGGGTCTGACGGGTACGAATATATCAAATTATTTAAGACGAAGCATCAGCACCGTTTCTTCCAAGAGTTTTGAGTTGCAGTCAATTTCTGTACAGAACGGTGTATCGGATACCTGCACAGCCGGCCGAAGTCGTGCATTCTTTGGGATGCCACATGACACATAAAATTAACATAAAATAAAGAATCAGTTCTATCTATGTGGATCCAACATCACAAATTCCAAATTCGTGTTGAAGAATCTTTACGGCACTGAGCAATAAGTGTGGAGCGACTGGTAACAGTCAATGCCATCTGGAAGCTGTGCTGAAGACGAACCGGTTGGAGAGCCCAATGCTTGGCTAGATTATTGGCTAGATATTTTCCTCCCTCACTTTATTTTCCTTCTTCCCCTGACCCGATCAACGTCTCCTTATCACCAGACACTTCTCCGCCTACCATCCATCCGATCCAACTCGGCACGGAAGATTCACACTGCCCGCAACAAAACCATTTTCACGCGGAGGAACCTGGCATACAACAGTCAAAACTACTGACAAGGATCGAGTTTTTCTCCAAAATGTTCAGGGTTATGTCAAGCCTGGCATGCCCAGAGCCCTGATGGGATAGTTGCATGTAGTCTCAGCCTTGCGACACATGCTTCACTGTTTAGAAACGGTATTTGAACTTAGACACGCAATAATGAAGGATTGTCGTAAATACGTGCAGATATGAGTCAGCATCACCAGTCACTTTCTCGAATTTTTGGAAGGTCAAAAAACGCATTCAAGGAAGTTACGGACACATGTGCCGAATTGAATCAGAAAAAAAGCTTATTCCCCCTGTCATAAGATCCGGTCTGTATTGTCTCACCCACTACTTGAGTCCCTCGTTCAAACTCAACTATACCCCAAGCGGATTATGCTCAAACTTATGGGCAAGCCTTGAGGCCACCTGATGAAAGCCGCATGTCAGTGACGAATTATCAAGAAGTAAATACTGACGGAAGTATTGGGAGGAATACGTACTCTCGCAGCCAGTGTTGGTATACTTGCGGTCAACGTAGCAGCCCCAGCCAGGGATATGGTCCCACTTGTTGTTGACCAGGCACTTCACACCAAAACGACCACTGGTGGGCGTGATGGTGGTGCGGACGCCGTTGGTGCCAGGCCCATAATAGCAGGGAGCAGAAGCGACAGTAGGATAGAGCGTGCACCAGTTGTCTCGCTTGGAGAGGCCAGAGTCGCTCTCGGCCATGGGCAGTGCGACAGGGGCAGCCTCGGGCTCGGCTTCTGGGACCGGGTTGGCTGCCACGCTGGCAATGAGGGGAATGATAGTCAGGAAGAAGGTGGCCTTCATTTTGAATGCGGAAAGTGTTTTCAAATAGTTTTATGACGAGGATCAGGCTAGAGAGCTGGAGGATAAAGTGTGAGATGCTGATGCTGTTTCGAAGAGATGTTTTGGGGGGTCACCATGCCCGTTTAAATAGTTTTTTGAAAGCTCAGCCGTCGCGTCGCTGCTTCATTGAATCGCGATAGCCTCACGGAAGAGTGTATATTCATTACGAAATAATTATTCGCACAAAGCACTTGAGGCTATCATGTTTAATCAAGTCTGACACTTCAAGGCTGCTTTGGCGGGCCGACATGCTGGGCCTCGCCTTGCCAAGCACCAGTCTCCTGTGCGCGATGTTCAATCCAGGGGTCTTCGAAGGGCTCTGGCCATGTGTTTAATCTTGGCAAGAACCGTTTCCACAAGGGCTGGCGTAGGGCGAAGTGACCCTAGGTCTATTTCAAGGGCCTCAGGGTAGCTTAGTCCCCGAAGCTGAATGGAGGAGCTCGCACTAGCGTCCAGCCAGTGTACTAATTATGCAGCGATTCGGACATGGAGGAATGGCTGAACGAACCAAACTGCGTGGCGCGTGACCTCAATAGGGTTGGGACATAAAAATATCCTCACTTATAGTATACATTATATTAACGTGTCAGGGGAGTTGTATGTGGCGGCAGGGGCAGAGAGAACTTTTGTATTAGTTTCGGTCACATTGGCTATTGTCAACGGTTACGCGGTCCAATGAATGCACAATACACTTGGGCCAAGAGAAGACCTTGATTATTGGAATGACTCAGATGCTGTGCTTTCTCGGCTCTCAAAACTTTGCAGGAGGGTATTCACGGCTGGAGGACCGCCTTGCCTCACTTCTGCGCTTGCAGATCAGCTCCAAGGATTCTCATTACGCATGGTGCGCATCCGTCGAGGCAAGCCTTGGAAACAACAAATCAAGTCTCCTAAATAATCCGAATTTCGGTCCATTATCAGCCCGATCTTACACGATAGGGGCCATTGCCTCTACTTCCATCAATGTCTCACGTCTGACGCATAGGGAAGATAACTAGTTAGTACCTAGGTACGGATCACTGTACGGTGCAAATGTTTCGATTTAGATTGGATCCTCATCATGACAGCCAATTCAAGAATAGTTTGGTCATGGTATGAGTAAATTCCTCAGATTTGATGAGTCTGGAGGTGTGCACAAGTGTCCAATAACATTTGAAGTGTTGTGGTGTGGATAATAATAAAGCCGTGAGGCCACCAGGTGCATCACCATTATGATAAGGCAAGTGCAAGGAGTACAGGAATTCCTTCACTCACCTCAAAATAACAGATAACATTGATTTGATGGATGAAACTCGAAAGCCATTGGTGAAAGACATCCCAAGGCAAGATATATTAATACTGTATGTTTTTCTTTTGAAAGGTCTTGAGTGCTTACCACTATATGAAGGCCCCATGTATGTCCTCGGGCATATGCGGAATGGAAGCGAACCAGTTACAAGATCTTACTTTCATACATAGAGCTCTAAATTAAAATGTGAAAAAGAAGTCTTAAAAGAACCTCTTTCTTTTCATAATAGTTTCTATTATACTGAGACTATATTTAGGAAGTTTATCTTTTTGTGATTTTGTTGTAGTCTGTACGGGAATGTGAATTTAGCAGGGGGGGCTCTACTTCGTTTTTCCCTAACAGTGGCCGAGAGTCTTAAAATGACTCGGGGCCTTGCCTCTTTTGAGCGGCATCAGCGCGGCCGGGTCAGGCGGATAACAGTGGGTTGCTTTTCCCAGAACCACCAGATACCCTGCTCTTCCCACCTCGGTAGCTCTATACCCGAGGCGACGGATAAATCAAAAGCCCACAGAAGTTTTGCCAGGATCAACCGCAGCTCAAGCCAGGCCAAATTTTGTCCAGGACAGTTGTGCGGACCGAGAGAGAAAGGGTTGAATGCTGCCTTGTCGTCCCGCAAGCCGCTATCCGAGTCGCTGAGCCACCGTGCAGGCATGAAGCGCTCCGGCTCGTTGAAGTTCCGCTTGGCCCTGTAGCTGGCCCATGGCGGGACGGAAACAACCGTGTTGGGAGGAAGCACCTCGCCAGCGACAGTGGCTCCCCCAGGAGGTACATTGCGGCGCATGGAGTCCGGGATCGTTGGACAGAGTCTCATACCTTCGTTCAATACTGCATTGAGAAGGGGAAGCTTTTTCAATCTTGACCCTGTGATCCTGTCGTCAGTACTGAAAGAAGTACGGACTTCGCCTGTGACAGCAGCAAGGTCCTTCGGATTGCGCAGGAGGTAGTTGAGTAGCCCAGACAACACAGTTGTGACTGATTCGCTGCCTGCAGCGACCAGCATCATTGCGTTAACCTCCATTTCCTCGCGGGTCATGGACTCGGATGTAGAATCCTTCTCACACTCTAGGAGCTGACTGAGAATATCGGGCCGGTCTGAGCCGGTGGCAATCCGATCGCGAACCTTCTGTTCAGTGACGCGCCACATCTCCATCACCTCGTTCAACGCAGACGAGGGCGTGATAGCCATGAGCGTTGCGTAGAGCCATGGATAGAATTTCGCAGACGTGACTATCGTGGCTGCCTTAAATTGGCTGACGGTCTGGATCCAGGGATGCGTTGTTAGACCTTCCAGACAGCCGAACGAAGACCCCCAGACCAAGTCTCCAACGATGTCAAACGCCACGTAGTTGATCCACTCCACAGCGTCTATATTGGCTGAGTCACGGGAAGTCGACTCGGAGTTGTCGATGCGTTCGTTTAGCTTCGAAACTAATTTGTCGACATACATGGAAACAATAGGCTCCTGTGCGGCTGTGTATCGCTCTGAGAATGCCGGCGCCAAGATCCTTCGGAAACGGGCGTGTTCTCTCTCGGTGCATGCGATCAAATTTGATGCAGTCTTCCCTGGTGGCTGATCCTTATACTCGTATGGGCGAACGAAGTTCTTCGGGTAGATGTCTCTCCAAGCGGCAGAATCAATGAAAGATATCTCATCTGGAGCCAATCGGACGATGTCGCCATATTGTTCATGCAGCTTTTTGATGTCGTGCGGCAATCGTCCCCGAATGAATGATGTAAGAAAAGGCAGCCGAAATGCGCGCCAGAAAAAGGGTCCTGGGTATTTTGACAGCGGATGAAGCCAAACATTGTACACCAAAAGACAGCCGAGATACTGTAACTCATTAGAACGCGTTTGGGCAGCATGATGTCAAATAACAAGGCTTACCCCCGCTGCCAAAGTTGAAAAGAGGACCAAGACGTCCAGACTCGCAGTCATGTTGCACACAGCGCAGACAACACTTGGGGTGTGAATTCAAGAGGACAAATTCGTGTCCATAAGTAAGGCTGTCCTTGGTGTGTCGTCACGGCTGCAAGGTTCGATCTGACAGGAAATGTAGGTCAATTTCGTAAGGACCCCTACTACCGAAGGGAAAGGAAGGACAGCAGGCGGAGCTATATACCTACGGTAGAGTGGCAGTGGGCTGATAAGATAACATTATCGATAACACCCGAGAGCCCAACACGCCTATAGACAAAAACAAAGGTTTCTCGTGGCCTGATATGGAACGGGAAACACAGTTTCTAAGCAAGAAATTGGGGAAAATTATTGGAATCACGCGGACCAAATTGTCTTCCCATCGTCGAAAAATCCCTACTTGGACAAGACCACAGCATCAGAAGAACCACACAGTCGGCAAAATACCTAGCTTGGTGGTTTCTTTTCTAATACCCCGGGCCATGCATATAAAACATACCTAGGTATGTGGCGCCTTCATGGCAAGCGCTTAAGACACATTGTTTTAAGAAAAAAAGAATACAATATCAATAAAAGTACAGAGAGAATACAATGCTGGTTAGGCTCAAATGACCTGAGTTTTGAACAGTATCACAGGGCCGAAAACAACAGGCGCCTTGGCGCGCCTGCATGGCTAGGATGTCAGCGACCCACCGCAAGCGGATCAATAAGCGAGAGCGACATTTGAAGCCTTGGTATCCAACAAGGTTGCGCAACGCATGAGCGGCGCAGCAAGCAGCCTCACCAACAGCTGGCCAGAACATCGGTCACTTCTCACCTGCCAAATTCGGTGTTTGTTCCGGGCATGTTGGTAGTAGCGAAAATGTCAGTAGTCTCTCCCGGGGTGAAGACGGCGTTGGCTTTTTCCAACAGTTACACCTGATACTGGTAGCCGTATGAGTCTGGGGTCCTGCGCCTCACTGTTGGTTGCTTGCATGCATATTCCTTCGCATTCCTTCGAGGACCCACTAAAGACACCTCGGTAATAAAGACAAACAAGTCGCCTTAGCTGGTGGGTCGTGCGTGCGTTGGCCTTGCCCTGGACCACCTGCGCAGTTTGAGAGTATCCCGTCGATGTGAAGTGATTATTTTTCATTCTCTCTTTCAAACATGTCGTTGTGTGTTCCCGGTTCAGTCATTTTCCCAAGTCATTCGGAAGCAGTCGTCGCCATGAGTCTCAAGCCCATCAAATTGTACTGGAGGAGTGAGTATGAGGTGGTTTCAAATTCGTCACCATACGGGCTTTGCTCACACCTCCGCAGACCAGGTTCCCAACCCTTCCAAGGTTCTTATTATCCTGGAAGAGCTCAACATCCCGTACGAGTCATCCTGGGTCGAGCTTGATGGCCTGAAGCAGAAGCCGTACACGGATGTCAACCCCAATGGTCGCGTTCCTGCCATCGAGGATCCAAACCACAACGTCACACTCTGGGAGTCGGGCGCTATTGTCCAGGTGAGCCCATCCCCAGTAGAGTCTACCATTGTTTCTACTTCGAATAGGAGCTCACACCCCTCAACAGTACCTGGTCGATACCTACGACAAGGATAACAAAATCTCGTACAGCACCTTTCCTGAAAAATACCTGACCCAGCAGTGGTCATACTATCAAGCCTCTGGCCAAGGCCCGTACTTCGGTCAAGCTGCCTGGTGAGTCCCCAGGTGCTGAGACAATGCCCAATTCCAATTGGTCTGTCGAATTCGTACACGAGAGCTCTGGTTAATTCTCATTGTCCCGAAAAGGTTCAACCTCTTCCACGCAAATGTCTACGGCGAGTCCCCAGAGTCAGCCAAGGTTCGCTACGGAGCCGAAGTCAAGCGTGTTGCTGGGGTTCTCGACAGCGTCTTGTCCAAGTCAGAGTGGCTTGTGGGTGACAAGTGCACGTATGCTGATTTGGCCTTTACAATGTGGAATATGCAGATTGCTTTCTTCATGGGTAGTCGCACTGGCGAGAATGCGTGGACCCCTGATGAGTTTCCCCATTTCTCCAGGTGGCAGAATGCTTGCTTGAACCGGGACAGTGTCAAGAAGGTCCTGAGTGTTCTGGGCGATCAGGAAGTCAAGAGCAGCTAGATAGTACTGATATGTGAGCTTCATCTCGTGGACTCAGCGGGTTGTTTCTGAGCATCATCAAATATCAATTGTTAGCATACTGTGCAGTAGACTTGCTGTGACAAGCTCTCGGGGTACCTAGGTAGGTACTCTGTCTTTCCAGGCATGAACGCTAATAAGAAATCGCGTCGATGTGCCACTCTGTTCCTCGTCCTGCAAAGTCTCGCGTCAAGCACGCTGACTCTTGATGCATGTGCAACACATAGAAATTCGCCCTATTCTAGATCTACAAATCAAATTTGCCATCAATTCTTCATAGGATTGCATTTATTTTATAAACGTTGTTTGCCGTCCATACCATTTCCTTGCGTAGTTCATGACAATTATTCTCCTCGTCCCATAGATCTCGTCAATTAGTTAATACATGTATTTTGGATCTGCCCTGCCCTGCCCTGCACCCCAAGCGCAAACATCTCCAGATCTGCAACCCTGCCACACATTTAATGTGGACAATTAGTGTGGGTGTGTACCATTGAGTGTGATTCCCATCAACTGAATCCTTCCAAATTCTTGAGTTGGGAATGTCGTCTGTAGAGTGCGAGGAAGCCTCGAACCAGCACTGAAGTCCCTCGGTCAGTTACACGGTCTATATTGAGTTGCTGGGCAATCCTCTTCAGGAATCGAGGATGATTTCTGATACTGGAGGATAGTTTCTGATATTGATCAAGTATACATTTGGATCCATTGACAGAAGTTTTATTAGTTCGCAATTGCCCTAAGCTACTGCCTGACCGTAGCACTCCAGTTCTCAGCCTCTTCAAGTTCCGCTGCTGTGGCTGGAGGAATTAGTTTGGCGAACAGACCAATCACATTAGTCTGACATCCGCTTAGGGGGCTGACCCATTTATTTGCACCGCCTCCCGCATGCGCTAGGGCCGTGTATTTACGTGTCCCCCTAATTCCGTGTTATCCTACTGGTCCGTTCGCCAAAAGCTTCAGGCGCATTGCAGCGTCGAGTTCCCAGAGGTGCACAGATCGTTGAAAGCGCCCAATATAAATGAGGACTGTCCCAACTCTACTGACACTTTCATTAGCCACTGCCTTCCACAACGCTGCATTCATTTTGTACTCGCTACACATAAAAGAAATCTCACAATGTTCTCTTTGCGGGCTTCTGTTCTAGGTTCTGTTCTTGGTTCGGTTGTTGTATCCGGGCAGTCGTTCATCCCATTTCCAGACGATGTCTCCACCATACAGTCCGTCAACTACCCGGGCTCATCTATCTCGTATAAAAAGGTACGGCGGCTTTCCTATTGAAAAAGAAGCGTTGTTGATTTTGAACTTTCACTCGGCTCTGACTAATTGACTATCCAGACGGGCCTCTGCGAAACTACCCCGGGCGTGAACAGCTACTCCGGCTACGTCACTTTCCCAGTGGATAATAGCTACAACGCGAGCATATTCTTTTGGTATTTCGGTGGGTAAACTCGAGTACATAGTGCTGACAGACGACTAATGTGGATGCAGAGGCCAGAAATAATTCCGCTAATGCGCCGACAACGATATGGATGCCCGGCGGGCCGGGTGCGTCCTTTTTGGATGGCGGCGAGGATGGCTTTCCCTGCATCATCAACCCAGACTCAAACAGCAGCACCCTCAATGAGTGGTCTCTCAACCGTAACAGCAACATGCTTTACATCGATATGCCAGTACAGACTGGTTATTCGTACACGGAAATTCAGAACGGCACATTCAACACGATCACAAAGGAGTTCACGCCGTTGGAATCCACGGCGGACCAGACCGTGGAATCAAATCAGACGACTTTCCTCGCCACGATGTCTAGCCAATCCCAGAGCCGAACTGCAAATACAACTGTCCAGGTGGCGAAGCAAATGTGGCAGATCGCCCAAGTGTGGTTTCAAGAGTAAGAGGCACCCGATCCATGCCAGGGGCTTTTGTGTCTTGTCCAGATTTCTCACAGCGATGGTGCATAGGTTTCCCGAACGATCAACCACGAACCCGGAGATAAACCTATGGTCAATTTCGGTACGTCGCATCCAACATGTACACAACTCAAAATTGGTGGAGGCATCAGCTAACATCTGGACAATACAACAGTACTCAGGCTTCTTCGGACCCGCAACTATCGCTTACTTCCAACGACAGAACGCGCTCATCGCCAACGGCAACGCAACCAACGAGAAAGACAAAGCGTTGCAGCTTGGGACGCTAGGAATCATCAACGGGTGTATTGACTCGGAAAGCCAGGTCTCATTCTGGCCCACGTTCGCCATGAACAACACCTACGGCATCAAGACCATCCCAGAAGAGGCTTACAGCATGGCCGTGGGTAACTTGTCGACGGCCTATGGCCTCATGGACCAATGTCGATCTGCTGTTTCCGCGCTTGATCCTGAAGGCACCGGCGCCGTGGATGAGGTCAACCAGGCATGTGCTGCTGCACTACAGCTGGGATTCGGCTTTATCCAAGGGGTCTACACAGAGCTCTCAAATGTATGCCCATCCTATAAAGATGTATCAGAGGTTCGGTCGAGCTAATTGCATTCTTGCAGAGGAGCGCGTTCGACATCACCCTTCCTTCACCAGCCGCGTTCCCACCGGCCTACAGCCTCGCGTACTTTAATCAACGATGGGTCCAGGAAGCTCTCGGCGTCCCTGTCAACTTTACTCTCAGCGCAAATTCTGTGGTCAGCAACTTCTTTGGTGGGACTGGCGATCCGGTGATAGTCACCAAGCGGGAGCTAGAGGCTGTGCTGGACTCAGGAGTCGGTGTTGCCATGGTCTACGGAGATCTCGACTACCGCTGCAACTGTAAGCCCTTACTCACATTCCCCTGCGTCGGGCCATACTCGGTATTAACAACCAAACAGGGATGGGCGCAGAGAACGTCTCGCTCTCAGCTTCATACCCAGATGCATCCTCCTTCCGGAACGCCGGGTACGCGCCCATCACGACCAACTCAAGCTACCAAGGCGGCCTCGTCCGGCAGTTCAAGAACTTCTCCTTCTCGCGCGTCTTCGAGGCCGGTCACGTAGCCGGTGCCTACCAGCCCGAAACGATCCTCCGCATCTTCGAGCGGGCGATCACCGGCAAGGACGTCGCGACCGGCGAGGCAGACGCCGGCGCGTCTTCGAGTTACGCCTCCCAGGGCCCAGCCAGCACCTTGAACGTGACGAACGAGATTCTTGATCCCATCATTGAACCAATCTGCTTCTGGTATGATGCGTTTGAGACCTGTGATGAGGCGCAGCAGGCTGCTCTGGGGGCGAACGCCGCTATCATTGAGGATTTTGTTGTGGTCAGCCCGGCGGGGACCTTCTCGAGCACGTATGGGAATCCTACCGCCACAGCTCCTGCGCCTCAGGCGACTGTGTCGAAGTCTGCGGCTGTAAGGCGATACAAGATCATGTTCTAGTATTTGGAAAGACTATAGAGTGGATTTCGTTGCTCATGAGGGTGGGATCGACGAGTAGTCATAGTCTGGGTGCATCCAGCCTTGATCTTTCATGTTCGTTTAAAGAGTTCATGTCACTTCGATATTTGGGGTCGTTTAGATTTTTTGTTGAACATGTTTCACCATCCTGGGCTATATACATGCGAAAGGAAGAATAAGTAGTTACAAAAGAATCCAACACGCTCCAGTTTTATGCTTGATCTTTGGGGTTTGTCGGTCTGTCATGGCTCTGGTCCATGTCTCGGTAAATATATCCTCCGTTATCCTCAAAGGGGGGTTTCTCGTGTCCAATTAAAAAATTTAACCCTCAGTGACGTCGGAGCCGTAGATGCAGGTCTTGCCGTCCGCACCGGAGCCGATGCTGGTGGGCTCGCCCGAGCCCTCTGTACCCTCGAACCTCTCGCAGATGGTCTCCACGCCGGTAGTCTTGGTGTTGGTGATGGTGGCGGTGTCGCCGAAGTTCTCGTTCACACCGGCGAGGATGTCACCCGAGTTGGCGACAACGCCATCGATGGTAACGTGACGCTCGTACATGGTGTCGCAGTTGCCGCAAGAGCGGTACAGCTTGCCGAAGTTCTCGACGGTGAAGTCAGAGATGGCGACAGTGCCGGCACCGTTGTGCTGGATGACCTATTATTGGACACGTATTAGTATCTTGTGTTCCTAGTGCTCAATTAAAAATGTAACATGCTCACCTTGTCGTCGGCGTTGAAAGCACCGCCACCGTTAATCTTGGTGGTGGCACCAGCCTCTTGGTTCTTAATGGTGAAAGCATCCTCGCAGACAGCAGACCACCAGACGTTGGTCAGGGTGCAAGCACCCTGGCAGTGGATACCCTCGATCTGGTTGGGGCCGATAATAACATTGGAGATGGAGCCACCCTCCTCGATCTGGAAGACAGCGTCGGAGTCACCACCCTCAGCCTGGCCAGTGCAGTCGACACCACGGTCGTACATGACCATACCACCGTCGAAGGACTCGCCAGCGGCGATGGTCTGGGCAGCAGAGAGGGCAGAAGTGCCGGAGGAGGCGGGCAGAGAGCCGCCAGCGCTGCCGGAGCCGCCACCAGCGGGGCTGGTAGGCTTGGAGCCACCAGCACCGCCTGTAGGAGTGGGACCAGAGCCGGAGGTCTGGGCGGCACGGCGGTAGAGGTCACCGACACGTCCAAGGCCAGCGCGGCGAACGGCGTATCCATCAGCCTTGAGGTTGTCAGCGGGCATGGCGTTGGCTCCGAGAGCCATGGCCGAGAGTGCAACGGCGGCGAGAGAGAACTTCATTTTGAGGATTGGTAGGGATGTGTGAACAGGTAATATTGACGAGTAGGGACAATTGAAAGGCTTTGACCGGCAGAGGTTTGACAGACTGGGCAGTTCAACTGCTAACGAAAGTATCAAGCACGAGGAAGGAGGAGTTGAATAATGGTGTGAATGTGAATGAGATGGAATGAAACCAAAAGTAAATACTTCTCGAGTGAAGATGGTCGTCTTTATATCCAGAATGTCTTGCCATCTCCCTCCATCCCTTGACGCTGCCATCCTCCTCCGTGAAAGCTGACCCCTACCAACCTTGGAAGTCAACCCAGCCACATGGGTCGGTCTCTTCGGATGGCTCCATGTTGACGGCTGACCAGGTCTCCATTGGCCTGCCAAGACCACGGTTCAATAAACAGAAAACAGATGCGCAATGGAGATGCGCATTGGAGATGGCCTGTTTCAAGAACGACAACAAGGATGCGCAGGGTCTAGGCACCAAAACATGGGGTTGGCCTCCAAGCCAACTCCCTGCTTGCTGCGTAGTGAAGACCGCAGATCGGCCTACCTAGGTACCATCCCGGACCGATTCGCGTGCGGCTTCTGGACCAGAGTGGGTATTCCAGCAGAATAGGGTGATTGAGCCGCATCTCGCTGGCGACAACGACGACTCATGCGCGAAACATCTTGTTTGAGAACAGCACGTGGGTTGAGCCTCACGGATCACCATCGCGATATCTCCAGCAAGAACCGACTGCCCGGGTCACAGACAGTATCGAATGGACCCAGGGTTGGAGGCCTTGTTGGTCTACAGCATCAATGATGTTAGCTGAGCGAATACGCGAATAACATATCATAACGGATTAATGTTGTTGTTGTTCCCCATCGATACCTCGCCGTCCCACAGCGAATCGGATATGGGTCCCGCGCCCAAGATAGGATAGGGGCGGCAGTTGGAGCTCCACTCAGGCGCCTCCCGATCCAACTACCACAGCAAGGCTTGCAAGGCTCAGCAGCCGTCCCGTGAGCCGTGATGACGATTGCTGGACCCCACCCAGACCGCATTGATACGAAGTTATGGCCCGTCTGCCTGGACATCAGGGCCCTGTGGACCACCACATCGGCTGTTGGTGGATTTTCTACAAGAGGACTTTATCTTGCGACATCGCCAAGGCGCGGGTGAGGTATGCAGGTCCAGGGTAGGCTAGTGTCGGCAAGGGGAGCGACCTAGATTGAGCTTGTCCACTCGTGTAGGTCTTGGCTCCTTGGCGCCGACCAAGAGGGAAGGGAGTGCCAGGGGCAAGCGGAGAGATGCGAGAGCTGACTGATTCAAACGCCGTATTGGAGGAGTCTTGCTCTTGTTTCCTTTCCTGCTCACGACCGCTGTCATCGTCAGCTCAAATGCTAACGTTGAATCGAGTACATCCCCGATGAGCGATGCATCTTGACTCGGAAGGCCAACCGAATCCGACGCCGGCCATGGTCTCGATCCCGGGACATGGGCACAGTGATATCTTCTTTAATTTGTAGCAATATATACGCGAACAAGAGCCTCACTCACCCCAGGCCACACTAGATGAAGAACTTGAAATGCGGGGACGGGTAGCGGATGTAACCTCAAGTGCCCTTGGTGCAATACTTCTGCTACAACTTTGGTAGAACCAGACTTACTGAACGCTTCTCAGGCTGTGCATTGCCGTCGGTGGCGCTGAAGATGGCCAAGGTTGTGGCTAGCTGTGGCTAGGTGCCCAGCTAACCTTGTTGGCAGCCAGAGGCCTTCGGCGTCCAGATCAAGAACCTTCTGATAGCACTGAAAGCAGCTGGCGAAACTTCATGGGGGTCCATAGGGTTCCTGATCTGCTCTTGCTAATTTACGTGGGACCCTAGGAAGGTGGGTCGTCTGATAGTCTCCGGGAGCTGGGGAACACTGCAGCACTTGAGACGATGGCCGTTGGCGCCGACAGGACATCCCAGTCGTCCCCACGCATTGGGGTTTGCAGCATTTGAACACCCAATTTATACAACGCGAATCCCTGGCTGCCCCGAGGCCCGAAGGAGCGAGAACGACCTCACGGACGTCGACAAGAGTTATGCCGTCCTTAATCAGAAGTTGCCACTGAAAGAAAGTTCTCACTTAGGTCCCCATCATGCGGTAGTCTCTTTTCTCCCCAGGGAGCATTGTTGGGAAGTCTAGAACGCTGACTGAGAAGATATCTATGTCTCGTGACTGACTCTCACAGATTACTATTCACCCTGGATTGAGGCGAGTATCCATCCTCGGTATCGGGTCAATCCTGGTTGCAGCATGCCGGCGTTCGTCGAGGAGCCTGGTCCACCACCCCATGACGTTGTTCTGCCCCTCAACATCACGGAAATAGTATACGATCAGCCAAAAGGGGTCTATTTCAATAAAATAAGGGATATTTGGCTACTGCGGGGCCATTAACAATGATGATTGATAGCTTGACCAATGATACCTTGGAGCGGTCAATACTTCAAACCCAACAAATTGACCAAGATACATACCTAGTAAATTGAATTGCAGGCGGTGCCCAGGTTTGGACAAGAGGTCTGCCCTCATACCAAGGTTACGTATATACAAAAGCCCAACATTTGCCAATCTCTCCTCATCCAGCTCAAACACGCTCATTGAGTCACGTAAATACGAGAGGCAACGTCCTCTACAGGCGCTGAGTCCCCAGGGCTGAGAGCTCCGCATCGTCAGCATACCTATGGATACTACCTAGGTCCTATTTCAGAAGTGCTTCGCAGCTTTGAGGGGCATATTCCCGATCGGGAGACTCTGTCTGGAGGTCAGGATCATGTTTTCACTGCCAGTGATGGCCCCATTTGGCAGTTGGATACCCACTGAAAGGAAATGGCCCCAACCCCCTGCTTGGGCTGGCTGCTTCGTAACGTTTGCGCATATCAAGGCCATTTCGTAGCCTCCTTGCTTCGGAAATATGAGTCCTCTGGTGCGTAGATCAGGTTCAGAAAGGGTAGCGAGCGCTTACCCCTACTTATCCCCGGTGACGTCGCTGTCATTCTTCCAGATTTCGATGCACGCCTCGTTGAGGGCGACCTCCCGCAAGCCCTAATATCGCGAACTAGGTAAGAGCACAACACCATGGCTGACTGAACACCTCCAAGGTGCATGCGTTCCTCCCTCTTCCCTCCCGGTTTGGGAGGTTGACACTGATGCATTTAGTCAGCCGCTTTCTCAACGAATAGAAGGTCTCGAAGTCAGCTTGAAGATCATCTAAACTTAAGACCTTACTAGTATGGTAACAAAGTCGTCCGTCAACAAAGTTGACTGTCTAGATCCCCTGGGGTACGGCTGACAACATCGCCAAGGAGACACCAGGGCACTAACTCGGCGGGTCCCGTGTTGGGGCTCGCAGATCTGCCTAATTTTGAAAGCGGTCACTATATCGGTAAACAAGATTCTTGATGGGTATGACGGCATTCTGAGGATGCTAAGAGTACGGTTGACGGCTGATCGTGACTACTTCCTCTTGAGAACGAGATCGACCATCTGCTACGCTGCTACGTTATCTTACCCCTATTCTCCTAGACGACAACCTCCTATGGACTTCCCCTCTACAAGATGAACTCTTAAAGTACCATATTCTCCTATGGCATAAAATCTAGAGCTCTGAGGACCATTCTACAAAGGGTGATCACATACCTAGATACCTAGTTAGAGAACAAGTTGTGTAGCCGTGGGGGCTCTGTTTTGACATACATGATGTTTTGATAGTGTTGTAAGAGTACTGTAATAGTGTATGTGATGGTGTATCTCCCAGACTGTTGAAGTAGGGCCAGATTTAACGGTTGATAATCAATTTTCGCATGGCCATGATCAGGAGATTTGACTTTGTACGGGGCTTCTTTAAGGCTTGTCATTTGCTTTGGCATGTTGATCTCCATATTGAGCCGGCACACTTTATGAAAGGCGTGCATGGGCTTCTTGGATGCAACAGTTGAAGTATCTCTAGCGAATAGTTGTGTTATTCGACCATGCAGAGGCTGGATTGTGTCATCTGAAGAACTGAGATTCAAAAAATTGACTTGATCATTGATGTCCTCTAGCCTCTATTCCGGCGGGTGTCTGTAGCGCGAATATCTAGATTCCCATCATGACAGCATCTTCATCCTGGGACACCTGCCCAGGATGATACGCTTCGCTAGATCAGCTTTCTTTCCAGAAATCAAATAATAGCAGCAGATGCAACAAATTATTCGATTTATTGGCAGAAAGTGGACATGTATTGAGCCACATAGACGCGAAGTCGACTTCATTGACTCCTGTCTCAATGGCTGTCACAATGGCAGCGCCAATTTCGAGGAAAGCCTGGCGTTTAAGCTGCTCAACGGTCCAACATGCTCCATCTGCTGCCTTGCCTTGCAATCGAGCTTGTATCTCCCGTGGGAGCCGCCAGAGTGCAGCGCGACTGTGATTCAGGTCCGTCCGCGCGCCGCTCAGCTCGCTTCGTCGACAAGTTGGACGTCCAGTCGTTTCAGAGCGACAAAATATGCTTCCTTCGAGTCCTATCGTGACCGAGAGCTCAAAGAGTCAGCTAGTGTGCCAGTGCGATCCATGTAGCCTCAGACCCATGGGTAATGGATGAGCAGAACAGGGGACAACAGGGGAGAAAGGGTAAGATGAGGGTATTAGGGGCCATGTCCGCAGGTTGAGCTTTCAACATACACTCCGTGACGACTCGGGCTTCTCCCGGTGGACCTTTGTGAACATCTTCTCCAGCGTCTTCTGGAGAGCCTTATCCTCAGCCCCCTGGTAGAACTTGCAGACGAAGTGGCCCCCTATCTTGAGCGTGTCCGAGGCGAAAGTCAGGGCGGCATAGCAGAGGTCCTGTTTGTTTGGGTTCACATCAGCCACCCCCTAAGCTAGTGAGGCCTGGACGGCCTGAGATGGGTGTCCTGGAGGGAGATGGGGTCGTTCCTCACCATGCTGCCGGCGTGGTCCTTGAAGTTGATCCCGCTCGTGTTCATCAACCTGTGAGGGTTGCTTAGCGTCCTGCTCGAGAAGCCGCTCGTCTGGGGCCAGGGTTCTGACATGTCGCTGATTACCAACTGCATTCTCACGAGTTAGCAACATGGCGCCGCGTGACGAAGGACCCCGGCGTGTAGCAACCCCAGGTACGGGAGCAGTGACCCGACCGGTGCCACGAACGCAACTCACATCCACCATCTTCTGTGCCCCCTCGTCCTCCCCAGCGCCCGTGACCTCCTCGATGTCCTGGGTTGCCTGCTTCTCCTGGTCGATATAGCTAGGCTGGTCCGACACGATGCTCCCCTCGGCAGCCCCGTCCTCACCATGGGCCGGCTCGGGAGCCGAAGAGGCGGCCTCCAGCTCTCGCCGCTCCTGCCTCTCCCTGTCCCTCCGCTTGACCTGCTCTGCGAGGACATGCTTGACCAGGGCCCTCACCCGCGGGCTGAGGAAGTCCCCCTGGATGCTGGTCACGCCCCTCGGCGGCTGCGCGGGGATGAGGTCGATGCCCACGACCACGCCGTTGGGCCCGGTGGCGTCCTTTGCCACCTGCGACCAGGACCCCGGCGCGTAGCCCAGGTCGACGACGGTCTGGTTGCGGCGGAAGAGGCTGTATTTATCGTTCATCTGCGGGCAGGTCAGCTATTGAGTGGTGAATAGTCACGGGTGGGGGTCACTGAAAAGGCGAGCGGCCGGACAGACAGACCTCCATCAGCTTCCACGCCGCCCTGCTCTTCATGCCCTGCACCTTGGCCTGCCGGGCAAAGCGGTCCTTGCTCTGGCGGGACTTCCATTGCGAGCTTGACGAAGCGTACCGCCGCCCCTCGAGTGGCCTCGACCGGCACGTTTGACATGCATTGAGTTTTGACAGCACAGTCCTGTTCGCCGTGGGTGCCGCTGCCGCCAGCGTGAGCTGGCTCAGAATCCGTGAGACGAGCTGCTCACTAAGCGCTGCTCGGCGGCATGACGCCCCACCGATTACAGTTGCCATTGGAAGGGGGGTTGTCTGCAAATGCAAGCTGACAAAACCGATCTCAGCACGGTTGGCTGCAATCCTAGAAGCCCCAGAGCTGGCAGTATGTATGGTGGTGTGAAGTTGGTCTGCGGCGGGCGAAAAATCTCGGGTGGAAGCTTCGCCTACCGAGCGAGCAAGCATCCCTGCCAACATTGATTACAGGCTGTTCACCAGCTCTAGAATACGCACGTAGGAATGAGCCACGCCGACAGGAGCACTTTGATACTCTAACCAACTCGCAACCATGGTTCCTTGTCTAAATCATAACGCCGATTACAGTGCATTGCAAGTGTGGGTATGACTGTGGCCGCGACCAGAATCAGCACTGGAACCAACTTTCCTCTTCACAAGCTTGAGCTTCAGATCAGGTTGACCATCTTTTCATTGAGTCAAATAAGACATTGTAAAGCAAAGCTCAGTCAAAAAGTCACCACGCCTGAGACCCAAGACCTTTCCAGCCGTTACCGTTCCAAAACGCCAGTCCATTGGGCGTATAGAAGCACCAATACAACTCCAGCACAATGCAACAAAAGAGAGTCCAGTCCGTACAGCGGCCGTTAGACAGAATAATGCATACCCTCTCTCACTCCATTCCAAACGATCGAACATACTTCTTAAGCCAAAAAGCTGGCATTCACGCCTCTTCGGTCCCGCTTCAGGGGCGAAAAGGCCTTGCCGCCGAACGCATTCTTAGCAAGAGTAGAAACGGGCCCCTTCGAGTTCTTCAGCCCAACGGGCTTCCTCTTGCCGCCGCCTGCTGCTGAACTCGTCTTCGGCGCAGCTGCGGCCTCTGCCTCGCCCGCGTCTTCGTCCTTGTCGAATATGGTGCCCTTGTTGGAAGCACCAAGCAGCTTGCGCTTCTTCTTCTTGGGCTCGGGGTTTTCTGAGCTGACATTCCCTGGCTCGAAAGTGCTGGGTGCAGACTTGTCCTTGGGGATTGGAGCAGTTGGGTTCTCCGTGCTTGGCTTTTCTTCGGGCTCCTCGACCACCTTCTCCAAAGACGCTGATTTACTGCGCGGCGACGTGCGACTGGCGGCTGAGGGCGCATTCGTGTTGGGAGACGACTCTTTCAAAGCCTGCGCCTTTGGTCTGCCACGAGGCTTCTTCTGAGTTGCATCCGTCGCCTTGGGCTTCGTTGCTTTGAGAGCCTTAGACACCGACTTGGCTGGTTTCTCCGCACTGGCTATAGGAATGTCCTCGGCCACCTCCGCCTCCGGCTCGATGATCGGTGCTGCGGGATCACCCTTCCCGTAAAGCACGGATGGCTCTTCGTCCTCCTCCTCAATGGTCTCGGCCAAGTTGATGGTGTTCGACTTCTCCAAGAAAGGCGTAATGGAGAAAGTGGATTTCTCGCCGACCGTTGTGAAGTCGACGCCCCTCTTCTTAAGAGGTCGCTTGCCCCTTCCCTCAACGTGCCCGGGTGTGTCCATCATCATCTCATCAACACTGATTTCGTTGGCTCCGCGCTTCTTCCCCGGCTTCGCTTTGCTGAGCGGTCTCTTGGTCTCATTGTCTTTGAGTGGTACGGTGGTTGTTGTGGTCCGAGTAGATGCAGTCTGGGCCTGGGTGAGCTCGGCGCGAACTTGTTTGAGCTCGGCGCGGACCTCCTTCAACTTGTTCTTGAACTCCTCCACGCGCTGTGTGAGCATTTCCACCTGATCGTTGGCAGTGGCAACCTCCTTGTCGCTGGCTCTTCGGGCCCGCTCGGCCTCGCGCGCATCCGAGGTGAGCTTCTCCTCGAGCTCCTGTACCTTCTGTTGCAGTTCCGATTGGAGTTCCTTCCCGTCGCTGTCCTTTGAGCGCTTTGCCTTCTGAGCAGTGCGCTTCTCGTCGGCCAGCTTCTTCTCAAGATCCGCAACTTGCTGCCGCAGCTCCGCTTCCGCATCACTCTGCACCTTTTGGTGGGTCTTCTTCGCAGTCTCTGAAGCCTTTTGCTCAGCCGCAAGCCTACTCTCCAGGTCCGCAACTTTTTGCCGCAGTGCTTCTTCGGCGTCTGCCTGTCCCTTGTCCTGGGACTTCTTGGCCTTCTGTGATGCCTTCTTCTCGGCGGCGAGCTGCTTTTCGAGGTCTGTGACACGTTGCTGGAGTTCTTCGTTGGCTTCCTTGTCCTCGCTCTCCTGGCGCTGCAGCACCTTCTCCGCTGCGAGCCTCTCTTTGGCAAGCTCCGTCTCCAGAGAACTGAGTTGCCGCTCGAGGGCAAGCTTCTCAGCAAGCACGTCTTTCTGGTGGGCGACCTGCGACCGCAGGTGGTCGATCTCGGGCTTTAGGACAGCCAGTTCTCGAGAGAGGGCCAGCTTCTCTGCGAGGGTCTTGGAAGAGTCGTCGGGCATGTTGTTCAATGCTTGCAGCTCGGCCTATGCCTGGTCAGCACACAGCACCCCGTATATATCGCGGCATCAAGGCAGGTGGAAGTACCTTGAGATCTGATTGTTGCCGTGCCTGTAAGCGCAGTTGGTCCGCTTGGTTCTTGCATGTGTCGTTCATGTGGGCCAGTTGGGCACGTATATCCTCATACTGCTGCGACAGGTTGCTGATACGGTCGTCCTTCTCTGCCAGCTGGTCGCGGAGGACAGCAACCTCGTCCCGGAGGACAATGACGCGTAGCTTGAGGCGGCGGGCCTCCTCGTCCTTGACTATAAGGTCTGTCTGGTGCATTGTGCCTCGGTATTTGAGGTCTAACATATGAATCGCTTCTGCTCTCTGCAGCAAATATTGTGTCAGCATGGCAGGCTGGGTGATTGAGATAGGTGTTGCTGGCCTGGGGTGCCTGACCTGTTGATGGTCCATGTTTACATGATCCACCGCGTCGCAGAAGAAAGTAAAGTCGCCTTCCCGGGAACGAGTGAAAGAAGGCTAGGGGGAGCTGAAGTAACAATTGAAGTGTCTCTGGGACCAAAATACGGATTCAGTCAATCTTCCAGAAGTCGTACCTAAGACAAGCAAGTGTCGATAATGGATAGGGATTGTGTCGGCCTGGGAGGGATGATGAAATGGGGGGGGAAGGGTGGCATCCGATCCTGACACTCGCTGTGTTTTCCTGGTCTGTTGTCCCAGAAACAGGCCTCAATCAGGACTAGCGTCTGAGCCCCAAAGCCACAGTGGGCCCGGGCAAGTGGGATTCCAGAACGGCACTAGTGACGACGGCTGCTGCTTGCCCGGCAGGCTTGGCATTGGGTGGGAGCTCCAAAGCTCCAGATGTCCTTCAACTTCAGGACAGGTCGCTTAGATTGGGGGTGCGTAATTCACCACCACAGGCCGTTGTGACTTGACCCGATCGACCCTGCTGCGATCGACCACAATCCTTTTGCAGGCTCTGGTGGCAGTACAGATTGGTGCAGTTCAAGTGCCCTTTTCTTCTTTCCCCTTTTTTTCTCTGCCAATTGATTCTGGTACATCACCATGCGCTGGACCTCACTTCTTCTCCCCTTCTCCCTCCTGGGCGCAGGCGTGCTGGCCGCAAAGTCCGACCCGGCCAACACCTTCCAGAACTTCCACCAGAAGGCCCTGTCCAGCACTCCCATCAAGCTCGACGATGTCTCCTACAAGAAGGTTACTGGCCTTCCTCGCGACTACACCGTTGCTGTTCTCCTGACGGCCCTGGACAGCCGCTATGCCTGCCAAATGTGCCGGGACTTTGACCCGGAGTGGAAGCTGCTGAGCAAGTCCTGGACCAAGGGCGACAAGGCCGGTGACTCTAGGACCCTCTTTACCACCCTGGACTTCAATGATGGTCGTGAGACCTTCATGTCTGTACGTGCAATGCCCCCTGCCCAGATTCCCCTGTCGGCTTGGACTTGTCTAACTGCTTTGTCTACCACCAGCTCGGACTGCAAACCGCCCCTGTCCTCATGCTCTTCCAACCCTCGACTGGCGAGTTCGCTGTTGCCAACACTGACCCCGTGCGATTCGACTTCACTACTGGGTGAGTGCCCTCCCTCCGATACATAATATGTCTTCATACTTATAAGATACACTAGTGCGCCCTCCGCGGAATCAGTCAGGAACTGGATGGGCCGGTACCTCCCAGGCCGCCCAGTCCCCGAGGTGAACCGGCCCACCAACTGGTTTGCCATCATCCTCTCAATCACCACCGTTGCTGGCATGGTCACCACCCTTGTGACGGCATGGCCCTACATCGGCCCCATCATCCAGCACCGGAGGCTCTGGCAGTTCATCTCACTGATGACTGTCCTGGCTTGCACTTGTGGCACTATGTTTAACATAATCCGGAACACACCCTATGCTGGCCATGATGGAAAGGGTCACATCTCCTTCTTTGCTGGTGGTTTCCAGACCCAGTTCCAGCTCGAGTCACAGATCATCGGTGCTCTTTGTATGTTTCACACCCCTCCCATGTGCTCTGCCGTGCCGTGCCGTGCCGTATCGTTTGCATTTTACTGACTTGGCATTCTTCTGCCAGACGGTGCCCTTGCCTTCTGCGCCATCGTGCTAGCAGACAAGGCACCACGTGCAAAGAGCTACAAGTCGCAGCAGCTGCTGATCATCGTCAATGCCGGCGCCATGCTCGTGCTCTACAGCTTCCTGCTCAGCATCTTCCGTGTCAAGAACGGCGGCTACCCCTTTGCTCTGCCTCCCTTCTTATAAGATCCCAGGGGAGGGGAGGGGCTGCTTGATAAGACAGCAGCACATCCGCGCCCTGCGGAGATGGTTGGCCGTCGTGTTCCTTATGGCCGGGCCGGATATCAAAAGTCTTTTGCAATTTACATTTGAACGGAGGTCGCAAATATTCGAGACCTTTGGATGGAGTGGGCGTGGTCACACGCATCCCAATTCTCGCACGCCGGCCGAGGGCACCGGTTCATTGTACAATAGAAGAGAAAGAGGTCTTTCTGACCAAATTAAGACAATGGTAAAGCAACAAGTATTTTCGACATGCTCAATTTCTGGATGGATCCGGTGTTGGTTCGTTTGCTTTGGCATCAATTGATGTGAGGAAGTCGGAGCACACTTGCGTGGATCAAGCATCAACTCCATCCAGCAAGTACACTTGATAGTCCGAAGAACCTCTTGAATCCGGCCTCATTATTAATCGTTTGACTGCAACTGCCAAATGCTGGCCGCATTCTGCAGAGGCGGCAGCGATATCAATTACCTGACCTGACGCGCGGTTGAGTGATGCACTGGCGTATTGTACAATCTTGACACTAGGATCGCAAGATATTACATTCGTTGGCATGGAGTCAATGAGAACCTTCAAATTCGACATAGCCCGGTGTCCACTGCATGGAAGAGCGAAAGCGTGGAACTATGAGTGCACAAGCGAATATTTCCAAGATCATGTCACGAGTAGTAGGAGCTTTACAGGTTGATTTGCTTCCAGGATTTGCATTCCTCGGGCTTGACGATATGGAACAATTCTCCGACGGGCAAGTTGCCTCCTCGCAAGTGGCCCACACATCACATCTCACGTCTGGCACCGCCACCTGGCGCAGAGTTGTCGTAGTAGGAATCGACCCAAAGTTGGCTCTCAAATTCAAGTCATCATAGCTTTTTTTGTGGTAATACCATTCCACTCCGCGCCAGACACAACGCCCTCGTGAAACCATGAAAGCGGCGGAGAAACGCCGCCGCGATGAAGCCGTAGCAGTAACCATCCCAGGCGTGCCATCCAAGCAGTAAGGACCAGCACCCCCATGACACAAGATCCCAGAGAAAAAGTGCAAAGAGAAGGAAATCCTTTACACCTTGAAACCGCGCGAGCGTCTGCGACCACGGGCACGCTCGAACTTGCGGCCCTTGGAGAGGACGTGGGGCTTCTGTGGGGAATTGTTAGCTCTGTCCAGCACTCGTCGCCGTCTTCTTTTCTTCTTGGCCGGTGGAATCGTACCTTGTTCTTGTGGGGACCGAAGCCGAAGTGCTTGACGGCCTCACGGCTGTTCTTGGGGCCGCGCAGGAGCAGGGTGTTGGCACCGGTGGGCTTCTCCAGGGCGAGCTGGTCGAGGGTCAGGGCGCTGCCGCCGGCGGCCAGGATGCGCGCGCGGGCGGTGGCGGTGAAGCGCAGGGCGGCGATCTGGACCTTGGGGACCTCGAGCAGGCGGTTGTCGTCGGTGATGGTGCCGACAACAACGATGGTCTTCTTCTCGTTGCCGTTCTTCAGGTTGGCCTTGACACGAGACAGGGAGACGGGGGGGCGGTTGATGCGCGAGGTAAACAGGCGGCGCAGGACAACCTTGTTGAAGGCAGAGTCGGTACGACCTGTTGGTGTTTGGCATATGGTTAGCAAACAGACCGACTGCAGGCTCCGCGATGGATCTGGTTGTGGTGGTGGGGGGGGGGGCGCTGAAAACTTACGAGCCAGGAAGCGGTACAGCTTCACCAGGAGCTTGAGGTACGCATTGTCGCTCTTGGGCGCCTTGCGGTGGGTGTTGCGCACGTGGTGGCGGTCGAGATCGATACCTACAAAGAGACAAAAAGTTTCCTCGTCAGCCTTTGGCTCATGTATGCTCAGATGTGTGCGGCAGCACTCGCAAGGCGGAGGTCTGTCACAACCTCTGCCTCGCTCCATCCAAAACTCCTCGCCCGGAGGAGAATTGGCAGCGCCATCGTAATCGCAGAGACCGTTTCCGATCGTCCACTTGCATACAAAGGCTTAAGAGATGTTTAGTCTCACGTACCCATCTTGACTGTTGACTCGAGATGTTGATGATCTGAAGAGTCGATGGGGGGATTAGTTCCTGCTGGGTTGGTCGGCAGGAGGGAAGGCGGGCTGGAAAAGTTCGCCTTGAGAAATTGAGAGATGGATGCTGCTGCGTGGATGTGGGTCACAGCTGATTGGCTGGATTGCGGGTGGTCCCCCCAGCTGGCGCCAGGTGGCAGGCAGCTGGCGGCTCGAGAGGCGGCAGCTGGCTGCGAATGGCCGGGATCCCAGTTCCAGCTCTAGCTCCTGCTCCAGGTTCAAGCCCCCCCAGTTCAGCAGTCCGAGTTGATTGAACGGCATGGGTAATTTGCCTGGCATCCATGGACTGCTCTGCATACACAGTATTCACAATCTTGTGCCCAACTTCACACCAAACTTTCGTTCCAGCTAATACTTAAAAATCAAGTGCTGTCACACTCCCATAGTTCATTCAATATCTATCAGACTCGAAAGGACCCGAGCACAACTGCACTCACCTGCCTGCATTAGACCACACCAAGAGTCACTCACTGAACCTGCACTTAAAGGAATGCCATGTTTAGAAGCCAGTTTGTATTAGCACTGGCAACCAAGCCCGATCTCCAGAAACTCACTGAAGCCTGAGTCTATGTACAACAACTTACAAACCCATGATCGTCTCAGGAAAGACAACTTTTGTGATGCCATATTACTCCTGTCCTGCCCCTTTCCTGTCATGCTTCCACCTTGCCAAATCAAGCCCTCAAGGGGAGAGAGCATGATGAATACCTCATGTTGGTACATTTACAGTTGGGGGATGCATGATGTGCTGCTCTCTAGAGTCTAAAATCCCATTGGGCGTCCCCTTTCGTCTTGCGGCCCGACACACAAGTGTTGGGTCCGGCCAGCCCACAAGTCCCCGGTATCAACATCTCCGAACGTCTGCAGCATGCTCTAAAGGTTGTAAAAAGTGCCATCAGTCAACCGTCACCTGATGGCTTTTGTCTTTGGTCATGGATGAGTGCCTCTGAAAGGCAGGATGCAGCATGTGCTCGGTGCAACGGCCACTCGTCCACTAATCGTCATGTTGTTATCCGTCTATCGTCGGGGCATGGGGGACGGTCTTGTGCAATGCGCAGCTCCACGGTAGATGTTGTGGAGCTCTGATGTAGACCTGCCGGGACGGTCTTCCGCTTTGATTCGCTCATAGAGTCTGCTCCTTGGGGCCAAGGGTCACGAGGAAATCTCTCGTCATCTCGAAGCTGAGCCAGGAGGATGCCATGCTAGGAGCAACCTTCAACAAGTTGGGTACTATGCCCTTGTAGAGTCCCTTGACTCCCTCCTGGGCAATGATCTTCGTCATGGCGTCGCCAATGGACTTGTACTTGTATCCCAAGCCCTCCATGGTGTTGATTTGAAACCTTCGGCGCAAGACATCACTGCGTCCCAGAGTCAGCCCTGGCTAACTTGTCAAGTCGGTGGATATTGCACTTACAAAGGATATGTGCAGGTCTGGGCCACAGCCCCGGACACCGCACCAGCAAGCAGTTTTCGCCACGCACTGGGGTTCTTGTCGCCCTCTGGTGTCAGGTACTTGCGCACATGCTCGTACACCATAAAGTTAAGCCCGACATAAGGAGCGACGCCTGCCACAGTTGGGACAATGCCTCTGTAGAGAGCCAGAAGCCCACCCTCGTTCTTGTACATGCTCAACAAGGTTGCCCACATTCCTGGCAGTGCCTTGGGCTTCTCGCCCAGGGCGGCAAAGCTCGCAGACTGGATAGACAGCCTCGTGCGCACAATATCAAGTGGGTAGGTGAAGGTGACTGAAGTCACACCGGCAATTCCACCACAAGTGAGGCGCATGAAGGGCGACAGGTCGGCGCCGGGGTAAGCCTCGAAGAAGTTGCGCTTGTAGAAGTTGTAGCTGCCAAACTGGACGGCAGAGTATGGCACAATCCGGATGCAATTTGTGCCGTTTCCGCGCATAAAACCCCTCCATCCCTCTTCTTGCCACATTTTCTTGAGGGCCTTGCCTACTGACAGCTTGTACTCCTCGCGACCGGCAGACTGTATTTGGAACAGGATCTTGAGTCTCTCCAGCGGGGAGACGACAGTGCGGGACACTGCACCAGCAACACCACCAGCGCAGAACGCAGCGACCACGGGTTGACTGATAAAGAGGCGGAGGTGGTCCGTCGGCCCCGGAGGCAGGGGAGGCTCCGGAGGGGAGTTCGGAATGTCGCTCGGGGACTACATAGTTGGATTAGCTTGCCGAAGCGCAATGATGGTTTTGTGGTTTCGGGTTTCGCGACAGACCGTAGATCGAGACGCGTCACGGGGGGCAGAGCGGGGCAGAACGTACAGCAGCCATCATGAAGAGGCGGGGTAGAGATGAGGCTTAATAGGGTTGTAAAAGGAGGTGACGCGCAAGGAGTGGCGGTACTCAGAGGAGGCAACGTCAACTAGAGATATCGTTGGGGATACTGGCTCGGTCGGCTGTGACAGCATCCCAATGAACTGTGTGTGAAAGACCTGGGAAGGCTGAAGTGATTGGCACGGTCGTGAGAGTCGACCACAGCGAGGGTGAGGGTGTATTAGGGGTGATCTCCTAGAGACAAGGCTGCAGGGCGCTCGACATGGTCGGGGTGGTCAAGAGGTGTTTCGCAGGCTTTCATTAGGTGGATGGAACTCTGCATGCGCAATTGGAGCCTTGTGCTGCCAATGGGTATGTTGGAGCACCGTTGAGTCGTCGTGCAAGCTGGTTGGAGTTTCGTGACTGTTGAGCTTGGGTGGCTCTAGGTCGCGTGGCTAGAAGATGGATGGGTGGATAGTCCAGGCGTCGTGGGTGGGAAAAAAAAGCCTGACGTCAAAGGGATGGGCGATGGCAATACACAGCAGAGCAGAGCACAAACTTGGGGAACCCCACAAGCCGGCTGGCAAGCTGGGGCAGAGGACAGAAAGATGGCCCCTTTTTAGCTTGGGGGAGGGGACGTGGTGAAGCTGCAGGTGCCTGTGCAGGTGGACATGTCAGATCAGATTCCAATCGATCTGCAGTGTCACAGAGCTGAGAGGAGGCACAAGGAAGAGATGGTTCCACACGGTGTTTATTGTCGCAATAGAAACATGACGAACCAGGAGCAATATCGTGCAGGCTGGCAGGCTGGGCAGGCTCTGCTCTTCCCGGTAATAGTAAGCCAGCCTACCTGGGTACCAGGCGTTCCAGGTACACAGTAAACACCGGGATGCCTGCTAGAGCAGCTATCCATGCATGGGTCGAGGCAGCTCCGGCAATCAGTGTTGCAATCATGGCCCTCGGCTCTGGCCTCCTGGCCCTATCTATTAGCGTATTGGGTAGCCGACAACCCCTGTCGGGCCGTCGGTGAGATGACAATGTCACAGAGCAGCCTCAGCCCGTCTTGTAACTGGGCTATTGTAGCCCACATGGCCCAGTACATGATCATTCACCTATCACACGACCAAGACCAGGTCTACACGTGTTAGAGCTCACAGCCAACAGCACATATCCAAGACCGTCCTTCTGGAATCTGAGATCATCTCACTCTTAATCTTGGTTTCCTATCCCCCGCTCACCCTTGGCATTGCTAATCAGCAAACAGGGCAGTCTTGCACCTCGAGATCTGCACTCCCGGCTTCCCCGGATTTGAGACAATATCTGGCCCGATGCCGAGTCTCCAGCCGCTTCCACATTATACATATCACTGTAGACCAGTCTGCCACAAGGGCATAAACTTACTTCATATATAAGCACTACCTGACCTGAATGAGCCCTTTGTCTGGCTATGATTATAGTAGGTAGGAGAGAGCCTCATCTGATTCAGAATTTGGGAGTGTGAGAGACAGCCTCACATTCTAGCCAAGTTGTCAAGGGAGGAGAATATGCAGCTCCACTGGCACATCGGCCAGAATAGGCAAGAATTCAGCTGTGAGCCATTTTCAACAAAGACATACAGCAAGCCATACAACCTATCAAAAAACAAAGGGAATAGCATCCTTAGCAGCTAGGCTGGGTGCCTAGATCGTCCACCTTCATCCAGCAGGATCTGAACCACATAATAGAAGCACACGGGAATGCAAGATGCTTAGTCGCCATGGTAGAAACTTATTGATAGGCCATGGAAAAGACAAGAACATAACATATGGATGCAGGTAATCCTCTCTCTCAATTGGTGTTTTTTTCGCAGATAGCTCCCGGCCTTATAAAGCTAGCTGCTGGACATCCATGAGCGCATCAAGCATTTATTAGATTATTTGAATGCAATATTGAACTCGGCATAAACTGGGCAAATGATCTAGTTTCTAACAAACACGGTCTCTCCTATTATATTTATAAATCAGCAATTCCCTGCATGATACGCCAGACAATGTGTGCAAGATGTGGTGTCCCAGTCCAAACCGCAAACCCCCACCTGATCCATACTCCTCTAGGCCCAGACCAGCCTCTTGAGGTTGTATCCCAGCGTCTCAAGGATACCCACGTTCTTCTTTGCCTCCGCCAGGCTCACGATATCTGCCTCCTCGATGATGCTCCCCCTCTTCGCCTCCGCGGTCCCGGAAACGGGCTGGTTCAGGAAGGCCAACCGCTCTATCTCGTGGGCCACGGCTGACACAAGCTGTTTCTCCGTCATGCGCGAGGCGTTGGCCTTGCCGCCGCGGTCGGCGAGGGATGAGTTGGTATACGGGGCCTTGAGGACGATCTTCTTCGTCTCTGGTGGGGCCGCACCGCCCTTGCGGCCCAGGAGGCCTGTCAGCCTGGACTGGACTGGCGATGAGCCGGATGTGTCTTTGGCCTTGGCCTCCTGAGCCTCGTCAGGAACAGAATCCTGCCCGTTGGGCTTGGTACTGGACAGAGATCGCGTGTTGACCCGGCGGTAGTCGTTCGAGCCTGGCTTGTACACAATTACCAGGCCGATGTTCTTTGACTCGTCGGTTTGAGTCGCAGATGATGTCGAGGTAACATATGTCCCGGACTGGATAGTTTGCACATGTGCCAAATCGACCCGGTCGAAAGACGATACCTTGTCAAGATTCCAGTCAAAGCGGCACAGGTAAACCGCAGTGTCGGTCAAGAGGAGGACAACCTCTTGGAGAGGTGTGCCCATGATACTATTCGTGACTGCAGGGCTGAGGAATGTCCAGCCGCCGATGAATTCTTCTTTGGCGTCCTCAACAACTCGCTTCTGACAGAGTTCGATGGCCTGATCTCGCATTTTCTGAATCGAGACTGCCGGGTCTTTTGTCATCATGTTGTCTTCGAACTCATCAAACACGAGGGATGTGACGTTTCCGAGGAGGAAGTCGATAGTTGCTTGCAGAAAGAAGTCGTTGACCATGCTGCGCCTGTTAGCACCTTGTTGACTCAAGGCATTGCCTTCCAGCTCATCCATGAAGGGAATCGGACTTACCCATTGAAGAACCGTGTCAGTCCCAACCCAGCATCCGCCAGAGCACCACGGTAGTTCCTCTTTTTCGTGCGTGTGTAGTCGCCCTTCATAGCCGCGGTCGAGGCGTATTGTTTCGAGATGGCGTCCCCGTTGTCCGCCCACAATGTGTTGAACCAAGAATTCACCTGGTCCACCTGAGCAGTCATGTCATAGCCTTGCTCCTTGAGTTGGGCATCCAGCATGTACTTGGCGAAGGAACTCTGGCAAACATTTGTTCGGTCCAGGCAGTCCATACAGTTAGTCCTTATAACGCCCTTCTGGCGTGTCTTGATGTCACCATCTTGTTCAACTGTGCTCCCAAACTCGTCGAGCTGGTCTTGAAGTGTATCGATGAGCTTTTGCACGTTCTCGAACTTCATGCCCCTGCATGCATCGTGGAAGTCAAACCACTCGAATGGTACTGCATCCTCCTTGGAACTGCTCTCATTATACCGTTCCATCCCTTGTTGATACTTCTGGCCGATCGGAGCTTCCACGCCATGCTTCTCCACGAGGTTGGCGATCTGAAGAGACCCATACTGTTGATGCAGTCGATCGAAATGCTGCTTCAGCGCGTGGAAATTGGAATCATCAGAATGCTGAAAGACGGGGCTTGGTTTCAGCGAGTAGGGGCTCTGTGTGAAAAAGACCGGTATGCTGCCTCTAACCTGCAAGAAGGAATATATCTTCGAGGTCGGGTCAACGATAGCTGGCGAGAGGATCTGCTCGGTCTCTACCGTGTTTGCGCACCATCCCTCCTCATCTATCCCGCGCCTTAGATACCGCAGCCCGGCTCTCTTCACTGATCGTCTTGATATCACGGTGATGTTGAATTGCTTCTCTGACGTTCTCGGTTTGATCCCAGTCTTTGCGCCTGGAGACGACGCAGGAGGTGCCTCAGAGTCCGACCCCGGTGTTGACCAATTGGTAGCGAAGTCATTCATCTCCACAGAGCCCTTGTACTCATCTAGCTGTTCCGGTTGGCTGTCCACGGTAAACGTTCTCTGTCCCACGAAACCCTTCATCAGGGGCAATGCGAGCGCATCGATCCCTGCATCAATAAAAGGTTGTATAACATTCTGGTTCCAGAAGAACATAGGATCCGTCCTGCGGTAAAGCGGCGTGTCGCCTTGCGTCGTAGCCTCGCGCTGCCTCGACAAACTCCTAGTGATGTCGTAGTCATACGAGAAGAAGTAGCTCTGGGAAGAGCCAAAAAGTATCTGGGTGGTGCGCAGTAGCTTCGGTAGCAGTGCTGGTGGCGCCATCTTTTCTTCTTTTGCATCCTCCACAGGAACACCAGCCGCCTCTGGTGATGCAGTATCCTCCTTGGTAGCCGCAGGGGCCTTGGAGTCTCCTGGCAGGTTGCCATCGGCAGCCTTATCCACGGCGTTACTAACATTCTCTTCGGACTGGCTGAGACCCATGCTCCGCTTTTGCTCCAGTGTCCAGCCGCTGCTGCTGAACCATCGTTGAGCAAAACGGCCATAGCTGCCACGCCGGGTCATGACATCCTTCGCGACGCTGGTAGCCGAGGGCTTAGACCCATCCGATGTATCCGGACGCTCGTCGTCGGTAGGCACCTCATCGCTCTTAATCGAAGCTGTGTCTATGTCGGTGTCGTCTTCAGCTTCAGTGTCTGTGTCATCCCCGGCCGATTCTCCAGCATCTTTACGTTGTGGTTGTATGGCGGTCTTTGCAACGGCTTCACTGGCATCGTTGTAGGAGGAGCATGGCGTGAGGGCGACCTCGGTGATGACGTATACCGGGTGACCGCGGATCACGGCGACCTGCTTGCGGCGGGTAATGGAGACGAGATAACTGAAGCGGGAGACCGTGATCAGGCCTATTGCAGCGAGGTGTTGGTTAACTTGTGCTTTGACATAGAAATAAGGAGAGTGACAGCTTGTGGGACTGGTGGGACGAGATGCAAGCGCTCCGGTGCAGACTGACCAACAATTCCGAAGGCCTCGAACGAGGAGTTGGGCTTAGACAGGTCTGGCAGCCCGTCTCGGGAAACGAATGAAATAGCAGCGTCTCCATAGCGCAGCCTGACCGGAGGTGAAGGCTTGTGTTCTTTCTTGGTCGCCAGAGGCTGAATCAGGAGGCCGTCCACTGCGGCAGCAATGACAACCTTGCGTGCGAGGGATGGCATCTTTCGGCGTTGTCGCGAACAAGATTCAGGCACGCAAAAGACGAGTTGTTTGGGGGCCGTTGGCGTTCCTGGGCGGGATCATAGCTATAAACGGAGGAGTACCGTCATGGTGTATAGTTTAGGGTGCGGGAGTGCCATGGTCCCAGGTCAAAAGACCCGTCTCAGACTCGGCCGATGGATGATGTCGAGGTCGCGTTGGCGGGGCACTTGCACTCGAGAGCGCATGCGGACAGGCGAACCACCTAGCTGGAGCATCATTCAGCTACAATTCGCTGCACACATGCAGCTGTAGCATGACGTATGTCTGAGATTAGCATCTCCAAATCTCGAGCTAAACCCATTAGACGATAACCCAGGCACCGTCAATAATGGACTTTGGCATCCTCCAAACTACCTGGGCATTTGGTCCGTTTATTTGCGCTGCACACAGTCATGGCCAAGAAAAGGGCCACTTTCGTGACAGGACTCCTGAGGTCGCACCTGTTCCGACCGCACAATCAAGAGCCACCACTTTCCTAGGTACGTAGAATGGGTCGCATGACAACCGATAACCACCTGGGTAGTTATAAGTACCTAGGTATCCAAGTAGCTTCGATCTCGTAGTCCCGGTGTACCTATACCATGTCACGCAGCCAACCTTGGAATAATACTTCAGTGCAATGTCCAAATTTAATTGTCTTGAACTGTCCGGTCTTTTCGAACTATATGCTTGATCACATTTCTGCTGTCGTTGCAAATACTCTCGAAGAGAGACAGCCCTGATCCAACTAGGTTCACAATTCCCGAATCATGCTCGTGCACGATACCTTATATCGCCATCATAGCCAAGGTACGGCAATATGCGACTGCCACAGTCGGAGGGAGACCCAGACCTTGCTTAGATGGCCAGCCTCTCGACCTTGTCCTTCAGCGCGCGGATCTGGCCCATCAGGTCGGAAGACTCGTTGGAGGTGATGGCGGCGGAGATGACGGCCCTCGAGACACCGCACGCGCGGCCCAGAGCAACCTTGCTGGGGACGTAGACGTAGGGGGTGTTCTTGTCCTCAGCCAGCAGGGGGATGTGCAGGAGGATAGCAAGAGGAGTGGTGTCCTGAACGGGCAAAACTATTAGCCTTCGTTTCATCCCAGCGGTGAAAGGGAAAATTATCCACGCGGGTTGACTCACAGCAGCGAGAACGACAATCTCGGCGGTTCCACGGTTCAGGGCCTTGGTCGCCTCGTTGGCTCCCTTCTTGAGCTGCCTGTAGTGGGCGCTCGACTGCAGCAGATCCAGGATTTCCTACATGTCTCTTGTCAGCTACTTTTTGCAGCGAGGGCAGATGGGTGTTCGGCGCTGGTCGTACCTGGGTCAGGGCGGCATCGGCGATGGGCCAGGCGGCGGACTCGTTCTGGTTGGACATTTTGGTCGGATTTGTGAGAATCGGCAGGGTTCCTTTCCGTAGATCGCCCTGTGGTGGTGAGGAGAGATTGGGGGTGGTGTGGTGTTCGTCTCGTGAACTCGATGCTTGCCGGCTCGAAGAAAAAAAAAGTTCAAGCTCTGGGCCACGGCTCCAGAGACGACAAGTGGGTCTGCCGATAAGCAAGCTGATAGGCCACTTCATCGCTGCGGTGCCGGCTCGAATGATTAAGTAAGTAAGTGTGCCGGTCTGTGCTCGCCTGCCGCGGCCTGCTGTTCTGGGACGAGCTGCTTATGTCCAGTGGGCGACTTGGTCTGGTCTGGGGGCGCTTGTGCTGTGCTGTGCTGTTTGGATCCGCCTGCTGCAGAGTGAGCAAAACCTTCGCCCAATCAGAGGGAGCCCTGGGACCACCTCGCCAACCTCTCAACGCAACTCGAACCGTCACCATCATCTGCCCGTCCAACTACTCAAAGCTTCACACTCCACGCTACCGCCTCCACTTCGACGACCTTGAGCTGCCATCGCCACAACTCCAGTCCAGATCCCAAATCGCCTGCACAACACTCTCTTAACTTTTGTTTCATCCTTCCTCCACACAACCGCCACCATGTCTACGGATCTCTGGTAAGCACTGCCTCGATACTCCTGGGAGCCCTCCCCTTGAGCTCCCCAGCCGTCATCTCGCGAGCTGAAGCTCCGGATCTGGATGTCTACATCCGTGGCGAGCAGCCTTTCCATCTTAATGCGTGCCCTCTCGTGTTCCATAAGCTAATCATGGTATTTCCAGCCCCGTCTACGCGGTTAGTACCCCCTCGACCACGTGTGTTCACCGTCGTCATCCTGCCGAGCTCCACCGAAGCCGATCCCATCATCAAGCACAACACCGTCGATACGCAATGCTAATCCATCTCTAGCCCTTCTTCGGCGCCATGGGCTGCACATCTGCTATCGTCTTCACATGCCTTGGCGCATCATACGGTACCGCCAAGTCTGGTGTTGGTATCTCGGCCATGGGTGTCCTGCGACCCGACCTCATCGTGAAGAGTACGTCACCACCACCACCACCACCACCACCTCGGCCACGCTCGAGTCAACCATCCACCATGCTCACACACATCTAGACATCGTCCCCGTCATTATGGCTGGTATCATTGGTATCTACGGTCTGGTCGTGTCTGTCCTGATCTCCGACGGCCTCAAGCAGGCTGACTACGCCCTGTTCACCGGCTTCATCCAGCTCGGTGCCGGTCTCGCTGTCGGTCTGGCCGGTATGGCTGCCGGTTTCGCCATCGGTATCGTCGGTGACGCTGGTGTCCGCGGTACTGCCCAGCAGCCCAGGCTATTCGTCGGCATGATTTTGATTCTCATTTTCGCTGAAGTCTTGGGTGAGTTATTTTTAGAAACAATCCTGCCCACCTGTCGAGAGCTGCTCGCCTTGTTCGCAACATGCTGACGCCCTCCACAGGTCTTTACGGACTGATTGTCGCCCTTCTCATGAACTCCAAGGCTGCCATCAACGTCTCGTGCTAATCGCATGGCTGACACACTCGGCCGCGAGCCAGCTTTGGGAGGCGTGGGCAAGACGATTTGCGGCGTCATTCCCGAAGCGTCAATCGACGAAATCGCGGTCGTGCGCACAACAAGAACAACAAGGGCCCAGCTTGCTATCACTCAAAGCTTCAATCTTTCTTGAGCATTTGCATGTGGCCAGGTCACGACTGGGAGGATTGGAACGAACGGAACGAAAATGATGGGATGGTATGGACATCATTCCATCGAACTACACATGTACACATTGTCACATTAGGCTATGACTCCGGAGCATTGGGTTCTAGTCATAGACGCACGAGGGGCAGAAGAATGTAGTTTAGGTTGGGAGTAGTGCTGCTTTTTTTGGTTTCCTGCGACATGGTTTCATATGGCTGCATCACTCCGTCATTTGTTTGTATTGTACCTTCACAGCACCCTTCTTGCCCGCCCCTGTGATATGTCCACTCCGCGATGCGAATAACTGCACGACATACATGTTTTTGCGTTCTCTTCCCCCTCCATAACTGCCACGGGTTGCCCTCTTATCATCGCCTGTTCCCGCCTGAAAGCAGCGACGTGTAACTACCCATGTACCACACGCCATCGAACATCTCGATTCCGCACGACCACCACCACGCCACTCGTCAGGATGAACGGCCAAGTACAAGCCAGCAGATGACACTCCTAGAAGAGGCGCGAAATGATAGCCAATGTACCACAGTTCCAAGTCATTGAGCTTCTTGCTTCTTTTCGTGACCTCCTTTACCCGTGACCGGTGCCGTTGTCATCCCCAGTGGATGGATTCAACTCCCATCCCGCAGAGTGGGTGAGCCAGCACATATCTCCGACTACAATGCCCGGTGCTTCCCTCCACCGCAAGCCAAGCAGCGGCCCAATTTGCCCTCCCCTATCTGAAGAAGACCTCGGTTGCATTGGGATGCTGCTTCCCCATGCTGTGAAGGTTGTCTCAGCTTCAGCGGTTGGGAAAAAACACATGTAAAAGCGCGGACTGACTGCGCTGTTCAGACTCGAGGGCCATTCATTCAAGGACTCAAAGACTGATGAGGATGACGGGAGGCAAAGCATCGTCATCCCATTTGCTGTTCAGTTTGCTACCACATAAGAGACTCGCACAACGCATAAGTTATACACTCATTATATACGGCAGTGCCAGCCAGGACATCAAGATAAAGATGACCCGGGGCCCCTGATCGTCGCAACTGCAGCCGCCGGCGGCGTCCCACCAGGATGGATGTATGTATAGGGGACACCAGTACAGACCAACCACATGCATATATATATATATATATATATGTGCTGCTTTATCCTGCCTGTCCCCCGAAGATACCATCCGTCCCCCCATTGAAAAGCGCCGCACGCAACACAAAGTTTCAAGCCCAACCTGCTTTTCCCCCAAGAATGTCTGCCGCCCTTTTTTTCTCCCCCTCGCGACCCGAAGCTCTTTTGCCTTATGCAATAATTAAAAAAGACGAGTACTGAATTCCGGAACTATATGTACAGGTCGAAACGAACATGTGCAACGGGATCACGCCAGGGCCGGCTTGCTGGCTGCCTTGTTACGCATAGACAGACAACACAACACAACATACACCATAACTTGACGGCGTCTAGATGACGTACTGTATGTAGCAGATGCACGTTAGCAAGCAACTCACAGCCGGAAATTTCAAATCTAGAAGGATGATGAGTGGGTTGGATGTAAGGGGGGACTCACGGGGATGAACAGGTAGGGCACCTGCCTCTCGTACTCCTTCCACGCGTCGCCGTACTTCTCCCTGCACCTCTCGATGTCCCTCATGGCGCGGTGGGCGATCATGCAGCAGAAGAAGAAGGGGTAGAACCAGGGGAAGGGGCTCCTGAAGCCGGTGATGAGGCCCCAGCAGATGGCGAAGAAGGCGTCGCACGTGTAGTGCACCTTGCGGGCCTTGCCGTACCAGCCGTCGACGAAGAGGGAGTCGCCGGTCGCGGTGGGGATCTTGCGCGGGTTCTTGATGGACTGCCAGGGGACCTGGGGGAAGGTGTTGCGCTTGGTGTAGGTGCCCCTCTCCATGGAGCGGAAGCTGTTCTTCTGGCCGTTGCAGCTGTCCCAGACCCAGTAGACGAAGAGGTAGGAGGCGAAGAGGCCGGCGAGGAGGGCGCGGTTCCAGCGGTACTCGTCCGGGTGGTGGTTGGCGAGGTAGATGATGCAGTGGCAGTAGGAGAGGGGCACGCCGGACATGTTCCAGAAGATGAGCATGAAGCCCCACTTCTCGTAGTACATGTCCCAGGTGGTGACGATGAGCTCCTCGCCCTTGCTGCAGGCGTTGGCGTAGAGCCAGTGGGCCATGACGAGGAACATGACCTCGCCCGAGACGTAGCCGTAGCGCTCGTACTGGCGCACGGCGTTGCTGACGCTCAGCAGCAGCAGGATGTACCAGGGCAGGCGGACCTCGAAGAACATCTTGAAGTCGAGGATGCCGAACATGCGCGGGTTGAGCTCGGCGCCCATGAAGAAGTCGTAGATGGGGTAGCCGGTCATGCGGTGCTGGGCGCCGCGGGCGATGGCGGAGACGTAGGCGACGATGGCGACGAGGTAGCCCGACAGGATGGAGACGGACAGCAGCGGGCCGAACTCGTCGATGATGGCGGAGAGCCTGTAGGTGCCGGTGACGTGCAGGACGGCGGCGACGGCCAGGGTGATGTAGAGCGAGACGAAGCCGGAGCAGTAGTACTTGAGCTGCTTGCCGCCCTCGTGGGGCAGGGGCTTCCCGTAGGCGTAGACGCCGGGCGCGACGAAGTAGAGGACGACCTCGAAGGCGCCAAAGATCCAGTAGGTGGCCCAGGCCCTCGCGTGGGGGTAGGCGCCGGTGTAGACGAGGTGGCCGAGGTGCGAGAAGAAGTCGGCCCAGCCCTGGCCCTCTGCGCGCGTGGGGAACTTGCCGTCGTAGTACGTGGCGCCGATCCACATGTACCACATGAGGAGGGGGAAGCCGATCATCATGGCCGACACGCCCAGGGAGCCGCCGAACTCGAGGGTGCCCGAGTAGTCGATCTTGGGGTCCATGCCGGGCTTCCAGCCGTCCACGACCTTGTCCTCGGCCACCACCTTGCCATTGGCGCCATCAGCATGGCCGTTGGCGCCGTTGGCCTTGCCGTTGACCTTGCCATTGACGGTCTCGGCGTGGCCATTGGGCGCGATCTTGGGCTTCACGTCCTCGTCAACGTCACGCCTGTCGTCCACGACGGACCGGGGCAGGGTGGTGGCGTCCAGCAGCACACTCGACGTTGGCAGGTTGTCGTCGTCCAAGTGCTCGGTGAACTTGGGCACGCCGCGCTTGCGCAGGGATCGCGTGCGCAGGGAGGTGGTCTCGGCGGCAGAGCTCGAGTCGCCGTCGGCATCGGACGTGTCAAGGAGAGGGGTCTTGCGTCTGCTGGATACGCGGCGACCAGGGGTCTCGACCATGCCGTCGAAAGGCTCCTTCTTCCTGTGAGGGAGCAATCACGGTCAGCATCATGTCAACTCGGTTGGCGACAGCATGCTCGCGTGTTCCCAATGCGCTGGAATGCAGAATGCCATGTTGGGCAGTGCAATTGCCAATTCTGGGTGGATAATCCCATCCTGGGCGCCGAGGCAAGGGTTGGGAATGCGCCCGATGTCTGATTGGCAAGCAAAGAAAGAGAAGACAACAAAACAACAGCAACGGACTTACCGAGGCGTCTGGCGGAGTGAGTATCTCTGCGACATGTTGGCAAGTTGTGCGGCCGTCTAAGGATGATGCGTGCAAGTACGGACCAAGTACGGGTAGGGGGGAGGAGGACAAGACCAGATCCAAAGTCTTGGATGGGACAGGATAATTTGCACCCTCGACAAACACGGCGAGACCAGATTGCAGCTGCAGCCAGATCGAGACTGCTGCTGCCCTGGCTCTGGCGGCCCTCTCGCGGATCCCGCCTTAGCTGGGCTGGCCCTTGTCGTGTCGTCGGCGATTCGGTAGAGCCCCGGGCACCACTGGCACTGGGCCCAGTCCAGAGGGACAAGCAGCACATCCAAACCTTGTTGACAAATTTTGTGAAATTTCCCCATCGGCACTGGGGCCACCCGTTGGCCAGGTTGCAAGCTGCAGGGGGTGGGCTAAAGTGGGCCACCAAGAGCCACCCATCCTTCTAGCGCCTCTTGCTGGGGAAATGAGTGATGACACTACAACGCCCAGCTAGCTAGATACTTAGGTACCTAGGATAGGGCACTACACAGTACAAGTCCACCAGACTTCAGCACACCTCGGCAGACTCGTGGCATGTTACTCGGGGCAACTACCGGCCCTGTGCTCAGGTAGCCAGCACAGCAGTACTTCGGATGCTGAATCGAGCTTGTCATGGCGGGTGTCCCCGAGGCCGTCCTGCAGCCAGTCCAGCCAGTCCGCCATGCCCTCATTGGCCATCCCCCATCTACCGTGGCATGATGCGTGCGTGACATTGCCGTGCATTAGCCAAAGGCACCTCGCCCTGGCTTGCATCTCTCCGATGCTGCAGACTGACTCTGCTGACAGCCTGGAGGCTTTGCATGATTCTTGGTCAATCCAATCTTGGGTTGAGCATTTGTTTTGCTATGATATGCACCGCCAGTTGTATGTGGATCGAGAATCAAGCATTACATGTTGTTCTACAAAGACTAGTGGTAGTTTCTTCTTCGCGTTTGCCCCATCGCCCTGGCCTCTATCCCTTCCGACTCCGCTGTTCGCCTCTACATCCGGGACGGTTCTCCATTTCCCTTCACAGTACCAGATCCCTCCTTCCACACCTTGTCTCGTTGTGGCTGGCTCTCTGTCTTTCTTGTGCGTGTATGTGTATAGTGTGAGTGCGTGTATAGTGTGTGTGTGTGTGTGCGTGTGTGTGTGCGTGTGCGTGTGCCTGTGTGTGTGTGTTTGTAGTGTGTGTGCGTGCTCGCGTGCGCACGAGTTTGCCCTCACGCGTCTGCAGGCCCCCTCGGCGTCCTCTTCCGCCTTGTGTCCAGCCTTTGGGCTCGAGATATCAGCAGAAAACTTCGCGTCTCCTGGGGGCGGATCGAGGACTGAACTCACAAGTTCTCGACAGAACGCGATCTAGATGTCGTCGCGAGACTGGAGAGTTGACTGTCCCAGCACTGGGTATTCCGCCCGAGGCGCCAGGTTCACTGAAGAGATGGTCAGTTTGCTGTTTAATCAGAGAGGAGTTTACGAGAAGAGCAGATTTTCAAAACTTACACGGCAGAATACATCCGGGTGGAAGGAACAGACTTGCGAGGTTGAGGCGGTCGAGCGAGGAGGACGCGAAGTGGAGGGTGGAAGAGGGATATCGGCATGTGGTATTCGCGTCGCCGCGTGGTGTTGTCGTCAACTTGCTTGGTTTCACTCTGAAGAGCTACTCGGCCGGATCGCCACGTCGAGGCGCAAGTTGTTGATCCGGTCCCACACCACCCAACCCCGGGTCTGAGCCTACAAGTGCACTTCTCCCTACCCGGACAAGAGAAGGCACCTGTCCTAGTCAGCATGCGTGAGTTCCATGGAGGGGTTTCTCCAATAGCCCTCTAAACGCTGCGAAAGCTCGCGGTTACGCGCCTCGAGAGCAGTAATGTGGGCATATTGATTCTGATAATCTGAGATCTAGAGTTAAAGAAAAATGATTTGTCGTAAGTATATGGCAACGGGGGGCGGGCGGGCTGGTCGGGATGAGAAGCAAAGAGGAGGAAAAAGGAGAGTAGGCTTCTGCGTGCTGCGGAATCCTAATAAGGCCCGTAGACACGACGTGAAGGCTGGTTTGTTTACTTCTTGGCCCGTTCTTTCCCTGGTGGGTGAGGATAATGGGGCTGGAAAGACTAATACTTGCAATGACGAAACAGAAGACATGTGGGCGGAGAGGGAAACAGGGAGGCACGAGATACCTAGGTACTTGGACGACTGCTGCATCATCAAGTCACCGGAATTGGACACAAACCAATGTACGATACGAGATCTGGGACTGTGTTTTCGGTGACATGTTACTAGGAATATTATCTCACTAACATTTGAATGCTCAGGATTACCTTGGGCACCACTAAATACTACCTATGCAATCCACAAATCTGACCTTGTCACGGAACATCCAGTAACACCTGCAAAATTGCGAGCGTGGTGTTCCACATACACGAACTCGAATTCCTAGGTGTGTAGGAACGACATAAAGCTATCTCTCCCGTCCTAGATCAAGGACGAAAGGCTTCGGAAACTGGACGCGTTCTTTATCTTAGCGATGCTGCGGAATTCAACCAAACTTATAGAGCGCCCAACATCTTGTCCACAAACACCAGTCTAGCGCCACAAAGTTATTCATTCACTCGTATCTCCGCAATTTATTCTACTGCATTGAAAAGTGCATATTTGTAGGTCACAATAATAGGAGGGATCACCATAGCTAGCTACTTCTCTTCTAGTTACGAAAATCAGCACCTAGGTGGAAGTAGGAAGAAGTCTACCAACTGCCCTCAAGCACTTGAACTAGTCATGTTTACTGCTCCAAAGAGAACCTTAGGAAGGTGAAATCAGTTACTAATTACCAACATAGGATAACATAGCTAGTATTTATTTTCTTTTCCTTGCTCCCCCGGTCTTAAGCGCTTACCACCGTATAAAGGCCCCTTGTATATCCTCGGACGTATATAGGATAGAAGCGAAACCAGTTTTCTTTTCTCGTCTTTTGTTTAAATGAGGTCAACTAGTGGTGGCATCAACTTTTGTACCGATCGAGGTCGCAAACTACATTGAGTGGCAACAAGCAGCATTCGGCAAAGGTGCCCAACCTATAAGGGAGACTCGATAAATTTTCATGAAAATACAGAAGCTTGAGCAGTTATTACCTTCTGTAGGCATTCAGCCAATGATATAGCCCTGATTCTTAAAGTTTTTTCACCCATAAAATCGTCTATCTAGGGCTATTTAATAGCCTCTAATAGCCTGTTGCACCACGTGATATTGTTCAATAAGCTACTTAAATAAGGTTGACATGTTAGTTCTGTGACATATTAGTTCTTTAACATTTAGTTCTAACTAAATACTAAATAAATCTATATCATCTAGTCTATCTAGCCGCAATTTTATTAGTGTTGGGTCAACTTAACTTTTAAACCCACCTAATAAGCTTAACTATTTATAAGCGCTTATGTCACGAGATGTAAGTGTCGCCTACATAGGTATTTAATACGCTCAGCAAGCCCTTTCATGTTCGTCTTAATGTCACATTTCCATTAGACTCTAAAGTTCCTAATCTAAACATCACCGAAATTTCGCCCTCCAAATTATAAGAATACCACCCCCATTAAGCCCAAGAAACAAAGTTTTACTCCTAATATCTCTCCTCATGCTTAACAACACTACACAGCTATACAAACTTTCCACTCACAAGATCCTTCCGCGACAATGAGATTATTCCTCTTCAGCCTAGCCATTCTAGCCATCACAACCCAATCACTAGCTATACCTCTTCATCGACAGATATCAAATAACAGAACTGCGCGCTGGGACTGTGATTAGAGCGTTTCTAGAGACTGGGGCGTTTCCGGCGACTGGGGTGTCTCTGATAATTAGAGTGTTTCAAACGACTAGAGTGTCGGCTCGGACCCCTATAGTGATGATAGTTACAGCAAACAAAAATAACATAACAATCAACTTAAAGTTAAGGCTAGGGGTCAAGGGTGGCAGGTAGGCCCCGTAGGGGTCCCTACAGGTCCCCTTATCGATAAGGCTGCCACACTATTACCTCTAGCCTTAAAGCCTAAAGGGTAACCTTTCTTTCTTCTTTTCTTCTTTAAGCAACCCTACTTTTTAAATCCACTCTATTTAATATAAACTTTAAACCTTTATACTATAAAACCTAAGTAATAACTTACTTTATTAGAATATATTTTAGAAGTTTTATTTATAAGAATAACTTTAATAAGTTTTAAAAAAGTTTATAAAAAAACTTTTAAATATTTTTAAATAAATTTAAAGTTAAGTTAATAAATTAATTTATATATATTCTTATTAATATATATTCTTTTTAAAATATATATTATATTATTTTTAAAAAATATAAAGTTAAAAGATTTATAATTATAAATTTTTAATTAATTTTTATTTAACTATTTTATTATTTTATAATTTAATTTAAATTTTTAAACTTTATAAATACTTTTATTTTTATAAATATAAATATTAAATTAAACTTTCTAAATTTAAATTTTATTAGTTAGTTTAACTTATATATAAGTAGTTAAATAAAGTAATATATATTAATATTAGTTAAAAAGTCTACCTAACTAAATAGTAAAGCACTTAATTAAGTTAGTTAAACTTTATTAACTAAGTTAGGTAGTCTATATATAAGTACGAACCTACTAATCTTACTTACTTATTTATAGTAGCTAATCTACTATAACCTACTATTCCCACACTAGCACCTTTTTAGTCTTTTAAAATCTTCCTTCTAGCTAATTAAAGAGCTCTATTTACTAATAAAGTAGTTTCTAACTAAATTACTTTAATTATTTAAAATTATTACTAAATATATAATTATAATTTATTTAATTTAAATAGTTTAAAAATACTTTAAATTAATATTTTATAAATTACTTAAATTATTTAAATTTAAATTATTTTAATAAGTGAAATTAAGTTTAAATTATTAATTACTTATTAGGCTATTTATTAAGTAGTTACTAATTATAACTATATTTAACTAGTTAATCTCTTTTAATAGTTTCTTTTCTTCTATAATTAATACTTTAAATTAATATTTTTAAGTTACCTAGTTACCTAATTACTTACTTAATTATTAATTATTTACTAAGCTATCTATTAGTTAGTTACTAACTATAACTAATTATTAGTTAATTTATAACCTTTAATTAGTCTAATTAATCCTTTTAATAATCTCTTTCTTTTACCTATCTTTTATTTATATAATTAATTAAACTATCTAACTAATAGTTAGCTAGTAACTATTAAAAAGTAAAACTTACTTCTAATATAAATTACTATTTATATAATTATTTAAATAAAAAGTTATTTAATTAATTAGTTAGTTAGTTAATTAATTAGTTAGTTAGTTAGTTAATTAGATTAGTATATTAAATATAATCCTTATTTAATAAACACACTCCTACTCTATTTATATAGCTAGTCACTTAACTTATAAAACTATTACTTTTTAAAGTTCTTTTAAAAAGTATTTAAAAGGTTAGTAAGAGTAATTAATAAGTTAGTAATTAGGCTTAAATTATTAGTTATAAGAGAAAGTTATTATAAAAAAAAGAGTTTTTTATAGAACTTACTTAGTAAAGAGGTTCTACTTATTATCGTTATTTTTAAAAGAAGTTTATAAATTTTAAGTCTTTAAAGATTACTATACCTAATTTAAAGTGTTACTTATAATTAAAAAAAGGTTATTAATAAGAGAAAAAAGTTAAATTTTAAGTCTTTAAAGATTACTAACTTTTTCTTAAAGTATAATAGATATATATAACGCTTTTAATAAATCTAATTAATAAATTAAAATTAACACTAACTATTACTATTATTATTATTATAATTATTTATAGTTTAATTAATAAATTAAAATTAATATTAATTATCCTTATAAATATTAATATAGTTAGCTATTTATAACTATTATAATTTTAAATAATAAATTAAAATTAATATTATTAATTCTATAATAATTATAATAAATAAGTAACTATTTAATAAATATTTTATTATTAAAAGTTAATTAATAATTAATTAATATTAGTTAATTTAACTTATATATAAGTAGTTAAATAAAGTAATATATATTAATATTAATTAGAAAGTCTATTTAACTAAGTAGTAAAATACTTAGTTAAGTTAGCTAAACCTTACTAACTAAGCTAGGTGGTTTATATATAAGTATAAACCTACTAATCTTACTTACTTACTTATAGTAGCTAATTCACTGCAGCCTACTATTCCTATATATCGGTTAGCTTAGCTTATATATAAGTAGTTAAATGAAGTAGTGTGTATTAATGTTAGTTAGAAGGTTTGCCTAGCTAGGCGGCGAAGCGCCTAATTAGGTTGGCTAGACTTTACTAACTAAGCTAGGTGGTCCGTGCGTAGGCACGGACCCACTAATCTTACTTACTTACTTATAGTAGCTAATTCACTATAGCTTACTATTCTTATAAATTTAAAGATTTTATAAATTTTAATATATTTTAAATTAAATATATAATTAAATTAATATTTATATATTTAATAAATTAATTTATATACTTAATATTTTTTATTAATATATTTAATATTTATTTTTATATATGAAGTTTATATAAAATTATATATTTAATTAAAATTCTTTAAATTTTTAATATTTTAAATATAAACTTTTTTTAAACTTTTTAATACTTTTTTTAAAACTTTTTACTTTTACCTTTTAATATATTTTCTAAACTTTCTAACTTATATATATTTAAATATTAACTAAGTATTTAAATATTAATTAAATATTAGAGAGTTAAAAGTAAAAATAAAAATAAAAATTATATTCTTTTAATTCTTTAATATTTTTCTAACCTTTTAATTTTTTAACTTTTAACTTTCTAATATTTAATTAATATTTAAATACTTAATTAGTATTTAAATATATATAAATTAAAAAGTATTAAAAGTAAAAATAAAAGTTATAAAAAATTTATACTTTAAATATTAAAAATTAAAAGAAAATTATTTTATAAAGTTTCTTAATATTAATTTAAAAGTATTTATAAATATAAAAAGTTATTAAGAAAAGTAAATATTAAATAAATAAAAGAAAATATTAAATATATAAACTAACTTATTAAATATATATATATAAACTAACTTATTAAATATATAAATAAAAGTTTATTTAAAAAGAAAAATTAATAAATATAATATTAATATAATTATATAATAATAATAAAAAATATTAAAGTTATAAATTAATTATTTATAAAATTAATTAATAAATTTATATATTATACTTATTTTATTAACTTAAATAACTTTTATACCTCCTTCTTATAATATAAGATTATAGCTTTACTACTTCTTTTATATTATTCCTTAAGTAACTTTAATTTTAAATTAATAATTCTTTATAGATAATTTGAGCCTTCTTTTACTATAGGTTGTGAAGACCGTCTTAAACGTTATATATGTCCGGTGAAGGTGAGCGTGGTCGGATAAGGGGTTGAAAGCAGTGGGAGGAGGCCGAGCTGCAGCGGGAGGAAACTGGGCACTCCAGCTCTGGCGACGAACGTTACGTATGTCCGGTGAAGGTGAGCGTGGTCGGATAAGGGGGTTGAAAGCAGTGGGAGGAGGCCGAGCTGCAGCGGGAGGAGGCTGAGCAGCAGCAGCGGGAGGAGGCTGAGCAGCAGGAGGAGGCGACTGGGCTGCAGGAGGAGGCACATCGTCCTCGTCTACGCGAACCTCTCCATTCTGGTCTCGCCGCCGAAGGTGCTCCCGGCTTACCGGGGCTATCATGTCGCGTACCATGTTTCTGAACCGCTCTTGCCATGCACCTCCCCAAAGCCTGGACACTGAGGCCCGGATGATCGGGCCTATGTACCTGTTGAATGCTGTGCGGTGTGTTATGTTGAGGAACATCCTTGAGTAATTGTGTCGACTGAGGTCGACAACCCCTTGTGCGATGTGTCTCAACTCGGGCTCCATGACAGCAGGGTTCGTCTGGAAGCCCCTCTGGGCATCCAAATGTGTAATCACCCTGGCAAACACCAGGAGAACGTCTCGGATGACTTCTGTTCTCCCACCCCCAAAGTTCATGACGATATTGTCAATGAGGGCTGCGTTTGCTCGGTGGTCACGGTAAAACTCTAGTTCACCTGACGTGTTGACCCCAGAGATCCTTCGGATAGGAGGGGACTCCCTCAGTATGTCCGAGTCAGTAGACGTGCCTATCGACTCCGCAAACTCTCGGGACCGCTGGTTCCGTCTCAGGCGATTGAACGGTCGTCGAAGACGCTCTCGTTCGACGACGGCCGCGGTTCGAAGGTAGCCATCCCCGTATGAATACCGCACCACTGCACCCTGTGGGAGGGGACCCAGTGTTTGGGCCTGAGCCGTAGGGGCCATTTTGAGAGACTATTTTAGTCTCGCCGCATGACTGCTTTGCCGGCTTTGACTCTAGTATCGTGGCAGATTTGCCCTTGGGCTACTTGTGTCGATGATTCTAGTGAGTGGCGCCGTCGGGAGCGATGCCTTCCAGCCTTGTCTGTGCGGTACGAGGCTCAGCCACGTGCCCACGTACTGTATTCTCTTTCCACTGTTATTGGCCTGTGTTTCTTCAAAGGCTGGGTCTTGAGCGTTTTACCACTGTATGAAGGCGCCACGTACATTTTACATGTATGCGGATTAAAAAAGAAACCACAAACCACCCTGGGCCTGAGCTGCGGTCGGGCGCTGACCCAGCATCATTGGGACTGCCTGGCCCGCGGTCTCTTGCTGGGTGTGCTGACCAATGAATGTAGAATCAGTCGTTGCTCGGCCGGTATTTGAAAGCATTCTCCGGGTGAGTATCTCCAATGGGAAAGTCTGTTCCGCAAGGATGTTTCCGTTGCCGTCAACCAGGCGACCCTGGTCGTCCTGAGAGAGCGATATGTCGCGGCTGGCGAGACCTTCCTGGCCAGATCTTCTTGCTTGTCTCATGACATACGACCATGCAGCCCTCCCTCGAGTCAGCATGAAAAGGCTCAGTGTCACGAGCGGGTGTGCACCACCTGGGAAATCCCGGGGTTCCATTCTTCGGTACAAGAGACTGGTGGAGACGGGTAGACGGTAGTTGTGACCGTCTAAGACGAACCGCACTGCCGCCCGGGTACTGATGTCCATAGCGGGGGCTTGTGCGATCGTCAGCCCCCTCATGTAGTAAATGACCTCGTCGGGGGTGTTTGCGAGTGCTGCGTCGTCGCCCGCGCCGTAGACAACGTGGAAGGCGACTGTTGTGGCCGCATCGGGCTGGGGGCTGAGGTGGGCGACTGGGCGCACGGGCCACCTGCAGCCTCTGAGGCTTCCTTCCTCCCTTCCTTTCTTTCTTAGATAGACCAGGTCGAAACTCTACAATTTTGAGCAAGACTTGAGAGCTTCGTCTCTCTTATGTCCCTCCCGTGACAGGGACCAGGTATGTACGGTCTGGAAGCTCGACGACGGCCCATCTGCCTGGGGTCAGGGGTCCCGGGTAGAGCAGCACCTCTCCAGGAGGTCCCCTCCATATTGGCAAGCTGTCTAGCTCCTCCCGGGTAGCTGCCCGGGGGTCCACGTCCCCGACGATGTGTGATGAGGAGTGGGCTGGTGCATCTGCGCCGCTGGGGTCAGACGTGGGAACCGTACCGGCAGCCCGAGGTTGCTGCGACGGGCTGCTCGGATGGGGCGGCTGTTGCTGTCGGGCCTGTGGCATTCTGATCGGGGTAGCTGGCGCCGCTTGTGTGTCAGCTGGCGAGGGGTTACTGGTCGTCGGGGCTGGCGCATTCGTGCCGCGAGAGTCAGGTGTGAGAGTCGTGTCGACAGCCCGAGGTTGTTGTAACGGTTTGTTCGGGTATGGCGTCTGCGGCCGTTGGATTCGCCTGCCGCTCGACGCAGCGGGCGGTGGCCGTGTACCGCTTGGTGACGGGTTGCTGGCTGTCTGGACAAATGACCCCAGAGTCCGCGTTCTATTTCTCGGATGCATCCGATTTGCCATGTCGCCAACATCAAATAGTATCCGCTCGATCGGCACTGCCCGGCTCCACCTCAGAATATCATCGACCGTGGTTTCATTGTACCACATGCCCCGAGTTCGCAGCGCCTCGTCGGCCTGCCTGATGTATGCAGGGGTGTTGAGCTCCGAATATCTGCCCTGCCAAGCTGTCTGCGTGGGTCGGGCCGTGTTTGTGGCTGTCTGGCCGGCGGGTGCCTGTCCCGACGGAGGAGGGTTAGGTCGCCGCAATCCCTCCCAGTGGCCAACCTCACCGTGACCCGGTGAGACACCCACACGACTGTTCCTCGGGGCACGCCCCCTTCCAAAAAGTATGGTCGTCGCCCTCCCGGTGCATGGCGCTCGACGACTCCGAGTGTTATGTCACCCACCCTCAGCATGCGGCCAAGTTCAAGTAACCCAGCCGCCAAATCACCGCTAGTGTGTGAGTGGTCATTCCCACTGTCCTGTAAATACCACTCTGGTCGAGTGCTCTGTACTGGGCCCTCATGACCGCCGCGTGCAGTAGCATAACCAGCGATCGATCGTCCGACTGTTCTATTATGGGGTGGTGTCGGAGGGTGGGGTGGTGCCGGATGGAGTCCGCAAGTGCGTACAACCTACAGGGCAGGCGGCATCCCAACAGGCCCCTCTGGGCCTAGAAAGATGAGCTGGGGGGTGCTGCCACTCTGGCTGCTGTATGTTGATTAATGTAAGATCATGTAGCTGCTGTGATTACGGGTTGCTCCGGACTCAACATTGTCGAGATTGAACATGGCGAGGCACCTGTTTCTAAGGTTGAGCTTGTGTCCTTAACTGGTCATAACATAGAGAGAACTTACTTTATAGTGCCGCAACTTGCTCTTGTATGTTGAGTACCTTGATAGAGCAGTGACAGGCAATCTTAATTTTGTTCGGTATGACCCGCGCCGGGCAGCCACCGGAGCCATCATTTGGGATTCGCGCGTTGTCCTAGTTGCCGGAGTGCCTCAATCTCGAGGCGACGGGCCCCAGCCATGGCGACTAGAGGGAGCGGGCGAGCTCTTTTCGTTGGTGGGTGTGGCGCCGAGCATGGAGGTTTTTGAGTGCCTCCAAACGAGAGGAGGGTGTGCTTGTCTACGCGACAAGAGGAGGTTGGTGTGTGATGGCACCGAGAAGGGAGGGTTTTGAGTGCCTCTACAAGAGAGAAGGTTGATGGGTGTGGTGAGAGAGAGAAGGGAGGTTGGTGTTTGTGTTTTCTGCGAGGTTCGATTTCAACCGCCGCAGTGGTTGGCAAAGTTGGGGGGGGGGGGGATGAAACTAAGCTTAGTCTGCAAACGAAAAAGCTTTGCGTCTCTCGGGGCGGCTGCCTAGTCCCTCTGGACTGCGGCGGAGCTCTAGGTCTCGAAAGTGGCGGGAAAACAAAGTACATCCTTTAGCACCTAATTTACCCGCAAAAGCCAAGTAATTATTTTCCTGTCAAACGGCGGTTGGTATCAATGCGATATGAGGACATTGTTCTTTCAGGGCTCTGGTATTTTTGGGGATTCAGGTTGACATACGCACTTGGTCTGAGTCAGAAGTTCTCGATGGACGTCATCAACGTGCTTCTTGAGGGCTGCACGTGCTTAAGTTTGTGGCCGTCGCCACACCATGGGCAAGTGATAGACTGGCTTGCAGGCATCGTTTGGTCGCTGCGAGGGGTCGCTGCGTGCGGTTGCTGCGAGAGGTTGTCCGACAGGCAAAAAGAACTGCTACGGGCATCCATAGTCTAACGCGTCCTCTGACGCGTCGCGAGAGAGAGAGTTTGTGCGTGTGTATGTGTGTCGCAGAGGAGGTTTGCTTGCTTGGTTGCTTGCTTGGTTGACGTAGGGTAAGTTGGTAGAGTGGGCTGTCAAACGGGTTTGGCGGGCAGGCAGCCAAACGCCAGTTCAAGGGTCTCGTGGGCTCGGATTATCGGTTGCGAGAGAGATTTTCCGATAGGACCGAAGAGTTTCTATGGGCATCCATACTCTTACGCTTCTTCTGACGTGTCGCGAGAGAGGTTTGTGGCGGAGAAGACTTGGCCAGCGAAGGCGTCTTGCTGGTCCGTTTGCGCCTACGGGCACCTGTAGACGACTTCGTCCTCTTCAGACTGTGGCGCCTGCAGAGATCTGCAGATCACTTAGCGATAGCCTCGTAAATCTTGCTGTCAGAAGCCGGTTGGCTTGCTTCCACGTACGTGAGGGTTGGGTTGTGTGTCTTTTGGTTGTGTGTCTTTGTCTTGGTTGGAGGTCTGTACCGTCAGGGAGGGTGTTGGTTACAGGCTCACAAGGATCAAATACCTAGGTACTCTCTGGATGCCGGTGGCAATGGTGTGGATCTTTTGCCAAAGCTCCCAATTCCCAAAGTACCTATGTACCTAGGTACCTAGGAAGAATGTTCTTAGTGCAACATCTGGATGAGAGGTGCAGGATTTTGGCCACACCAAAGTTATACACCTGGGCAGTCGCCAGCCAGGAGATAGCACAGCCAATTTCTAGGAAGCCTCATGCACTAGGTGACCATGTTCTAAGACAAGACTACCCTAGGGTAAGACTGAAGACCGACAAGTAGTTGGCCACAAACCACAGAAGTAGTCTGTATCTACATGTGTGCTACTAAGCATAGCTCTCGCTCTAGGATTTTGGATTGGCGCCGGAACCCATTAAATCGTTCTAGCTACTGGCAAGTATTGGAGGATATGAGCCCAATCACTCTTATATCAAACCCGCAAAATTCACTTCGGTCTCCCATCATTGATCTCAACTTTCCCTCCCCAAAACTGAACATTACCAATCTTTTGCTCTTCTATTAGACTACTATGAGACCATTGTTGCCGCCAGCGCCCAGGAACAAAGTTCTACTCCTAGCATCACCAATCTCTTGCTCTTCCACCATTGTACCACTACCGCCGCCAGGTCCACAAAACAAGATTTTACTCCTGATTGCTGTCTTCGTGCTCAGCAACACAACAGGTCCCCCGAGGCTTTCCACTCGCAGGACCTTTCCAAAAGCATGAGATTATTCCCATGCCTAGGTACCTAGGTATCTAGGTACCAGCACGACCTCGCTATTTTGACCATCACGGCCCATTTTACCAGCGACTCCCCTTCCTCGACGGATCTCAAATGAGAAAATTGCGCGCCGGGACTGTGGCCGGAGCGTGAACAACGAATGGGGCGTTTCCGGCGACTGAATTGTCTCGAACGACTGGAGCATCAGCAATGACCCTGTGCCTACCCACGAATACGACCGTCACGGATAACTCGACAATCAATCTACCCACCACGCTCTTTGGCGATGGTGCTCAAGAGAAGAATTTCATCCGCTTCAAGGAGAGGGTCTTTTAGGGAGGGCGAGGGGGAATTCTAGAAAGTTTTTAAGTGGATTCAGGGTCAGGCTGGGGAAGACCGACGGAACATCACATGCAGTTACCAAGCTTGCATGGGACCAGCGAAAATTCATTGGATGTTAAGATGGGTTGTGGTCAGGTCAAAAATGTTGGAGTCAGTCTTCTTCTCTTGTTGCCTGAGACCAATCTTATAACCTCTGCAATAAGAACATCCCAAGACATTTCAAAATACATCAAATATAATACTTTCAGAGAACAAAGTACTTCTCATACCTCTACATCGAAGCTCCTCATAGCGAGGACGACGAGGAAGTGTAAGTAGTTGTGTTGTGGCTGGTGGGCGATTCAGGCGAGCCGAATCCGGGGGTGCTGTATATTAGGCAGGGCACTAGCCAGGCTTAAGCAAAGGCTGTGTTTACATATATAATCAAAATGTCTGTCTGAAGACAGCCCACGAGTACTTAAGTAGGTGCAACGCGCAGTGAGAATTGAAGTGAGATGTGAAATTCAGTACAGTCCCAAGTAGCTTGACGCCACTTCATTTCCTTCTAGACTCCGAAAAGTCAGCTTTTGCAGCCCCCCTTTTTTCAATCTGTCCAAATACCTGAGGGCAGTCATCATTTCATCAAAATCGTACATAGTCCACCAAAATCTTCTTATCATCCAGTCGAGATAGCCCACCCTCATGGGAGACCAACAATTAGAAGACATGCTGAGAAACGAACGAACACATCTGAATCCTCCGAAAACCACTTGAAACCACCTAGATTCCCCCATTAGAAGAAGCTGATCACCCATCTAGTTCGAGAACAGCCTCTTGAACATGCCCTTCAGACCGCCAGAGCTCTTCTTCTTCTCGTCCTTGTCCTCCTTCTCGCGCTTCTCCAGCCTCGATTTGCGGTGCTTGTCATCGTCCTTCGACTTCTTTCCCTCCACGGGGGCAGGAGAGCTGCTCTCATCGCGGCGTGGCTGGCTCTCCTTAGCAGCCTTCGTAGACTCCTGTTCACGGGCCTTCTGCAACTTCGCGTTGGACTGGTCGAGCGAGCGCCGGACGGCCTTGCTGGAGCGCGTGGTGCTGGAGCGCTTGAGCTCGACCGGTGGCGGGCGGGTGACATCCTTGGAGCGACGGGAGGACGAGATGGTGTCCTTGTCCTTCGTAGAGGTGGAAGCGGTGTCTGCCGTGAGGGGGCCACCGAAGCTGGAACCCATCTCGCTCCGGCCGTTCTTCATGTCGAAGAACTTCTTGCTCGGCGCAGCGGTAGACGCCTCAGTCCGGGCGGTGTTGGAGGGCGATGCCATGCTGTGGCGGGTGGAGCTGTGGCGTCGAGAGCTCCGGTGAGAGCGAGCGGCTGACGGCGGTGCTTCGACCTCCTTCTCCTTGCCCTTGGACTCGGCGGCTGGCGAGTCAGCCTTCGCCCTCTCCTTCTCTCGTGCGAGCCGGCGCTCCTCCTTTCGCCTGTCGTGCTCGGCTTGCTCTTGAGGTGTGCGTTCGCGCCGGGAGCGAGAGCTGTGACTGCCATGTGCGCTGTCACCGGTATCGTGGTGCCTGGGCGGCGTGCGCGGCACCTGATCAGACTCCCGGTCGCCGTCCGCCCGATGCTTGTGAGTAGAGTGGCGATGGTGCGAGGATCTCGTGGTACCATCTTCACGCGTGCTTGGGCGGCTGGACCGCGACGAGTGACTGGCCCTGTGTTCTCTCGAACGTGGGGATTTAGGAAGCTTGTCATCAACCTTTGGAGACTCCTTGCCTGTAGTTGTGTTAGCGATGAAATCATAAGGAATGCTATTATCCGCAACCCTCGTACCCCTCCCGTCAACCTGCAATTTCGAAGGAGCGGTTGTCTCTCCATGTTGCTTCAAATCCTTGACGTGAACTGCCATCCGATCGCTGGTTTCCCCGAGTGTGTCTGCCGCGGCACGAATAATGACTGCAGCGGCGACGACCTCTTCCGCCTGCTGAATACTCTGCCTGCTCATTCTCCTGGCGCTTCTTGCTCGACTCCTCTTCGAGGCTTCCTCGTCATTAGGGTCTGGCAAGACTATGCCGGGAGTGCTGACCCTGGGAAGAGGAGTTCTTGGCCGCCAGAGTTCATCGGTCTGGGTCGAGGAATCAACGCGCTTCAGGAGCACGGGTTTCTCGCCCAAGTCTAGAGTAGCCTGCATCTGGTCACTGCCTGATGGCGGGTCGACCATGGTGAATGATTCGGCCAAAGGCTGCTGTGACGAAACCTCCTCCGGGCTGTCAGGTGCTGATGAGATTGAGCGCACCTCGAAATCATCCTGACCAGCTGCTGATTCTTCCAATGTACCAGTAGCTTTGTCAGCTGTTTTCGGCCGTTGCAAATCGTCTGTGGACGCAGATACAACTACTGGGTCGTCTTCGATGTCGTCTTTGTCAGACATGAGTTCATGAGCAACGACTCCAGCGGCAACTGCGGCGACAGCGGCGGCAGTGGAGGCAGCGGCGATCTCAGCAGTTTCGAGTTGTTCGCCATCCACCAATGCCTCCTCGGAGGGCCCATCTGGAAGCGATTCTGTGACAACAGGTTCTATGCTCGACTCTTGTGGCACTTGATCTTGCAGATCGACTACCTTGGGGGCGGTTTCAGACAGAGGCACTTCAGAAGCTGAATCTACCTGTTCAGCGACAGGCTCTTCAGCAAGAGGATCTGTAGAATCGGGCCCTTCAGCGACAGGCTCGGTAACGGCAGGCTCTTCAGCGATAGCCTCTTCGGCGGGAGCCTCTTCGGCGGGAGCCTCTTCGGCGGGAGACTCTTCTACAGCAGACTCTTCTGGGACAGGCTCCTCCGCCGCAGGCTCTTCAGCAACGGTTTCCTCAGCAAGGGGCTCTGTAGAACCGGGCTCTTCAGGCTCGGTAACGGCAGGCTGATTAGCGATAGCCTCTTCAGCGGCAGGCTCTTCTATGATATGCTCCTCTACCGCAGGCTCTGTAGCAATAGGCTCTGTAGCGACCAGCTCTTCAGTGGTAAGCTTTTCGGTAACAGGCTCATCAGCGACAGGCTCTTCAGTGATAAGCTCTTTGGTAACAGGCTCATCAGTGATGGGCTCATCGGCAGCGGGCTTATCGGCAGCAGGCTCTGCGGCAGCGGGCTCTGCGGCGACAGTGTCACCCGGATCAACTTCATCTTGAGATGGCTGATCATCGGGAGCACCACTTGTAGGCTCAGCGGCCTCTTCCCCGGCAGTTTCGGTACCGTCTTGCTGAGGTTCATGTTGCTCGACGACAGAGTCTGGCATAGTCGCAAGCTCAGTGTGATCTTCGGCCTGGATTGCTGGTGCCTCGAGCACCTCTTGCCCTTCCACAGCAGGAGAGCTTGCCTCGGCGCCGTTTGAAAGTGGAAGTCTGGGTGTGGTCTGTCCAGAGCTTAGGCTATTGCTTGAGCTGGGCACATCTTGTTCGGTCACGGCCTCGGAATCACCCTCTGGCTGATCCACTGCCGCTTCGGAAGAAATGTCCGGTTTGGTGTCCTCATCGCTCTGTGCAGAGATGTCTTGGCCTTGCTGTTCACTGGGATCCACATGCTTGTCTTCGGGTATCGACGATGTTTCAATGTCATTCTTAGGGGGATTTTCGTTGCCCGAATCATCAGTCTCGTGTAGAGCCCGATCCGTGTCGCTTGTGGCATCCTGGTTATCTTCTGTCCCTTCAGCCTGGTCTTGATCTTGATCGGTTATCAAAGCCTGGTCCTCGACAGCTCTAGCAGAGAGGTCTGTGTGGTTTGTTTCCTCCGCACTTGCTGCGACTTGGGCATCCGCCACGATTTGATCCGGAACGACCTCATCAGTGACGACAGCCTCCGGTTGTGGCTCTGAAGAGTCACCATCAGACGGCGCATGTGGTAGGGTGCCTTCAGGGGAATCCTCCTCGCTGGCTTGGGGTGGAACAACGACGACATCGTTGGCATCGTCATCAACTCTTTGACCCACTTCGTCGAAATTAGCCTGAACTGGAGTGTCTCCGCCGTCCAATGAATCTGCTATGGTGGAGGGCTGCTCATCTGCAGGCAAGACGTCCGAGGACTCAAGTGAGGGTCCGGGTACGTCTTGCTCAATTTGTGACCATTCCTCAACCATCGAAGAGTCGAGCGATGAAGGGCCCACATCGTCCGGAGTGTCTATCTTCTGGCTTACGGACGTCTCGTCAACGGCTTGGGCGCCCTCAGATTGGCGGGAACCATCCTGCGTATCGCCAGCTTCCCCAGACCCAGCAACAGGCGAGTCTATGGTAGGTTCAGCGTCGTTGCTTGGATCCGAGTTTGAGTCTGCAGACGATTGGCCAGCTGGTTGCTCTTCGATTTGAGCGAGTGGTAGATCAGGTGAAAGATTGGCAGAATCGCTGGAAGACTGAGCAGCCTCCACGACGGGGCTCGGGTCAGGTGGCTCCGTCTGAGTTACCATGTCCTCTTGCCCGTCTTGTTGGAGATCGATCCCACTCGGTGAAATTTCTGAGTCATTTGCCTGCTCTGGAGTCGCATGATCTATAGCTTGCAAGTGTTCAGGGCTGTCCATTTGCTCGGGGCTGGGTCCACCATCCCCTTCTTTGAGTTCTTCTGAGCTGCGGGAGCTGTCCAACACTGACTTCTCGATGGGCGATGCGCCATCTATTGGGCCTGGTTCTGATTCTTGTGGCAGATCCTCCTTCATACTATCGTCTAGCTGCTCTTGCTGTCTAGTCGAGACGTTTTCCGATGATGGAGAGTCTATAGAGCGTGCTGTACTAGGCTCGTTGACTATGGCAGAAGGAAGTGTCTGGTCAAGAGCCTCTTGCTGCTCCACGTCGGTTTCTTGAATACTAGGCTGCTCAACGCCGGGTTCGATACCCAGTCCAACGCTGGGTTCTTCCGTGCTCGGCTCTGCAACGGCGGGCTGTTCAATGCTGGAATCTTCAACGCCGAGATGCTCAGCGATGGGCTCGTGAGCACTAGGCTCCTCAGCTGGTGATTCTTCCATGCTGGGTTCTTTGACACTGAGCTGCCCAGCGCTCATTTCCTGGGCACTAGGCTCTTCGACAATGGGCTCTTGGACAATGGGCTCTCGTACGGCGGGCTGTTCGTCTTCAGTGTTGGCTTTTTCAACGCTGGGCTGTTCCACATTCGAGATTTCGGTGGCGGGCTCGTCGACCTGCTGAGATTCCTCCCCGAATTGTCCGACAGGGGTTATTGGGACGAGGGAGTCAGTGACATGGCTCTCAGTCAAGTTAGGCGGTGCTTCACCACTGATCGCAGTCTCAGAGTCGTCGACAGCGTCAGGGGTCAATGAAAGGTCTTGCGCCATTTCGTCTGGACCAATGTTCTCGGGAACCGGTTGTGGAAGCGATGTCTCATCTGTCGGACTCTGCTCGACTTGATCTGTGGAGGGCTCTTCAAGCGTGGCATCTTCAGCTTGTGGTGGTGTTTCTGGTTCGGTGTGTTGTTCCAGTGCTTCCTCGAGCTCAGAAGGATCATGTCCTTGTGCTGCTTGCTCGGTTTCGGTGCTCGGTTCTAATTGCATTTCACTCGAGAGGGTGTTTTGGCTCTCTTCGAGTGGTTCTGGGACGATCACTGAACTCAGCGGCTCGCAGGACCCATCTAAGTCCTCGGTCACCGGCTCGGCAACATCCTCTTGCCCAGATTGAATGGCGGTCTCCTTTTCGTCAGCATCTCCCATGACGGCTTCACTATCACGATCTTCACGATCTTCATCCCCTGCCCCCGACCCCAAAAGTACGCCCTCCTGCACCACGACCGGGTCATTGTCGTCTGCACTCACGGGCTCTGGCTCATCAGGCGACTCAAGGATACCTTGAGCCCCATGCACCATTAGCAAGCTTGAAGACCGCGTACGCACCGACGACCATGGACGCAAGGATAGTAAGCTTGCCTGGTGTTGTAGAAGCCGCGTTTGGCTTGGCCACAACCTCGTCCTTTACCACGACGTCCTGCTTAGAAGACTTGGCTGAAGACTCGGCACCGCTGGCAGTAGAACGCTCGCGCAATTCATTGCTTTGAACGGCTTGCGGTTCTTGTTGATCTGATGTGACAATGCCGTACTGTGATCCGGCAGATGGAGACTTGGAGGATTCAACAGTCGTAGCAGCATCGGGGGCAGGGGAGGAAGAACGTGGGGGAAGATCATGGGCTGAAGGCTCGCTGGGGATACCCTCAGAAATGTCCCGGACAACCTTGTCCTGGGAGCTCTGGATGTCATTCTGGCTGGGATTGCTGGCTTCCACCACCGACGCGGCAACCAAAAGTGATCCAGCTGCGGCGGCACCAGCTGCAATAGCTGGGAGGTCGCTGGAGTCTGCAGAGACAGGAGCGGCGTCCTTCGGAGCCTCCTCTTCGACTATCTCTTGTGCGGTGTCAAGAGCATGTCCACCGGCTTCTGACGTTACTGGTTGTTCCTCGTCGGGAACTGAAGCCTCGACGGCATGAGTTTCGTCGCTCGTCTGAATGGGTATCGCGTTTGTAGTGTCTTTTGACGTCATTAAGTCATTATCATTTGATGTGTCGTCCGCAGTCGTAACTGGAACATTCTCCGCGTCAAGTCCAGCATCGGTCTCGTCGGCCTGGGACTGAATATCGATGGTCCCAGCTGGAACATCGCGGTTTTTGATTTCCTCCACGGCAGGCAGGTGTTCGTCGTCAAGATTTGAAGCAACATGGCTCTTCACATCATGGACATCGTCAATCACAGTCGGGGGGACCTCACCTTTGTCCGCTCCGTCCTCCGAAGCCACGACCGGCGCCTGTGTCTCTACCGGCTTCTCGACTTCTGGCTCTGCAGCGGCCGCTTCTTCCTGGCTAGGCTGGGGCTCAGATGCCACAGCGGGGACCTTTTGAATGTATGGTTAGCGAAAACTCTAGCACTTGAGCTAGGAGGGTGGGAGGTAGGAGGGTGGGAGGTCAGAAGATAGAAGGATAGTAGGTATATAGATAGGAGGGTAGGAAGGAGGATTGGAAATATGTTGGATGTTTGTTAAAAGTGAGGAGAGGTTGGAAGACGCAATGTTAAAGTCCAGAAGACAATGTGCTGGATACTTTTGCTGGCAGCGGCAAAAGCAGGAAGCAACTCACCTCGGCATCAGCCTGCTCTGGCGTAGATGTGTTGTCCTCGATCTTTGTTGGCTCATTTTCAGCCACTTCGAGCTTGTCGTCCACAGGCGCAGGCTCAATATTGGGCTCCTCCTTGGGCTCCTCTTCGACAACAGTCTTCTGAGGTTCAGGCTCGATCTTCGCCTCATCCTTGACATCGACTGGAGCTTCAGACACCTGAGGCTGTTGAGGTGTCTCGGTGGCTGCTGTAGAGCTCTCTACCACGGGGCTGTCCTCGGATGTGCTCTCGGGTAGCACCTCCTTGGTTGAGTCTTGCGAAACCTCAGTTTCAGCACTTTCAGGCACAGGCGCCTCGGCAGCTTTCTCTGGGGCGTCTTGGATGTCAACCGGTCTCGACTCTGCGGCCTTTTCGGGGACTGCCTCATCATTCTGAGCCGGCAAGTCCGCTGCCTTTTCGGTTTCAGTTTCAGGCTCGGGCACGCTTGCATCTGTTGCAACGGGCGCGGGCTCGTCTTCAGTAGCTTGTTGCGCTGGCTGTGCCTCTTTTGATTCGCTGGCAGGGGTCTCTTCGACTTGGGGCGCTTCCTCGACGGCGGGCTTTTCCTCAGCAGCCTCAATTACGGGGGTTTCTTCAGCCGCGGGCTTCTCGTCGGCCGCAGGCTGCTCCTCGACTACGGGCGCATCTTCAACAGACGTTTCCTCGACAGCAGGCTTGTCATCGACCACCTGAGCGGCAGGCTTCTCTTCGACGACAGGTGCATCTTCGACAGCAGGTTTGTCATCGACCACCTGAGCGGCAGGCTTCTCTTCGGCGACGGGCGCATCTTCGACCGCCTCGGCGGCAGGCTTCTCGGCCACAGGCGCATCTTCGACAACAGCCTTTTCCTCGACGACGGGGATGTCCTCCGCCGTGGGCTTCTCTTCGGCGGCGGGCTTCTCCTCGACAGCAGGCTGCGCCTCGACAGTTGGCTTGTCTTCGATCGCCTGAGCGACAGGCTGCTCCTCGACCACCTCCGCGGCAGGCTTTTCCTCTTCAGCTTCAACCGCGGGCTTCTCCTCAGCCGCGGGCTTCTCCTCAGCCGCGGGCTTCTCCTCAGCCGCGGGCTTCTCCTCAGCCGCGGGCGCGGCCTCGATGGCAGGAGCCTCTGCAGCCGCAGGCGTCTCCTCGACCACCGGCTTGTCCTCAACAGGTGCGCTCTCGGAAGAGGCTACGGGCTCGCTGGGCTCCTCAGGAGCGTGCACTTCCGCAGCGGGCTCGACGGCAGCGGCGGTAGTTTCTGGCAGGATCTCCTTGGTCACTTCAGCGGCCACAGGAGCGTCGCCACTTGCTGGGGCGCTCTCGGTGACTTGGCTCTCCTGGGGGAGGCTTTCTGCCGGCGCGCTTGGCTCCTCGACGCTCTGTTGTTGAGCATCCGCGGGGGCAGATGCTTGGCTCTCGACGATCTTCTCGGGAATTGCCACGGGTTCTGGCACGCTGCTGTCTTCCTTGGGCTCCTCAACGGCAGCTTCAGGCTCTGCGGGTGCCGGGGACGAGGCCTCCTCGGCCTGCGCCGGTGGGCTGTCATCCTTCTCGTCGGTTGTCGGCGCCTCTGGCTCAGCAACCTCGTCTTGGGAGAACTCTTTTGACTCTAAGCCTGCCAATTCGGGCACGGGTGCTGGCTCGGTTGATGCAACCTCCTCCTTGGGGGCGGGAGACTCCGACGAGTCCTCGATCACTACAGGAGTGGCTTCGGCAGCTGGCTTGCTATCAACTGGTTGAGCCTGCTCAGTTGGCGCTGCAGATGGGGTCTCCACCGCCGCGACAGATTCGGGCTCTCCGGAGCTGACTGGCGCCGCCTGCTCGCTTTCCGTGTGCGCGGGCTGCTCGGTGACCTCGGGTGTGGGGGCGACAACCTCCTCGACCTCTTTACTAGAGACATCCTGCTCGGACACGGACGGTTCTTCGGTCTCTGTAGGATTCGAGGCGGCAACGTCGGCTACCTTTTCGTCCTCCGCCGGAGCAGGTGCCTCTTCCGTGGCTGCAGTGTCCTTCGAAAGCGGTTGCGAGTCCGCTGTGTCGTCGGCGGAGGGTCCACTTGACTCCTGGGCCTGAACGATTTCGGATTCCTTGGCTGGCTCAATTGTTTCGACAGCAGCAGGAACAGCCTCGTCTTGAGCGCCCACGTCTTGGCTCGCCTCGATTGGCTGGCTAGGCGTGTCGTTCGTGGGAATAGCGTCGTCTTTGGTCTCGGAAGCCTCGACCTCTTTGGGAGCCTCGACCTCTTTGGGAGCCTCGACCTCTTTGGGAGCCTCGACCTCAGCCTCAACCTCCTTAGGGGCGTCAACCTCTTGTGGTGCCTCGGGCTCCTTGGGAATCTCTTCGACCTCCTTAGAAGCTTCAACCTCTTTGGGAGCCTCTTCTGATTCCTTGGGCGACTCAACCTCCTTGGGGGCTTCGCTGGTCTCTGCAGAGACGGGGGCGGGGGCGGGCGACTCAACCTCCTTGGGCAACTCAACCTCCTTGGGCAACTCAACCTCCTTGGGCAACTCAACCTCCTTGGGCAACTCAACCTCCTTGGGCAACTCAACCTCCTTGGGCAACTCAACCTCCTTGGGCAACTCAACCTCCTTGGGCAACTCAACCTCCTTGGGGGCTTCGCTGGTCTCTGTAGAAACAGGTGCAGGGGCGGGCGTCTCGTCCTCCTTCGTCTCAGAAGTCTCAGCTGTGCTCTCCTTCACCTCCTTCACCTCCTTCACCTCCTCCTTCGTCTCGAGAGGCTCGGCGGCGGCCGGCTGTGGCTCCGGCTCTGGCGCTGCCTCTTGCTTCTCTTCGGCGGCGGGGGCGGGGGCGGCGATATCATTGCTGCTTTCTACCGGGGCAGAGACATCCCCGTTGGTCTCAACTGCTTCGGGAGCCGCTTCAGGGGCGCTGGGGGCGGGGGTCTCCGCAACGGGCTCAGCAGACGCCTCCGCCGATTTTGAGTCGTCCTGCGCAGCAGTTTCTGGCTCCACGGCCTTGGCAGCCTCGACGGGGACGGCGGGAGCTTCCTCGGCGGTGCCATTGACCGGCTCGGGAGCAGAGACCGGCTCAGGTGCGGGTGTGGGCTCCTGAGCAGGCTCCGAAACGGGTTCCTGAGCTGGCTCTGGGACAGACTCAGGAGCAGATGTGGGCTCCTGGGCTGGCTCTGGGACGGGCTCTGGGGCAGGTGTGGGCTCCTGAGCTGGCTCCGAAACGGGTTCCTGAGCTGGTTCTGGGACGGACTCAGGCGCGGGAGTGGGCTCCTGAGCAGGCTCTGGGACAGACTCAGGAGCAGGTATGGGCTCCTGGGCTGGCTCCGAGACGGGCTCCTTCTCCTGGGTGCTGATTTGCGGCTCCTCAGCGCTGGGCTGAGGCTGCTGGACGCCGCTCTCCTCTTGCGAGGCGAGCTCTGGCGGTGGCGAAGTAGGGGCCGAGTTCAAGCTGTTCTTGGACTTGGACTTCTTCTTCTTCTTCTTGCTCTTGCTCTTGGGGGTGGCAGCCTGGTCGCCCTCACCGAGCTGGCCAAAGGGTGACGTGGGCGATACGGGCGTCATTGGGGGGTCCACTGGCGTCGACTCCCCGGAAAGAGCAGCAGCCTTCTTCGCCTTCTCCTTGGCCTTCTGCTTTGCCTTCTTGGCCTTGTTCTTGGCCGTCTTGCTGCTGATGGGCGTCGTGCCCTCGGCAGGTGATGTGGGAGAGGCGAGATCGTCTCCGCCGTTTACATCACCGGCCTCAGCAGTGTGTCCATCTAGAGGTGTGTAAGTACGCGTACGGGACCGAGCATCACCAAGGAACTAGAACGAAAAATATCTTACTCTGGCCATTGGCATTGTTGGCCTCGTCACTCTGCTCCTCATCGGAGTCAGAGAGTTGAAGGTACTCAACCTTGGAGTAGTCAGCTACCTGCACTTCGTGACTTGAATAATCCGCGAACTGGATCTGGGAGTAGTCGACGTTTGTCCGGGCGGGACTGTATATGATGTTGTTATTTGGGAAACTCATACTGGTTGGACCGCGGGCTGGGGGGCCTGGTGGTCGGAGGAGGTGTCAAGAGAAGACAGGTCCTGGGTTTTAATGTCGTTCGCCATAAAGGTGACGCAACGAAATTGATCCTCCGGGTCTTGCAGATAGGTAGGTGCAGATGCAGATGCAGATGCAGGTCAGGGCAGCACAGTCAGTGCCCGAAGGGGTTCTTGCGTCTTGTGGGGCAGCAGCTTAGGTGACGGATGAGGCGATTGGGTGGTGTGCTGTCACGAGGGTGTGCTGTCGTGGCACGCAGGCGAGGGGGATCAGAAGGCGAGCCTGATCTGATCTTTGGGTATATGGCAAAAGAAGCAATGCTGCAGACGCTTTACGACTGGTAGATGGTGTATGCACTAAAGGGAAAGAAAGTTTTGCAAGCTGCACAACTTGACTTGATATGCGGGCACCAGAGGTATATGCAAGCCTCTAGGCGCGAGAGGACATGTACCGGATCAAACGAGATTTAATACGGTGAGCCCAGGAGGGAGATGCTTGCAAGGTCACCGAACGGGCAACAGGAGAGTGGTTGTTTTGAAAATTTGAGAGCACGATGTGTCGGTGGGACGTGGATGGGGTGTCCCCGGCAATAGGACGTTTGTTGAAAAATAGGCGCGAAGGGAAGAGGGTCCATCTGGTGCAATCGCGATGCCCCGCGGTGTGAGAGCCCACAGTTTCCACTTTTAAGAAAAACTTCCAAGGGCCTGTCAATGCCAACGAAATGATTCAAAATGGGGAAGGTTTGGGACACCCACGACAGGCATTCTGCCGGGAATCGATTGGCCGGTGCGCGGTCGTGTCGTGACTGGCACTGGCGCCACGTCAAGAATCATCAAAGAGAGGTATGTACTATAGCAAGCATGGCACGAGATTACCACGAGGGAAACCGCTCTGTGCAACGAGGCCATAGATCCGGGGATGGGGGGCACCTGGCGGCCCAACATGCCCCCAAAGTCAGACTCATGCATGGGACGGGTCGTGGCATGTACTCTGGATCTGCAGGCCCGATTTTGAGACAGCGGGTAATAATAAGTATGACAGTGTTGCCGACCTTTGCGGACTGCTTGTAGTGAGTGTCCTTTACACTACAAGCAGGCGCCGGGCGCCAGTGGACGCGGGATGGTGGGATGTCAGGATGTCAGGATGGCATCTCTGCCCTCCACGCCGCGGATGCAGGTCGTCTACCCGCACTCAGGTACTGAGTAGCGCAGGGAAAGAAGTCGAGCTATGGCCCTTGTCGGCAGAACGTGGCATGCCACCGCCCTTCTGGCTTCTCATGGCTGCCTCGTCCTGACGGCTTGGGCCCCCAGGAAGGTTCCTGGGCTTGCCGGGGTCTTTTGCTGCTCGCCTGCTCGCCCAGCACTGGTTTTGAGAGTCGTCAGGACGCCGGACGGGGAAGCCCAACCCACGGCTGCACGGGAGGGCCATGTTGTGACAGGCATCAAAGACGGCACAGGGTTACCAGGAAGTGTCAGTGGGTGTTGCGGCTGTCCAATCAAGAGTGCCAGCCGCGCTGCAAGTGGCACGTCGGTTTGCAGATGTTGGACTTTTCCTGCGTGCTACGTGGCTCGCTAGCTGGGTAGTCGCTTGCAGATCCGTACTAATAATGAGCGCATGTACTCAGGTACTGCACGTTGCCGTGAGTGACCTGACAGGCCCGGCGACAGGTGGGCGCCAAAACCTGAGCAGCCCGAATCTGCAGGCCTGAGTGAGGGCTGCAGCGAGTGAGCGGCTGGTGCGGCAGTCATGCGCGAGAGAAAAGGTGAGGCGCGCCGTGTATCGGTGACCGTGTGGGCCGGGAGCATGAATGTACTGTGCGCATGCCCGGCGATATCTGGGGCCTTAAGCACGCCTCGGGAAAGTTGCTCTCAAGATGTTCTTCATGCGCACCAGACTGTCTGCCGTCCTGGGCTCTCCTTGTCGTCTTGTTGATGGATCATCCTTCAGATTTTGGTTCCCGAGGTCGCGGGTCTCGGGGAGATTTGTAAGGTACCCATGGCTTTGCAACACATCGGACGAGAGGGCTCTCATCGCCTGACGGCCTGACCGAGCAAGGGTCGCAGCCTGGCAGCCAGCCTGGCAGTATGTTGCAACCACGGATGTTACGCCGGAGTCGACCTGAAGAACTGACTGAGATTCGACTTGAGATGAAATGTGTCGGGGTTGCATCGTGTCGCCAGTGCTGATCTTGTGTGTACGAACATGCTGTATAGCCGTTGTTCTGTGTAGTGGTAGCCTGTTCCGCGTACAGTAGGTCAGAAGATACCAGACGGAGTACGGAGCTACGCCGTTTGCTCCTGCTGATTTCGATCAGGTCAGTTCCCAGACAGGCGCTACATTGGTAGGTAGGTACCCTGCCTTCGATCTAGTCCCGCCAGCTTTCCCAATGAACGGCCTAGACAGCTGCCAGATACTCACCTGCCAAAACGCGTCTTCCCTGCCCGGCTTCACCTTATCCCACGGTCCCACGGTTCGCATTGATCACGAGTCGTCGGCTTCATTTCATTCCACGCCCAACTACGAGCCCGCGAAGCTCGATGCCCTATGAAAGATAACGTCCCACGCCGCCTGCTTCATGCAGTGGGTCTTTGGCCTGGCTGAACGAAGCTCCCGTATCAACTCTATTATACTTGCTTTGTTCTTCCGCTGTTGCTGTGTCGACTCCATCATGTCCTTACTCGTCTAACCTCCATTGCCTCCACACACATATCGGTCTGATACCTTACGCGTAGCCAGAGCTTACTTGGCCAAGCAAACATGACACCCACTGCCGGCTGCGAGCCCGACTATTGACAGATAGTGGACACAGCATGAACCAGTCCCACAGTCTGGATGCAGCAAGCATCTCCACCCCCCAACAGAAGGGCCCGCCTGACTGGGAGGTCAGGCTGAGCAGCTACTCTTTGCCTGCTGACAGCCTCGCCTGCCATCCAGACACGCTGACACCCGACTTTGGTGCTGCCCAACTTGAACTCGGATCCTTGGCGGTAGTGAGGTCGAGGTTCTACGCTCTCTATAGTGCTCTCTGCTAACACATTCGGCACTTCAGTCTATTGGCTACGCAGCTCTTGGGCTGATCAGGTATGATATGACCTGTGCGCCACGAATATGGTGCCCCATGCAGCCCTCCACATGTAATCTCCTAATAAGTCGGACTGTCAAGCACAGATGCGCAGGCAGTACAACGTACCGTTCAATGTGGCTCGGAAATTGTATAGCTGGCTGCCTCCCTTCTGTCCCCTGATATCCTCGCAATCACGAATGCAGCCTCCTGTACGCCAACGCCAGTCGCGGAAGGATTTCCGGAAGCAGTTCATCACGCCCATCTGCTCTGGACAGTCTCCTTGTCTACTTCTGTCACCAGGCCAAAACGTCTCTGGACATGCCCTCGTTATATGCTCCTGACACCGTATCTGCCCTCCTGGCCATCCGGGGCCTCTCACATGGCCATCTCGGCCTGCAGCTTCCGCAGCTCCTCCTCCTCGTCGTCCTCCTGTGCAACCGGCGTCTTGCCCTTGACTGTTCCAACTCGTTAGCAGATGCAGGGCTTTTGCTCTCCGGGGGCAGAACTTACTGTCTTGAGGTGCGGCGGGGACTCGCTGGATCTGATCCGACACTGGAACTGTCCCGGTCTTGAGCATCTGTTCGTCCAGCTCCTCCTGCTGTAAATCGTCGAGCTCCCTCTCCAGCTCGTCGTCGTCGATGGGGTCCCCGATCTGGTTGCTCGTAATGGCATTGACGATCTCTTCGCTGAGCGCGTTCTGGTCCCGTAGCTTGTCCCTATGTGGAGACAAATAATTAGACACATATACTCGCCAAACTCATACATGGATGCATCGAAAGCAGTGGCAGCGGGTGGATTTGGGAGGGGGCAGAATGCATACATAGTCTCGTCCACCTTCTCGGGCGTGAGCTTGCCATGTATTGCCTTCATCGCTTCGCTGGCCTTCTCCATTGCCGCAAGCGTTTCCTTGTTAATGTTGGCGGACTCGATGGCGTTTATTTGTTGCTCTAACGTTCCGATCTGCGCTACAGTCTGTTCGAGGCTGTGCTCGTGCTGCTTCTTGCGTTTCAGTGCGATCTTCGCGGCTGTCGTGTGGAGGGGCAAGGTTAGCACGTGCAACCACCCAAGGCGCCCCGTTTGCCCAGGCAGAACAAATATATATGGTTGCCCTCACCAGACTTGTTGTTTGAGGTGACATGTTTCCGGGCCAGGCCATCTTGCTCATCCATCTGGTTCTGCAGGTGCCTCTCGCGCTTTTGCAGCATGTCGAGCTGCGACCGCAGCGCAAGGATGGCATTCTTGGGGTTGTTCTTCTGCTTCTGAGCAGAGGCCCCGCCAAACCAGCCCAGGCCCCAGCCAGACATGTTGCCTTATTGATGTATCGGAGGGTACGAGGGGAGAGGGTTCGAAAGGAGATGCAACGAGGGGAGTCAAGCGTCGTGGTCGCTTATCGAGGACGTTGTGGCGGGACGGAGGTGGCAGATGATCTAGGCCTGGACGCTGGGGCTCGTCCGCTGATAGCGGGGTCGGGGGAAGCAACCGGGGCTTTGTCGTAGGCTGAGCCTTATAGACTCGGAATGTCACCCAGTAGAATCTGTGGGGAGGTCGGCGCAAGAGAAGTCGTCGTCAGTGTCGGTCGTTTCGCGAAGGCAGTCAGTCTGGATACCAGGGTGATGGATAGAAGCCTAAAGAATGCACGAGGTATGATGCAAGCACAATTCGTCAGTGCTTGGCCTTGTGATGGCCCGCGCTAGTCAACAACCAGCCCAGGACAGCCGCAGGTGTCCGGCATTTAGCCGCGGCTCGCTTAGTCATGGCTGCCCGATCGGTCGCTGCCTCTGCTTCTTCCTGCTGCCTGTAGATGTGTGCGAGTCCGTCCACGATATCTACCGATATTGGGATTCAGGATCCCAAGTTTCATTGCGACAGGACTCGTCATCACCCCCTCGCTTGACCTTGCTCGACACGCATTACCATTTGCTCACAATCACGCTATTCTTTTCTTCTTAACCGTCTTGCAAATGTCAACCCCTGAAATGGACTCGCGACCCCAGCTGCAGCCTTCCGGAAGCCTGCCCTCTGTCGTTGAACATTGAGATGTCCAGCACTCCTTTGCCATCAAAGCTCACGCTACTGTCTTCTCTCCCGTCTCAGGACGTCGGCACCAAAGTCCGCTTTCTAGGATGGTATGTTCACCAGAGAGTCCTTACAAATTTACGGCCTCAACACGCATCTCTCTTTTCTCAGACTGCCCCTCATCCTCCTACCCCCCCCCCCCCGCCCGGGATGATATGTGGTTGCATATCCTCTTTGCGTCTACCTCAGAGGTTGCAATGTTGGTCAAAGGCCATTTTGTCTAACCAAAGTCACAGTGTCACATCATATGCTGCTGCCTCAGGGCAACTTACTCTGCAGCACCGGTTCCCTAAGTCGACCGAGACCCAGGCATTGGTTGATGTGCGCCTACTACTCGAGAAGCTCACGGCAGAGCAAACCTCGGTAGGCGCATGGGTCAATGTCATAGGATACATAAACTCACCGCCACCAGGGTCGGTGGCTTTGTCTACCAAGCGCAAAAGGGTCTCTCCAAGCGTTCATGTGCAAGCGCTGATGCTCTGGTCTGCCGGCCCCCTGGATATTGGCCGATACGAAACGTGTCTGGCAGATATTGTATCTTCGGATGAGCCTCGAACGGGGTCAAAGATATCAAGGAAGACATGAAGGTCGACTGGGTAGCGCACACCTTGGTTTTGAAGATCACATGGCGCTCGGGAACAAGGCCTCGCGGCCCGGGCGAGCCATGTCCGTCAGCTTGGCTGGGCGTGAAGCAAGCCTATCTGTCAGGTGATGCATGCCTTGTTGTGGTTACGCAGCCGGTGACGCGAGCACCTCGAGTCGACAGCCAGTCTCTCAATCACCGCCCTGCCCTCAGACCGGAGCTGCTGAGGCCCCAGAACAGGGCTGGAGAGGTGGGGGACACCGATTTCGACGGGCCGCTGTGAGTGTACGCGGCTGACTGCGCCGGCGATAACTTGACCACTGCTGACACGGCACAGAAGCTCGTCAGGACACAGTGCAATCACAACCACAGTGGCTTCTTCAGGGTAATTTCATCCGGACATAAGTCAGTCATCAGTCGAATCACTATCGAAATACACGTTTAGGTGGGCCGCACCCTCGGGACCTGTGTCGCTGTGATTCGGCGCAGCCGCTGGACAAGTTCGCTCGCCTTTGCCGTACCAAGGCCGAATGACCAGATTCCATGCAGCCCAGCAGCCGGCCTGGACCATTCTGAGGCTTGCACACCTCCTATTCGCCCACTGGAGAGTCCGAAGAAGAAGAGATTGGCAGAGGGTTGAAGTCAAGATGTTCAGTCTAAAGAAATCCCATGTCAAATCACACACCCCGGAACCCGAATGGTTGTTGCACAAAGACCTGCGGCCGGCACACCACCCACCCCCTGCATCATTACTGTGAACTTGCGCAAATGAGCTCGAGGGATGTCAGTGGTCAGCCAGGTCGGACCAAAATTTCTGTGACTATTGATTACTCACTGGTCCTCCTGCATATCGCACCTTCATCTGAATGGTTCATGCAAGCCCAAGGGGAAACGCAAGGTCTATCTGTGCCAGATGGCAGCCTGTCGCTGGCTCGGAACATTCCTCCACACCAAAAGAAGAGCAATGCATTCACGCCGCTACGCCTGCGGTTCGCCCAACAATAATCACTTCCGAAATCAGCGGTACTGCCTTTAGTGGGTCCTGCGAGACGTTGTCGGGTCAACTCCCAGTCAGAAGTCGCCCCGTTCTCGTGCACGTGGTCGCGTCTGCGCTGGCAGCTCAAGCGCCTGCCACCTCGAGGCTCTGTGGCTGCGCTGAAGCTGCACCCAAACAACTGCCCCTCTCCACCACACGGCTCAACATAACTTCAGACTGGTGTCATCGGCGATCATCGTACCCTCGATTGGAGTCTCTCCGTGGGTCGTCGTGCCTTCGACGGCTCGAGCTCCCCTTGGAGATCACCACCGGTTGGTGCAGTGGCCGCTTGAGAGGTTTTTTGCCTTCAGAGCCTGTCGAAGCTCTGCTTGCGGCTTGCCTCTCCCACATTTCCTTGGATTTTATGCAAATGTCGTCGATTTGCTCCTGGGGTCATGGTCAACAGGGTGGTCAACGTCATCATAGGCCTGGCGACGCTCACATCTGACAGGCAAGGTCCTGGCGTTTGGATGAGGAATCCATCTTCGCCCTGTGCGCGGCCATGCTGTCAGCAAGATTCTAGACTTGAATCATCGCTGCATGTGGTATGGAACCCGTACGTCTCGTGTGAACGGTCGAACTGTTGCCTCCGGTCCCAAGTCTGTTCAACAACAGAAGTTAATATCACCACAGTAGGCGGGATTGATAGGGCCATGGCACTCAGAGAGCGAGAGAGGGAGCGACAGGGACAGCGACGAAGAGAGAGCTTTTGCCGCCACGCCCCAAGCTGACACAAGGGGGCCACAAGTTCTCCTGGAGTTGACCTACAATACTGAAGTTCCGTTGTTATGACCTTTTTGTGGATGTCGAGATGGGGGATCCAGTATTTGTTCATATTGGGCAAGGACGACAGCCAGGCTGCGCATCTGATTCGGGAATCTCGGAGAAGATCGACAGACGCCTTTGAGTTTGTCGATCGTTGCAAATGTCAGGGGGCAATGGGTTTATTTATGTTGCCCGTGCCTTTGGGTCTGCCACATAAGGCTTTGACACCGGTGTGGGCGAGATTATGGACGCCGCAGCCTTGGTGGCATGGCAAGTCCGAGCTAGCAGAACTTGGTATCCCGCCTTCACCGCTGGGAGCCATGTCGATGGACTCGCTGACGGCGACGGTTTGCTGCATGGAAGACGTGCAGACATGCTAGGCGTAACTCCTTGCATGAAATCTCAAGTTTGATGGGATTTGATCCCTGCTCTTTGGATGCATTTAGTTGGCCGATCGTCCGCCTCACTTTCCCGCCCTGAAAGTACTCGCACACCAACCTCACCACAATCCACCCCTCTCTTGGCCTATAGATCTTCAATTTTAGGTACATAATATGCTACATATCGACAATTTTGAAACCCGAATTATCCTCCTGCCTAAGCGAGAGACGTAATAGGCGATCCTGAGCGCTCAGGTGCTACAGATCAAATTTCCATGCAGCCTCTCCAGGCACGGATTCAAGTGTAGCTGTCCAAGCCCTGCAACGTGAACAAGGGATATAGAATTGAAACATTGAGCGAAATCCTGTATAATTCTCACGTAGTTCTCGAGCGAACTGTTTGGATCCTCGACGCCACAGTCCATTCGACATCCCACTCTCAAAGCCTGTATCCGCACATTCCAAGACACCTTTCCCCACCGCAACATCTTCTCTCCCAAATACATCATAAAGTACCCCTCAAACAGTGGCGCCATCAAAAGTCAAAAAGTGATCGTCGCAGTTGGAGAAAGCATTCGACCCCTAATTCTTGCCCGTCAACCCCTCGAAGTTGGTTTAGACACCCTCCACCTGCCAACTAGTTGCCGTGCCTGTCTGGGATCATGCCTCTTCCCGACAGGCCAGAACTGGACCCCTAAACCAACGGATCTGCGGAGCCGGTCGAATTGAGACCAGGATCGCACGCCTCAAGTAAGTCGGCAACCCCCCACCATCTTCAATTGCTCGGGTCGATACTATAGCCCGTCGGCATCGGCTATACTTAGCTCCCTTCAGTTGCCTAGCTAGAACTTGAAAAGTTGAAAGACTTGGGGCTTTCCATGTCGATCACAAGCTTCTACTGGAGGCGGACGACTCGTGATACTGTAACGCACTGCCGCACCACAGTAGCATGTAGGGCTTGGGGGTGGTGGGGCCCGGGGAACCTGGGAAGTTACTCTTCAGGTGGCCTCCGCGCACAGAAATTCGCCTCCCTCGAGCGATGTATACGTCGAGGCGGCCAGGCAAGCTCGCCTGGAATCCTACAATGCTGGGATGGGCGCCGTTGATGTCTCGTGGCCAGCCTGAGGGTTTGGTCAGATAGAACTGGGCCGGATTGTAGAAGCGGGCGTGCAAATAATGACAGCAAATAAGACCAGGGATCTGCTGCTTCCAGGTCTCATCAGTTGGCCTCGGAACTTGCCAGGCCAGCCTTACTCGTACCGATCGTCTGGAACAATGGCGCCCTGCGCGCGGCCTGCCAGCTGCCAGCTGCCTGCGTGGCAGCATGGGTTATCAATCATACCTACTCTAGTAGATAGGCCGGGCGATGATAGACATGATACAATGTGGATCTTCTTGCTACCCCAGTCCAGTGGCTCTCCGCCTACGTGCGTTGTGATGGCGAGGCGTACGTACTTTAGCTGTGCAGCCAGGTGACACGCCATGGGCCCAACAGGTAGGTGGTGGACCGTGTGGATCATATGCTCGAGCTCTCCCATATCCCAAGGCTGCCCTGATATGTTGTGCTACATTAGGCACCATCGGCAGAGGGCCCCTAATTGCCCAGGTCTTGACCTGCACACACTGATCTGCATTGATATGCCGTCGAGGTCGCAACGGCAGCGTGCAAATGGGACGCGCTTCACGACAGGGCTGTCGATTTCCACCCCTGGATTCTTTCGCTGATTCGTCTTGCTAGAGCCCTGCATATGGGGGCTGAATGTTGGATTCTGAGGCTGATATGGGACTATGTGTCTCGGCAGTGAGTTGAAGAGTTCATAGCAGCGTTTCAATGTGAAAGGCGTGCGTTACAGACTCGGGGCTCACGCCGTATCTGCCATCGTGAGTACATGACCCTCCGGGCAAGGACAACGGGTAACTTTGCCTCCTGGTTTGGGAATTACGGGGGAGTGATCAGACCCTTGGCCTTGGCCAAGAAAAGCAAACCTTAAAATTCATCCCAAGCCCTGCAGGCAATACGATCCTTCGAAGTTTTGAAGACTCGTAGTTTAGTAGGTAATCAGGACTATCTCTATGGATAAAACAACACTAAACAAACCACTGGCAGGCTATCACAATGTAATTTTTGTATCTCTTTCTGGTACCTTCTTTCACAAGATCAGAGATTCACACCCGCGAAAATAGAGGGCACACCCAAGCCCTATAAGACAACCTCTCATAAGACATCCTCCCATAGAACCCGTGGACATTCTCCCATAGGAAAACCTTCAAGGAAAACCTCATATAGGACAGCTTGTAATAGGATAACCTCATTTAAGATAGCCAGTTTCATATTAATCCAAGGACTTCAATTTTTAAGTTATCTGACAACTTCTCTATTTCTCATCTGATATATCTAATTCCCTACCTAGGTACCTAGACTGGTATGTAGTTAGCTTTGTACGTGTGTACCCTCTTAGTTGCGAATCTCTGGTCTCTGTTTTACTACAGACGGAGGTGTGGGCTTGTGATCCACCGAACAATCCTCCGAAATCTCCACCACCGAGCGCCCTATCCTCATGACCGCCTTACTTTGAAGCCTCGTATTTTCTTCATGGCCACAGTCTGGCCAAACTTTGAGCCTCATATTGAGAGTGAGGCACTACGTGTTGTCATTGGGCCTGCCTTGCCAGTTGGCAACAGCCCTGGGAATGCAGGTCACCCTTGTACGTCACCAACGCCGTAAGCTGGCCAGACCTTGTGCTCACCCAGACGAGAAAGTAACAACGCACACTACGAACTCACAGTGTCGCCATTGTTCCCAATTTATATTGGGAAGAAAATGGGATCACGGCTGATGATTCTCGATGCTATTGGTACGACCTAGAAGAGCCCCGTCTGTTTCAAGTTAGTTTTGTCAACCCTTTTCTGGTGGAAGAACCCTCCCAGGGCTGCTAAACATTTGGACAGCTAAAGGCGCAGTGGTAGCTACCCAGATCTTCTCGCACTACTTTAAACTCCTCTACCGCCGCCATCACAAGGCAAAGGAGGGTGAGTCGATCAGGCATTGCCGGATGACTCCAAAACTTTTCTGTTCAGTACCTTGGTATATCCGAGCTGGTTCCAACGTAGGTCATGTGGCGCAAGTTCGTTTCACATTTCTTTTTCCAACAAACACACAAACGACAAAGGCAGTCATAAATAAAAAGGCCATCCCAATGAATTCTAAGGGTGTCGAAGCACGCCCGACCGTGGCAGATCCAATCATGCAGTGCTTGTCCAGCTACTCAACTACCCGGGTAATACCTGGAAGGGTGAGCGCATCAGCATCAGTAAGGCATGCGCAGGAAATAGAATGAAGAACAGAAAGTTTTCAAAAAAAAAACATGTGCTCAGAGGAACACAAACGGCATTGGCTTTGTACTTCTCCCATAAATCTAGAATTAAATTCAAGGCGTCCCAGGTTTGGCGCAACTATCTCGAATTAATAAAATTAAGAGAAGGTCTCCTGTGCCCTGATGACAAGCAGATGCTGGTAGCCCCATAGCACAATCATTTCCAGAACATACCATCTCAGATACACATAGACACAGCGTGGATTATGCACCAAGATCTATTATGCTCCATTACTAGCATTGTCGACTATTACTCTGTAACAACTGTGAAGAGAGGGAGTGGGCAACGGAACGTAGATGCGTATGATCCCATCGTATAACAATTTGCCATGACATGGCGTGCAATCTCGTCTTCTAGAAGAGGATTGTGCTCCGCATTATGGGGGTAGGGGGCTGAAATAAGATAATTGATCGCTGAGTACCGGCATTCGGCTCTCGGCTGCAAGACATCCACGTGGACCTTGCAGATGAGGAATTGATTGAACCACAGACGGAATTTGGCCGTTCCATTGAGAAAACGATACCACTGACATCCACAGTTCAAGGGATGGTTCGGACAATTTGGACCTAGCTCGGCCCCCTCGAGTAAAAGAATGTTCTTGCACTTAAAGCCGTACGTGTCCCGGGCAATTTTGTGACCTAAGCCCTGGAGACCCACAAAGGGGTATCATAGCTTTGAACTAAGTCGACACACAGACGACGTCCCGTGCTGTGTAATGTAATTTTTCGTATGCGGCAGTTCCGTATTTAAAACACATGAATTGGTGCCAAGTATTTAGGCGACCCATAGCATACCCACTCTTGCTAGATCGGTAGCCTGTAAATTACTAGCCCATGTCCCTTTTGATTCCTGAAGTCTGTCTCACACTCCGCCAAGTCGCGGAACACGTCCCCTTCGGCCTGTGGCGGTGCCAGCGAGTGTCAGCAGCGAGCTGCGAAAAGGGGCATAATTGAAAAGCCAAGCCTAGATGTCTAACTGTATAAGTTCAGTATTACGCCATTTATATAAAGAAGGACCTCGAGACCTTGGTTTGCGGGAGCTTAGTGTATTTCACGCTTCTTGGCTGCAGTCTGTCTGCTCCTTCGCGCATTCTGACTTGACACAGGCGAGGACTATACGAGGCGTACCGGGCCATTCGGCTTCCACACACCCACTGCTGGCCAAAGGCGTAGGGGGCAGAGAAGGTCTGGCCCCCGGGTAGAATCTCGACAACTCTGGTTGCCTCGCGTCATTGACTTTAAGCCCGACTGTCCTCTGATTTTCTGATTTTCCACCATGTTATTATAATACCGAATCTGTATCCAGCGCATGCCAGATTTTGCAGACGGACTTTCTCTGGCGGAAATGGGAGCCCATCATGTGGAACGACATTAACAACAAGGACGACTATGTGACCAGGTCGGCTGGCACGGCTCTGCTTTGCAGCATATTGACTCAACATTTCTCCGACCGCCGACCGGACCTCCAGCCCTTGTCAGAGACGCTTTGCTGGATTATACTCCCCGTACTGTTCAAGATTGGGGATGCGAGCCAAGATGGCAGATCCAGGCAAGAGAAGGAAGATGCCCTAGACCGGAATGCCTCGAAGAGACCAGATGCATCCCCCCGGTCGTTATGGGTTGTTGCGTTTTGCCTCGTCGTATACTGGGTCTTCGCTGCTGAAAATACTCTGGTCGCATTCATCCCAGCATTGACGCCCCTGCTACTGGTCTTCCAGAACCGCCTGCTCTGGAACGATACAGAGATATACACCACATCACCACCTATCTCCCAAGTCTTTTTCTATCTTTCTAACACGGTCTGGGGCGGCAGTTTGGTTGCATTCCTCTCTATTCTGGCACTAAAATCGGACTGGCATATCCGAGCATCGGATGCGCTACTGGTTGTACCGGTTGCTGCTTTGCTTGTATCCTACCTCACCCTCGACCCAAGGCCTAGGATATCCAACAAGTGCTATCGGCTGCTGCCGCCCCTTGATTCTCCGGACTCCTCGATTTCCCTGTCATTTCGCGTCCTTGGTCTGCTGGTAATCGCATTGGGATTCGAGACTTTGGCGTTCGGCTTTCCTGTTCTCTCGGTATATACCCCGGCGTTGGGTTTGGCCAAGGCTGTGTCTTGGTACTTCACATTTCAAACCGTACGAACATCACCCTCAAGTTTGTATGCGGTCCTACTGCTAACAGAATTATAGACTCGATACTCTTCTTGGCGTTTCGCTGCAGCAATGTTGACGTTCAGTATTGCGTCCACTCGTGATCCGTTCACAATATCAACAGATCTGCGCGCTTTCTCCTACGTTTTGACCTCGTTTCTGTCACTCGGTCAGATGATACACATGCTTCCCAAGCAGGCGAAATTGACTTCAGCGCTATGGATTTTCTTCCTCGTGCCTCTGATCCCATACCTTTTCAACTTGTACACCATTCAGATCGAACAACCGTTGCCACTATTGTCACGCCCGCACGATCATCCCATGCAAAAGCTGATACACAACGCCAAAGAAGACTTCGAAAATTTAATACAAAAACAGTCGAAAACCTACACAGAAGCTCACGATGAGTATCGACGACGTTATGGAGTGGAACCACCAGCCGGTTTTGAGGCTTGGTTCGACTTTGCGAGAAACCACGAATCGCCCATCATTGACGATTTCGATTTGATATACGAAAGGATGACACCGTTTCTGGGCCTCAGCGGTCAGGAGTTTCTGGACAGACTGCGTCTTGCGCAAAACATCCCTGGCAGCGACTTGTGGCTCTGCGAATTCTCTGGCCGGGAAGCCAGGACGGTCTGTAGCCATCCTTTTCGGGTTTACGACAGACACATTGCATTTTCGTTCGACCGACTGCTGTGGAGTCTTCCTGGCCGTCTCCCAGATGTCAAGTTTCTGGCCAACCATATCGATGAACCGAGGGTACTGATACCTCAGCGTGGGGACGTACTTGATAGTCGAACCTGTGTGATGGAAAACTTGTCAAGACAGCCGGTCTGGGGCACGTTGACCAGGTTCTGCTCCTCTCAGGACGCGAACAAAACGATCAGCAATACAAGGCATGCGATTGAAGACTTTGGCCTTCCATTTGTCAGCGATCTATCCTCCGCCATCGATCTGTGCCAACATGAGGAGTACAGCGCCATGCACGGTCTCCTTGTCAGTCCCCCGTCATTTCCGCTCTTAGAAGGATTAGTACCGGTCCTTTCAACCGGATCACTATCGACGATGGGAGACATACTATACCCAAGTCCAGCATACCTGGAGGACGAGTTCCAATACGCCGACGCCAATGATGTCGAGTGGGACACCAAGCGAAACAACATTTACTGGGCTGGCTCCAATACAGGCGGCTTTTCCTCGGACAGCCGGTGGAAGCAATTTCAACGGCAAAGATTTGTCGAGCTGGCTCAAAATCTTCATAGGCGCCAGCATGGTTATCTCAGAGAAACGGATGGAATTCTCGGCCGCGTGAAGTCGTCCTTCCTCAATTCTAGATTATACGACGTGGCTTTCACGAGGATATTCCAATGCGAAGGGAGATCCTGCAGGGACCAACGGGCATACTTCAACATGAAGCCGTGGGAGGACAAGGACCGCGCCCTCAGGTCTCGCCTGGTCTTCGACACGGACGGCAACGGCATCAGCGGCCGTTACTACAACTTCCTCGCCTCTCGATCGGCACCGCTGAAACAGACCCTCTTTCGCGAGTGGCATGACGAACGACTTGTGCCGTGGCTTCACTACATCCCTGTGAGCCAAAGCATGGACGAGTTGCCAGAGTTGGTCTCGCACCTAACCTCGACCGAGGCGGGACAGGAGGCGGCCAAGCATATTGCTGAAGCGGGACGGGAGTGGTTCGGGAAAGCCTTTAGGGAGGTTGACCGCAGCATATATGTCTATCGTCTGCTGCTTGAGATGGCAAGGTTGCAGGACCCAGAGCGACAGCCATTGAATCGAAGTGGCAGAGACTATTGATATGTCTGCATGTGTATGTACCAATGGCATCTGTTCTTTTTGGTGCTGGACGGACATATAGGTTGTGAGCATGATAAAACACGGGCTGTCGGGGCCGACCCATACCTGAGCATCCACAGAAGTTATTCGCAGGAAGCCTGTGAAGCAGTCAATACTCATCTGCTTTGGACCAAGCTCCAGTTGAATGATCCCATACAGACTCAAGCCATACATATAGCCTATATCATACCTAGCTAGGTACTTTTGCAATCAGGATGTCTCCTACAGGGAAACTCGAATATCGATAGAAAGCTTTCTCACAAATTGGTCTCGTAGTTATGGTATGAGTTCCTCTAGGAAAGTCTACTATAGAAAGATTTTCTCTGACCCATTTTGAAGAATAAGTGTCTCTGACTTATGAGTATTTACTATGCTATGAAGGGACCGCATACGCCTTCAGGCTGTAAATGAGCAATCTGAACTCCGAGCGTTTTGCAAATCCAAACCATGACCACCTCCAGGGCTCGGCAAAGAAGACTGAACAGATGGCGAAAATGGCACTGGAGCTATTAAGATACTGCATGGCACGAGTTACAGCGGGACACACCTAAACACCGAGAGTTTCACAAACAAGACAGCTTAGGTGGGTAACTTCGTTCTTGATTCGTCTTGCATAAGTTGTGTCATATGTTCATCCCAACACTCATCTATATACAGGACGCGCCACCTTACTTGTTCAGTCGGGACGCCCTCTCAGGGTCCCTCCAGTAGAGACACGCCTCACGCCGGATCTCATCCTTCTCGACCGCCGTGCCGCCGGGCTGGACGACCAGCTGCAGGGCAGGCTCAGAGTCCAGGCCGTACCCGGACGGCTCGTACTGGGGCCACTCGGGGCTGCCGGGGTACCTGAGCGAGTTGGGGTCTCCGGTGGCGACGAAGCTGGCCAGGTAGGCGTGGTAGACGTGGCTGATCTCCGGGTACTGCACGACGGGCTCGTCCCAGGTGTATTTGGTGTCGGCGGTGTGGGGGATGCCCTGCCACGCCGGGAACGAGTTGTTGGTGTTGAACCGGAGCTTCCAGGTCGGGACTCCGGCGGTGGACACGCGGTAGGCCGTCTCCTGGCCCGGGCAGATGTAGGCGTAGTCGCTGAAGGCTGCCGAGAGCCGGTTGTACTGGGTGCTGTTTGGCGAGTTGGCGTAGGGCGAGTTGGCATCGGTGGATGGGTCTGGGTACAGTGACTCCAGCAGCGCCATGTCGGTCTCGTTCAGCTGCGGGGAGATGTTGTGCATGAAGTCCAGGAACTCTTGGTTGGTCTCGAGTGTGCCAGTGGTGTAGTACTTGCCCTCATCGTTGACATTGCTGGTCAGGATGGGCACTTTGTGGAATGTCCCATCATATCCCGACTGCGAGCCGAACTTCTCCAAGAGTGGACCGCCCTGAACGGGCTGGAAAGGCCACGTAATTGGATAATCATACTGATTGTACAAGTCGGTGCTGATGTTCCGGATGGCATTGATGTCGGCAGACCGCAGGCAGGCCAGCGAGGCTGCGTTGTCTCCCTCAAGCGGGCAGCCCACATAGCTCACAAACTTGTCCATCTGCGCCTGGTACAGAGGGTAGCTAGCGTTGGGGAACGCTCGAGCCGTCACGGACCCAGACTGGTGGTGAACCTGGGAGAATAGCGGCTTGCCCTCGTCTTCGCCGTAGTTGTGGAACAGATGGATGCCGACTGAGTGGCCTCCTGCGGACCGACCACCGATGGTCACCTTTTCCGCATCGCCACCGAACGCTGCGATGTGCTTCTGGACGAACTGCAGCAAAAGCTTCTGGTCCAGGAGCCCGAGGTTGAGCAGGCCCTCCTCTTCGAACAGCGTCGATGGGAGGAAACCGAGAGAGTTGACGCGATAGTGGAAGTTGACGACCACCACCGGGGATTCTGAAGATGCGGCGAAAGCAGCGCCATCAAAAGACTTATAACTCCCAGAGACAAACGCTCCTCCGTGAATCCACACCAGGACGGGGAGCTTTTCGGTCAGGGGAATGCCCTGGGGCCGGAACACGTTGAAGTTCAGGCAGGCCTCGTCCTGGATGGAGACATCGACAAAGGCAGGGTCCTGGACGCAAGCCTTTCCATACTGTGTCGCAGCCTTCACCCCGTCGAATGCTTCCGGCCAGGTCACGGAAGCGAAACGGCGCTCGCCGACCGGCTGCGTCGCATAGTCGATGCCGAGCCATGCGTCGACTGGCGCAGGTAGTGCCTTGCCGCTGAACGTCTGGTTGACGGTGGTTCCGGTGAAGCTTCCATAACCGTCGAGCCTCACTGTCCTGTTCGTCGACAGTGGATGTTGCAGCACCACCGCCGCGCATGTGCTGGCCAGATATACCACGACCTTCATGAGGGCCGCCGTGCTGATAGGAGTCATCTCGAACACAGGTACAGTTCCAGGCAGACCCAGTCGAGCGGAATAAGGCTGTTCCAACCACACCGTTGCGCGTCCCCGAGGCCTAGCCGTGCCGGGCACACATCGTTCTTATAGTCTAGATGCTACCCTGGGAAGCATGCTGTAGATCCTCGCATCGGTGCCGCGGGAGGCACACCATTACTCGTTCCTATCACAGCATCCGACGGATAAGTGATGGCATGCACAAGACTGGGCGGGCGGGCGGGCCATAGCCCACGGGGGTGGAGATCACCAAGCACCATGCTCCACCTGGGTCAAGTGCTTCTGCCGAAGTCTAATCTCCGCAGGCTTGGCACCCAGGTGCGGTGTGTTAAGACGAACACATATAGTTGCGTAAACACACCATGCGTGCCCGCGATGGTCGGAAGTTGGTGGCCTTGCCTTTCAATTGGGGCAATGGATGCCGAGGATGGGATGCCGGTGATCGGAAGCCTCTTGCCCGCATCCTGGTCGCCGTGCCATTGTGGCTCGCCATGGCGTCAATCCTTGATAGGCGGAGCCTGTTGAACCTGTACTTGAGGCTCGACGGAAGACGTGGAACCTAGAAATTGCATGTACTTAGATAGGGGCTTGATTATACTAAGTATCTTCATCGGATGGTGCACGTATAATTGTTGCATCGGTGTGGTGGAATTCTCTTGCGGTCCGCCACAGCAACATACTATCGCTAACGGAAGATATGACAGAGAATCGTGTCGGGATGTGCGAAGGTCGCTGTCTAAGGATGAATCTTTTGATCAGTGCTCATGTGGCGTTTCACACGATGGTATCATTTCCCGCGCGCTACATCTTACAAACCGCCGCTATGCCTTCCCAAGGCCGTGGCCATCATACCTAAAGACGTAGATACACCAAACACCCGAGACTCTACTGAGCAAAATCGGCATCAAACCAGCCCCACGAGCCCTCAACATGGGCCATATTCAGGGTCTTCTAGCCATATTTACAACGTCTTCGTGACATTCTCACTCTTGAGCGTCTGCGATCCCGCAGCCGAGGACGCGGTCTTGGACCTCTTGGTCCGCAGGGGCTGGTACGCGTCGTTGAAGTTCATAGCGACGCCCAGGAAGCGCATGTCCACGTCGGGCTGGTACGCCAGGTCCCCGAGGAGGAGGCACAGCCTGCGCTGGAAGCTGGCCGCGAGGTTGCCCAGGCGCTCCTGCAGGGTGGGGAGCTCGGAGACGAGGGCGGTGGTGGCACTGCCAAAGGACGCGAAGGGGTCCTCAATCGGGGTGTCGACCACGGGGGTGCTTGGGTACGAGCCCCTGGTGCTCGTCGCGACGGATGCGGATTTCATGTGTTGTTTTGACTGCGGGAAGGGTGGTTTCCGCGACGTGGCGGCTGTGCGCACGTCCGCCTCCTGCCGTCTGGTAAACTCGGAGACGGACCACGAGTATAGGCCATCCACAGAGTCGCGGTAGGATAGCATGTTGTCGAGAATGGCTTTGAGCTGGGTCATGTAGTCACTCCTGTCTTCGACTTCTGCCATGCCGGGCAGCACATACTGCTTCCTCTTTGCGCCCAATAAGCCCTTGTGCGTGATGTTGCTGAGGAACTTGTTGTGCGCCTTGATCAGATCGTCAAGCGTGCAGTCATCCTTCGTGATGCCCTTTTGCAGTTCATCCCAGCTTGACTCGATAACTTCAAATAGTATGTAGTATTGCAGTTGGCCAACAAAATGGATCATCTCGGCGAGCACGCCTCGGGTGGATTTCCATGTCTCGAGGACAGCCGCGTCAGAGGTTTGGAGCACACCACGAGCTCCAGTCATGCACTTCCGCCATGTGGACGAGAGCGCGAACTCAACGCGTTTGATCTTCCAGAGGAAATTGAATACTTTGAGATACTGTCGGTTACCGAAATCGGTAATGACCACATCAATAGGCGAGTCGACTTTGTACTCCAGCGTGAAGCAATCCCAGCCTATGTCCCCATGTGACAACTGGAGCATGCGCGCATCGAGACGGCGAAGCACCTCGGAGGAGTCGTACTGCGCGTTGGAGCCGCGTATTGCGTGTTCGAGCTGCGCCGTGAGGGTGTGGCGGTACTGTGCCCCTGCTGGTCGGTCGAGATTCGCTGCCAGGGACTCCATCAGCAAGGCAATGAAGTCGCCTTGTCCCAGAAGGAGGTAGCTCTTGAGCGCCCTTAGATGGTCGAACAGGTGAAACTTGGTAGTCATGAGATCCATCAGACGCTTCATGGTCGTCTTGTACGCTTCGTCGATCCAAGCCTCGAGTGTGGCAGTGTCGCCGTATCGAAGCTCCTTGGAGGACGATTTCGAGTAGTCGTCCACCCATTGTGCATCGCCACAGCTGTGGCGGATGAAATTGAGCGACTTGCCTATCAGAAAGACCTTCTGGGCAAAGTCATCGGTTATGATGCTTGGTATCATGCCCTTGGAAACCTCGTACTTGTCGTTCCATACACTACTTTGGCCACGAGATTTGAGGTCCAGGCGATCTTCGTCATTTGGGTCCTGCTCTTTGACAAAGAATTCCTGGAAGGGGTCTTGTAGCTCTCCATCATAGATCCAGTGTCGAAGGATGTCGTAAAATGGGCGTGTCACAGACCCGAGTAGCCGCTCAGCGAAGGCAGCAACAATGGGGTCTCCGTGTGAGGTCGAGAAGCCGTGGATGAGTGAGATGAGCTGCCCACCTTTTTTGCTCTTTGATTCCTCGGCGATCAGACTCAAGAGCCGCAGGCCCATGGTTGCCTCTCTGGTCCATACCACACAGCGTTTGAGTGTTACTCCCGCACTGCCTATCCCACTCCTGGGCGCATCCTCGTCCAAGGAAGACAGGGCTCGACGTATTTGAGCTTCTAGTGTGGCGACCAGGTTCAAGTATGATCTGAGCTCGCCATTGATGGCAGCGCGTAAGCTCTGTCCCAGCAGCCCGCCAGCTGGAGATTTGACCCATTCCACGAGTCCTTTGTAGAGCAATGATGGTTCGGCCAGACTATGCAGCAACGATATCAGAGGTGGTGGCAGTGTGGGCGGCAGCTTCAGCGCGGTCTCCTTGGAGAAAGGCAGTGTCGTAGAAGACAAGCCCTGCAGAGTGAAGGGCAGGTCCCTCAGCAAAACCGTCTCGGGCGGCTCGAGCTCAACATGATTGTCTGCAAGTAGCCTGGACTTGAGTGACACGTCTCTACCGCGGCTCGGTTCCTTGTCCTTCTCCTGTTCGTGCGCAGCGGATTCTGGCCCCTTCCTTGCCTCCTCTGGAGGGAATTTCCTCAGACCCTCCGGTTGGAAGGCTTCCTTGAACTGGTCGTCATCTGTTCTGGAAGCAGATCTTGAGGACTTTTGGGATGCCTGGGCCTCGCTGCGGCGCAAGGCCTCGATCCTCCTGTTCTCGGCGACCTGACGCAGGGTATCGAGGGGCAAAGCCTCATCAGGGTCAGGCGAGTCGGAGAGCTGATAGAGCAGGTAGAGTATTCCCCATTTTTGCTGTAGAACCGGAAGGGTCAAGAGGCGGGTATACAGGTGTGTGAAGCGAAGTGCAGCGCTCGGGTCGGTGCGCACGAGTTTCTTCTTGATCAGGTCGCTGGCTTGGTTCGCATCGGCGGTAATGGAAGCGGATCGGTTGCTGTCAATAGCAAGAGAATGTAAGCCATACAGGGCGGCCCCGCGACGGGGACGAGGGGATATAGCACTTGGACACATTCAACATACTTGTCCAAGATCTGATGGGCTAGTTCTATGTGCTCATCGACTGTGTCCTGCACGAACTCGCGATCCTCGAGCCGGTTGGCCTTTGGTATGATGTGCCCTACCAGCTGCTTGATGCCGGCGTCGATATGTTTCTGGGGATTGCGAGACATGGTCGCATTTTGACTGCAGCAGGCCGCTCTGAGGTCCTCGACCGACGTTAGAAGGACGGTATTTGTGTGTGTGTGTGTGTGTGTGTGCGCGCGCGCGAGGGAGGGTGAGGAGGGAGGGTGCAGCTGGCCGAAAGTGCGACCAAGGTGGGATGTGGGATGAATGTTGATGTCAGTCAGTGTCAGTGCCAACGCGCCTTTGTTACCTAGGTACGCGACTGCACCTGCCCAAGCCCTGTAGTCCGTCACAATCCAGGCCTACTGCTGTTTCCTCCACTGCGCCCTGGTCTGCTGCTGTGCCTGCACATGTACTCCGTACCTACCTGTCAATTGGATGACCACCAGCTCAACATTTCTCCTACTTTCCTCCTTGCTTGGGAACAGATACTTGCATCAAGCTCACTTTGAATTATTTAAAACTATTTATCTCTTTTTTCTCTCTTTTCTTTTCTTCTACACGTCCTCCACTTACAGAAGTGACAAAAGGCACATCATCCAGCCCTGAAGCAGGCCAGGGGTACCTCAACTCTGCGGCCGACGGCCAGCAGCCCCTGGGAGGAATTGGGTGCTTGGTGCTGCTACCGGCGCTAGCGAAACGGCACGGCGTAGTGCTCCGTCCGCGACTTCACAGCCAGGACGGCAACTTGGATCTGACCTCACCCCATCGTCAGCGCCGAAAACACGCATCGATTCGACGGCCACACCCCATCGAAATCATCATTTTGCTTCGAGAACTAGGATCGCATAGTGCCCAGGAGCCGCCTGATGCCCTCATGACCGAGTTTGCCGCGTCGCGGTACGGATAATTCCTGCACGCGACGTCGCCGGGCGCACTTCCGCATCGCATCGCAGCCGCAGTACAGAGTACCTACCGACTACCGAGTACGGATACATCCCACGACACACCAACCACCACCGCCATCGCCAAAATGCCCGACATCAACCCCGCCGACCTGTCGTCGCGCCCAGCCGTCAACCTCACCACTCCCACCCTGTCCAACAAGACAATTACCGTTTCAACCCCCTCCACCGCCGCAAAGCCCATCAAGACCAGCCAGATAATACCCGCCCGCATCGACCTGGAACCCATATATGCCGCCTTAAAATCCGCAATCGGCAACGAGCAATGGGCCACTTACAAAGAAGCCACAACCCAATTCTTCATCGGTCAGCACGCCCGTCCATATTCACAACCCCGTCGCACAGCCTGGCCATATACCAGTTCAATGCTAACTTCCCTCGTCGCCCAGGCCGCCTAAACCAGGCCGAGTACTCGGAGCGCATCGACCCAATAATATCATCCCAGCATGGCGACAAGGAACACCTTCACAACCAGCTGCTCGCTGCCTTATATGCTAATGTCACCCGTGAGATGCCAGACCAGGGCCTGGCCCCCTGGGTCAGCGCCAATGATAAACCTGCCATCGGCACAGGCGCGAAGCCCGTGTCTGGCGATGCAACCGAGCGCCGGCTGAAGGGCCAGGTCATGCTGCTGCCAAGCCGTGATCGCCGGCGCATCAAGGACCTCCAGCAGAACGATGTGTGTACAGCTGCGCCGACCCGCAACATGCGTTGCGCGAGTGGCTCTCGGAAAGTGCTGACAGCATCCCATCTAGTTCGATCCCCACGAGTCGCTCGCCGGTGTCTTTGTAGAGCAGATGAACAGGTCAAAACGGCTCAAGCTAGCCGAGGAGAGCGTGGCCAGCAGCGGCCTGAACATGAGTACGCTGGATACCTTGACTACATTGTGACAAGTGCACGCGCGCTGACATGTCTCCATACAGACCGGGAACAAGACATAAGGAAGCGGTACCTCAATCCTCTGGGCCTGGAGTCCGGCGAATTCCCCGACGGAAACTACACCGACTCGCGGATGCTACCCTACTGCTACGAGGCCGGTCTCGAGTCTGCTGCGCCCGACGCTGGGCAATTGGTCTCCGCCGCCACCGAGTCGTTCATCAAGGAGGTCCTCACGTCCGTATTCAGCCGAACACGAAGCAATGGTCCTGGCGATTCTGGTAGTGCCGGGTTTGGATCAACATCAAGCTGGGTACAGACATATCGTTACAAGAGGCAGCTCTCGAGGGAAGAAGAGGCGGCCATGCGCGGTGAGGTCACGCGGGACAAGTGCGGCTTGCTCCCGATCGAGTCCAAGGCTGCGGGAGAAAGAGGCCCTCTCGGCATCGCAGACCTGCATCTTGCGCTCGACATTGCAGATTGCGGCATGTCCCAGTTCCCTGTTATGGTCAGGTCGCTGCTGAACGGATACCGAGATGGCGAGCTTGAGACCATGAACGACCACTACTATCTGGATGGGCGACAGACGGCGACCTCGAACGGCGCAGATACCGACATCATCATGGCCGGAACCCAGGTGGCCAAAAATCAGCAGCTCCCCAATGGCGTTCCACATGATGATGCGATGGACATCGACGACGAGTACTTCTGGGCCGGCGCGAACGACGAAGACTTGGAGGGTTTGGATGCTGTCCTGGACTCCATCGGGGCCAGTGGTTAACAGGGCAGGCCTCGGTCGCTAGGCGCATCCGGTGACTGATCTGTTTCTTCCCAAAGCGAAGCGAAGACCTGGGTGCACTAGATTTCTATGCACGGCGTCGGCGTTGCAGACTGGCTGGCTCTTGTTGTTATTTTTGTGTTTGGCGTTCACGGACGCATTTAAAGGGGCGACATAAGGGGATGGAATCCAGTATAGGGCTGCGGACCACAGCCATCTGTACGATGTTGTTTGTGTATGACCAGTTTTTCTTGGATCATAACGGCGTTTCGGGCAAGGCCAGCACCTGCGGGTCATTTTGGGCGGTGACAAAAAGTTGTTTTCATGGACGATACCCATAGAGCCAATGGAGAAGTGGAGGGGCTCACCGAAACAACACCATGGATGTGGGACGGCGGGCGGACTTGGGGGTTCATGGCGGTGGTGAGGCTGGAGACAAGAGGCGTATCAGCGGCCAAGGCTGCCTGCAGAGCTCGGCAGTCCAGTGATGGGGTGCGTTTCGTAGACTGCACGCTTTTATCCGCATCAACATGGTATAAGGCACAGAGCTGGATGGTACAGGCATGTCAATAAGCATAGGCTCCATCCCACTACTTGAGTACGTAGACAGTCAATCCAGTCGTAGATGAGCGTTCCTACATGTGCAGAGGACCTCACGAGCGTGGATTGACGTTTGCAGCTCTTGCTACTTGCTTCTGTAGGCCTTCGTCTGCCATGTTGGTGGTGATCGGCGCCCCGAGGCGTCACTACAGGGATCAAGCTCTCCACCGTCGTGGAGCTGCCACCGCCCCTGCCGCATAACCCCTGCCACCCTTGGCCCCTGCTGTGCCCGCTCTAACGCGCAAAGCACTTCCCGCAACGCGTCGCGTGTAAGTCTCTCCATATTAGCCTGCATCCCCTGCCTTGCACCACACAACATCAGTCACTATTCCCAACACATAATTGACTTGGTTCTGCATCTACATACAAGGCACTTGTCAATTGATAGAAGCATTTTCTTTCCATGTTTTTTGCACCCCGGAACAGCACCCATTGATCTCATTCTCCTCTTCTCAAGCCACGATGGCTTCCTCCCAGCCGACCTCGCCCGTCAGGAGCCCCTCCCCGGACAGGTTTGAGCTGTCCCCCAACTCCAAGCTCAAGAAACTGCTGGCAGGCGTCGACAGCGACTCGGACGAAGATAGCACTCGGGTCGCCAAGAAGACGAGCCCGTTTGCCCGACGCGCATCACCAACAGCCAGCGACCGAAGCAATGACGCGCCAGGACGCGACTCCAGCGACGAGGATGTCCAACCAAGAGGCCGGGTCGCGTCCCGAATGCAGACGGCTCAAGACGACGCGAGAGCACGCGTGCGAAACATGTTACAGAACGCAACCGCCAAGCAGAGCCGGGCTGGATCCGCCGACGTCGAGATGGCAAACTCGGCCGCGCCTGGGGCAGGGGCACCGGCAAGCGACAGCGAGGATGACATTGTCCGGCCTCGAGGCCGCCTTGCGTCTCGCATGCAAGGTGTAGACAAATCGGCTGAGCAGGTGACGACGCCAGCCATGGAGGAGCCAGCAGCAGCAGCAGCAGCAGCCACCGGCATGCATCAGGCATCCAGGGATGCTGAAGATTCCGAAATGGCAGACGGTGGTGCGGACGATGAGGAGGGAGGGGTCTCTGTAAGACCAAGGAAGATCAGGCAGAGGCAGAGGAGGAGGAGTAAGACTCCGGGTTCTGATGTCGCGTCGCCGCAGAGAGAGGCGTCGCCTGGTCTTTTCGTCACGCCTTCCAAGTCGCCAACTTCAGCACAGCCATCGAGCCAAGCTGAAGATTCAGGAAGCGACGCGGAGGTTCCAGTTCTCAAGAGCAACCGCTTTCAGGCCCTGGTCGAAAAGAAACGGCAAGAGCGTCTCGCCCGTGAGGCCGAAGAAGCTCGAAAGAGGGAAGCCCGAGCCGCCGCCGCCGCCGAGGAGCTCGGGGACGATAACGAGGACGACGTCTCCGACATTTCGGACGATGAAGGCGGCCGGAAGCTTACCCAGACGCAAAAGGCGAAGACTCGTCCGTCGCGGCAGGCCAGCAAGAAGGCTCTTGAGGAGATGAACCGCGAGACGCAACGTATGCAGCGTGCCATGCAACTTGCTCACGAGGCGAAAACCAAGAAGAAGATCCCCAAGGCGACACTGTTCGAGCGGTTCAACTTCAACCCTGGCGGACCCGCAGCAAAAGACAAGCTGCAGAGCTCCAGTAGACCTCAGACACCCACCTCTGCCAAGAGCACAGATGCGGAGATGCGAGACCAGGAGACACCCCCCAGCTCACCTCCTGCACGAGTTGAGGATGTGCTGGGGAAGGACCTGGTAGGTTTGCAGTCACAGGCTGGGGCCACTGTTCCCCAGCCAACCACTACTGGCAAGGAGCAAGCCGAGGAAAATGATGATGACTTTCCAGACCTCATGGACATGCAAGCTTTTGCACGCAAGCCTGTTGACAAGGGCAAAGGCAAGGCTCAAACACCAGAGCTTGACACCAAACGGCCCTCAAAGAGACAAGTTCGAATAAAGCTCCCTCCAATGCAAGCAAACAGAGTTGACCTGGGCTCTGGGAGCAACCAGGACAGCGGCGACGATGATGACCTGGTCATCCTCGATGAGAAGAGGAGCAAGCTCGACGCCTTGTTCGACCGCGCCCCCAAAGACAAAACCAAGGAATCGCGCTCACTCTATGCTCTCCGACAACTTGCCCATCTCAACTCGCCAGAGCGCAAGGCGCACAGAAAGAATGACAGGGCCGCCATGACACCTGGCGAACTGCAAGCCTTCCTCAACCAGCGCGCTCGGGACCAGGCCAGGCTCGAGAAGGAGAGACGCATGGAGATGCTAAAGGCGAAGGGAATTCACATCCAGACAGAAGAGGAACGTGAGCGTGACCGCGAGCAGATTGAAGACATGGTCGCCCGCGCGAGACGCGAGGCTGAGGAGATCATGGCCCGCGAGAGAGAGGATGCAAAGAAGGAGAAGCGCTCCTCTGACAATGCTGACCCCCTTGCCTGGGACGATAGCGCCAGCGACGATGACTATGTGGACGGCGAGAACCAGAACGCTGCCGAAGTGGAGTTGTCAGGCTCAGAAGTAGACGACGAGGACGAGGATATGGTTGACGGCGATGCCGCTGATGAAGAGGACGACGACGCCGGGGGACACGATCGCAACAATGAGGATTCCGCTGCCCGGCCTTTCGTGGACGACGATGCCGAAGAAGACAGCGCAAGCGAGGGCTCTTCAAGCGGGGTCTCCTTCGTTGATCCTGACGAGGAGGAGGAGAGGCACAGATGGGGAGCCTCTGACGAGGAGGCAGATGAAGCACCAGCTTTTGTTCAAGCTCGCCGGCCTAGGAAACCTACCGCTATCGTTCCAGATGAGGCAGATGAGGAGAAGGATGGCCTGCCAGCGCTTCTTCGAGCTCGCCGGCAGAAGAGACATACTGCCATCATATCAGACGATGAGGACGGCTCAGACGTCGAGGCCACACTGAAACCCAGTACTCATAATTCCCTCATGACACCTGCGCCCAAGTCTAGGACTGTCGATATCACCCCGGCTCCGAATAGCGCGTCTCCAGAAGTACCAAAGTCGGTATTGAGGTCCGCCAACAAAACCTTCATCCCCGGGCTGCCTGTGAACGCCGGAGGTCCTGCTGGCCTCGGTCTGACGCAGATATTTGCTGGCACTATGGAAAGTCAGGCAGCTGCGCCGTTCGAGGGCTCTCCATCACAGCCTATGCCTACATTCGACAACTTCCCTGACTCGCAATTCTCCCAGAGGGTCACTGATTCTGCAGACGGCATGGTACTTGACAGCCAGCCAGTTCCAGCTACTCAGCAAAATGAGACACAGGCCGGGGACGAGTCCCAGATCCAGTTCAACTTCACGCAATCTCAAACTCACGGCCTAGATAGCCTCCTCAGGGATGATATCATGACCCAGGCTTCGGACATGATGAACCCTTCTCAAGATGATGGTTTCCAGGACTGGACGCCCCTCAAGGAGAGGTTTGTAGAGCCGCCGTCAGCGACCGCCGATACTGTCGCGCATGACGCGAGCCAGACTGCAGATCTCTCCCACCAATCCCCTCTTGTGCAGAAACGAGGCCGGCTCATTAGGAAAGCAGCTGTTGCTTCAGACTCAGAGGAAGAGGATGAAGTGGCTGATTCCATTGCCAAACCCACTGCCTTCAACGTGCTGCAGGACGCAGCCGCCAAGGAGAAGAAGCGGAAGGCCCGAGAGGATTTCATGAAGAAGAAGAGCAAGGCCAAGGAGATGGTCGAGGAGCAGGCCGAGGAGTCTGAAGACGAATACGCCGGGCTGGGTGGCGTGGATGGCGAAGACAGCGACGATGACGATGCTGCCTCTGTCCATGAAATGATCGATGATCAAACTCAGAACAATCAGGCAGACGGGGTCGCCCTAGCTAAGTTCTATGCGTAAGTCCGACACACACAAGACTCCGGAGATGGAGACAGAACTGACAAGTACTCAGCGACCGTGCCCGAGAAGATGATGAGAAACAAGTCGACAAGCTGTTCAAAGACATCACAACAGGCATGCTCCGCCGCAAACGTGGCGCAGGAGAATTCGACCTTGATGACGAGGACGACGGCGGCGAGGCCCGTCGGCGCATGAAGCGACGCCAATTCGCCAAGATGCAGAAGGCACTCTTCGCAGACGAGCGTATATCCAAGGTCGCCGAAAACCCGCGCAATCAGGCCTTCATGCGCACCATCGAAGACATTGGCAGCGACGAGGAGATGGACTTCTTGTACGAGCCAGCTCCCGCTGACAGCAAGGACAGCCAAGAGGAGTCGCAGGACAACCAACCCCAAGGCGCCGCATCTGTCGTGCCGGACAGTCAGCCAGCAGCTATCGGGTCCATGGCCGCCCCTCCGAAGAGGGCACCAGCGGCCGAGAGGCGCACAAAACCCGCCAAGAAGCCCTCGAACATCGGCGAGATCCGAGAGACCCTGTCCAATCTCCTGGACGAGCCCAGTGGCAACTCCATCATCTCGGCCACCGACTTCGGCTCCGATAGCGAGGAGGAAGGCGCCGGCGCCGGCGGCGAGGACGACACCGAGTCATCGAACAAGGAGAACGCCAACCCCCGGCGACGCGCCCGCCACGCCGGCCAGGTGGTCGACCGCATCAGCCTCAAGCGGCAGGGCTCCTCCAACGTGTCCAACGCCTCCGCAGGCGGCGGTGGGGGCCGCCTGGCCTTCGCAGCCCCCAACTCCAGCGGCAGCGGCGGCTTCAAGGTGCCGGCGCTGCTGCGGCGCGCGACGACCAACTCGCTCATCTCCACGGGGTCGTCGGCGTCCACCAGCGGCGCGTCCGGGAAGGGCGGCGCCGGCGGTGGTGCCGGCGGTGGGTTCGGCGAGGACGCCAAGATCAAGACCAAGGCGGGCAAGAGGAGCGGTATCAGCTACCTCGCGCGGGAGAACGACCGGCGCAAGGCGGTCGACGAGGCCGAGAAGAGGCGGGAGCAGAGGAAGTTCCGCGCTGTGGAGGGGCGGAGCAAGGTTGTTGGTGGTCTGTTTGGGGCTGGCAAGTTTGAGTAGTTGCAGTCTGGGGGCTCTTTGTCTGTCCCGATTGCGTGGCTCTGAACGATGTCGTTGGGTTCCCCGTCTGTCTTTCCTTTACGGCAGCTTGTTGGATACCTAGGTAGGGTGGGTTTTCCCGGGCGCGTCTGGCGTTTGTTAGCGAGTGTATGAGCATGGCATAATGTCATTCCAAGGTTGTTTCACGTTTGTAGGACTATTACGAATGAATCAGCATAGTATTTGACAGTTAATATTTTTCAAATGTTTAGTGTGCCAACATTGTGGTCTTCAGACCACAACCCGTGCCAAGTTTATTACTGGCATATCTGTCTGTACTGGCGTTGCCAGCCTGTTGATCAGGATCTGTCTGAAGTATTGCCCACTTAGTTTAAGAATAGACATGAGATGCAAGTACTAGAGGATGGAATCGACAGTCCATGGGTCTTCGAGTCTCCCCTACGTGTGAGGACCCTCAGAGGAGGCTGCTTACAAGGTCTGTAGCACTTGAGGTTACCTAGGTATGCAGATCAGTAACATTGATACCATAGACAGAAAACCTAGAAGAGAAGAATGAGGCCCGAGCCGCCAGTCATAGAATAGATTCAACAATTGAGTCCAGCAGAAAGTATCTCCGGAGTGGTGGTCCATTTGGGTAGGCGTCAGGTTTCGACTTGCGGCGCTGATGATCCTGAGTTCAACCCTTGCCGATAATCAGCAAAATATCGAAGGCGGTCCGCAAAAGACAGTGTGATTTTCTGACTCTTCAGAGAGTCTTTTTGCCTTTTTGTCCTTTTGATGTAGGTTTGCCTTCACCTTTGCCAAGAAGAGACAAACAGATATGTGCCCACTGTGTAAAGGCGCCACGTATAGCTTCGGACGTATACGGAATAGAGGCGAGACCAGATATGTACCTCTACCAATTCCCCCCTTTTTTGTGATCCAGGGTCACATAAGCTTCGCAGGGGAGGCTTTACACTATCCCTAGAAATTGGTATGTCTTCGATGAGTTCCTGCTGTCTTGCCTGCTAATGCCGCCAACTACGTCGCTGCCTCCTGCTGGCATGGATCCCGCTAGAGCTTCTCCCTCGAGGGGACGGCCGACAATGTCTTCGCATGGCAGTATCTACTTGACCAAAATAACCCCTGGTCATAGTCATTCTTTGGACTCTTCTGAACTTATTACGTTAATTAGCACCAATTTCGACAGAATTTCAAGAACCCATAAGCCGTCCTTTTCTCTTCAGCAAACAATGTGCCCCGCAGCCGATGACAAAGGGAACAACCACATTTATTGATCTAGGTCCTGTAAGACCAAGATTCCGGGCTTTGCCAACGGCTGACCACTTCAAGTTCAGTTCGCCAAGCCGGCCGAGGCTTTGTGGAAACTTTCCCTCTTGCCGTTTCTATTGCATAAGGACTTGGTGTATCCAACAATAGATTCTCAGCTTTCGCTTTGTCCCAACATTCTGGATTTTAATGATCGTAGTCCCCAATGGACCGTGGCCTATCTCTAACTTATTGTCCATATGAGGGTTGGAGTAGGGCCTCCAAGGTCTAGACCCCAAGGGCAGACGGGTTGCTCCGATTCCCCTTTACTCTAAAGCCCAATACAACACTTTGATGGTGAAGATTAGAGACAAGCCCATTGTAATACTAAGCCCAGCGCCACAATTTGACAATGGCATTGTATGGGAGTCATTGCCTGGGTCATGTTGCATAGGGAGGTAGTAAAACTATGTATACATATAAAACAAGAATACCACTCGCCTAGTCTCAACCCCTTTTCATCACTTGAGTACTCAAGCCCGAACCGGATAAAAGAGGTAAGTACTTCTATACTTGCGACTGCCGACATGTGCGAGACGACAACGGTGGTCTTTGACCTCTGCGGGCACTCCAAGCGGGAGGTCCGTTTGGAAAGCAGGTGCGCCATCGGCTACGAGTACCCTGACACGCAGTTCCACTGGAATCCTGCGCAGGGAATCGTCCACCGATCTCAGATATGCGCCTTGTGTCAAGTTCGGCTGGCTCGATACGGCTGTCTGAGTCCTAGCCAGTTACAACAGCTACAAGTTATCAGCAAGAGTGCGTTCTTTTGATCAAGGGCTCTACCGACCAGGGGACGAAGGCTCTTTTCCAGTACTCATATATGTGATGAGACCAATTCGCTGGACGAGTTGGCCCTTACTTGCTGCTCACTCCGCGAGTCAACCGAGATATGCACGATACGGCAGGCCAGCAACACGATATTCCGGTGCAAAGAAAAGTCTGGCGTTTTGTTCTTGGAAAATGCTGAAATGTTTTCTTAGGCTACTAACCTGACTCTAGGGTACTGATTTCTTCTTAGGGTTATCGATTTCATCATTTACCTAGGTATATAGCACTGAGTGACTAACTTTACGTTATTCTAGCATACTAACTACATAGCACGAATTCTTGCACAGTCCTGGTTGTCAACATTTCCATCAAACCGTACAGAACTCGATCACTAATACCACAAATCACAGCACTATCCCTGTAGCGTCCGATTCATTCGAGAGACCCTAAGGTCTTAATACAGAAACAGTCTTGTTACCAAACTAACCATGCAGGTAAGTCCCACAGTCTCACATATAATAAGCCAGAAAGTCGACATCACCAGTAAACAGTTCGATGCCTAGACGAGAGCGTGGAAAAATATTATAGGGGTTAGGACGGGAAGGGTTGTTTATACGGAGGACACTTCCCCCTACTCTCTAGCTCACGCAATAGAAGCCGCTCAATCCGTGAACCAAGCTCAGCGACATCTGGACCGTCACGACCGCGTTCAACACGAAGCGACATCACAATACCTAGGTACTTAGTTCACCGAATCCCTCCTGGAATTCAATGCATATTGATTTACTTAATGCTACTGTGGCTTACGAGAAGATGTCGGCCCATTGCAAATCTCTCCGGTGATCATAATGATTGAAGCCCATGAATTACAGTGTGAATATGTTACACTCCAGGGATGCTTCTTTCAGGCCGAGCACTCCCTGCCCTTCCCCTCCGAGTGTCTGGTTGTGCTAGATAGCTTGGTACTTTGTACCTGGCTCTCGAAACTCTGTGCGTTGACTTCGGCGCACGTATCGATTCAACCTTTTGCAGCGCTAATCCATATACAAGGAGCAGATGGTATATCTTACAGGTTAGTACACGTTCAAAGTATCTCGTAACGACTGGTTGTCCAAGTCCGCACTATGCAGGGGTGGGTGTTCAGCCGTCCAAACTTGAGAACTGAACAATAATGTCGATGACTTAACAGATCCGTGATCTCAGGCGTGCAATAAATTGAGACTTAAGCAGTGGGTACTAGTATCAAGTACTTCAAGTCCAATAGAGAGCCGAGTTGCTAAAATTCACAAAACACTTTTAGATTCATTAGTCTCGGGGATTTTGCAAGTAGGAGTCGCGGAAGTCGCCGATCAAGTCGCCGAGCTTGGTGGCTTGAAGAATTCAAGCTCTCAAACGCTAGCCGAACGACTCCCCTCGCTTCCCGAATAGGAACTCCCAGATAGGCAAATGGTATCTCTTAGCAGCTGCACCACGATCTTAGCGCTTATACCACAACCCAGCAGCCTCACTACACACGTATCAATTTTATATGTAAGGGGGGGGGGGGGGAGGTTGAGCCGGAAGCCAGGGCCCCTCCTTCCTTTACTATATATAGTATATAGAAGACTGGATTAGGCTATACCTCTAGAGAACGGAGATTCATAGGGTGAAAAACAGAGAGTATAGAGTAAAAAGTACCGCTAATTAATTAAAGGGCTTTATTTAACCTTACCTTACTACCTATATTACCCTAATTAAATACTTTTTACACTCTAACCTATAGACCTATTAATTTATAAAAAGGAGACTTAAAAAGAAATTTAAGTACTTAAGGACTTATTAGAATACTTTAAATAATAATAAGGAAAGTAGTAGTAAACTATTAGGGTAGAAAAAGTAATAGGGGTAAGTAGAAGCGAACTATTAGGGTAGAAGAAGTAATAAAGGTAAGTAGAAGTAATAAAGGTAAATAGAAGTAATAAAGTAAGTAAAAGTAATAAGAGTAATATTTATATAGAGTAGTAAATATATATAGAGTAGTTAATAACTATATATTATTATTTTATATAGTAAATTAGTGGTGTAAATTAAAGTTAGTATACTAGGGGTATATATTACCCTATACCCTCCGTTTTTTACCCTGCAAATCTCCGTTCTCTACCTCTAAGCCGTAGAGCGGTGCTAGAGCGAGCTTATCAGGGGGCCGTGAATTCATGTGTCGCGCTCTCGCTGGTCCCTAGACCCCTTCAACATTTCCAACCTGGTAATCAACGAGACACATATCTGAGCCGAATTTTCTAGGTTTCTGAGTTCATATACAAATCATGCAGTACGTTGACCCATGGAGGACTTTGAGTATCGATATTCTAACGCCTGTCCTGCAGGTCCTCCAACCCCACTTTGGAAGCATCACCTTACTACAACCTGGGTCAGCATCGATGGCCACTGACTACCTCCTCGTCAGATTGCCAGACATGGCTCGACCGCGGATTACTCTGGGCATACTCTTTCAATCATGAAGAAGCGAGACGGTGCTATGAACGCGCCGCCACCTGTGATCCATCGTGTGCAATGGCATTCTGGGGCATAGCAAACTCGTCCGGGCCAGACTACAACAAGGCGTGGAAGTTTTTCGACCCACAAGAAAGGAAGGCCTCGATCAACAAGGCCAATGAGAATCTTTCCCGTGCCGCAGAGCTGGCTTCCAAAGCCACTGCCGTTGAGCAGGGACTAATCAAGGCACTCGCGGCTCGCTTCCCCCGTGCCGATGAGTCTGATGTCGACTTCGGTCGCCTGGATCGCATGTACGCCGAGGCTATGCGGACTGTGTACGAAGCGGACCCTGAAAATGTTGATGCCGCTGCTCTATTTGCAGAAGCTCTCATGTGTATGACACCTCGAGGGCTGTGGGACTTGGACACCGGCAAGCCAACCGGCGACCATACGATTGAAGCCAGGCGAGTCATCGAGTCTGCATTCAGACTGCCTGGTGGTCTCCATCATCCGGCCCTTTGCCACCTTTACATCCATCTGATGGAAATGTCCCCAAAACCCGAGGAAGCACAGCCCGCCGCAGATAGGCTGCGCACTCTGGTCCCGGATGCTTCACACATGCTGCATATGCCGACACACATCGATGCTGCAGTAGGCGATCACCGCCGCGGAGTCGACTCGAACCACGAGGCCATCCTGGCGGATGATAAATACTTTGCCAAAGAAGACGCACCGGTCTTCTACATTGCCTACCGGGTCCATTATATCTGCGCGAAGATGTACTCGGCGTTCATGTCAGGGCGGTTCCGAGAAGCCATGTCAGCCGCGGAGAAACTAGAGCAAGTCATCGATACCAAGGTGCTATCAATCACAAGCCCACCGATGGCAGACTTTATCGAGAGTTTCTATGCATCTCGCGCCCACGTGCTCATACGGTTCGGGCGCTGGGAGGAGATCCTGAAGCTGGAGCTCCCGAAGGACCGCGACCTCTACAGCGCCACGACCGCAACGATCCTGTACGCCCACGGCGTCGCTTTCAGTGCTCTGGGCCGGGTTGAGGAAGCCGAGGCTGCGCAGAGACAGTTCGAGGTAGCGCGCGCGAGGGTCCCCTCCAGCCGCCTGAACAGCATGCCTTGCAAGCAGGTCGATGTCTTCGGCGTGGCCTCTGCCATGCTCGCCGGCGAGCTCGAGTACCGCAAGGGGAACTTCGACGCCGCTTTCTCGCTCCTGAGGGAGGCTGCCCAGCGCGAGGACTCTCTGGCGTATTCTGACCCGCCGCCGTGGATGCAGCCTGTCCGTCATGCTCTCGGTGGCTTGCTGCTCGAGCAGGGCCGCGTGGACGAGGCGGAGAGGGTGTTCAAAGAGGATCTGGGTTTCGCTGCGGGATTCCCGCGCCGCCGTGCGCATCTAAACAATGTGTGGGCTTTGCATGGATTGCATGAGTGCCTTGTGAGGGCGAACAAGGTTGATGAGGCTTTGTATGTTGAGGGGCCGCTTGATATCGCTCTGGCGTCGGCTGATGTCCCCATCAGCGTCTCATGCTTTTGCCGCGTTAAGAAGGGGGAACAGAATGGATGCTGTGCCTGAGGATAGAATGCTTGGTTTAATTAATACCTTCCAAAACAACTACGAGCCCTTCGAACCCTTCAAGTGCGTTGATCATCTTTAGTATGTCATACCATGAGACTCAACAAAGCCACATGCTGTTTCATTACAAGCAGCATTGCTGGAACATCGCTACACATTCAAAAATGGCATCACGTTATAGCGAAGCCCTCCTAGCTTCCTTACCTCTTCTGTAGAACACTGCCCCTGAAGATGTCATATATCAGGTCGACATTCTACCAGAGGCCTTGTGGACAGGGTTAGCTCCTATGAGGTGATCCTGTGGGAGGTAATTATTATCGGAGACTGCCCCTTGGGATATTTTCTCTTAGGAGTCCATCTCATGGGTCATACGCTAAGATGTTAAGAGATAGTTACCATGGCAGCGAAGTGGGCACATGACATCTGGAGCAGAGCTCGTACTGTTTGTTTTTGGAGCCTCAGGAACATGGCACGTAATGGAACCGAATCGACTCCTGACAGTCAATCCAAACAACAGGCAGTGGTTTGGTTTCCCTTTTGAATCCCCAGAACTAAAAAGCCATCATCTGCAAACTCTCTTGGCTGCTGCTTTCATCCAGCGCGAGCCGACCTCGAAACTCAACAAGAATGTGTCTCAGAGTCCAGCCGATTTGCAATGCCTGCAGGGCTCATGCTGGGCCAGTGGAGATCCATGAATGCATGTTTCAAGGCTGCAAGCTTGAGTACATCTGGCAGTGCAACCGGTTTCTAACGTGGTACGAGCTCCGAACGTGGGACTGCGACACGCCGGGCTGTGGTCTCAACATGGACAACATCGATGCCAACCTCAAACAGATACATCAGACACTTCGTCTTCAAGGAGGCAGCAGCGGTACCAATACCAACATCATCACTGGACTGGTTACCTTGCCAGCAAGCAGTGCACCCGCAGCTCCATCCCTCACCATGACTGTGCCAGCAGCAATAGTCAACATTCAGCCAACAAACAGTGCATCCGCAGCTCCATCCCTCACTGTGACTATACCAGCAGTTACAGTCGATATTCCGCCAGCGAACAACACACCCGCAGCTCCCTTCCTCACTGCCAGTGTGACTGCGCCAGCAATAATGGTCGACATTCCACCACCCCCTCCACCTGCCCCGATACGTGATACCAGCATTCAAAGAGAGTCCGTGTCAGACCCTGTGGACCCACAGCGAGCTGAAATGTCCAATTCTAGCTGGTTCAGGATTGCCAGATATCGCTTGGCGCGCACACCACAGATTGAACCAGATCCGGCGAGGAGGCATGCGCGAATAGGGCATACTAGCCAAAGGTCCCGCGCGTTTGCGACCATACAGTCCCCAATATAGGAGCTGCTTCCGGGTCAGACGCCGGTGGAACGGGCAAACGCCAGCAAAGATGATTCTCCGGGCTGTACAGACCTGCCAGGGCCAACCTCTGAGGAAACGTCACGGTCCTGCCCAGGCAGAACAGATCATCCTGCCCATGGGCAGAAACGGAGCCAGCGCCTAGGGCTGGTAAGACGGTGATTCACAATTTCTCGAAAGGCATCTACTCAGGACGGTCACAGCCACGAGGCAACAATCACTTGCAGTATTACCGTAACAGCGCTGCTTCTTCGGGATCGACAATACTGGCAGAAGATCACATATGGCTTCCTTACCACACATTGAGGAAAACATCCTTGAGGAGCAGCGTTGCAGCCCCGAGCATCTGTCGAACATTCGAGTCACATCTAAGTCCATCAGCGAACCGGGCCAACGTATTGTTGGCAGGGTCTCCGGCGTTTCGGAAACATCACAGCCAGCTGGCACCTTTTGCAAATCTTGGTAATGAGCTCAAGAGCCATCATTCTGTCCGGCGAGAATCTGACGCCATCGTCACAAGAAGTCAATATTCTGTGAGATTGTATCTAGGGGGGTTAGGATGTTATTCTGTGAAATACTAGGAGGGTTTCCTATGTTTAAGGAGATTCTCTATCAGGGCGTTGTCCCTTAGGAGATTGTCCACTTTTTTGGGAGGTTGGGGGACAGATACTCTGGCTGTATAGCAAATATCCGAGCAGAGATGAGATGCCTGTTTTGAATGCATCTTGCACCATTCGGTAGCTACGGCACGGCACGGCACGGCACGGCCGCAAGATAGTTGCTAATTTGTAGTCAACTGCCACCACGTCCTGAAGTCACTACATGTCCCAAGCCAAGCAGTCCACGGGTGCTATCTTCTAGCCGATGAGGTAACGGTCTTTGCATCTGCCATTGAACACCGTTGTACAGTCCCATGTCAGCACGCCTTCGATTGTTAGTGGACTCGGAATGCACCTAACCGACGTCCGGAAGCAGAGTTCCCGGCGAGGCGCGAACATATCCCAAGACCTTCTAGAACGAAGACTACGAAAGGGATGTTCGGGCGTAGACAACGACCGGTCTCCCTCTTCAGACCGAAAAGGGAACAAGATCGGCCAACTCCGAGTCCGCCGAGCGCCGGCGAGTCAGTCGTGCGTCGTTGGCTGTGGCCCGTGTGCGGGTAGTAAAGCACCTGGGCAGGTCCGTCTCTTGGACGGGAAAGACGGAACTCGCCCCGGCCGAGAGAGCGAAGGACAAAGACCACCACCGCTAGTACATTCCGTAGCATGACGTACACTACAGTACCCTCACTCGCCTGCTGTCTAACTACCGGCCCCGTGGGTCTGTTCAGGCTCGCCTCTTCGCCGGCGGCCTGCCTCGGGGAATTCGATTCGCGTACTATAGTTAGTGTAAAGACTCCAAAAAATCCACATCATCACAGACCTGTGATCGGGTCAGGCAGGTTGGATCGACACACAGGGAAGACCTGCTATCTTGAAAGGGCCCCTGGGCGGGATACAGGGCAGTCCCGAGCCGGCACCTGAAGCAGGGCCAGCAAAACCGGGGCGACCAAGTGCCGCAGCCGCCGTGCAGTCATCTCCGAACACGACAGGGCTCGACAGGGCCAGCCGGAGGAGCCCACAAATTCCCACTCAGCCTGCCTGCGCACGACAATGATGCACTCAAGGGTTCGCTTAAATAAACTGGAGAACAGACTGGAGATAAATTGGAGAACAGGACCAGAACTGCTCGAAACTAACGCACCTACCAACAAGAGGATACGAAAAAAAAAAAGAGAGACAGACATTGCTCCACGGTGGAGAATATTCTGCGCACTACCAGCCCAGCTGGCCCGCCGCCCTGGGACTTAGCCTCATACAGCAACGCCATGCGCTGTTACCACAGTAAGGCACGGATCGGGATTCTGTTCTGTGGGGGAAGGGGGGTATTTAATCTTACTTTCCAGAAGACGAGCCAGAGGAATAGCCTCACTATCTGGAGGCGGTCACGATAGAGAGAGACTATACTAGGTACCTGGTAATCTTCAAGTTGGTATCCACCATAGCGATTGTGTAGTAGTACTGCGAAGTCCGTGGAGAACCGAGGTCGAAAAGCCCCGACGTGTAAGTCGTTGGTCAGCCATGCCGATCCCCTATTTTTTATTTTTTTATTTTTTAAAAAAGAGGCAAAATAACGTCACCACTAGCAAGAAAGCTGCCGTTGGTGACCCATACAGAAAGTGGATTCCGACGGTTTCTTTCAAGCGAATGCAGCGGACATTACCCGGCCGCCGAGAGTCAACCTCTTTTCCCTAAGGTAGGTACCGGCCACAGCCAGCCGAGCCAGCCTTAGGGCTCTTCGTGATTGTGACCCAGGATGAGGAGATACAAGGGGCCTGGTGATGTCTCCCGAGTCCTACCTTACCTCTATACCCCCCCCTCCCCCATAAGCGCACACAACAGGCCCTATGGGGTTTCAGGTCACGCCCCAGAAGGGACCGCGCCGAGGGTCCTGAACCTTGGTTGGGAAGCCCGCGTTGGTGAGGTTATTAAACTTGGCCGTACCAGTGGTTGATCGCTTGCCCAGCTGGCGGCAGCAGGATCTGAAACTAGCCGGAATAGCAAGGGATCGCCATACCTCAATAATTAACACGGCCGCACGAGATCAGTAAGGTAGTAACAGAGAGCCTCTCCGGGGAAAGTCACCCCAAAAAAACAACACAGTAGTTTGATTCGGTTGCTGGCGCAGGGAACCTTGGAGGTTTCTAATCGGGTTGACCGCCAATACAGGTGAATCAAGTGATTTGGGACAATTGCCAGCACCAATATGCCGGGGCGGTTTGAGAGACACTGTCTCGGGTGTGTGCGAATGTCGCGAACCTGAAATAGTAAATGGCGGCTGAATCTGAACCAATGAACATAACATCACAAACAGAGATCACACACAGTCGCATCATATGACACTGAACATTTTCTTTTTCAAACAGTATGTATTTACTGAAACTAATTCATTATGCAATGAAGTCGTAACACATACCCAAAGTTCGTTCTAAAAGACCCTACGTTTGGGTTGGAGGAGAAGCGAAGTAACGAAGCGGCAGTTCATCATGAAGAGTGTTTTGGTTCCCAACCGTCTCGTCCCTATGCCTCCCGCTTACTGTCCGACCCACCAGTGGCCCAGGGGGGTCCAGGCACCGCTGGTGTCGAGCAGCTGGGCGGCGGGGCTCACGAAGCCGTCGACGGGGGTGGTGGTGGCGCCGAAGAAGCCGTACGAGTTGACCCAGTCCTGGCTGTCGAGCCACTCGGAGGTGGACTTGGTGAAGGTGTCGACGCTGGCGGGGTCACGGCTGGTGCTGCCAATCTCGGAGACGACGACGGGCAGGCCGTACTCGCCGTGCTTGTCAGAGATGTACTTCTTTGCGTTCTCAACCTCGGCCTCGGCGGGGGTATCGGCGCCGGTGTAGAAGTGGAGGCCAAGGAAGTCGGGCTTCTCGTTGGGGCCGAGGGCGGCGTAGAACTGCTGGAGCCACGCGGAGCCGGCGTCGTTGCTAGCAACGGCGGGGCCGACAAGCTTGACACCGTACTGGGCACGCAGGGGCAGGACAGAGCTCTTCCAGGCGGCGGCAGCGTCGCCGGCACCGACACCGTTCAGGTCGGGCTCGTTGTAGAAGTGAACAACGGCGTTGGCACCCTGGGCCTGGATGCTGCTGACAAGGTTCTTGTACTCATCACCCTGCAGCTGGGCAGGGGTGCGGATCATGGGCTGGAAGGGGACGATATCTGACAGCTCCTCGGGCTTCCATGTGTTCCAGTTGACAGCAGCGACGACGCCTGGGGATGTGCTGAGGGCAGAGGCAGAGGCCTGGATGTTGGCGTTTGAGGCGTAGGCCTGGGTCAGGGTGTAGTCCCACAGCATAAGTCGCTTGCCGGAGTGAATTGCTGTGCCACGGTTCTCGATGGGGAGGGCAGATGTGAGGAGGGCGGCCTGGAAGAGGACGGCCAGGACCTGGAGACGCTTCATGGCGGGGAACTGCATGTTTGCGGTATTTGTGTGGTTTTTTTTTCTTCGGGTGAAGGACTGTGGTGGTTGTCTCTGTAAGAGAGTGACTAGACTGTTGTGTAAGTCTGTTTGCTCGACGAAGCCTCTAAGGAGTGATGGCTACGGAGTGTAGAGAGTGAGAGTTGCCTGCTCTGGTGAAGGAATGACTAGAGAGTGCTATGCTGTCAGAAAGAGGAAACACAGAAACAACGAGGGAGGAGGGCAACGGGCAGTTCAAATACCGGACGAACATGGACCAGCATCAGCCCAGAAACGACACCAGGGGCACACCAAAGCAACAACAAACAGGCGGGCGGATGTGGGCGGCAGAGTGACGGCGCAGCCCTGGCCCCCCTCCCCTGGGCCAGAACCACAGCAAGACCGGCCATCGGGGGGGCGGCCTAGGCTCGTAAGATGGAGTGAGGGACATGCTTATTCACTGGGTCCCAACGGCCCACAGGGTAGCGCCCACGACCACACAGGACAAAGGAGGATAAGGTTTCTTTCTCGGTGGGGGGGGGACGAGGGTGGGTAGGATTGTCATGGCGGCAGGGCGGCATCGAGCAAAATGTTCCTGAGGCTACTGGCCTTGTCAGGGGCACTGGGGCATCTTGGCAAGACGGGCAGCTGTGATAGGGCGTGTGCCTGGCGGCGGCCAAGGTCTAGTTTGATAAGAGGCTTGTTTAGGCGGCCTGGGCCTGCAGCGGCGCAGCTGAGGGGGGGTCGGCCTGCTCGCCGTGTGGGCAGTGGGTTGGAGATACTTGTCATGTCATAGCGTGGCTGCTGGCTGCTGGCTGCTGGCTGCGTGGCTGCGTTGTTTTGGTCACTGTGCTGTTGTTTTCTGTCTGTGCCTGTGCCTGTGCCTGTGCATGTGCCTTACAGCACACGTAGAGCTTAACCCAATCTCAGTTTCCTGCCATGGCTGGTTAGTCAGTCCCGTCGTCTGCTCTGCCCAATCCTGGGCGCAGGTGAGATGAGGTGACGTACGGGCACATATGCGGGAGCTGAGCACACAAGGTCCATGCCTTGCCTGGACAGGGTTGGCAGACGTGTCAAAAACCTTGTGACGACGTTGGTATTGTGGCAGCCCACCTGCCCACCTGCCCTCCTGCCCGTTGGTCGGCCGATGGAGAAGACAAAGGCGCAGCGGGTGGGTGAGCGGGACGGGCTGGATGGAGTCGACTGCGAGGTCAAGGGAAATGATTGACCGAGTGAGGTGGCTGATCTGAGAATAGATCTCGCGATTTACCCAGGGAGCCAGCCGTGTTGCCAAGTCGCCAAAAACAGACATGGTACATACATAGCACACGTACATACGACATTCGCGGGAAATTGGGAAATGGAAAATGGGCCACCGAGGCAGGCCGCTCAGGCTGAGGTAAGCTCGGACCTGTGGGCACTGGGCAGCGCACCTGCACGACTTTGGTTGGGGTGGAGTGTGCGAGTCGGAACGGGCAGACTGCGAAGGAGCGGAGAAGGAACTGGTAGTGGCCCCTGGTCATACCCCAGCGAGGCACGATATTGCCGGCTGCAGTAGCCTACCAATTTCGACCGTCCTTCCCTTCCAACAGGAATTGTCCTTTCCTCTTTGGCGCCTGGTTCGTACCACCTCGACTAGCTCTTGGTGCACACCTTCCTGTCCGGGACCCAAACACATCGACAAGTTTCTGTTTCGAGTGGCCCTGAAACGGAGAATATTGGCCGTCACCAAACCGTACAAAAACACAGCCGGCCAGTGTCGACCAGGCACTGGCAGGCCTAGTTGATCAGCGGCGACGGGCCGAGACCTGCAGCTGTCTGTACCCCATGTCATGCGCCATGCCCCGAATGTTCATCTGCCCACCTGCCTGCCCGCCTGGCCATCGAACCCAGAGGCCTGGCAAAGCTGGGGTTAAGTTGTTTCGGCTCGAAGCTTGGCGCTGGCCACACGTGCAAACCAACTGCACTCTCAACGTAGTGCTCCTCCTCCGCATTCGTATTCGACACCGTTGATTCATCAAATTGCATTATTGCATTGTGCTGTGTATGTCCACAGTAACCACTGCAGGTGCTCTGGCGTGCGTCGGTCCACGCCACATGGAGTCGTGCTTGTTGTGGAGTCGTCGATGTTGAAGGCCGTTGATCTGCCCCTCAAACCATCCGCATCTGCAATTGCATTTGTCCACCTGCCCTGCCGAGAACGCCGCTTACGGGTTAGTCGGCACCGCAGCTGACTGTCGCCTGTCTCAGTGCCTGGTCGCACGTGGGCGACATTCTATCGATTGAACAGACTCCAAGCTACTTGCTACCCATAAATCGCATCTCATATAATTCAGCCCATCAGAACGTTCTATACCATTCCCCTTTGGTATCTACACCCAAACCCCCCGCCCGCCGATCTCCCCTCGGCCAATTTCCACAAACACGAGCCATGGCAGGAAGGTTACGATGGCGTGGCCTACGCCCAGAGTCCGTCGACAGCTACTCGGGCGTCCTCGTGCCCCTGGATGAGGCCCATCTCCACAGCCATTCAGCCCGTTGCGGGAGGACCGAGTTCGAGGAGCTGCCGGGGCACGGAGACGAGGAGGACGACCCCAAGGATGGGGCTGGGGATGAGGGCACCGGCATGCTGGAGATGAGTGCTGCTGAGTACAGCATCGAGGGACTCAGGAAGGAGGTGAGGAAGGGCGGCGGTGGGATGAGGTCGGATTACGAGTGTTAGTCTGCCGTTCCTATCTCCTGGTACTCCCTCGGTGTTTGAGGGCCGGGCAAGACTCGGAGGGTGCCAGCGGCGATTAATCGACCATCTCAGGACATCCTCGGCTGACCTATCTATCTGCTGGCAGTGAAATCGATGCTGGTCAACAAGGCCGTCCAGGACATCGGCATGGGCCGATACAACTGGCAGCTATTCGTCTTGTGCGGTTTTGGATGGTTTGCAGATAAGTATGTCTTGTTTACATTTCTTCCCGATACTGGCCCATGCCTGTGCTAATCAAGAATCCGTCCCCAGTCTCTGGATGCAGGTGAGACAGTCTCAAGCCCGCCCTTGTGGCAACTCCTCCTCATGTTTTCTCTCCCGAGACTTGTGCTCATCGCTAACAATACCAAGGGGGTTTCGTTGATTCTGCCATCCCTTTCGGCCGAGTTCGGTGTCGCGGAAAAGACAGTCCGGTACACGACAAGTGCTGTCTATCTCGGCCTCTGCTTCGGCAGTTTCACCTGGGGCGTCGGCTCCGACGTTCTCGGCCGGCGCATCGCCTTCAACATGACCTTACTGATCACCAGCGTGTTCGGAATCATGACTGCATTCGCGAGCAGCTGGGCATGGGTTTGCATCTTTTTCTCCCTTTTGGGCTTTGGCGTCGGGGGCAACCTGCCCGTCGATGGGGCGCTCTTCCTGGAGTTCCTCCCCGATACCTCGTCGTCCCTCCTCACACTGCTGTCCGTATGGTGGCCAGTGGGACAGCTTTGCTCGAGTTTCATCGCATGGTTCTTTATCGGTAACTGGCCAGCCGACAGGGGTTGGAGATTATTTGTGCTGGCTATTGGGCTCATCACATTCGGCATGTTTTGCCTGCGATTCTTCATCTTCCACCTCTTCGAAAGCCCAAAGTACCTATTGTCTCAGGGCCGGCAGTCGGAGGCAGTGGCAGTCGTGCACGGCCTGGCATACCGTAATGGAGCAAAGACCTGGCTCTCGGAAGCCGTCCTTGATGCAGTAGTCGATAGTGACGACAATGACGACCGCGCGCGTCTACAGGGCCATGCTGCAGTGTCGGCGCTATCCACCAAAGGCGTCATCAAGGCCAAGTTGGACGAGTTCTCCGGCGCTCGCATACGCCCGCTCTTCAGCAACCGCAAACTCGGCCTGGCGACCGCCCTGGTCTGGTTCACCTGGGCGACAATCGGCATGGGATATCCGCTCTTCAACGCATTCCTTCCCCAATACCTGTCTCACGGCGGCGATTCCTTCTCGTCGTCGTCGTCACCATCACTTGCTGCCCGTGAATCCGACCAACCAAATACTATCAACTTGTCGGCCGAAACTTACCGAAATTACGCCATCCTGAGCATCGTCGGTGTGCCGGGCAGCATCCTGGCATACTTCACCGTGGGCAGCCGGTCTGCCTTCCTCGGTAGGAGGGGCACGCTGGCAATTTCGACCTTTATATCTGCGACCTTCCTCTTCCTGTTTGTCAGGTACGGGACGACCTCTGCCTCGCAGCTGGCCTTCAGCTGCGTTGAGGCCTTTAGCCAGAATATCATGTACGGCGTGCTATATGCATTCACACCCGAAATTTTGTGAGTCAGCTTCCTTCCTGATACCCTGCCGCTGTATGAACGTGCAGAACGGGCTGGCTGACCTGCGGGCGTTTCTCTCTTGCAGCCCTGCTCCGGTTCGTGGAGCCGGGACCGGTGTCGCGAGTTTCCTGAACAGATTTACTGGGCTCATCGCGCCCATATTGGCGGCTAACATACCTGGTGATGGGGCGTCAGCGCCGATCTACCTATCTGGTGCATTAATTTTTGCCGCGTTCGTGGGTATTGTTTTAATCCCCATAGAAACTAGAGGCAGGCAGAGGCTTTGATAAACGCGTACATAATATCACGACGAATTTTCTTGACCGGTTTGACAGTTTTGGGACAGGATCATGCACTACACGGCGAATCATGAGCATCGAAAGGCGTTTTTGGTCGGGTTTTAGGCGTTCAAGGAAAAGGCACCAAGGGTACGAAATGTAGCATGAATTGATGGTTAAAATGAAAATCTGTAAAAGCACTGGAGAGGTCTATATTTCATCTTCCACTGTCGCCTGCAACGGGCGCCTTGCCCTCGCACCGGAGCCCTGCGCACCAGCAGGCGCGTCCTGCCTCCTCCGCGCTATGGTTCTCTGCAGGGCGTCCCGGGTCATGGGCTCGTTGCGCACGGTATTGTCGACGAGCCAGCGGCGCATCTTGTCGCGCAGGCTGTCGAGCAGGCGCGGGTCGCCAGCAAAGGGCGCGAGCTCCATCTTGACGGCGCGGGTGGCGTTCTCGTCGACGCTGTGGACCATCTTGTCCAGCTCGTCGAGGCTCTGCCTGGCGCGGGCCTCCTCGGTGCCGCGGCGCTGCAGCTGGACCCTGCCCCCCTTCGTGTCGGCCGTCAGGTACGGGACGACCTGGTTGAGGGCGATGGTGAGGGTGATGCTGAGCTTGCGGGCGAGGGCGACGGCCTGGAAGGGGAGGTAGGCCGGGTGGACGAGGCCCGGGGCCCAGAAGGACAGGACGGGGTTGAGGCCGCGGGTGATGGCCGGGTTCAGCAGCGCCGTCAGGAACCACGGGTGCGCGGGGCGCGTGATGGTGTGCAGCTCGAAGACGAGCAGCGCGGCGAAGGCGACCCAGCGCCAGTACACGCCCTGCTGGAAGTAGCCCAGCTTGGGCAGGGCGTAGATGGCCAGGGCGCCGACGCCGTAGTAGCCCAGGGCGTCCTGGGCGCCGCGCATGACAAAGTCGCGCGGGACGCTGCACTCGCGCCACCGCAGCACGTCCGGGCCGAGGCGGTCGTACGCGAACCGGCGGACCTCGTCGCTGAGCGTCTCGTGCGCCGTCTGCACCCGCACGTACATGTCGGCGTCGTAGGCGGCGGCGCCGCCGGGGCCCCTGTTGTTGAGCTTGTCCGGGTGCATGAGGGCCGACAGCTGGCGGTAGCGCTTCTTGATGTCGCGGACGGCGGCGTCGGGGGCCACGCCCAGCACCGAGTAGAAGTCGCCGCCCGACCGCTGCAGCTCCCAGTCGGCCTCGTAGATGGTGAAGAGGAGGTACGCGCACACGACGAGGATGTAGATGCGGCGGTAGTGCTCGGCGAAGCGCGGCTGGCCCGGCTGCGGGCGCGGGGACCCGGCGCGGACGGTTATGCCATAGTATGTGCTCTGGAGGAATCGAGTGGCGAGCTGGGCGGGGCGGCGTGGCTTGTCAGTTCTCGTGTATCTTCCTTTGTCTAGGGATGGGGAGGGGGGATGCTCTCACATCGGGGAGGAAGGTCCACCCCATCAGGGACAGGAAACCCGACATTTCGAAATTCTTTGGACGGCCGTCTGCCGCATCGAAAGAGACCGTGGGTGCCTGTGTTGCAAGCGAGAGGGAGGAAGCGCCAGGTTGCGCATACAGATTCCGTCCAAAGCCCAAAGATTTATTTCGTCTCAGATGGAGACAGACGTGTCCCTAGCTAAAGCGATGTATGTGGTCACCATCCAGGTACATCGGTACTTTGAAGTGACGGTTGCGCTGGTGCTAACCACTTCTGGTCTTAGCGCACGATTCCTTGCTAGGACCTCGGGAGTGATTCACTCTGACTTACACTCAAATCCCTGTGAATTAAATTACCCCAGGGTACCCAGACACAGTCTAGAGGTCTAGAGGACGATCAGCTTGAACAGATATAAAATCCAACTTACAACAACTTACGGCTCAACGCCGTCCCATAGCTCTCCCCTTGGAGATTCTATTGAAAACCAGTGCCAACTGACAACACACAATGTAGCGTGTCAGGAGCTGAGTTTGACGAGATTGCTGTTCACATCAACGATTGCTAAGATTCACTTTTTGGCAACCTGCTAAAAATATGACCCGTGAAAAGCGGTGCGTAATTCTCAAATTAAATGTTCAGCGCCCACATACAGAAGCCACTCCTGGTGTAAGCGTCGGGTTCACTTGCTAGCACTGGTAGGGCGCAAGAGTCCGATCGAGAGTGGTAGGGAATCAGGCATTCCCCACGAGCCCTTATTGAAATTCTACAGGCGACAGGTATGGTATCTCATGGAATTCGATTGTATCTATTCAGTGGACGGCATATCCGGTCCTCTCGTCCTTCGAGAGGCATAACTCGTAAGTACAAAATACACCAACATAAGTACGCCGCAAGACCCGAGGTCTCAATAGAAGACGTCCAACAATGCTTGAAAGAAAAGAAAAGAAAAGAAAAAAAGATTGCTTCTCGCCTCCCTCGGCATGCAATTCATTTACAGCGTAATATCATCACAAATCAAAGCATCACCGCCTCCCCGTCATCCTCGCCCTCCTCGTCGCTAAAGTCAACCTCAGCCGCCATGGCCTCAGCCCGCCTCTGCACCTCGGCGAGGCCAGAAAGCTCAGCGACATAGTCCTTCTCCTCCAGGGCCTTCTTCACGAAGCCCCAGCCGTCCTTCTGGTACGCCTCGAGGACGGGGTTGCTGCACGCGCTGCAGCACGGGTACGACTCGCCGCGGATCATCATGTTCTGGAACGTCGACAGGAAGCCCCGGATCTGGTGGGGCACGATGCCCAGCGGGTGGTCTGGGGGATCCCGCTCGTATGATGAGGAAGAGGAGTCAGCGGCAGCGGTGGGCTTGGGGGCCGCTGCGTGTTGGCGCTCGGGGTGCTGCAGGACGCTGGCGAGCAGCTCGACGAGCAGCGCGGACGCGATTGCTGCCACGCCGGGCCGGGTGACGGTGCACTGCTGGTCGAGGGTGAGATCCTTTTGAGACTGTATCAATCAAAAGATCAGCAAGTCTGTGTAGAGGACGGGGTCGGCCCCGGCTGGGCCGGTGGAAGGGCTGGCGCATACGTCTGTCGCTACTACGACATCATTACAGAAGTAGCACCCCAAGGTCTTGTCGGAACCGTCCTTCGGGGTGGCGCCGTGCCGCATCACGACGTAGGTGTCGAAGCCCAGCGCGGCGTTCATGACTATCTTCCCCGCCGCCTTGCCCATGACCGTGGGCAGCCACCGCGACTCCCGGCTGTCCATCAGCAGGAAGACGACGTCGTGAGATTCGACCAGCTCCTTCAATTTCGAGAACTCCTCCTTTGTCTTGGCCTCGTCCGTGATCGGGTGGCCAAGCATAGGTACGGAAAGGGCATGGCCTTCGCTTTCTACCCCTGGGTTGATGGCCTGTAGCGCCTCGGCCGCCCTCTTCGCCTTAGGAGCGCCCCCCTCGAGACAGTCCTTGAACTCGAATAGCGGTTGTCGAACAGGATTCGAAAATGAGACTGAGCCGTAGTCGACGAATGTGATCTTCCGCACACCCCACCCCATCAGGTTCCGTGATACGTAGCTCCCCAGGGTTCCTGCACCGAGAAGAAGGCAGGAGGTATTCCTGATAGAGTCCAGGTCCAGATTTGGGGATATGCGCCACTTCATCAACTTGAGGTTGAGGTCGACAGCTTGCTCAGCAAGCTTGGTCGGGTCCATGTACTCGGCGAGATTGGCCTGTCGGGCCTGCAGTTTCCCAGTGACGTTGCGCTCCCATCCCGTGACCTTTGGCATCTGCGTCGTCTCCATCTCCGGCACGCTGTCCATAGCGAGCGGCAGGATGATGCTTCGAGCTTCGTGCCGTCTGGCCTGGGTGTCTCTGTAGCACAAGATATTCACCTTGGTAAAGTGGAAGCGCTGGCGCACAAGGACCAACAGGTTTCGCAGTGGCCATGACGGATGCTCGGGGTAACTCGAAGGATCGACAAAAGAGACAAACCGATCTTCCTCGGCCACCCCCTCGAAGAAACCGTCCTCGAAATCACGGAGCGCGCCAACTTCCCATGTGAATCCCAGGTCCTCGGCCGAGGAGTCAAATGAGTTCTTAGATCGATTGTCCTCCCCGCCGCGTGTTCGTTTGACCAGGAAGAATCCGTATTGCCTGTTGTCTACTCCGTAACGCCATGTGCCAACCTTCTCGACCAGAGATTCGCTTTCTTTTGGGGTGAGCTTGCCGATCGGAGCTGTCCGCTTCCACTGAGGGTCGGAATGGAGCGCTGGGAACGCGAACCAGTACGTGAAACGGTACTTTTTCAGGTCGGCGTAGGAGAGTATGGTAAAGGCGGATAGGAGTGACGGGATGGAGTAGATCGTCCCGTCCTTGATGGCGTCCCATATCTGCCGGCCCGCCGTCTTCAGCATGGCACTTTTGTCTGCCGACTTGAAGTCTTCCATCGTATTAACATTCTTAATCATGCCCTCGGCTCGACACTGCCCCAAAGCGATTCTAGCACAGTTCTTATTAGTTTTCGTGAGGGTGCGACACATGTGCCGGCAAGTAGTAGTGTGCGACATACGCGTTGCTTGTCAGCGCATTTCCGAGGATCTGCATGCGGGTGCTCGCCTCCGGGGTCGCCAGCGGATTCGACTCGTATGTGCCCAGTACAAACCGGGCCGAGTCGTCGAGCTTGTCATGGTCGAGTTTCGAGGAGAATAGTGCGGAATAGAAGGGTAGTTCTATTTGCGACGTGAAGGCAGAGAACTTGAGTTCCGTCATGTTGGGCGAAACGGGACGCCCGTGGGGTCTCGTCGGCGGCGTTGGCAGCAGCGGCTGGGCTCGTTCGGTAGGAAATGTTTATTTGTTTTCGGGAGGACTTCGGGTCTTATATGAAAGTGAATGGGGGTGTTTTGGTTATTGGGACAATAAATCGCGATCTCCAGAAACTTGCTATTCTGGTGACTTCGGGGAATGCCTTGGATCTCGAGGAGGGGTTCGTACGACCGCGATGTGATGGCGGGGTAGCGATGATGCAACAGGTCACGAATGAAAGGTGAATATGAAAGAAAACCGAGATAAAACGGCCGCCAGGTCAGGATGGCAAAGGTTTCGAGCTTGTTGGCTTATGTGAAGGGTCTGGTCACAAGCGTCTGGTCGATATTTCAAACACAGGTGGCTGATCAAGATCAGGTGGAAGAGTGAGTCCGGAGAGCTTGGGTGTGGTTGGAGCTGGAGCTGTCATGTGCGATGACTGAATGAAATCATGGGTGATGGGCCTCGGGAAGGGAGGGCTCCCTTGCACTGTCATTCACTGCTGCAGCTGCAGCCTGCAGGTGTCCTCGACTTTGTTCACAGGGGCTGGCTGCAGGCACTTTGGCCGGTTCGGCCAGCCAGGACTGCCGGCGGCAAAGCACCCGACTTCACTGAAAGCCACAAGCGCGTTCAAGCGTGCCAGGGGCTGTGAGACGCGTCTGCTGCAGAGTAGACTGGCTTGGTGAAAGAATTTCCACAAGCAGCAACAACTCACTTGTGAAAGACCAGGGGTGTGCTCACTGCTCAGAGCTCTTCAGAGCATTCTATTTGGGGAATTGATATTCTTTATCACCAAAAATGTTGATTGGTGTCTGTGGCAGTAAGTCTTCCTTACCGTCTGCCCTGCCTATTCCCACGACTTACACCACCAACAGGTATCTGCTCTGGGAAGGGCACTGTGGCTCGGTATCTGGTGGACCACCATGGCTTCAGGCATGTCTCTGTCGATCCAAACGGATCAAAGACACCTCGGGAACAAGGAAACGGCCAAGAGGCTGAGACTAGTGTCTCAAACACCCACCAGAGGAGACCATCCGCCGCCGCCGCCATGGTCTTCTCAACCTCAGATGAGCTGCTTGAGTACGTGACCTCACGCTGGCGGGAACGGTGGGTGACGACAGACGTGATGAGCAAAGAGGCCCTCGACGCGTACAGCAGACGGCCCTTCTTCCTCCTCATCAGCGTGGACGCACCCCTCCTGGTCCGGTGGCAGCGCTACCAGAAGAGGAGACAAGAACTGGCGTCAGCCAGCGGCGGCGCCGAGCAGCAGCCCACCGAGACCCTCGAGGACTTCGTGACACTGTCAGACACACAGCTCTACCACCCGGAAAGGGGCCAGGCGACACACATCTCGAGCGCCACGGTCCGGCTCCTCAACACCTCGAGCTCCCTGGCCCACCTGTACGTGAACCTGGGCAAGCTGGACCTCCTGAGCACGGAGCGCCTCCGCCCGGGCTGGGACAACTACTTCATGACGCTGGCCTCGCTGGCGGCCCGGCGGTCCAACTGCATGAAGCGGCGCGTCGGGTGCGTGGTCGTCTCGCACAACCGCCGCGTCATCTCGACCGGCTACAACGGGACGCCGCGGGGGATCCGCAACTGCGGCGAGGGCGGCTGCCCGCGCTGCAACACGGGCCTGGGCAGCGGCCACGGCCTCGCCACCTGCCTCTGCATCCACGCCGAGGAGAACGCCCTGCTCGAGGCCGGCCGCGACCGCCTGCGCGGCGGCGCCGTGCTCTACTGCGACACGTGCCCGTGCCTGACGTGCAGCATCAAGATCACGCAGGTCGGCATCTCGGAGGTCGTCTATGCCTATGGGTATAGCATGGACACGGAGACGGCTGCCGTGTTCAGGGAGGCCGGGGTTAAGCTGAGGCAGTTTGTTCCTGTGAGTTTCCCCCCCCCCCCCCACCCCCGGGCTTTTCTCCGTTGAGCACTTCCCACTCGTCGACGGCCTCGGCCGAGCCGCCCCCGGTTTTGATCTTGCACGCGCTGGGGTGCATATGGTGCTGACACCATGTATGTAGCCTGCGAATGGGTTGGTCCACCTCGAAAAGATGGAGTTCCTTGCATAAGTTAGATCTCTGTCGGGTAAGATCTTCGTGGGCCGCGACCTTCTTTGTTTTGCCGTGAGCATGAAGGAGATTTGAATAGCCATTGCCAGCTTTCGCATTTGGCGGTTTGCGTCGTGTAGGGTAGCATACTTTCTGTAGTCAAAAGCACTTGGTGTTTGCAGGAGCGCGCATTTCTGGGTCACTGATCAGGCAGATGCCAATTAAACCATTGTATCGTATTGAGTGTCCGGCGAGTAGTAGATAGAACAGCCAATGCTTATCTGAACTATTTGTGATGATGCCAACAACCCCCCGGCACCGGTGTATCATCGACTCCTCGTCCCCTGTAAGAACCCTGCTTGCGTCCTGTACTCCTCCTGAATCATCCCCATTACGGCTTTACGTAGTACCTAGTAAGTTTATCATCCTTCCATTAATTCGTGTCTTGCCCACATGGAGTCCATCCGAACAACCATTTGAACCGTTTTGGCCGGCCGTCCGCCTCATCCTCCCCACCATCCAATGGTCCCTGCCTCTGCATTTGCTGCAGTGGGATGACGCTATTCCTCTAGCCGGACATCGCTTGCTTCCTTGCACGGGCGGCAGAGATCTTCTTGCTGATGAAGAGGCCAATGACACCGACGGCGACGACGAAGACGATGCAGAAGACGACGACAACACCAGCTTCCTTCTGGGCCCAGTTCTCACGCTTGGTGATGTGGGAGATGGCCTCACGGGCAACCAGGGCGTTGTTGATGGCAGGCATTTTGTGGGTTTGGTGAGAAGAATCCTGCGAGTCAGCTGTTAGCCTTGCGCCGACGATGTTTGTTTGTGAAATTAGATTCGCCCGGAGGCGGTGGTGGTCTCTTCTGGGCAGAACTGAAAAAGCCCGCAGAAATTCCGAGCCATGGTGATAGCAATTGGCCCCGCTCGCGCCCAGCAAAGCCCCAAGCGAGGCTCAGACGACAAGAGGTCGATTGGCGACTTGGTGGTCGTGGCTGAGGGTGGTCAACGCGCCCAAAAACTGGACCTTGGCACCCGTCATTGTGGGCAACCGCGGCAACCGATTTGGGCGCGCTGTAGGCTTGGTCGCTGCTGGGCGACGCTAGGGGTAATAACGCAAGACGAGCTCGGGTTGAATTGCTTCAGGCGATTGAGGGCATAGGAAAGGATATTCGAGAGACTCGGAACAGTACCTTTTGGTTGGGGTTGAGAAGAGGGACTCGAACGATGGGATTTGTTTATCGGCAAATCGGCTTCGGCACGAGCTGTAAAAGCTTGGCAGGGTATATGCGACGAGCGGGTAGGGATGTTGGGGCGAACAACACAGGACTTGTGACAAGAGCTGGAGGTGAAGGATGTGGGAATTGACTGATATGTAAAATCAGGACGTCCGTCGGAAGCAGATAATTGTCACGGTCGAGTGAGTTGGAGAAGGGAAGGGAAGGAGAGAGGAAAGCAGACGAAGGTCGAGAGACGACGGGCATGAGCACCAACAAATAGCAGGTAGCAACCTGCAGGGCCTGTGTGCGGGTGGGGTGGAGCAGCTAGGTAGCTAGGTAGCTAGGTACCTTACTTTTAGGTCGGTAGTCCCAGTCTAGGTAGGAACCGACTACTGTGGTAATTGCTGGGTCTCTGGCATGCAAGATTACCAGTGACCAGCAGCCTGCCCATGCCGGGTGCTGCAGGACGGGTAGCCCCTAGCAGGTCGGAAACAGCTAGGAGCTGCTCCCCCAATCAGCGGGCGGGCTAGCGAGCAAGACGGCGAACAGAAAAGCTTGTCTGGCAGTGTCTGTGGGTGTGGGAGCGACAGTGGGAGAGGACCTACGACCCTCGAGCTCGAGGCGGGAGTGCGAGGGCACTCATCAGATGAGCCCAGTGCAGCCCCCGTCCCCGCCAGGTACTACGATAGGTACCCAGGCTAGGAGTACAAAACTGTGTAAGCCGACAAGCGGGCGGGCAGGCCCAACACAGAACAGACAAGTGAGTGCGCGAATTTTGGGACTGAGTTCGCCCAGGCGAAAGGCGCGAGGCTACAAGGATCCCATCCGGTCGGTGGTCGGTCAGGTCGGTGCTGGGCGAGCGAGAAGGGCCCAGGGATGGAGATAGATAGATAGCCTGGCATTTTTCCTGGGCGGGTGACCTGGAACTTGGATCGCATAGAGGCCATACAAACATGAACAACAAAAACACACGCACCAGCCCCTCATATCTGCGCTGTTGTTCCGTGCGGGAGCATGTGCACTGTGACAGTATGGACATATAAACTGTGATAAGGTTCCCTGCCGCGAGTAAGTTTCACTGAGAACTGACTGGCTGGGTTGGACTGACTAACTTATAACTGACTGATGAAGGAGATTGAACCCCCTCGAGTCCGATGGCACTCTGCTCGGAGCCCTGCCCAGGTGAGAGAGGTGGCCTGGCAGGCCTGGGTGCCTGGGGTGCCTGGGTAGGGCGGTCTGGAGTAACAAATATCCAAAAATTCAAATTTTTACTTTGCCCACCCCCTTACCTGCACCCACCCCCCGCCCCACCTAAGCCCAAGCCACATCTATTATAGCTGCCTAACTTTATTTGCAAACCACTTTCCTACTATTATTAAACTTTTCAACCAGCTTACCCTATAATATATATATCTTTTTATTATTATATTATTTTAAATATTATAATTTTAACAAGTATATAATTATTATAATAACTTTTTAACTTTTAACTAACTTTATTTTTAATAGCTATTATCTTTTAAGGGTTAAGGCTATTTAAAAAAACTATTATATTATAAAATAGCTAACTATTTAAATTATTAACTACTTTACTAATATAATTATAATAATATATATATTTTATTTAATAAAATTTAAATAAATAATTAATTAATTACTATATTTTTTATTATTTTTATTATTATATATTAATATTAATTATAAAAGTTATATATTTATTTAATATTAAAAGTTCTATTATAATAATAAGAAAGTAGTGCTTTTATTAGCTTTAACTACCTTATAACACTTATATATTAATAGTAGCCCTTTTTATAAATTAGGCCCTAATAATATTTATAAAGTTTATAAATTTATTATATTTAAAAACTTTTAAAGTAATATTACTACTTTAAAAAATTTATTAAAAGCTTATATTAACTACTATTATAATAATTATAATAATATATATTTTATTAAATTAATAAATATAATATAATAATATATTAAAATATATTAAACTAATAATAATAAAGGCTAAGTAAAAGAAATAGCTAAAAGGTAAAAATAAAAAACTTTTACTAGTTTTATAAAAAGTATATAATATTTACTATAATTAAAAATTTAAAGAAATAGTATAATATTATTAAGTTATAGCTTTTAAGTTATAAAAATTAAGTAAAACTTAATAACTAAAAATAAAAGGCTTAAAAGTATAATATAAAAATAAAAGTATTAAAAATAATATAAAAAAAAGGAGTTTTAAAAAGTATTATAATAAATAATATATTAGTATTTAATATTTAAAATATTTATAATATTTTAAAATATAATTAAAATTAAATTAAAATTAAATATTTAAATTAAGGGCTATTTTAATAAATATATAATATATATAATAATAAAGGGTAATAAAATATAAAATAGTTATTAATTAAAAATTAAATTTTTATAATTTACTTTTAAAATACTAATATTTAAATTTAAATATATATATTTTAATATAAAATGGTATATTAAAATAGAAAATATTAAATAGAAAATTAAATCCTTTATTTTTGTGGTAATATAATAACTTTATATTTAGCTTTTAAAATAATAGGCTAGCTTATACTATTTACTTATAATAAATTATATTTTTCTTTTAAAATTTACTAAAATAAATAATAAAATATTTAATTAAATTAATTAAACTTTATTATTTTTTTAATTAAATTTATAATTTTAAATATTAATATAATTTTTAAATAAAAATTTATTTATTAAAAATAAATTATTAAAATATATATATAACTTTAAAAATACTTTATTTAACCTTTATAAAAGTTTAATATATAAATAAATTTTTAAAAAGTTTTTAAAAATAAAAATAAAATTATTTAATAAAAATTTTTATAAAAAAAAAACTTTATTATAAACTTTTATTAAAAATTTTATATAACTTTTTTATTTTATATTTTATTATATTATATATAATTAATAATTATTTTTATTTATTAAAAATAAAATAAAAATTTATAAATATTAATTTAAAATATTTATATTAAATAATAATTTTTATATTTATTTATTTATTTAAAATATTTTATTTAATATAAATAATAAATATAATAAAATATAAAATTTTATAAATAATTTTAAAATAATTATAAATAATTAAATTTTATTAAAAATAATTTATTATTTATAAAAATAAAATTATAAATAAAATATTAAAATTTAATATATTATATTAAAATAATATATTAAAATATATAAAATTAATTATAATTAATTATATAATATTTTATTTTTAAAATTATAATTTATTATAAAATTAATATTTATATATTTAATTAAAATATTTTAAATTTTTATATTTAAAATATAAACCTTTTAAAATTTTTAATTTTTTTATTTTTATTTATTAATATTTATTTATTTTTATTTTTTAATAATTTTTTATTAATATATTATTTTTATTTATTTTTAATTTTTAAATATTTATTATTTTAATATTTAATATTTAATTAATATTTAAATATATTTAAAATATATAAATTTAAAATATAAATAAAAATTTAAAAGTTTTAAAATAAAATAAAAAATATTAAAAGTTATATTTTAAATTTTATAAATTTAAAATAAATATTTTATAAATTTTTTAATATTAATTTAAAAATAAATATTAAATATATAAAAATATTAAATATATAAATATTAATTTTATATTAAAATATAAATTTATTATTTATTTTATTTAAAATTTTAAAATTTTAAATATAATATTAATATTATTATATTTTTATATATTAAATTTAAATATATAAAATAAATATATTTTATATAATAAAAGTATACTTATATTTTTATATATATATATAATTAAATTATTAAATATAGGTTATATTAGCTTTCTTTTCCTTATTTTCTACTAGAATATATATATTTAAATTTTAATAAAAATTTCTTTTTATAATATTAACCTTCCCGCCTTCTATTAATCCACCTATTATAGCAAATAGTATTTATTTAAAAACATAAAAGCTATATAGTTAGCTATAGCTTAAATATTTAAATTGGCCGTATTATATTTATAATTACTAATAGTTTTCCACTTTAACTAGTTTTATTACATTTTTTATAATATAATTAAAAAACAACTTTTAAAAGGTTCCTACTTTAGCCTTTTATTTATAAGTTAAGGAGTTAATAGTTATATTTAAATAATTATTTCCTATTTTAAAAATTATAAAGGTTAGTTTTAGCTAAATATATTATATTATAATATAAGCAAGAAATAATATAATATAATAAGATAATAAATTAAATAATAATAAAATATTAATAAAAATAAGCCTTTATTTATAGGCTAGTTAGCATATTATTATTATTATTAGCTATTATATAAAGATATAATAATTTATTTTAATAATAAAATAAAATAACCTTTTAAAGTTAAAATATATTAATTTATTTACTATATTATTATATTAAAAATAGCTAAATTAAAATAAATTTCTTATTATAATATTTAAATATACTAATATTTTAAAAGAATATAATTTATAAAATTATTATATTATTAGTAATATTATAACTAAAAATAGTATAATTATATATAACCTTTCCTTTATTCCTTCTACTATAATAATTATTAAAAATATTTAAAATATAATTTTATAGCTATATTAAATAAAATAAATAAAAATAAATTTATATTTAATATTATTATAAAGGTCTTAAAATATATTAATAAAGTAGAGTTAAATAAAAGATTAATAATATAATTAAACTACCTTTAAAAAGTTAAAAGGTTAAAAGTTAAAAAAAGTTATAATTAAAATTAAGCAGCTTATTAGGG